GTTAATATTATTACACGCTAGCTTAGGGTAGCTAAGTCCTTTTGAAGTACTTAATAGCTATAAGCTTAAGACGTCCTTTAATTGAGAGTAATTATCTAGTGAAGCCGCTAATAATATCGGAAAAAATAATATAGCTGCTATAACTAGATCTAAAACTCTATTAAAGTCCTTAAATTCAGACGCTAGTAATAACACTAGCTTGAATAATCGTTAAGTGTTAAGGTTAACTACTTAATACTTAAGCGAGGAATATTAAGGTAAACAAATATCTAGACCAGATTCTACGCTAAGTGGGACCAGTTATACGCCGGTGCGGGAGCTAAAGGGTAGCTCTACCGTGTAAAAGGGTAACCGAAGTGTGGGGGAAAATAGCTCTACGCTATATAACGGGAGCGATATTAGGTTACCGGATTCCACCTAGACGTTAATTCCATACTAAAACACGGTAATTCCCGTGTTAATTCTAAGATCCGGATCTAACGATGAACCTTGCTTAGCTCTACTACTGTTCGACGCTAATACATAGCGTACTAAAGATAATAATATAGTTACGTAATACGAATGTACTTAAAGAAGTGATGTAATAAATACCTTATAGCGTATATATGATATAATAGAGCGTGCGAAGGTGTATATAGGTAAAGCGCAGGCCTCTTAAAGAGAGTATATAAATCGTTCGAGATAAGATATTGATTTTACTATAGGAGATCACGTGTAATTATATACGGAAAACCTTAAGTTGATACGGCCCTTAAAGAAGCTAGACTTTATTGCGCGAGGTCCTTATAAGGTTATACGGCAAGTAGGCTACACTTACGAGTTAGAATTACCTCCTTTGATAAAAATCTACCTTATTATTAACTCCTCTTAATTACGGAAAGCGTATAAGCGAGCTGACGACGAATCAAATATCACTAACGCTATAGATGACGTAGAATACGACGAAGACGAATACGAGCTAGTTCGTATACTAGCTTATTGTTATTATAACGATATGATATAATATTAAGTGGAGTAGAGAGACTATCCCCTTGATAACACGTGGTATAACGTAAACGGCTTTAGTAACTTAGCTAAAGCTATATACGACTATTATAAAATCAACGGCGGAAGACCTCTTAGCTAATTAAAGCTCGCCTTTGATGCTCTATTATAAAACGATGATTTTACTTTTATAAGTAATAGTCTTATGAGCGAATCAGAAGCTAAGGATTGGCTAGAATAGTCTATTATAGCTATAACCCTAGTCGACGATTCCGAGTCGACTAATATCGACGAACTAGAGCCTAGATTCCCTGCTCTGGAGCTTACGCCGTAATAAGCTTTAGAAGCTAGCGAATTAGCTTCTTTATTACTGGTGTATTTGCTTTATCTCGCTAAGCTTATAGCTTGATTCTTCGCTAAGCTAGATACTATAGCGAACCCCTTTTATCAGGTATTTAATGAAAAGCTCTTAACGCTAGACGCTTATAAGTCGAATTATAAGCTATAAGGCTTAAAACCTGATAGAGAGCGTATTATAACCTATATACGAGCCTAGAACCGAAAACTCGTTGAAATCGCCTGTATTATAATACGGATAGAAAAGGCTTAGCGAAAGGCTAATCCTAATAAGGAACAAGCGGTCTAGGAATATCTAGTGAATATGTACTATTTGTAGTTATAAGACTGCTAGTGTCAAAAAAGTACTTTGTTTCATTTGCTTTAACTTTGATTTTATACTTGTTTTTACTTGTTTTTTATCTCTAATGTGTAATAATCACTTCTACTTTGTATTTTTAATTATTTTATTACGCTTTTAAGCTTATGTTAGTATTGTACCGGTAAACAAATAATAAGTGTATATTGATATACGTTAAAATCTAAAGTTTAGTTCAAAGGTATTTAAAAGTGTATATTATAAAGAGTATCTATAAGTCAGAATATATACTACCTTCTAAATAACCCTCGGTTCGTATCTAAAAGAGATCTATTCCCTAACCGGGATTACCTATACCCCTTGATTTCCCCTTATACCTCTATAGTAAAGGTCTACGGACTAACACCAGTAAAACTTCTTTTAGAAATAAAAAGTTTCTAATAACTATAAAGAAAATAAAAAGAGAATATAGATATAATAATAGGAACTAAAGATATAACAAAGTAATAAATATCTGACTTATATATATTAGTAGCTAGAATGTCTCCGGTTACTATCTGAAAGCACCTCTCCTATTATACAGGGATATAAATAAATCGTAATCTATAACTAAACTATATCTTAGAGTATAAAGAACACGTATAAACTTGTAGAGAATTAAATAATATTATTATTAAGTTAATATAAGGTTCTAGGGAGTCGGAGGGTTAATATTCTGTTTAGTAGTAGTTAATAATACAGAGGTAGAAAACAATAGTAATAGCTAAGCGATAATAGTAAATAATATTATATTATATCTGAATTAGGCCTGAATCGTATATATCTATTTATATAAAAATAACCTCCTCTTTAAAATCTTTTCTTTTCTCTATTAAATAATAATAATAATAATAACTATAAGTTCAGAATCGATAGTATTTACCTTAGAGATTCTCGCTAACTAGGAGATTTCTTTAAAAGATATTAAATAAATCAAGTAATTCAAGAGTAAATATATCTTATCCTAAGAGCTAGCGTAGTAGTAGAGCTCTTTACTAATACTAATTAGTGCTAATTCCCTACTCTCCCGGTGCTCTCCCGGCTACGTTCTGTATATAGTACTATAGATATATTAATCGTTAGAAGAAGAGTGATCTAAAACTATACGAATTCCAGAGTTCCGTAAGCTTGAAATACTAGTATTACACTAAGAATAAAGATAAATACGAACTTATAAGTATCCCTTGATCTAAGGCCCTTCTATAACTCCTCTGATAATAATCTTTTATAACTAACGGAAGTAGATCCTAGTATATACAGCCCTTAAGTATTATACTTTTACTAATACTCTTACTAGTAGAGATATAACTGAACTTCTTAAAGCTAGCACCGCCCTCTAGAATATTATCTCTATTACTAAGGCTAATATACTAAGAGATATACTATTAGCTACAGAGGTTATATTAGCGGAGGTCTATACTATACGTAATAAGATAGCTAGAATTATAGAATAGAATACTATAAGTATTTCCCTTCCTTAATTAACTCCCCTTACCTCTCTCTATAAGGCGTGATCTAACACCCTACGTTATAAGCGATACTTATAGTATTACAGAAATTAGGAACTATATTAAGGAAGTAAAAGGCTCTACTAGATAGTCCGGGTCTATTAAAGCGTCGTATAAGGATAAGTACTCAGAGGAATCCCAGAGGCGATTTAGAGGAGAATTTAGCTAGTAGTCCTAGTAGTTCTAGTTCTAGTAATAAAAGTAGCTTAAGTACTTACTCTTCTAGCTTTACTATAATTAATTAGCCCCCTGAGGTAGGGGAAGGTAGTAATAATACTCCGGCACCTAACCCGACCTCTTTACTTCCTTCTCCTTAAGGGGAGGGAGAAACTACTAATAGTAATCTTAGAGAGAATAGCGTGTAAAGATAGGGGGTTTCCGGCCCTGTTTCGGATTAGTTTCGTAGTTAGTTCTTTATAGTAGTATTTTCTTTATACTTTTACATAGGAGTAACTCTCTATAGCGAAACCGGCAATTAGTCCCTATTAGGGTATTATTATAAGGCCGCCTATTAGTACTTTAAATTAAAGGGTAATTATCTTAAAATAAAAGTTGTTCCTATTGCGATATCTTACTTAATTATAAAGAAATAAACAAGTGATAAAAGAGAGTTATAAGGAAATTAATATAAGAAAAATAAGTAAACGCGTTAGAACGCCTCTACTACAGGTCCGAATCGACCCTGTCTAATCTCTCCACCTATCTCTCTACTTTTACCGTTAACTAGTTAGTATTAATAAACTCTTAAAGAGCTTTATTTAAACTAGCCTTCGTTATAGCGTTAGTAGGGTTACTTACTCTATCGATCTATTGTATCTCTGTTAGTTTCTTACGCTCGTATAATTAATGAATTACTATAATATTAATTATTAAACGTTTCTCCTTTGTAGTACCGAGTTTAATAATATATTTGTAAAGAGACAGAGAATTAGTATAAACTATAGTAGGAAGCCTTAGGAGGCCTAGCTTATTAGTTACTATATTAACTGTAGTTACTAGAGATATTAATATATTAATCCCTACTACTATAGCATATAATTCCGAAGCGAGTATAGCTTAAGTAACTCTCTTATACTTTATAGAACTTATATATATCAGGTTATTAGAAAGAGAGAACCCCTGAAACTCCTTCGATTTAGTTCCGATTACTAGTACGAAACTAATCTAAGAGCTAAGGTCTTTATTATTCGCAAAAGATCTATTAATAAAGGCGTAGATCTTTATAGAACTTAGGTTTATAAGAATATACTATAGACTTCTCCCTAGGTTCTTTATCTGCTACTTAAGACGTAGATTTAGAGCCTTAATATTATTAAGTATTAAGTCCTAGTACTATACTACTACTAATAGGTTAAATATAGCTTCTAGCTAATAGATCGTCGTAAAGTAGGCTCCGCGAGCTCGTTACTCTACGTAAGCCTTCTTATAATCTCCCTTAGTAATATTAACTTACTTAAGCCTTACACCTTAACTCTTCTAAGATATATAAAAGCTACCCTCTTCTATACGGATAATACACCTATTAAATATTAGCGATTTAGATTAGTTTAGGACTTATATCAGCTTAGTTATAAATCCGGCTTAATTAATCGCTTCTTATTCCCTTACTAGAAATATCTTATCTCCTAAAATAAGAGTATTATCTATTTATATTCCTACGATTCTGAACTTATTAGTTCCTTTAGTACTTATTAAAAGGCACAGGTCGTAGGTTAATATCTCTATTTAAAGGCTCCTTATATAATACTTATAATATATATTAAACTAGTAGTTTCTAGACTTAGGTATACTATATAATAGAAGTACTACTATGAATATTATTCTAGGTGGAAACTCGTTAGTAATCTCTTCTAGTGGCTATGTAAATATCTCACGAAGAAGCTTTATTACCGCCTAGGTATAAGCTTAAGTAATATCCTGTATTACTAGCTTCGATTCGAGGTTATTCCGGATATATTCCGGATAGCTGAGTGCTACAGCTAAGTATATAATAAGTCTTTAACTAATCTATTAGATCGTTAGCGATTAAGTTAAAATCTCTTATTTACTCTTATTATTAAAGTATTAAATAATAAGCCTAGATTTCTTATATAAGCTTACTATCTCTTTACTCTTATACTGGCTTCGCTGAAGGTAATTGTCGGCTACTGCTGTGGCCTGGACTGGTTGGTTCGGAGCTTCAATGCGGGGTATGCGACTATTCTGCCCAGCGGTGAGACAAATATTTTAGGGGAATGTAATGAGCGGGGCAAAGAAAGTCCCAATCTTTTGAACGGTACTTTGATCCGTTATTGCGTTGTATTTGGTCTGGTCTGAGATGGCTTTGCATTCCAGTTCGTTTTCAGATAAGGATGTACTTGAAATATTTGATGGTGGTGTCGTCGCTGCAAGACTTATGCATGACGCATCTGATCCCTAGCTTATGTAGCCGTTATGCTCGGCTGATGGCTGACAGGACAAGTTCGCAACTCTAGGGTGACAACCACCGGCTTGATTTTCTGGTTCAGGAGGCAAGATGCGATGGAGGGGAGGGAGGATGGAAAAGGTAGTTGTACTGTGCTCGTGCCGAGAATGGATATCATCATTATCTTTTCTCTTATCAAACTTGAAGGGGAGGAAGGAAAGGTTTGCATGTCTCGTGTGCTGCAGCTTTGAAAACTGAAAGTGTTGCGCAAGTGAAAGTGTGAACTGAAAGACTCTACTACTACTGCGCAACATTCTGTACACGAAGATAGAAACGCAGACAGGGCACGAGTCAGGAGGCTCAACCCAAATTCCGTCTGAGCTCAAATTGACTTTTTGACGATCCGGATTCCGTTTGCGTCTTGTTGGGTGTGTGGAGGATGCTTGGCGAGGTAAGCAGATGCAGAAGAGATGCAGATAACGGATCTCTCTTTGGTATGCATCGCATTGTTTTCCATCCATTGCGTTTGATTTACACGTGTTGTGTTTGCGAATAAGATTCGTAAAGCTTGAGACTGTGTCGCTACCAAGACGACGAGGTTGATAGCAAACCTTCATCAAACTCGTAATGTCGTTGCCTCCAACAACAACAACACCACGCCCACCATCACCACCAAGATCTGCCGACTCATCACATCTAGCAGCGGGGAAGATTGATAGTGGATCCGATTTACTTCTTCCGTAATAGCACGGCACTTGTGACATTTACGGCAAAGCTTTGAAAAGTGAAGGAAAAATATGAAAAAACCGTGTCGGCCGAACGCAATAAATTTGTTCGGTGAGCAGGGGGGCTGTAGGGGTCAAGCAGGCGTATCCCAGACTTGAAAGCTTGGGTGGAGCAGAAAAACACATGGGAAGTATGAGACTAGCCATTAATGGGGAATAGTTTCCCCGATGTGACGAGGGATGTGGGCCCGGAGGCCAAGTTTCGGGAGAAGTGGACTTTTTTGTTTTCAGAGAGACTAAGAGAGGAGGCTAAGGGGGTGAACTACGCGATGGTGTTGAAGCTTGACGTTATCCATTTGCTGGGAATGGAGAGGCAACACGAGGACATGATTTGGGAGCGGGAGGAAATGAGTGACCTCAGTAGTTAAATTTACTAAACTCCGAAAGGCGAAAGGAAGGAGAGTATTGTCGCCGTCGCTTTGAATAGATGACAATTATCTGCAAGATGCAAGATCTGATGATCATGAAGGACGATGACTTCAGGGTGGAGATTTGGTTCTGGAGATGCGCATTTGGATATCCCTTTTTTGATAGCCTTCCCGAAAGATGACGGAAGTACCAAGTACCGTTGTGCCTCCTCGTGCCCCGTGCAGCTGCGTCGCCAACATCGAACCAACCAACAAATGAGCTGTTGAAGATATCTTCTTTGGCCTTTGAACATACTCATACATGCATAGTTTAATATATGACCCCTTGAACTTTATCGTATGCCATCGCAAGATGCCTCTTTCTAGAATTCGCTTGTTTTGTTTCCTTTGAACTCTCGCTCGGTAAAATTTACCAGTCGGGGAGCCGGACACATTACTCGTGGCTGGTTGCCTTTTACACTCACTCATTTTGAGTTCAGCGCCTGTCGTGAAATCAGCTGTCGTATTTTTGGGCTTCTAATCTTGAGAAAGAGAAGAAGAGCTTGAGCTCTTAATCAACTATTCATTACTCGTTTCTCTCCCCATTTCTGGCTTGATACTTTTTCGGACCACTCTCTGGCGTCACTTCATCACATCTCAGCTTCCTCCCTCCAAAATAGCTTCTTTCCACCCCCCTTACGCATGCAGTCGTCCATCCCTCAGCTCCTAGCCAATCAGATATATGAGTCTTGGTCGCTAGGACCTGACGTTTTCTGATCCTTGGGTTGCTTAGATGCGATACACACTTTCTCAAATCTGTGTTCGCTCAAGAGATGGATAGGTGATGCTGTGTGTCCATGAGACTCAGATAAATATAACATGTCGTCTATCAATTTCATTGCCTAGGGAACGTATCTTTAACCAGAACAACACAGACGGCTTCCCACGTCGCCCCATTAGAATATGGGGCAAGATTTCATGGCATGACATCCTCTTCCTCAAGATCCGAAGTTCACAGACGTTGCTCCACCCCATAAGACTGAGGAACCTTGACTGCAGGGCCCTAACGGCAGAATGCCTTCGGTTCCAGCAAATCCAGTGTTCCTCACCCCTGCAGTACTCTCTGCCATGGCGCTCTCAGGCCCGCCAGGCACTTGTCCGGCCCCCCTAGAGCCTGCTAAAAGCCAACTAATGGTTCCCTTTTGAGACTCTGGTCAGCAAGCTGTCCGCTAAAATAATTTATTTTGCGCCCCCGTCGACTTGTCATCCCTTCCCCTTGCTCTTGACTCGCTGGTCGCACCCCCATTCGCCGCCATACAACCTTCAACGCCTTGAAACTCGCCCTCGGACCTCACATAGAACTGCCCATTCATCCCTCCATCAGCAACTGATGAACTGCTTGCTACCATCACAACTCACGCACTTCTCGCTTTCATCTGCCCACCAGGAATATCGCCATCATCCTCGATTTCGAGTATATTGCCCCAGATATCTGTCGTGCAGGCAACGACTTTTCTGCCCGTCCAGCCATCCAATCCTTCCCTTCCTGTAGCAGATAAACAGGATCCCGTATCGCCGTCACGACCGGCTGCTCTCCGCCTATTCGTCTTGTATCACAATCGCAGAGAACGGCATTCCTGTCTGCCTGCGAGACCACACCCTACCGAGCCTACCATACCACATCATAGCAACCATACCCATACCCAGCTCCTGAAATAGCGGTGTTGTGGTGCATTGCAGCTGCATTTGCATCAACCTTGCATCCCTTACCGCCTCCAAACGCCCGCCCCGTTTGCTCCCAGGTCTAGTCAACCACCCGAACTTCGACCATTCGACCATCCATCACTCAGTCACTTACAGGAGAAGAAAAGAAATCTGCGGGCTTCTCCCTCCTCTTCACTCACCTACTCACATCACATCACATCATATCGCTCACATCGCTTTTTCAGTGCATCAGCATCCTGGACATTAATTGCCCCAGCCCTGTATCACTACCACGCCGCCTGCATCCATTCCGACGCAGCCCCTGTGATCCAATAGACGCAGCCTCCAGGAATTACCCCGTCGCTCCCTTACGCTACAAACGATCACCGTGCAGGAACACAAACAAACCGTCGTCCACTGCACCACCTCCTGCCTACCTACCTACCTACCTACCTACCTACCTACCAACCTCTACTTTGTCGCAAACAAACGCATCCTCCCGAGCAACACACGATATTCCCAAGTCTCTTGTCGCAACACCATCAACTTATAATACACTATGACTTCCGATCAGAAAACAAACATGCCATACAATACTCGAAGAAAGTCGCTCTCGTTGCCTTCTCTAGGCATACATCTTCCAGTAACTCATGCTTCCAGAGCGGCCGCCCGCGTCTCACCGCCTTCTGCCGGCCCAAATTCTGAGAATCCTCCCTCAAAAAAATTAAAGAGGTCGCATGAGGAGTCGCCGTCCATGTCGCCTCCTCCCAAACGAGCGCCGTTGAAGTACGAAAATACTCCACCGCCGTCGCCAGAAGCCGAGACAGACGACTTGGATGAGGTCAAGCCAAGAGAGATTGATTTGGAAGGAATCAACGACGAGATTGTTGAAGGGGTTATTGTTCTGCTGCAGAAGACTGGTAATAGGCCTCATCTAGTGAAGGAACTTGCTGCGATACTTTCGCAGAGCGTCAAAATCGTCGAACAGTATGTCTCTCCTTTCGAAGTCAAGACCTAGAGCTAACTGTAGCAGATCTGCGAACCCTTCTGCGATCATATCTTCCCGACTTTCCTCATACTTGAAGCGACCATGGACAGCACTTGCGCCTTGCCCCGTGGCAAAAGAACTAGAAACCGTACATCCCCGAAGAACCTATTTTTACCTGACGACATATCCCCATCAACCTATTCCTGACACATCGACCGTACACTTCCCGTCAAGAGCAATCATTTCGCCGTCCATATCAAGCGCAGCTTCCAGATCCGACGAAGCTGATGCAGAACGAAGAAGAGAGCTCTCGCCATCCCCTGAAGTGGACCTCTCATCCCCTGAATTCGAAGACGATGATATGTCGACGCCACCAACACCTACAGGCTCTTTCTCAGGCCGACCAACCGAAGCACCGCGGAATCACCGTGCGTCGTCGCCACCTTTAGAGAAAGATGAGAAGGAATTCACACAAACGGCTAGAGGGATGCAGAAGCGAAAGTTGAGCGCGGACATACAGATGAGTGGAGTTCCATCGGAAATGACGGACCACCCGACGAAAAGCCTGGAAGCCGACTCCCTGTTCGGCGAAGCTCGGAATTTGAACGTCTTGAATTCCTCGGTCTTCACGAGCAGTCCTGCCATGAAGCCGACAATGACTGCATTGTCTTTCAGCATGATGAAGCGCCCCTTCGAGGACTCGCACGAGGTCTGGACCGAGGCCTCAACCGAGTGGGATATGCGCAGTCCTGAGAATGTTGAATTGGAGGAATTGGACGGCATGTTTGACGACTTCTGATTTTGCGACGACACGAGACGAGTGACGAGACGTCCTGAGAGTTTTCGATTCGCTGTACATGCATTTTACCTCTACTCATTCCTGCGCCTCTGCGCAGTCTTTCACCATTTCACGGCCATCACCTTTCGTGTCTTTCCCGTTGAGGAGACAGCGGGCTTGTTCGGTTGAGCTTTGAAAATTGTACGATCTAGACGAGAAGAAGTTGAGAGGAAATGAAGAGATGGAAACGGAAGATCAAAAGTTCAACTTCAAAGAAAAGTAAAGACGGAAAGGCAAAAGTAGATGGATACGCAGATATCTCCATTTCCTCGTATCTTACTTGCGATTTCTTTTCTTTTAGCATACCTATCCATTTGGTAGGCTAGCTTGTGGGCCAGGCGTTTATGGAGCGAGTTTTGACTTGTTTGGAACCAATTTTTGATTGGTGAGCTTGTACGATGTATATATACGAAGAGCGATGGATGATCATGCAAGGCGGGCATGAGCATGAAAGGGAGTGAGAACGAGAGGAGTCGGCAACTGGCGCATAGCGGGCGTGTGAGTTTTGGAGACGAGACTCTACTCGATAAGAGATACCCGAGAAATAAATGGAACACATCTCCACGTCTTTTCTTCTTCTTGTTGTCTGCACTGCTTTTTGATTTCGCACGCGTGTTTCTGACGATCTGGGGACAGTTCCTACTTGTTTGTATCTGAGGCTCTTTACTATTATTGTACGTGTCGCTGCTGATCTTGATATCTGCTAGACGCCTGAAGAAGGTCATAAGAAGGTCGACACCACTTGGGATACTGGTAAACATTCTCTTGCCGGCTCTTCCGAGCACTAATCTTATGATGGCGTACTGTACTCGATTCATTTTTGCCTCCTTGAACCAAGCGGCGGGTGGTGGCAATACGCGCATCACAGCACGTGACCACGAATCACAGAAGTTGCAAGACCTGAACGAGCTCGAAATGTAAGGTGAAGAGGAGGTCTTGAGCTCCACTTGGCGGCTTGAATGCTGATCTGTTTTCGCGTTGATTGAGGATGTGAAGATTGGCTGGGATTTGATGAGTTGAATTGATTTGAGCTATGGCGCGTCACGTATGTGTAAGTAGAGTGCTTGAAGTGACTGCTGCGCACTGGGGTGGGAGGAGGCGTCGCGCTGTCATTCTTGAGCGCTCTTGTAATAGATGCTGATGTTGTTGTCGATTTCGTTTCGGTGTCGATTGTTGATTGTCGATGCTGTGGCTTACTGTGAGTCGTGGGCGCGATCGCCTCTTGAGAATGTTATGTCAGGATAGATGAGTTCATTTTCCTTGAGATGCGCCAGGCTGGGTGATGAGTGATATTTTGGGGGAAGAAATGATAGTTTCGTAGAAAACAGAATTGTTTAGCTCTTGCCCATGGTCTGAGGTACTGGCCTGGTTTCTTCATCAACGAACCTTTCAGGAAGGAGCCTGAGTGGCTTTTAAGTTTGGTGTGAAGGGGAATAGATTATTGGCTCTTGCCCGATACAGAAAATGTGGAGAAGATTTGAGATCGAAGGGAGGTTGTTGGTCGCTGATGACCAGTTAAGCCGAGCTTCTTCTGAGCAATAATAATGAATTGTCAAGAATTTCCTACCTTTTGAAAGTCCGGTGAGGTGAAGTAGCTAGTAAGAGAGTCTTTCGTCTATAGAGTCTGTTTGACAGGAACAACATGAAATCAGGCTAATACTTTGGTCAATTGTCTAATGATTGGGAGCCTGTTGGAAACTGCACAGATGGGCTTAAAGTGGAAGTGAGATCACTGCTTTCTCATGCCTGCCCATCGCGTATAAAGTGTGTTCCCTCCAACCCAGATTCTTTGCATGTGGGTAAACTGGGTGGACAAGGATTGTTGTTTTGTTTTCTTGTTACCAAAGCATTGCCATTGCCATGCTTCTAGTGACTGTCAAATCTCCAGGTCTCAACGCTGACACCCAGATCCGCAGTTCGTCTACATGCGCACAGGAGCCTAAGGCGGGCTTCCCACCACTTGCTTAGCTGGACAAACTCAGACAGTGAAGAGTAGGAATTTCCTCGGGCTTATTTATCTCATCAAAGCGTTCAAGCCTTTTGCGAAAAGCATTGCGACACGGCAGAAGTCTCTTACTACTAGCGTTCCTCGCTTGCATGAAGCGAAGTAAACAGCGCTAATCGGCGGCACGAAATCGATCGGTGGCAGAGCAGCGAGGCACGAAATTACTATAAATCAGGTCTACACTTTCCAAATGCATCTCGATACCTGGGCGTTTGGTTGTATTGAACAGCAATCCTTTCCCGAAGACTGATCTTAAGTATCGCCTGGATGATCTTCAATAGACAGCGTGAACACCTTCCCTGGTGAGTTTGACCCTTGCTTCCCTCTTTTCCGAATGGCAACTGATAGGACTTTCTTTCCGTCCGAATAAAAGCCACTTCGATCGGTCTGGTTGAGGTATCTGTGACTCTTCCATATCGCCTTAGCGTTCCGTTCTTTTTCATCCGCAACAATGTCACACCATGCCTCACCGTCGAAAAGACCCAGAACAACAGTGAATATTCCTTCGCTAAGCCCCAAGGTATACTTTAGAGAGATAGCAGCCAAGATTGCCTTTCTTCTCCGTCCTTTAGCCTTTACAGCACCATCGGCTTCGAAAGTTGGCCATGCATCCACAAATTTTACCGTCCCTTTCGAATTGATGACGAATGAAATGTGACAGTCGACGTAGGGACTCTCTTGCACCGAAGGAGTTTCTGTTTGGTTCCTCGTGATGTATATCACCCTTGTCTCTGCCAGTGCAACCTCGGCTGGTGATACAGAGACAATTTCTCTTGTGCGGCACCTCGATCCCTTCAGACCCCTCTCCTCACTATCCTCATTCTCAGTAAGTCTCAAAATGATGCCAAGTCGATCCAAGTCCCTAGAACTGCTGCAGCAGTTCAACACACCGTAATATTCGTGAAATCCAGGTGTTGTTGCGACATCTTCATCATCATTATCGTCATCGCCGGACTCTACAGTGGCCTGATTTGGGGAGACCCGGAGCAGAGGTAATTGGATTCGAAGTCCCAAGTTCGTAATCTGGTACGCAGCGCTACTCGCATTGTTATTTGAGCATCTGTAATGGCCAGAATTTAAGAAGTCTGCTGGCGAGTCTGCAAGAAGTCCTTGTCCTGTCCAATGTCTCAAAGACCGCGTCGATAATCTCCAGGCGAACAGTGAACTGGCGTAACTCGCAAGTCAGTGGGACATCCAATCAATAAATTTGCTACAAAGGGATGAGAAATTGATTCCAAGAGAGGCATGAGAAGTCTGCGACAATTGATAGAGCTAAATTGTTGCTATGATTGGAAGGCTTGGGTCTCAAAGGACACTTACTGGTCATCCGATACCTTCATGATTTCCTCTTGCAATCTCTCAAATGCTCGTTTACCTTCTCCATAGACCATTGGCATATGCACATTGAAAATACCCATCAAAGAATATGCCTGGTCTTCTACCCTCTTCGTCTGCCTCCTTGAAGCCCAGGACATCCGTGTAGCGATGCTTATATCTTTGAAGTCGCCTGTTTTGAGCACATCATGCGGTATTCCTGTGATCTGTGCAATTGTTGTTCGTAGTGATGATTTTGTACCAATTTCGCCCCACTCACTGCCCTCCTCATTTTTGCCATAAAACTCGACGGTTCGAGGGGCAAGGAGCTCTTGAAGTGTCCACCCTCGGGTGAACCATAGGCTTGCCTTGAAGGCTGTAGGGCTCTTGGTTGGATCTCCGTTGCTCGGAACGTCACTCAAGAATGCAAAGCACACCTCGGCATTCTTGTACCAACGATACATGGAATTAATGGCCTCTTGCAGCTCTGAACTGCTGTTCTTGTCGATGCAGCATGTGTCAATCCAGACATATTGAAAATCTCGACTTGCGGCTAGCTTGCAGCAATTATCCACTTTCTCAAAGCCAGGGAGTCGGAGGAGATCTTTTGCAGCTGAACTTTTGAAATCCTCAAACAATAGTTCTTTTTCATCCCAGGTGTGTGATAGTATAGCGTATTCTGGAATATCATTATAGAATTCTTGCAATTCACGGGTACTGGTGTGGATGAGACGCATGGTTGGCAAGGCTGGACTTGGTCAATTCGACGATTCTGATAATCGTAACGTTGGCCAAATGAATATGAACAGACTTGGTTCAGGCCGCCAAGTGGAGAAATTATCAAGTTTGGAAAACCCGTCAGATGCTGCTGAGTGACTAAAAGATCGAAAGGGATATTGTCCAGACACCAAACGCGCAGAATATCGGTTGGGCACTCATGCAGGATGACATGGCCAGGGGCGGTACATGCTCTGGTACTGGCTATGGAGCCAATGGTATCGTGAAGTCGCAAGTCACCAAGGCGCCCATCGGTCTGACGTTGGGGCATCTTACATCCTCAATCTGTTCTTTCAGGGGCACTGGAAGAAGATCCTGAAGACTGTCACAACTCGAGATACCTCAATAATTGTACTTTATTCTATGATTTGGACTCTACTAGTCCATGTTGTTATCAACAATGGGTGACAGCCATCCTGCAGCCTTTCAATTAACAGGCTTGCATCTATGAGTATATCTATTCAAGACCTTTTTCGGATCAAACAGGTATTAAAACTCCTACTTCCTCTACGCTCCTCGTTACTTGAGCCTACATTTTTCTCTGCCTGCTTCCACCTTCAGCATTCAAAGCATCTTGAAGTATGTCAGGCATCCCTTGCCAGAACTTTACAACATTCCCGTTGAGCTACTAGTACTCTAAATTCAAGCATTGAGCCTTCGATCTTGATCTCAATTTTACATGAAATCAAGTTGATGGATTTTTCATCCAAACTAGCTGTGCTTCGAAGCACATTGGGCGGGATATCAGTCAGATTAAGGTTCAGTAGACACACCTGCTCCATCGCCTCATTCTCTCTGGTCGGTAGATCGCACTCATTCCATGCAAATATCTTCAATTCAAGTGACCTTTTAGGTCCATCAATGAGCATTTGAGGGATCTTGAACTCAACAGTCTTCGGTTTTGAGCTCTGTAGATGGTCGCCTTTCGATAGTATCCACGCCATGCATCCTGCGTTAATGTCAACCACAGCTGCATACCAAGGGTCTCTAAAGTAGAGCTTTTTTTCAAAGAGTTCGGGGGCACGTACCTTTCACAAAGCGATCTCCCGCCTTATCAATCCGGAAAATATCCTCATCGGGAAGTGTTGCATGTTTCGATTCATCGAAAGGTTGTGGTAAACTTGCCCCATAATGCCGACGACACAACCGAAGTTGGACAAGAGAATTTCCCAATGGATCAAGTTTTTCCATAACTGCTCCTCGTACGACTGCTGACCAGCTTCCATTTTCTTAGTGTTTGGTAGAGGACATTCAAGGTAATTGGCTTACGGGTTGCTTGGCCGAATAACCTCGATTCTCTTGCTCAAGTACTTTTCCTTGATTCTCCTCAGCAAATACATCGATTTTCCGAATCCTCCAACAACCAATATATACTATGAAACGACTCAGAAGTCAGAATAATTCTAATTCTTGCGAGTTCCGGGGAATACAGGACAACCTGTGTAACAAACCTTAACGGCGGCATTTTGGGTAGAAACCGCATTAATTTGACTGTCGATCAGAGTCAACACTTCATTGACACATGGATCGAAGATTTGCCGCATATCCTCCCTGAATACCTATATTAGCTAGATCATGGTAGACACAGGGTAACTTGGTATCCACTTACGGATCTAGACGCATCTCTCCGTCTTCAATGTCCAAAGACGCGTCATCCTCACGTCCAATTTCTGGTGGCATCTGCACATAAGCCATGATATTGTCGTCTTCGAATGACATCTTCGCATCCTCGAATGTCCTCATCATTCTGCTTCCGGGCCTGAGCCACTCTTTCCTGATCATACCGAACTTTTCCTGGCCTAATTTTCTACGCAGCCACGACCTGAATTCTCGATCAATGAATATAGCTCCACACTTCGCCCCTACTCGCTAGTTAACGACAGCAGCGTCGGGGAGGGCAATCTACTCACCAGTCCCCACGACAGCCTCTTTTATCACAAAAGCAGGTGGTGCCGAATCGACCCGATATGTAATAAGGTCCTGGATTCATAATCAGTCGGTTTCCAGTGTCGTTCCTGATCTATTAATACCTACAACAGTACCGCCACCTGCATCACAAACCACGAAATGATCACCACTCTTTCGTATAATAGTTAGCCCCTGGTGATAATCTTAAAAGCACTTTGTATACCTTGATGTTAGTAAAAGGGCCATCCTCCAAGTCCCTCATTGCATATATAGCCGCTGCTTCCGGTTCGGTAATCATAGATATTTTCGTACTTTCAGTATTGAAACCAGCATTGCAGACTGCTTTATACGTCTGAGTTTTGGCTTTATCTGACCACACGGCCGGAACTGTGATGACTACTTCTCTCCTAAGGTCGTGCAGCATACTACCAAATCGGATCTCGAGGGCAGTCTCCAAGTGCATCCTGACTTCTCTCAGGAAATCCGAAACAATTTCAAGCGGTTCTTTGACAGCCTCGCTTTGGGAGTTTTCATTTGAAGCCGTACTTTTTTCCATCTCGAGGTCCCGCATCAGCACCGATCGCTTCTCCTTCTCGGTTTCATCCAAAAGAAGCTTCGTCCAGGCTATTCGCTGACTTTTTGGTTGTATTTTGTTTCCCCACTCCAAAAATCCATTGGAGTAGGCAACTTCGCTGGGAACTTTCTGGTTGCTTGTATTCCTTGGCTGTCCGGGCCAGTCATCGATGCACTGAATGTTTGGACGTGTTCGTTTACGAAGCCCATTGCTGTGGCCGTATGCAACACCTAGATTGTGCAATCTTTCTCAGTCATCGGAGTCTCCACACTCAGCAGTAAGAGCTCACGAACCAGTATAGGTTGTGCCATAGTCAATAGCTATCACAAGAACCTCACTTGACTCCTCAGCCATTGGTCAATAGCGCCAGAGGCCACTTCACTTTTGAGAAGTTGATTGTCGGAAAAAGTGATGGTCTGGTACGACGACCTCTACAAGTTGATCATGGATAGCTGGACTAAAACCTAGAGCAAATCTCACGCTGAAGTTTCTGCCCTGTCCCGACTTCCGAATGATCTCTAGAATGTGTAACCTGCAGTCTTCACCACTGTGCTGCCTGCAGCCTCGTTCAGATCTGCAATACTGCCCAACTTTGCAAATATTGATGGCTGATTGGTAGCGGCTGCATAATCTTCAGGTGGAATAATCCGGTGACACCTTTTGGCGTACGTGCAGCTGCTTGACTGGTCTCCGATGATGTGGCAGCTCAGAGGTTGCATATAACACGAGCCAATCCCAACATGGTGGCTTTGCCGGGCACACACATCATTCTTACTGCCTCACCTCCCAACACGAGATCGGTGATTGTCCCCAACATAGAATGCCTTTCGCTCGAGTACTGCAGAAATGTAGTTGAAATTTGAAGATAACGCGACATCCGTAGTTTCAAAATGAATACACCTTCGAGAGGAGATTGGGATCAGTTTCGTGGTGGTCAAAATATGTTCCCTGATGAAGAGAACGAAGATGAGGACCCGGAGGAGCAAGAAGAGGACTTGGATCACGAAGAGGAAGAAGCTGCCTCCGCTGCCGATCCGTATCATTATACAAAGTATGCTCCAAGCAGAACGACAGACGAATACACATACGGCGAAGATGATCGGCCGGGAGTGTATGTAGCGGACAATATGAATCGTCAGTCATCGGTGTCTCATACTTTTCAAGGCAAGTTCATCGTCTCTTTCAAGTGGCAAGGGCCAAAGGCACCCAATTTATCAGAGCACGCCGATACCACCGAGAAAAGCATTTCAAGATTATGAGAATGATCTCCGTTCTTAACCTGGTTGCAATACTGGCGATGGACATCCACATGCCAAATTTGCTGCAAAACTCCGGTCAAAGATATTGAAGGTCCTAGGCAGACCAGCATGAGCTGAGGCTAATTTGATGTCAGGCTCACAAAAAGCAGTCTCTCCAACCATCATAGGCTCGGGAGCTCCACATAAACAGAAATATCGACCTTCCACAGGGAGGAGCAGCTCAGATTCTCAAAGCAAGCCAAAATCATTGTCACCTCCAGTATCAGTGAGCGTACAGGCTGCAAAAAGCGACAGTCGAGCTGAGGAAATTCTTAGGGGCGAGAACGAACTTTTGAAGGCCCAATTGCGAAATACTCAAAGAGAGAGGTTGAGCGCATTGGACGACTTCCAGCCATGCAGTGATTCAGATCTGAAAGAGGCATTTTCGAGGCTGCAACGTCAAGTCTCATCGCTCTCTAGACAGCTCAGAAGTAGTCTGTCAAAGTCCAAAGATATATCTACTGTTCTCAGTGGTTATATGATGAGTTTATGCCCTACCACAACCATCCCGTTAAAGTACATTTTCGAGAGCTTTCTCTGGCGGCAGGTTTACATCGAATGTTTTCAAACGCCATTCGCTCTGTTGGGCCCTGACTCTACTATGATATACCAAGTCTGGTGTTTAGTTTTCAGTCATGGTAAGAACTTATTTTAAATCATGTTCTGCAAGAGCTAACAGAATTATAGGTCTCGGGACCTTTCCTCAACCGACTGAGGCTTCGGAAAGATGGAGAAGCATCACCACAATAGAGATGCTTAGCGAGATCACACATTCAAGGAAGGATGAGATCGTGAAGGAGATGACTGCATCTTTCCTGTCAAGATTTGCTTCTCGAGACCCTCAACTTCATTCGGCGTTGGCGAAAGGAGACCACCTAGAGAAGTTGATCGACAAGGGCTGGGATGCTGCTGCCATGTTTGCCCAGCAACGATGTCGGCTCAGTTTGACGCCCCCAGTCACAATTGAGCATCTGAGCTCCAGCTGGGTGGAGGTGGTTGAAGATATCCAACACAACGAACGCGATGTCTTTGGCGTTTCTCCCTCGCTTCTCAAATATGGGAGTGGCCATGGCCAGAATTTTGATACGTGGCTGTGTCTAATTAAATCAAAGGCTCTTAGAATCGGCGAGCCATGATAGACGAACGATAAACAATAAACAAGGAGATTTGCCAAATGATCCCCATCTGGGGTCACTCTGTTGAAGATGCTCGGCTCGACTTGACAATCGAAACTGAACGCCAAAGCTCATTTTCAGGGGCTCGCTTAAATTCTCATTATGTTTGCTCTCTAGGTCCAACCATCACTCTCCCAGATTTATTATACCAAAGAAGAGACTCTAAACACTGCAGTGTCTAGTCCCATACTCAACTCGTAATCAACACTCTAACACCTTGACTCCCTTCCTTCACAAGCGGGAAGAAACCATCTCCAACCATCTCCACATCCCCTTTATCAGTCCCCACTAATCTCATTACGCCCCTGTCCCCTTTGTCCCCCACCCCACCAATCCTCCCAAACACTCCCGCAAACCCCAAATACAACTCCGCCCACGCCAGCGTAATCCCTAAACACGCTCTACTGCCCCCTGAAAAAGCTGTCATATACCTATCCAGCCCTTTATCAGCACCTAGCCATCTCTCCGGCTTGAACTCTTTCGAGTCAGGGAAGATGTTTTCATCTTGATGAATGAGTACGGTGGACATGGAGACGGCTGTACCGGCTGGGATAACCCAATCATGAAAGTGCATTGGTTTTTCGGGGTCGATACGTGGGAGGCGGAGGGAGACGCCGTAGGACAGGCGGAGGGATTCTTTGACCACGCCTGTGAGGAAAGGGAGTTTCTCTAATTGAGTCAGGATCGAGTTTAGGGTTTCGCCTTCGCGCTTGACTGTTGAGAGTTCCGCTCTCAGGGTGGACAAGATTTGTGGGTTGGAGAGGATGTGGAATGAGCCAACGGTAAGTGTCCAAGCCACGGTGTGGCTTCCTGCGCCAACGAGGGTGATTCCTTCTTCGGTGAGGCGGGTTGTGGTTTTCTCACTTGGTGGGAGATCGCTTTCTAGCAGGGTGTGGAAAATTGTTGCGGAGGTGGTTGGGTCAGGTTTTGATCCGTAGCCACGAACATTTTCAATTAAACCTGAGAGAATCTGACGCATCGTGTTGTCAGTTTCCCACAACGATTGGAAGAACGGGTTTACCCGGACGGTTGGGCAAACGTACCTTCTTCATCTTCTTCTGATCAGCTAGAGCTCCAACATGATCGGTGACGATTTCGGGCAGGTTGTTTACGATGAACGGAATGAATGGGAAGTGTTTGATGACAACAAGTGCACCAGCTGAGCCAAGGATCTTGTGATGATAGGAGGGGTCGAAATCGTCTGCTTCAAGGCGATGTTCGCTGGTGCCGAATAGGTATTGCGAGATTACGTCTAAAATATTGATCAATCAGCCAGGTTGGCAGATCAGATTTGGATGAAGGGGGTTTACCATTGGAAAATGCGGAAAATGCATGTAGCAGATTGACAACCTTGCCAGTATCCTTCAATTCCTCAAGTTTCGCAACAAGAACATCAATTCTCTCTTGGAGGAGAGGTAATAATCTTCGAGCGCTCTGCTGGGAGAAGAATGGGTTCAAAGCCGCTCTTCGTTTTCGATGGAGGTCGTGTGCGGGGCTTGTCAGAACACTACCAGGGAGGGTCATGAATGCTGGAAATGCACAGTGGTTAGCAAAGTGCTTTGAGCCTTCGTAACAGATCTGAAGACAACTTGTAACAAGGCGGAGGGGTTCGAAGCACACACCAGTATGGTAAGGATCTCGTTCCCGTTTTTGCGAACCGCCTGCATAGATAGTGTGGTAGAAATCCGGATCCGAGACATGTAATTCGTGTGGATTGATTCGTATGATCGGTCCATATTGATCATGAAGCTCCTTAATCTTGTAGACAAACTGTCCTCGTTGGATGAGATCGTAGTAAAACTCGTACCTGTCCAGGTTAGAAAGGAATTCACGTAAGAAAAGGAGGGGGCCTCGAAGAGGGCTGACTCACCAGTATGTCAAAGCAGCGAGTTTTGGTCCCGGGAAATGAGATATGGGACTGAAGTATAATCGCCAAATTCCTAAAGCAACAAAATAGAACACGGCAAATATAGACAGGAATCCGAATACCGTGGAGAGGCTCTGCAGAAATGATGTAGCCATAGTCTAAAACAATCAGCCGAAAATCAAAAACACGAAGAATACAAAAGTGAAATGCAGGACTAGATTTAGAAATTTTGAGAGAAGAATTGCATATCTATCTATATATAGAAGAAGTCCTCAGCATTCATTGCCTCTCGCTGTCGCGTTGCGCAATTTACTTACTGCTGACACCTCACCACCCCCTTTCAGGAACCCTGCCTCGTACAATGGACCAATATTTTAAGCCAAAGATAACTGTAAGGAGCTCCAAGACTAAGATCTTTCGGTATCTATAGACTAAATTAGACTGGTATCATAAGAGATGCGAGGTATGGAGTCAGTCAGTGGCGCATACACGTCAACCCGTTGTTTGGCAAGGGAGAAGCGAGAAGTGCTGGGTAAATTTGTTGGTGAACGGGCCAATCACATACCATGTATAGCATTTCTGACCAATGAGAAGCGTGCCTTGTAACCTTATTACCGAAAGCAAGCTTCGGCTGTCCCCTTGTTGACTTCCTGGTTCTTTTTCGAAGCCGTGCCAGGTCTGAGTACCCAGAAGGAAAACTCGTGTTGATAAGTGACCATGCCGTAAGATAGACATTACCCTGCCCAGGTATCTGGGCGCTATCTGATTTGATACTCACGTGACTGTCAATAGCGACTTCACTGCTACTTACGTTCACCAATTGTCACCTACCAATTATATTAGCGATATTCCTATTACTGTCGAAAGTCACAATAGTAATTTAAGTACTTTACTGTATGATGAAATGCTGACTCTTAAGGCAGACAAAATCTAAGTGATGGTGATGCTTGACGAACCTTTAGCGAGAGCACCATCACAACCCCCATCTTGCCGATCGAAACATGACCGAAACGTCAATACTGCTCTCATATCGCTTTGGAGAACAAACTTCACCTGTCTCGGACACACTATTAGGTTGGTATAGGCAAGGAAAAGGTCAAGTTACCTCACCATATTCAAGTGGTAGGGCTCCTTGCTCTTTATACGTCCGGTAGGGAGCACAAAACGCATGGAAACTACAACACAATACAATCATTGCCTCCCAAATAGTCTGATTGATGTAAACATTCATGAGAGCATACATTATATATGTAAATATCCCCATGGGTATACCACCTTTCCAGTCCAGCCTTTCGACCAAGTCCATCTATCTATCAAGCCCAATCCATCACCATAGAAAAGAGTCGAAAGGATAAAAATTTACGTGCAATTGGTCGCGGCGTCAGCGGCACCAACTCCTACTGCAACGGGTGCTGCGGCTTTGCCGGCTTTTCCAGCCTTTCCAGCTTTGTTCTGTTGAGGTGGATGTTAGTCGGAGTCCTGAAAAGGATGGGATGGGGACTTCTTACGGCTTTTCCACCTGCAGCAGGCTCGGTGGCGTTTTTAGCTCCAGTTGAGCCTCCGGCCTATTTATCGCATTAGTTTAGGTACTTCGAGCTGTCTGAATTGTTTGAGGGTAGGTAGGATGTTGGAGAATGGCGTAGATCTGGATAGCTCGTCTTGAGAATTTGATGAGGGAGTGTCGTGAAACTTACGGCGACATCAGCAGCTCCAGCACCAGCACCATCCTCATTGTTAGCAGAAGCGGCGGCGGACGCCTATATTCAATTCAAGTTAGTCTCATCGAATAGATTCTCGCTGTACTGGTAAATCGACGAACCTTCGCGGCTTTGGCAGCTGCCTTTGCCTGCGGATTGTTAGCCTAGTTGAGATGGAATAGACGGAGGAACCTACTGCTTTTTTATCTGCTTTCGTGGCTGCTTTTCCACTTGCTTGTGCCTGTAATTTGGTCTCAGCAAGATTCAAGATCATATAGCGGATGAGAAATGGAGACTCGCTCAACATGTTTCCAAGATGGTGCAGAATCCTGGACGGAAATGCAACTTACTGTACCAGCACCAGCTGTCGCAGTCCCGTTCTTCTTCTTTCTTGTCTCAAGAACAGGAAGATCTCTGAGACCGATGGAAGACAAGTCTATTCCTGTAAGACCCTTGACGATGCTGGCGAGTTGCTCGTCTTGCGTGAGATCTGCCTTTTGGGCTGACTGGCCGCCTGCTGCGGATGCCTATAAATATTGTTAGTTCAAGTCGGAGCCGAATATATTACGATAAACTAACCTTTCCTTTCTTTCCAGTCGCCGCCTCGGTACCATTTTTAGCATTGTTTATGGCACCAGCCCCTTTGGCACCGGCCCCTTTGGCACCAGCACCTTGGGCACCGGGACCTTGGGCACCGGGACCTTGAGCACCCTTTCCTTTCTTTCTAGTCGCCGCCTCGGTACCATTTTTAGCATTGTTTATGGCACCAGCCCCTTTGGCACCGGCACCGGCACCGGCACCGGCACCGGCACCTTTGGCTCCCTTCCCTTTCTGTTCAACCGCCGCACCTGCGCCATCGGCATCTAGATCAGCGGCTTCTGCCCCCTTCCCTTTCTTCCCTGTAGCGGGAGCCGTAGCATTTTTGGCGTTTGAAGCGAGATTTGCTCCTTCTCCCTTTCCCTTCTTTGCTGCTCCTCCCTCAGCGAGAGCAGCATCTTCAGTGGCGGTGGCGGTTTCTAGAACTTATTAGAATGTCATTATAATAGTGGGAACTCATACTGACCCTTTGCCTTGTTCTTCTCTGGCGAGCGAGCGATGATATCATTTACTACCGGATATCAGCGATGGTGTCTGTCAAGAACTATGAATTACTTGCCATAGTCGTACGATGTCCTGGCCTCGATCTGATTGCTATTCTCAGGCAAAACACGAGCAGAAACAATAGAAGCCGAAATGGCAATGAATGTGAGAATGGAGCCGAAATTCTTCATGATTGTGTTTGGAAAATAGAAATGATAATGGCAGCGTCCAGCAGGTGGAATATGTTATGTAATGTAAAGGATAGTGAGCACAGCTATAAGAAGTCAGTAATTTTAAGTCTTGAGAAGAATGAAACATACCTCTTTGAAATATACAAATGGCCTGCAAGTAGTAATGAAGGGTTAAGGGGATGGGAAGGAAGATACCCATTGTGGAGAGTCTTGGAGTCTTATAGCCAAGATAATCTTCTCAATTACGCAAGCCCAAGCCTCGCTGTGCAAAGACTGATGAAACGAAGAGAATCCGTGATATCAACCAATCTAGTCCAGACTCGTCTGATCTACATCTGAAATAAGAAATATACTTTCTCCGATATCTGTTGTCAAACTACCAGACGAATAACAGCGGAGAATAGAGCATGAATGATCGGACAATATTCTAGAGCAGGGTCTGTGAGAGAGCTTGGTAAGAAGTTGATCGAGCGATCGTGTCAGTGACATCCCTTGGCCTCCGATGAGGCTCCATCGAGGGAAAGGGGTTGACCCGGTAGAGCGATCCAGGATGGAGAAGCACTAAACGTTCCAGGCTGGGCGGTACTTCGAAACGGAGGATTTTCAGCGAATTGTAATGATCTGCTGTGATGCACCTTGGAAGTGGGTGAGGCTCTTCGCTTTGGGTGGAGGATCCCCATGCGGGAGTGGACAAGGGGTCCTCGACCAAACAGAAGCTCAAACAAACTCGGCTCCAGAGTCCACACTTCAAACAATAATCAGCATGATTTCCATCTTCATACATGCGCGACCAGGTTGCAAATAGCCGGGAGCTCTCAACAGACCCAGTTTTGAATCCTTTCATGCACGCACGGGAGTTCCAAGAACTGGGAAATGGTGATGTTGAAAGCTTATTCGATTGGGCGATCTGCTGCTCTGTCTCAGCACATGATTGATCTTCTTCAGAATCACAAATGCCTATTTTTGGCGATAAGGAAGGAAACATGATTGCTTGATACAGCTGTTTTGAAAATTTGAAAGGAGGAAAAGAGCGACGAGGAAAGGAGGTCAAGCCGCGGAAAGACCAGATAGGATAGCTGGGAGCAATCCGTCCGACATGAGTCTCTTTCAGGTGCTTGCCATCATGCGGGTTCCACTGAGTTTATGCCAAGAAAACCCCAAAGGTACGGAAATTTGTGCAGTAGGTAATTGCGACGTCTGACTTGGAACTCGTGCATAGAGTGAGGCTCTCTAATGACTGTATCTGTTGAATCGCAGAACTGTTGACATTGTAAAGCTTTGGTGTAGACGACGCTGCGCAGCCTAAGCCGGGCGAGCCGGGGAAGAGCTGACGAAAGCTCGTGCTCCCAGGCAGCTACCTAAGCGACCCTACAAAACGGACGGGCACTACTGTAAATCGAGGAAAGACACTAAGTTACAGTACAGTACCGACGAGTCGGGATCCTCGTCTAGAACCAGCAGCGTAGTTGCGACGAGGATGAAAAGATATCAGCGCAGAATCGCTCCGTTTCCCCAGCCTTGTCGGCACCCTTACAAGATGAAGGAATTCGGTTCTTCTTCACGCACTACATATCGTCTGGTGCTAAGCTTCGGATTGGAGAGGTGAATTTTACCAAGCCTTCGCCGCAGTGGTCGTTGTTGAGTGAGTGTTGATCCCTCATTCAACAATGCTGTATCTTCTGTTGGGTTTGCCGGTCTTTCCAACGTGACGAACGATCCGGAACATTCGATAGCTGCACGGAAGCAATATGCTGCAAGTTTAAAAATTATCACTCTTGCGTTACAGGATACTTCGAGGTCTAACTTGGATGCCACTTTCAAGTCGGTGATGGTCCTTGCTGCTTTCGAGGTAAGATACTTGATCACTCTAAGAGTCACTCTGACTTCTCTAGATCGTGGTACTTCGAATGGAGGATTTTGAAGAGTATATATCGATGGCGCAGCTGCAATTTTAAAGTTGATTATGTCGAAACGGCCTCAAAGTCTCCCCGCCACGATATTACAAATGATTTTTGTGTTATGAGTAGTAAGTTGGTTGAAACCAAAGCATATCGCAACTTCTGACTTGGAACAGTGTTTCAAGGCTCTGAGCAGAGGGGAACAGGTGCCATCGAGTATTCATGACTGGACAAGATCCAGTAAGAAGTCCATGGATCCCATCGACGCCCATTCCACAGTCCTCGCAGACATTATGATACGCTGCGTGAACTTCATCTCCACAATCAAGAGTGCATCCCTAGTCGACTCGATGTCAACATACCTTGAGGCGGTGGAGTTCGACACAGAGCTTCGAGAATGGGATGCACAGTTACCAGAGGGTTGGAGACACAAAACCGTGCCGACCGCCAACACATCGGAGTTCATATACGAAGGACACATCCACCTCTTTGAGGATATCTGGCGGGCCAGAATGTATACCGATTACTGCATGCTGAGCCAGGTTCTGCTAGAACACCAAGCCAATCTCGCAATGTTTGCTACCGACGAGACGGTGCAACAAGAAGAAATTCTGCGTATCATCTCTGAGCTGGCCCACGACATCTGTGCGAGCATCTCCTGCCAACTCACACGAACCGACGACATGGAAAATGGCAGAAGACAGATTCCGCCCATGTCCAGCGTGTTTCTGCTCCTCCTGTCCATTCCGTCGCAGGCAGCGCAATGGATGTCCCTGAGTCCATGCATCAGTGGTGTATTCGCATGCTTGGGTATCTTGGGGACACCATTGGAGTCTACCAGGCTCTGGCGATGGTCGATTGGTCAAGATGCAGCGGAGGAAATGGCTTCTTGGAAATAATGGGTTTCTTGTGCCGTCAGAACGCAGTGGGTGGGAATCGGATGCGTTGATATCTTCCCTGACGTCGACTCAATAATTAAGCAGTCATCAAAATCCTTCATTGTAGTTCTGTGCTCTCTGCCTCTCCATGACGCTCCTGCAAATAACCGAGCCATTTGGAGCAGTTACCAACAACACAAGATTTGGAACTATCGAAAAGTCCATGCAAGATGCAGATGCATTGAGACCCTACAACGTTACTTGGGGATGACTGAGATGAGTGGCCAGTTAAAGCGTGGTTAAGCGTGGTGTACATGCATCGTCCATGCAGACTTCCTAAACTCTAGAACATATGGGGAAGCCGGACGATGATCACAATGCTGATCGGCAGCCCACCAGGAACATCGTCATCCCACCCCGCACTGGAATTCGATCACAGCGCCTCCAACGGCCTCCAATTGAGGAAGGCGTCAACTAAAAGCCGCACGCGGGTGGCTGCCGTGATCACTTTGTAGAGGGCTCGTCAGGGGAAGCAGCCAATCTGGGGTGTCGGCTGCTCGGGAATGGCTGGCTAATGTGCTGGGGCCCTGGGGAGGTGGACATAAGAAGATCGCCCGGACCGACTGAAAGTTTATCTTGACGATAAATATGCACTGGGACAAGACGGTGTGGAGCAGGTGTTCAACTGAAATAGAACCTTGACATCAAGCACAATGTGACCGTTAATGAGGGGTAGGCTTTCTTCGTGGGTATATAATCGTAATCCCACGTCAAGTCTAGAAGTGATGATTCCATTCCACCCCGCTGTTCGTGGAACGCACCTCCCCTCGTGAGACGGATACCGATCCTCATCATGCTCTTCTCTCGGATTGTCCTTCCAGCAGTAGCTTTATTGTCTGGAACCACCCAAGCCATTCCCACTGGAGATCTCCTTGCAAGACAGAGCCGGCCGGACAACCATACCCTCAATCGCGAGAGAGCTGATGCTGTCAAAGCTTCGTTCAAGTTTGCGTGGGATGGGTACAAGAAATATGCATTTCCTAACGATGAGTTGCATCCGGTCTCCAACGGATTCAGTAACTCTAGGTACGTTGCCGATAATTCCGAGGAGAAGATCTAGCTGACAGTTGCAAAGAAATGGGTGGGGTGCAAGTGCAGTAGACGCTTTCAGCACTGCTTTGGTTATGCAGATACCAGAGATCGTAGATACGATCCTGGAATTCATTCCTACGATCAACTTCGATAAGACCACTGATGAAGTTTCGCTCTTTGAGACGACCATCCGTTACCTGGGAGGGATGCTATCTGGTGAGTAGTGGTATGTGCTGAAGCCTGCGATTTCTGACGAAACAGGCTACGACTTCTTGAAAGGACCCTTGTCGAACCTAAACTCGAACGATACTGCCACTGATCTGGTTCTCAAGCAAGCAGAGCGCCTTGCCAACAACCTTGCATTTGCATTTGATACACCAACTGGGATCCCTAGCAATAATCTCATTTTCAGTCCACAAGGAACAGATGGAGCAACCACAAACGGAATCGCCACGATTGGAACTCTGGTGCTGGAATGGGTCCACCTCTCTGATCTAAGCGGCAACAAAACATACGGCGAGCTAGCAGAGAAAGGAGAATCGTACCTCCTCGCTCCCAAACCTGCATCCTCAGAACCATGGCCGGGACTCATCGGTACCTTTATAGACATCAATACTGGTCTATTCCAGGACGCAAGAGGAGGCTGGGTAGGCGGAGCTGACAGCTTCTATGAGTATCTACTGAAGATGTACGTCTACGACTCAACAAGGTATGGACATTACAAAGATCGCTGGGTGCTTGCAGCGGACTCTTCAATAGCGCATCTTGCTAGTAAGCCATCCACGAGACCCGATTTGACATTTCTCGCCGCATACAATGGCCAGAAGAAAAGACTCGTATCCCAACATCGTGAGTTCTAACTCATTTCCTACTTCTCATCGCATACTAACAAAAGCCAGTCGCATGCTTCGATGGTGGCTCTTTCATTCTCGGGGGCCTCGTCCTTAAAGAGCAGAAATACATCGATTTCGGCCTCGCCCTCGTTAATGGCTGCCACGACACCTACACCAGCACCTTGACCGGCATCGGGCCCGAAGTCTTCCGCTGGGTCGAGACATCAACCTCCTCAAACGACACCGACAACCCTCTACCACCAACCAACCAAACGGCTTTCTACGAGAAAGCAGGCTTCTTCATCACCAACGGACAATACAATCTCCGGCCGGAAGTCATCGAGAGCTTCTACTACGCTTACCGCGCCACGGACGACCAGAAGTATCGTGATTGGACGTGGAATGCGTTTGTGGCTATCAGAGATAACTGTATGGTTGGGAGTGGGTTTGCGGAGCTGAACGATGTGAATAAACCCAAGGGAGGCGGCTATAGTGATTTCCAGGAAAGCTTTTTGTTTGCGGAGGTGATGAAGTATGCGTATCTGATTCATGCTCCGGTAAGTAATTTTCTTCTTCTACTTGTGTCCATTTTTGATGCTGATATGGGTTCGCAGGAGAATGTTTGGCAGGTGGAACATAATGGAAAGAACGAATGGGTGTTTAATACTGAGGCTCATCCTTTCAAGGTCTGGGGACCGCCGATTTAGACTAGGAACTTGAGAGAAAGTAATATGAGAGATGTGTGTTGATGTGAATCTTAAGAATACCAAGTCAATCAAAGCAGTGAAACATGCAAGAAATTGGGACCTGCAACGCAAACTTGGCATATTACAATGCAATAGCCAAGCGAAGTGTGTAACTGAGAAGGGATAGATAGACTTTTCATGATGAGCAGTTGAGATGGTGATATGTTGATGTCGGTTAGGTGAGGTGACGTTCTGGTTTGAGGTGGTTTGATACATGTTACCTAAGCAGACAAACCAAGGGGCTAAGCCTGTTTGACCTTAGTGTATTTCTAAGGGCGCGGCCCCCGCCGACTTATGCAGGCGCTCAATCACTGCATTCCTATCCTGACCTACCAGACCTCATGCACCACTGGCCGTACGAGTATTCCCACCTGCACCACTAATTCGCAACCGATCAATATGGGCCACCTCATTACCGTTGCTACATGTAGTTTGAATCAATGGGCTCTAGACTTTGAAGGCAATCTTGCGCGAATCATCGAGAGCATCGTCCAGGCAAAGCGGGCTGGCGCCAGTCTCAGAGGTACGCTTCTTTCTACGCTGAGGCTCTGAAGTGAAGAGATCCCAGTCCCGGGAGCTGTACAAAGTCAACAAAAAGCTTTTTGAACCACTCTCATTCTCTGAAGTCCCTCTCGGCGTTGAGCAATTTACAGTGCTAATAACATGATAAAGTTGGCCCGGAACTCGAGATCCCCGGCTATGGATGCTTAGGTGAGTCATTCCCCCTTCCGTTCCTTGGGCATACTCAGAGCTGATAATCACTTAGATCACTTCCTTGAGGATGATACGATCCTACATTCGTGGGAGTGCCTTTCCCAGCTCATGCAGCGACCCGAATGCCAAGACTTGCTCATCGACGTTGGCATGCCCGTGAAGCATAAGGTTTGTTTCTCACGTTTCACCCTTTTGTGATTTTCTGACCACATGGCCCACCTAGTCTGTTAGATATAATTGTAGAGTCATTATCTACAACAAGCAAATTGTATGTGTGCCCCCATGGACTAGTGTCTTATCTCGATGCTAATTGTTACTAGCTACTCATTCGACCTAAGCTGTCGCTAGCCAATGATGGTAATTATTACGAAGGACGGTACTTCAGTCCGTGGAGAGGCCCAAGAATCACAGAGACTCATCACTTACCTCGTCTCATCTCTAAGATCAATGGGCAGAAGACTGTGACATTCGGTGACGCTCTGATTTCTACTCTGGACACCGTGTTTGGATGCGAAACATGCGAAGAACTATTCACTCCAAACTCTCCTCAGTATGTGTTAGGGAGAGCCCCAGACTTTTTCTTTTACTATCTCAAGATACTCTTGGATGATCTTCTTTTTCGTTTCTTGGAAGCTCTCCACATGGCAACTGCTAACTCCCCGGTTACCGTAGCATTGGTATGGGCTTAGATGGCTGTGAAATATTCACAAATTCCTCTGGAAGCCATCATGAATTGCGCAAGCTTCACACAAGAGTAGATCTTATCGCCTCCGCCACCTTGAAATGCGGTGGTCTCTACTTGTATGCAAACCAACAAGGATGCGATGGAGACCGCTTGTATTACGACGGTTGCGCGCTCATCGTCCTCAATGGGAAAGTTCTTGCCCAAGGCAGCCAGTTCTCCCTGGACGACGTGGAAGTCATCACTGCAACTATTGATTTGGAAGACGTCAGAGCATACCGTGATCAGAAAAGTCGTGCAATGCAAGCTCTGTCCCAGCCGAAGTATGAGAGAATGGAGGTGTCTTTCAACCTCTCCAGAGAAGGAGATGAAATCGACCTCTCGCTTCACCCTACGACACCCCGTGCGGTCACATATCTCCTTCCAGAACAGGAAATTGCCTTTGGCCCGGCTTGCTATCTCTGGGACTATCTGCGCCGGTCGAATCAAGCAGGTTTCTTCCTGCCTTTAAGTGGCGGCATCGACTCCTGTGCTACTGCCGTCATAGTCCATTCCATGACACGGTTGGTACTACAGTCAATCAGATCAGGAAACCGTCAGGTTATCGCGGATCTGCGTCGAATTGCCGGAGAAGAACTGGACAGCAACTGGGTTCCAAAAACCACTCAAGAAATCGCCAATCGCATATTTTGTGTAAGCATCTATCTGACAGCGTCTATCCTTGCGTAGCCACAGACCTGCTGACTTGATTTTTCAGACTGCATACATGGGCATGGAGAAAATGTCATCTTCTGAGACTCGCTCTCGTGCGGAATCTCTTGCTGCCGAGATTGGTGCTCATCACATATCCTTCAATCTTGACCCTGTTTATGAAGCACAGGTCAAGCTCCTTGCTGAAAATACTGGCACTGACCCGAAATTCAAGACGTCAGGTATGTTTTCCTAAGCGAGCTTTCTCCCCCTCAGCCTAGTCTTGAGCACGCCAATGCCACCAAAACACTATTAAAGAAGTCCTGCTGAGTCAATCATCTGTACGTAGGGGGGACCAAGGTCGAGAACCTCGTTCTACAGAATATACAAGCAGTAAGTATTGAGAGGCCCACGACTGCCTCCTTGGGATGCCTCACAGACAGAGCTTAGCCTGCCCCAAAAGTACTCCCACGTAGCAACTGCTGACTCCTCTGGTATAAAGCGACTCAGAATGGTCAATGCGTACGCTCTAGCTCAACTTCTCCCTCAGAGCAGAGGCCGCCGTGCAGGAGCATCTGGATCTCTCTTGGTGCTTGGTAGCGCCAATGTCGATGAAAGTCTCAGAGGATACTTAACGTATGTATCACACAAATGCTTTCCAACTCAGGGTTTCAGATACTGACAGGATCTCACAGCAAGTACGACTGCTCGTCAGCCGAGTACGTAGCCTCCAAGCCACCCGTCTATGGCCTTTCTAACCACTCTCAGCATCAACCCCCTCGGTGGTATATCGAAGACAGACCTCAAGAGCTGTAAGCTGCCCAAGTCCATTGCTGAGCCCAGCTTTCTCCGGATCCCAAAAGCGTTCCCTGAGCGGTGTGGAAAGGGAATACTAAAAGCTGACTATTTCCAGTCATTCGTTGGGCTTCTCGGAAGGAGAATTTCGGACTGTCTCTGCTCCAAGGTTTTCTGGATGCGCCACCAACTGCAGAATTAGAGCCACTGACGGAGGACTATATTCAGTCCGATGAGGCTGACATGGGAATGACATAGTGAGTCTTCTCTGTGTTCTTTCTTCCCTTTACCAATTGTTCCGGGATAATAGCGGACAGTGCCACCATTTGTCCTTCCCTAAACATCCTATCTAAGTTTCAGAAAATATTTCTTCTTTAAACCTAGAATAGCTGTACTAACTCCGAGATCCTAAACAGCAACGACCTAAGCGTGTACGGTCGACTGAGAAAGATCAAGTGCGTAACCGCTTCCCTCTTCAAAATTTAATAGCTGATGACAAAATGTAGCAAACTCGGCCCTTATGGCATGTGGGAGAAGCTGCTACATCTCTGGGGCAACAAGCTGTCACCGCAACAGATCTACGAGAAAGTTCGATTCTTCAGCTGGAACTACGCCATCAACAGACATAAAATGACTACCATTACGTGAGTTGTTCTTAAATGCTTTCACCAGCGCTTGGTTAAAAGCCGATTACGGCTCAAACACGTCCTTGAGATCAACAAATCTTCATTTTTGCCCCCTCTCACCAACGATGAAGCAAGCTGACGAAAATTTTCCCATCTCTAGCCCAGCTTACCATATGGAAGCTTACGTATGTACAAATCTGAAATACTTTATCTTAGACTTGCCAATTAACTGTGATAAAGGGCGTAGATGATAACAGATTCGATCAGCGTAAGTCTAATTTCCTGTCATTCTGGTTTGAGGGGAATCGATTACTCCGCGGCCTTCAGTTTTTCTGAAAATACGTAGCCGAGTCTGAATTTGCTAATATCTATTCATAGGACCTTTCCTGTACCCCTCATTTCAATGGGCATACAGCAAAATCGAGCGCAGCATTAAGCAGATGGGCGAAGCAGGTACTCGGGTGCCTGCTACTGATGGACAAGAAGAACAGACGTAGTGCTCGTCATTATCTACTTAGTTGTTCTGTGGTACTAGTCTTGAAGCTGCCTCGTAAAGGCCATAAGCCTGTCTTGTGAGTCTACGAAACAATTCATCACCCGATATTTGTCCTGCGAAAGTGATGCGCCAGTGACGATGAAGTTAGCCCCGCAGAACTACTACACTTTGGTTCTCCAAGAGATTCATCCTAGCCATGGAGGGGCTAAATATCTGACAGTTCTCGTATGTTTTGAGCCACGAGTTTTGCTGGTTGATTCTGGAAGAGAGACTTGCAATGGATTCCCTCCACCTCTCCTGGACACATTGACTAGCTTCTACCCTATTTGGCCATCCCATCTAACTACCCATGATATCTCCCGGGCATAAAACATGATCTTTACGAGAACAGGCTCAGAGGGATACATTAAAATGTATACATTCCTCTTCACAGCATTATCATATCGCCAGCGCAGGAAGCTATCTTAAGATATCATTCGATTGCCCGGAAGTGTAGTCAACCCTGTGAAATTAGCATGGTTGAGTTTCCAAATGTTCTCATTCAAGAACTGCTCAACTTACATCCATCAATTTCATCATGCACCACCTGCGTCTTGGTGCATTTCATTGCGTCATCCGACGTTTGACTTTTCAGAACTGTGCAAACATCACCCGTACATCTGGTGTCCATTGCACGTTGAAGAGAATCATCTTTCCAGCCAAAGACGTAGTCTCCGTGCTGTGAATACCCCTTGCTGATGAGAGTCAGCACCAAGGCTCTCGACTGTTAGTGTAGATAAGGAGCGGATTGAAACTCACCTATCGCCAGTGCTCCACACAAACGGCTGGGAGCCATCTTCAGGCCAGAGGTCCTTGGTGAACGATCGAGTCTGCAAGTACGACCGTTTAGTACAGGTGCAACGGAAACCATGCTAGAGACATGAGCTTCGAAGACCAGACTTACATCCCACAATACTTCATACATCAACTGCGGTAAGACCACAGGATGAGTGTCCGGACAAGTTCCAGTCGGACCTACATCGTTCGCCTTTGATCCTATTCCGTACGTGACATGGCTCTCGTGGTCTGGACTGTCCAAATTCTTACCATCCCAGCAAGTAGGGAAGGTGATGATTGACCGTATGCCTCCGACGCAGGGCTTATCTGGAAGTGTCTGAGCATCTGGAGCTCCGCAATTGATATTGCTATTGTCTCCTGTAAGTGGCATGCAGCGATGGCACACCTTGTGCGCGGTACCTGGCGTTTTCAGCGAGGCGTCTCCAACAAGCATCCGAAACCCAGGTCTGAAAGCAGTGACTGTCAAGTTGCTGTTTGTCGACGGTATATAATATACCGTAATACCACCATTTGCTCGCAGACCCTCTTCAGCGAGTTGAGGTACTCGCTTGAACGTTCCGTTACGAGCTCGAAAGTAGAGAACGGCAGTCCAGTAATTGGAGAAATCTTCCGAAAATGTGCAGCTGGTGCAAGTGGAATCTGCGACAAGATCGTGAGTTGCGTGGTCCATGGATGGCTGGAAGGAGTTCCCGCCGACGATTTGATGGAGGTGTGGTGATGGGACGACGCCTGGATTTACGAGGGGGTCTAACCGATCCACGACGAGTTGCGAACAGCTGAATCGTAGCATAGGTGCTATCGCCTGGCTAGAAACATGTTGCACTAGTAGTGCTACTATGGTGAGCTTCCACTGCATTTTTGAGGTAGTTTTCAGTCAGCGCGGAGAAGAAACTTTTGTTGCAAGGGAAGCAATTGGCAGTCTCGACCACATGTTTTTGTACACTTAATAGTTGAGCTCCCAGATTTTCTCGAGAACATTCAATATGAGCCCCACCTCTATTCCGGCAGATGATATTTTTCATGGTGTCTCTCAATCTACTGCTATTCATCGCTTTATTAATGGGCTTCGGGCAAAGGCTCGGTAATTCAAACCTCGGGTACCACAACACAGCAAAACTTCATGCTAATATGATTTATCCTGATTAGTCCACCCCACTCCTAACCATGATGGAAGGATTGTTTAGTGGGGCTCACAGCAAGTTTTAATTCATGTCAATCACTTTCGGCGATGTTGGAGATGATGGCCTACCAAACTATGAGACTTGATACCCATATCTCCCTGAGAAGTTTTGTCAGGGATGAATGTGCGCTATGGGATTCTATCTAAGAATAAACATAAGCAGACGTAAGGAACTGTTGAACTGAAGAAAGCTTCCTCTGTGCTTCTTATCAAATTTCTTTCATCTGACTCGACTGCTTCCTGGTAAATTTTCGACACTTGGCAGCATATAAGTTTCTTCTACTACTTGAGTTTTGAACTGAGCTCATATCACTTGGGATATATGATAACTTAATCATACATGCTACTTATTCGACATCAAATTTTTGCATTTGATTTCCAGATGACTTTTACAAGAAGCTGGGAAGAAAGGTAGTTGCCCAAATTGCCAAGCACTGATTTAAGCGAATCCCAGCACCAGCACCAACAACAACAAATATAAAAAGAAAGTGGAAAGCGCAGGTCTAGGAGCTCAACAGCAAATGTTTTGTACAGAGAAGAATGAAACACAAATGAAATTCAAGGGGCAATTACATTTTCCAATTTGATCGTTCTAATTGATATTCAGGCTACTGGTAGCATCGGCGACTGTCAGAAATCCGAACTTGACAGTCAGCTCAGTACCAATTTCAGTATGACTCATGGATTAATTCTATTCGGTTCAGGATAAATAATTTCTGGATATCTAAGAAACTGTGTCGTGTCCTAAAAGAACCTTCTCCTTTTCTCGTTTCGCTCCCTATTGATTTGCCGTGACAACAGACTTCAGCGCTCTGTCACGTGTCCAACACTAAACCAACTACCTACTCCACTCCACCCCACCCCACAAGCCTGGAGTCCTTGACAATTTAGCTACCTTATCATCAAGTCTACTGGCACCTGACCTATGCAGAGGACACTTGCTGTTGACACGATTTTAGGTGCGACGCTCTTCTTTCTTCTTCTACGTAAAGGCTCTCGCGCCCAATAGCTGGCCACGGAACCTGGCATTCGCCAAGCAACACGCCACGACGCGGCAGGCAGCATAAAGCCAGCAGCCTCGAACGTTTCTTTCTATCGTCAAACTCGCACCGCTGTGCTCAACAAGTTTAAAACTGTGCAACTCTAAGCTTTATCATGATGTCTTTGGTACCTCGAAACTCTACAAGCCCTAACGGCAACGATATGTTTAATTATCGTAGCCGCTTCGAGCGATTTCGCAGTCTGGACGAGGAAAGAAATAGACTATTTGAGGTTCGTACCATCTCAGACCGGAACCTCTTCTCAACCCCTCAACAATTCTAATACTGTCATATAGGAAGCAATTGAAAAGTTAGAGCAGGCTACCAGGCAATTGGACTATGTGACGACTGTTCAGATGCCTGAGCAGGAAGCTCACTTCCTTGCCCAGATCCATGAACTCAAAGTTGATCTTCAGGATCAGAAAGATAGTCGTCGGCGTTACCAGGCTAAATCGCAGCAGTTGGAGGATCAAATTGATTACAAGCTCTCTACCATGGTACGTACACATGTTACTTTTTTTGATGTTCCCATCCTTCCTGGTGTACGGCATCGCGGTAATTTCTTCCCTTTAAGTGTAGTATGTTTAGTACACGATTTCCTTCGGAGGTCCTAAGCACCCGACCTGCCTCAGTTTACTACCTAAGCAATTTTACATTTTACCATGCACTGATTCATACATAGGACAAGGCTCGCTTCGTATCTGTGTTGATCGATGCAGACGCCGATATATACTATTTCACCAATAACCTCTTGTCTCAGGGGCTCAAAGGTGGCCAACTCGCCGCAGATATGCTCATAGAGAAGGCCAGAGAGCATTTGGTATCCCTCGGGCCATCATTTAAAGATGCCATGACTATCCCCATCATGGTCAAAGCTTATGCCAACTTGGGTGGATTGACGTCACACCTACGAGATATCGCTAGTCCTAAAGAGATAGTCCAATTCTGGATCGGCTTCTCACAGAGAAGTCCATTTATTGATTTTGTGGATGTGGGATCCGGCAAGGAAGCGGCTGATAATAAGATTAGAGGTACGGTATCAAACTATGTCCCTTGCCGTTCTCAATTGCTTCTTGCCAATCCCAAGCTTTCAAGCCAGTTCAAGACGGATGCTAAATATATTTTCAGAAGTCCTCAGATTCAACATTGATAGTCCACAGTGCGAGCACATCTTCCTGGCATGCTCGCACGACGGAGGTTATGTCCCTGTATTGAGTCCTCATGCAGGACGGGCTTCGGGATCAAAGCTACGAATTACTTTGGTGTCATCGGGTCCGGGCTCTGTTCACCCTTTGATTGCAGATCTAGGATTCCGCGAGACAGACATTTTTAAGCCACTTTTCAGTCAGAGCGAATCTCAACGCGTTGTCGAGTGGGCCAAGTCAAATACTAAGACAGTCGAAGCACCTCCACCTCGTACTTCTACTGCCCCTGTGGTGATTCCGAGCGAAGCTCCAGCGCCATTCACGTGTAAGTATTGGCAAAGCCCACTTTCGCTTTTCAGTACTTCAAAATTTCCTTCGAAACGCATTCTCCATTAAAAATCCCTGGTATGGCAAGTACTAACTCCATCTTAGGGACAACTAAAGCTAAGCTATCAACTACCACTGAGGCTGTATCCTCCGCACAGGTTACCCGAAACCAATCGCCAGTGCAAAAGAAAGGCACAAAACAGGAATACCCATTCAATCCCGAGCAAATCGACTTTACCGGCGAATATTTCGTCGCCAATGCCGGACGATTGATTCCGGAGAAGGACGATGAAGGATATCGTATTAAGGATAACAAATTAATTATCGATCCTCGCGTAGACTCTGACTTGATCGCCAAGATGAAGGACAAGAACATCTGCTCCTGGCACTACCTCAGATCGGACCACAATATTCCCCAATGCAAGCGCAAGCATGAAGGCTACCCTCGCCCACTATCAGCAAGAGAATATGATGCATTGTGGTTTCTTGCTAGGTTGGGGTACTGCAAGAAGATGAAGACCGATGGGTATTGCACTGACGACTACTGCATTTATGGCCACGACAGCAAATACTCTCACAACTAAACCTATATGGCTTTACCTGGGCCCGGAACTCCGGCAACTGCCAGCCACGATAGTGAAAGGCTGCGATGGGGATCTGGGACATTGATTTGGGCTGGATTGAACGACATGCGGGACTTGTGCGATTAATATGTAACTAAATTAAAACCAAGATAAAAAAGAAGAGCATCCGCAGGGTTGGATATGGCGGACACCTTTGGGAGAGCAACTCATGGGACAGATGATCGTAATATGATAGCAGTATAGTGACCGATAAAATCTCTGTATTTGTGAGAGCGTTCTTTGCCGTGACCGATATAGCTTTTGTTATGTACCCCAAAAATACGTCAGTGTCCAAGAACTCGTACATAATTTAAGCCCGTTCAAGACTAAATAGCTCACAATAGCAATGTAACGCTAGCTCGCTAGTTACAAGCGGAATCTAGGAGCCTAACGTCACTCTGGCCGACCATCATCCGGACAATTTCGTCCAGCTTCTACGGAGACCGAATACCCGAACTCCAGAGACTTAAAAGTCAGTCTGGCGATGGTCGATCCTTCAGAGATGGTCTATGATCTATGGCAAGTCCTCTTTCGCCGTGGATTAAGGACATTGGGGGCATTCGTAAGGTGATGGAGATGGGCTTGTTGGGTTGGTACAGGGGTTAAGGAATATACTGGATCACTTGGTGGTTGTATCTGTCACGAGAGACTGGTAGAACTCTGCTTGGGTTGCGTCATATCAGTATCCAATGATGACTTCATAAAAGAGGCACAAAACATGGGGTATTGGTTCTGACGTTGCCTAGCATAATCGAAAGAACTGCTCCAGATCCTTCTAAAGGTATTCAGAAAACACAAGGTCTGTTTCATTCAATTTGAAGATTTGCATTTGCACCTTGATATCCCGAATGTCAGTAACTCCCCGAGAAAGAATGCAGAGAACTCATTACTTTTGTGGACATTGCCCTTTCCTCCCACGGAACCATCTGGCCTGGCATGCCCATGCATGTGCCCGGTCCTGACGCAAATCATGCCTCCAATAAACTCCTTCCATGAAACTACCTAAGTCAATAGATCCGCAACATTCATGGGCATCTCGTCGATTTGGGTTGAATAATACACTGTTTCTCTTTAGCGGATCGATCAGGAAGGGATTGGAAAGAAGACTTACATTCGATATCTCTCAAAATTCTGACATCCTCACTAGTCACGAAGTTGATCGCAACACCCTTGCGTCCAAATCTACCGCTACGACCGATTCTGTGGATGTAGTTCTCACGATTGCTAGGCAGATCGTAATTGATGACCAATGATACCTGCTGAACGTCGATACCGCGAGCCCACACATCTGTAGAAATGAGAACTCTAGAATTGCCCTGACGGAAGTCCTGCATGATGCTATCTCTCTCCTTCTGTGGCATCTCTCCGTGCATCGAGGAAACTGTGAAGTTGGCCTCACGCATCTTATCTGTCAACCAATCGACCTTTCTCCGGGTATTGCAGAAGATGACTGCCTGGGTAATCGTAAGGGTATCGTAGAGATCGCAGAGAGTATCGAATTTCCACTCCTCCTTCTCAACAGCAATAAAGTATTGCTTAAGACCCTCCAATGTCAACTCATCACGCTTAACCAAAATACGAACTGGATCAGTCATGAACTTGGTAGTCATGTCGAGAACATCGTATGGAAGAGTGGCAGAAACCACTACGACCTGAGTCGCAGGAGGGAGGTAGCGGTAGACGTCGTAAATCTGCTCTCTGAAGCCGCGGTTCAGCAGTTCGTCAGCCTCGTCAAGAACCAGCATCTTGATATGGCGGGTTCGCAGATTTCGACGGCGGATCATATCAGCAACTCGACCTGGGGTTCCAGAAACGATGTGCTGTCCGTAATCGAGCTTGCGAATGTCCTCTCCGACGTTGGTGCCTCCAATACAGGCATGGCACTGAACGTTCATATAATCTCCTAGCGCCATCACAACGGATTGAATCTGTGTCGCAAGTTCGCGGGTAGGAGAGAGAACGAGAGCTTGGGTTTCGCGGACGGCTGTGTCGATAACCTGGAGCATACTGATGGAGAAGGTAGCAGTTTTACCAGTACCGGATTGCGCCTGAGCAATTGTGTCGCGACCCTTACAGATTTGGACAATTGCACGAGATTGAACGGCCGAAGGAGATTCATATCCATATGCGTAGATGCCTCGAAGAAGGTTCTCCTTGAGATGCACTGTGCCATCAGTTAGAGGAGATTTGAAGATTCTGAGAGGGGAAACGTGCTGTCCGTGAAAGTCGGTGCCACGCTGACGTCCGCGGACGTGGTGAACTCCATCCTCTCATCCGCCTTGCGATCAATACCGTCTGCCATGATTGCGGTTGTATTAGTTTGTTGTGGTTGTTTTGCAGGGCTTTATCTGGGGAAGTAGACGATGCGCGACTTCAGATTTACAGGCGAGGCTTAAATTCCCTAGCGCCATTTTACTGGCAGCCGCGTCCTGATTGGCTGTCGCAAACTAATATTTCTCAACTCCAAGATTCACCCAAACGTCAACTTGAATGAGCCTCATATGTCCCCAGTTTGCCGCCTGAGATTGATATCGAAATCCGATCCCACATCTTTGTTTCGAGCTCTTTACCACTTTATACGATAGCGACCACCGCCCAGTATGCTTTTGGAGGAGCAGAGATTCCTCCATGAGGATCTCGAGAGACTCGAGCAAGGCATCAGTGACCGTGTCGCCGAGGAACCACGACTGGTAAGAACCGGGCTCCAGAGAGCAATTGGATACCGCTAATACACAGAAGGTCCGCGAGCGGTTGAATCGAGATCATCAGATTGCAGGCTTTCTCGACCGGATCCAGGACCAATCGAAGCGGTTACTGGAAATCTACAAAGATGCCGAGGGTGCTCGCTCAAAAGAGATTCAATCGATATCTACAGGAGAGCCATTAGAAGAATTCTATAAACAGCTTTCGGATATCAAATCATTCCATCAACGATACCCAAATGAACCTGTCGAGAATCTGGAGAGGGCCTATAAGAAAAAGGTGACGAGTGAAGGAGAGGTCCCTACCTACGAAATCGACAATATGTTCACTGGAGAAGAAGCATTTGGAAGATACCTGGACCTTACCACAATACACGAAATGTTCCTCAACCTACCTAATATCAAACGTCTCACATACCTACAATACCTAGAGGCATTCGACACCTTCACACCCCCACAATGCTCAGTCAAGCGTCCTGACAAGATGACCGATCAGTACTTCAACTACGTTGGGGAACTTGCTAGTTACCTTGAGAGCTTCTTGCGACGAACGCGGCCTCTTGAGAACCTAGAGAGTCTGTTCACAAGTTTTGACGAGGATTTCGACAAGGCGTGGAACAATGATGAGATCCCAGCCTGGAAGCCAGAGCCACAAGGACCAGTGAACGGACCCAGTAGCGATGCGTTATATTGCGCCGATTGCGAGAAAGAATTCAAAAACGACAATGTCTACAAGGCCCATTTGACTGGTAAGAAGCATATCCGTGCAGCTGAAGCCAGGGCAACACGACAGGCTGAGTCAGGAGGTACTGGAGAGGCTGGGACTGGAAAGCGAGGGACGAGCACATTGCGACTGAAAGAACGAGCAATTGCGGAGCGAGAATATCGAGTCAAGCGGTTAGCAGCAGCTATGTCAGGGGAACGAAGCGATACCAGAGTCAACGTTGAGCGAAGACAAGGCATGACTGAAAGAGAGCGACAGATGGAGTTGGACGCTCTATTCGCGGAGACCTCATCCGCAGCACCACAGGGAGGCGACTCGGACAGCGAGTCAGACAGTGACGAGAAGATCTACAACCCATTGAAGCTACCGCTTGCTTGGGATGGAAAGCCAATTCCTTTCTGGCTGTATAAGCTGCACGGCCTGGGCGTGGAATTCAAGTGTGAGATTTGTGGGAATTACGTCTACATGGGCCGGAGAGCTTTCGATAAGCATTTCAATGAGACTCGGCACATCTACGGATTGAAGTGTTTGGGAATTACCAACACCACACTGTTCCGCGAGATTACCGATATTGCGGATGCTGTGAAGCTGTGGGACAAGATCCAAAGAGATAAGACTAAGGGCAAGAAGGACGAAGGAAGTGTGGTTCAGATGGAGGACGCGGAGGGTAACGTCATGCCCGAAAAGGTATACCTCGACTTGCAGAAGCAAGGTCTGCTTTAGCCGGAGTAGCATGGGGAGGAAGAGAAACTGTACCAGTATGTAATCATGAAGCCATCTGTCTCCGTGCCCATGATTGAGTGTGCTCACAACATAAATTCGAAGCGCTTTTTTCTTCACTTTAGCCGCGTCATTGCAGCAAAGGATCAAAGTCTTACTTTGCGCATCACTTGTTCCGGAAATCTTTGCTTTCCGACTGTAAATTGTATTATTGCTGGTCCTCTCCTTGAACTAACTAGTGCCTATTTCATCATGAACTGTCATGCCATTAGCTCCCCAGTCCAAGAATGGTTCCGAGCCAAATTTTGTCATAGTTTCGATTCTCTGTGCGCGATAGTCTGTCTGCGAACCGCCAAAACGTCTAGCTTCGGCGGCGTGCGGTCGAAATAGTGTTCCCACACAGTCCAAATTGCAATGCTTTCTCATATGTTCCGATTAATACGTGGTTAGTATGGGCTACGAATTTGTTCTTTCAAATCCATTCATTTCACATTTCTCCACCTACTCTCGCTATCCCACAAAGTTTCACTCATAAATCTTCTAAGCCATCACAATGAAGCTCACGCCGGTCATCGCAGCGGCCATTCTGGCATACACGTAAGTGTCATTACATGAACCTTTGAGCTCAATATATGCTGATCATGCTTTCCAGTGCCAGAGCAGTACCAATCAAGCAACCTATGATCCACAATTCCAATAACACCAGAAGTAATCAGACGGAGCGCACTGCAACAGTGGTAGGAATTGGCCCAGTTCCAGTCGTCGTCACTTTCAATGGATTTTTGAGACCTGAATATGACTTTGGGGCGTCATCTTCGACAGGCGACGCTCCAAAAGACAGCGCCGAGTATCCTAAATACCACCCTATCAATCTGGGCGGTCACGGCCCTGTGATTCCTCCAAATGGTCTTCCATCAAGCGACCACCAAGGCAGAGTAAGCTTTCCAAATATAACTGATCTAAAACTGGACGAGAAGCCTTCATTAAAAATGCTGTCTTCTCGCGCAGCCATGTGGAAGCCGACAGAGATAGACAACTATCATGAAGGTGTCAAGATCGACATCAAGAACAGTATCTCCGAACTCCAAGACAAGCTTGACTACCTGAACAAAAGTGGTCATCTTACCGTCGACCGGGCGAATAAAGAAATCGATAATCTTTCCAAAGTCATTGCCGCTCGCCTTAGGATTAATTTTGTCACCAATCCCCCAGCATTTGATGAGATGCTTTCTACTCTCCAGAATCACGTCATCTCTGAGATCAAGACTCGAGCTCAAGACCCTAATATCAATGATCCGTTGAATGAGACGCAGCAAGCAGATCAAGATGCCCTCTTGGCCAATCTGCACGCACACTACATTCTTGAGGGACTCCAGGAGAAGATTGTACTTCTCGCCAAATCTCACAAACTCACTGAAAGACTTGGCAGTCTCAGTATTGGACAAGCTCGCCAGATGATCAAGAACACTCCCAGTATGTCAGATAAAGATTCCGAGTTCTGCGAACTGCAACTCAAGGCAATCGAGAAGGCGGCGAGAACCATGATACAGAAGAAGCTAGTCAACTTTCCAGCTTCGGTAGTGGCACCCATTCAGAATCCGATCAAATCCGGTTTTAAAGTCCCTGGTGAGGATCTCCCAGACAAAGTCTCCGAGACCGTGCAGGAAGGTCTCAATAAGCGAGAATCCAACAGCCAAGACGAACCTATCCAGAACTTCAATTCTGTCAACGATACAGCAGTTCCTACAGCAACTGACGAGCACGGAGAGGTCCTATTCTGGGTCGATTATGGTGCCCCGGAATGTATGAAGTACATTCTTGATGACGATTTGGATCTGGAGAAGGTGGATTTGTTCGAGGCTTGCCAGGCGAAAGCTGCACCTGAAATCTCAGACGCGACTGAAAACTCCGAGACAGAGCAATCTACAGACGCCATAGCGGACCCAGAAGGGATGCTTGAGCCAAGAGGTATCAAAAAGCATATGTATGAGATAGAGGAGGATGGAGATGAGTGGGGAAGGAAGAAACTGATCAAGGAAACCGGGGTTGAGAGATCCTCTTGAGGAAGTTACGGTGAAGTGGTGTGGAACGGAATTTTCTGGTGAAGGGGGATATTCTATTTGGTTACATTATAGATACTTCTCAGGTAGTCTGTTGCATGGCAATGTAGTAGAAGCCAACATTAAAGCAGGAACCCCTCAGCTCATATGGGCCAAAGTGCCAGATTCACAGACTTCAACTCGTACTGTACGTATTGTCATATATTGAGAATATCTGTGAGGCGAGAATTTGTTATATCGATTGGAAATCTACCCATTTCCCAGTGGTGGCGTTTCGAGAGGTCACCATCGCGGGGTAAATGCGGGGTCCACAACCCGTATCTGCCAAGACTCGCTTCCCTGAGTGAGGTAAACAAAGATTTTCTGGAGACTTAAATGCTATGATCTCACTAAAAGACATTCGTCTAGATTGAATGTCCAATAAATGATCTTAAAGTTTTCAACAACGCAATTCTCTTTAGATTCTAGGCTCAAAATCTATCAGATATCCAACGAAAGATCCATCGCAATGTAAAACGAACAGGGGTTGCTGACAGGTAAATCCAACCACACTTGTCCTTCAGTCTATGGCCAAGAAAGTCATCGCAGTCCCATAATCGTATCAAGTCATCTCATCCCATAGCATGGTATTATATCCAAGTCAATGCCAACCCCCGAACTCTCCGCAATCATTCCATTCCAATCACCAAAAGCCAATTTTGTAACTCGTTGGCCATTTCAACTCTCCACAATACCCTCCATCTCGGTCTGAGTCTCGACAATATTAGGAATTTCATGAGCAACTTCTTTCTTGCTGGCTCTATCTGCCTCGATGCGGTTCTCCTCCTCGCACCGAGGACAACCACAGCCATTGTCGAACCATTTACTAAGCCACGCACGCTTGGCTTCTCTGCCTCCCTCAACGGTATTATCTCCTCGTGGATTTCCGATATAAGAAATCGTCAACTGCTCTCCTTTCTTGATGTTGCGAGCAGCGAAACACCAGACTGCGCTGCATCCGGGTTGCAGATATCCTCCCTCTGGAGTCTCAAGCCAACTAATACCTACCTTGCCATCTGGGACAGCACCGTGCCAGGAGACATTTGGTTGGCATGAATGATTGAAGAAGAGATAGTTAGGGTTGATGCAAACCAGGTGCGCTTTTGTGCCAGCAAGCTCCGTCGTAGCCATGTTGGCATTATTCTCGATCCGCCAAAAGATCGTTTGAATCACTTCCTGACTCCAGTGAGGATCTGTATATATGTCAACCCCTAGCTGAAGTAGTATCCGAGTAGGTGCAACAACATTCGTGAAGTACAGCCATTGGTGACCTGCGTCGTACTGGCTCAGTATCTTGCCCTCGGGGGGATAATTGGCAGACATTCGAGCGATTAGAGGATGTTGAAGAGGGTGGACTTTGGATGTACGAATGTCCGCGAGAACCACCGCGACGATTCTGAGGAAGTTGACAGACTTCCAATGTGTGGGAGCTCCTGAAGTCTTGCCTACTTTGATCACTTCGTAGAGCCAATCAAAGTCATGACCACAGAGCACCTTGTGATATCCCTTGGCAGCGCTCTCATAGCATTCGTGAGAGCAGTAGACAACCTTGCCACAGCATGAAGGCTTTTCCATTTCATGAACGAGTCCGTAAGGTGGCTTTAGACTGCCTTGGCAGGCATCACAATGTTCGAGTCTGCTAGAAGGCACACTGGATACACCTGTGACAGTCTTATCCAACATCACCAACTTGCCTGCTTCAATATCTTGAGTGGCGAAGATTCCAAGAGGACCAACGTCTTGTCCTTCTTTGATGACACGTGGCTTGGCGTCTCCAAAACTGACCGGTCTGACTTCAGAGCTAATGCCCTCAAACGTTTTGTTGGATTGTCGTAGAACTTTTGGTGTCCGTTTGTACAAGTCTTGATCCATCCAAGGATACTTCTTCTGGTAGATCTTACCCATTCTTGAAGCTTCGATCATGTCTGCTTTCTTCAATTCTTCCTCATCCTGAACTTCCACGTACGCTTGCCTTCGGTCTTTGAATGCTCCTTTCAACTCGTGTTCAAGTTGTCTGAGCTCCAAGTCTTCGGGGTATAGCTTTTGAGCAGTTTTGGCAATCCTCAGACCTTCCCAATTGGCACCAGTTCCAAGCATACCGGCGAGCAGCATATGATAAGCTTGGCGATGAAGTTGTTGCAGCTCGTCTTGGATGGAGTAGAGTCCAAGTCCATTGAACTTTGTAGAAATCATACGTCGTGTGAAGATGTCGAGCTCTTGGAAGGCTGAAGATCCTTGTGTGCCTGCGATGTTGTTGCTAGAGGTTGGAAGAGATGAGCCGGTGATTCTCATGGCTGCCTCTATGAGGAGGATGGCACGGTGAGCATTTCCAACGGCAATATCCGAGAATCCAAGTTTTCCATGTACGCCGCTTAGAAGAAGAAGTGGCACTGGGTCGTAGGGAGAGTAAGTCGTGCCCTGAGCAACAGCGTCTCGGTACGCGATGACTTGGTCCAGACCACCCTATGCAGTTAGTCACAATTTCTTGTGGGGTGAAAACGAGCCTTACAGTTCTTTGTAGCTCCAATAGAGGCTCCAAGTAGAATTGGCTCGTACCCAGCCATTCAGCCCGAACATCACACTCTGCAGTGTCCTTGACAGTGTCACTGTTGGCAGAAACTTCTACCTCTGGGCCTCCATTTCTACTAGCTTTCACATCGAAAGTATTCATATCGTCGCTGCTGACATCCTCCATAGTCAGATCAGAGATGCTGTGGACTATGTGTCCAGGGGACCAAGCCTGACTTGGAGATTGGAGGTCAATTTGATTCTTCTCATCGTAGAGGCAAGCAAACGCAATCTGCAATTTCTGTTTATTCGACAAACGCGTGCTCCCCCTCCGTGGAGGCTTGATGGTGATTGGAGATTTTATTTCCTCAGAAATCATTGGAGTATCGTCATCCCTATCGCTGTCAGGGGTGAAGTGGACAGGTGTTTGTGGTGTTTGGGCCATGGCTTATTGGGGTGTGAGTTTGTCCGATGTATGCAGGAAACCGGATGTGTTGTGCTCAAAGTTGATTGGGACTGCTTGATGATCTATGAAAATGAAAGAAATTAATTTCCAGGCGAATCATGTTAAGCTGTTTGTTGAAAACTGAATTCGGATGTTGATTCATGAAGAAATGAAGAGCTTGTATACCTCGCTCGAGGGTGGAAGTGAATCTTCGACCAATAAGTTGGGAACAGATCTATCAAGACCGAATTTTCAAAAATGGGTTCGACGGGATGAGATTGATAAAGTGGTAAAGTGTTTGGATGAGCAAGAATGAGTAGTTCAAGTATCCAACAGTTTAAAAAAGTTGGAAATGGTAATATGTTTGGAGCGCTAGCAAAGTGAAAGCAATCTTATGGAGTTGTAAAAAGACATTTGCCAGAATAGGTAAGGATTGTGTGCTTGAATAAAGATAGTCTTGTTTTGGAGGAGGAGTCGAGGACGATTCTGCGAAGTACCAGTTGGGGCGTTGATGTTGAGGTTTGGAGCGACCGTGGTTGAAAGTTGGCCGAGGAGGGTCTGCTTGAGGATTATATACTGGCGAGACGTAGAATAATGTTCCAATTAAAGGAGTGAATACACGGCAGAGAAAAGAATAGCCACAGGTCATGTTGCTACCCTGCCCACAATATTTGCTTCGCTGTGCCCTTTACATTCACTTTTGTGATGAAATGACCAAGTGAAACAAAATTATTTCTCATTTAGAGCTACTCAAATGAAACGGAAAGGCTATTTGAAGAGAAAATATGGCCAGTACTTTAATAAGAAACGAAGTAATATCACCTGCTGAGCGATATATATATATACTCTTTTTCACTAACTGCAAAGTCTTATCTCAATAATCTCGTGCTTCTCTTGCACCAAATTTCTCGATCCTTGCTGGATGTGGAAGGGCCTGCTTTACATGAAGCACAAAGTTGGAATTGTAAGGTCAACTAAGATTCACTGTGGTTGCGAGTCTCCGGGTAACTGCTCCCGAAGCCATGCCATTTATTTAGACGCCTGTCAAATATAACTGATCCCAAGAAATGTCTAGTAGCTCGAAAAGATCTATATATCTAGACAGCTTGATTTTGCACCTCTACAGATGCCCTTGATCTCGAACATCTGACACCCACCAACACCCGCTCCACGGCCCAGGTTTTTGGCCCATTGAAAGAGAAATCAGCAAAATACCGTTCAATAATCAGGACGATTTCTAGTAGATGCACCAGGAGTCGGATAAAGCTGTGAGATAATCTGGTATTTGAGAGACTCAGGCGCAGTTGCTATCCTAGGTTGACTGGAGGAGAGTCTCAGGGACGCCAAGACAGGTTGGTGGGATGACTCAATGGAAGGTACGTCCGGTCCAGAAATTGAACAGTTGACAGCTTAGTCCGCTATGAACCTGTACTTGGAATAGTAAACTCCAAATCCTCAAGATTCACGATGATGGGCACACAAATCTCGAGCTATGATCATTTGCTGTTCGCAAGCGTATTTCTCCTTGTCAGTTCCGCCAGAGCGATCTCGTCGCAGTATCTATCCCGTGCATCTTTCTTCCCATCATAATTTTCCAAAGCACCAAGTCTCAAAGCTGCTTTTTGGACGTACTTCGTTTCTCCCAGAGCATCCTGGGCTTGAAATGGTGGTTTTCCACTCGACAGGAACCAGAACCTCAGTCCACTGTCCATGGTGTCTCGAGATAAAATTAAATTGATTGGTTTATTTTTGGTACTGAATGATGCTCTGACTTTAGAATGGTTAAAATTTCGATTTCTTCCTGGGAGAAAGATCCATCCTCTAATGCCTTGCCAGGCATACCTTTGTTCCAGCAAAGCGTCTTGGCGAGGTCAACAAAGGACGCGAGCTTAACCGAGAGCCGAATTAGTAGCTCAATACTCTTTCTTACCTGTCAGTACCCTAAAGGGCAGCGATCGAACCTCTAGCAGTTACTAAGCCAATAGATTATATTGAAGATCATCAAGAATGGGAAAACTGTTCAAGTAAAGAGGGAAGTGAGAAATGTTGACATCGGGATAAGCGAGACTTGGCAAGGATCTGAGATTATTGCTCTAAGACGTCAACGTGCTCTGAAATATCCGTGTGAGTATGAAATATGGTTTATAAATCATTTAATCGTTTTTAATGCATGCATAGCAGCTTGTGAGAGCGTGCCTTCAAAATTTTCGAGTTCCAGCCTCATACCTCATTTATGCTGGTCCGTTAACCCACGGCGCCTGCCATGACCACTCTCCACACATCATAAAAACAAGCCATCATCCTCCCCAAGAACATCCGGAGAAATTATTGATATAAATCAGATCAGCTCAAAGTCCACTCATCTCCCTCGCCCGCTTCTCTCTCCGCTTCTTCTCCTTCTGACTCACCCCCCGATCAACCCTCATCACAACGTTCGGGCTCTCAACATCCCTCAACCCATTTCCTTGCATAATACTCTCAACCTTTTTCTTTGGCCGAACTATGTTCAAACCCCAGTGCGTACCGCATTCTTTTTTACCGCCTCGGTTGCAGTGGAGATGATGGTGGATGGTGAAGGACTCGGCTTCATTACAGACTTCTTTGTCAATATTGCACCAGCGACAGTTCTGAGATGTATGAGTGAGATTTGCTTCCGTGGGGCATGTGAAATTAGAGTTTGGGGAGGGAGGGATTGCTTACGCTGTAGCCGAGTCGAGCCCTACGTTCAGAGTTGCTGAACATGCAATGCTTGAAGAATCTACCGCATCCATCACATTCCCTGATGAGGCAAAGTCAGCAATACCAAATTCCCCACAGAAGAGCATTTGAGTCAAGCTTAGAGGACTTAGGCTTGGGACTCACTTTTGAAAGACCTTCGTCCAAGCAACCGATGAATGTAAATCCAAGATCTCATCTTTATGATCAATGCACCACTGTATCGTCTTATCACCTCTCGGGTTGAGATATTCATTCAAGGTCTCTTCCTCAGTCTTCTCAACTGTGCCATTCTCATCGCAACTCTCGCCAGTCTCTATCGCGATTTCGACGTCAGCCGGCTTGGTTTTCTCTCTACTTTCAGTAGGGTTAGAATTTTCGGCGTGGGTTGAGACATGTGAGTCGACGAATCCTTCTGGCTCAATAGGGCCATCGAGTGAAAGATCTTGAACCTCAAGGAGTGAATCGGCGATTTCAGGGATTAAAGGTGGAGGAATGGCGGGGTTCGTCTTGACTCCAAACTTAGATTTCTTGGTTGGAGAAGGAGGGGGCGGGGCAGCAACGATTGAAGCCCAAGTCATTTTGACGAGTCTGGGTGTGAGATTGTAGAAATGAGAAGCAATCGATATGTGTAAAAGTGACCCCACATCAATGGTCTGTTCCTGAAGCAAAGGTGGGTGAAAATTTGTTCGTGGTTTTGTTGTGCATAAAGAACGAAATCGTAAAAAGATTGAGGTGATCAAGTAAGTGTGGTAGCAATATTGAGATGATTCAATAGGGTCTGAGCTCGCGGAATAGTAGGCAGAAGTCTGTGTTTTGACCCAAATTGATTGTCCTCGCTAAGAGGCACTAAAACAGACTAGCTTCTGCCTTACAAAGTTGACGAGTGAAGAAGTTCACTCCTCGCTGCCTCGCTACGCTTCGTTGCAGAGCATGAGTACTTGGTACAGGCTCACAAGGCACCGAGTTAGACGGGTCGAAAGATAGAAGAAATACTCGGGAAACTCTCATATCACATCCTGTACGTATTCAAAGTACCCAGGATACTCTAGTTCTGCATCACCAAAGTCCTCTCCGAGTTCACCAAATCTCCAAAATTACCAAAATGACCTGTTTCATCATGTATTTCTCACTCCACAAAAGTCCAAGCCTCCAAATCCATAAAACTCAACACTAATCATACTCAATACTCAGCTCTGGCTCTTTCCTCAGCATTCGCCTTCTTCCTCTCCTTCTGACTCATCTTATTCTCTACAACCTTGAACTCCACCTCCGGAGCCGCGATACCGTTCAGACCCGTCTCTTTGACTACTTTCTTGGGAGCAGGTTCCTGCCGAACGAGTGACATAGATCCTCGACCGCACTCCTTCTTTCCCCCGCGATTGCAGTAAATGGATATGGATGTGTATGCTGAATTGGTCGATTTCAGTGGACATGCCCTTGTCGAGTTGACACCAACGGCAGGCCTGTTTGGGAGTTTATGCTAGTTGATTCGTCGATGACAGGAAACCTGATCTCCATGTTTTGAAGCAGGGGGAGGGAGAGGGATATGGAAGAGGGAAGAGTGAGAGAAGTAGGAGGACTTACGGTATACCCATGACAGCCTTTTCTTTCCGTCTTACTGAACATACAGTGCTTGTACCAGCGATCACACGAGTCGCATTACCTATATCCCCACCGAGAAAGTCAGTACCTTGGCAAGGCAATCTCCCCTCAAGTGCAAAAACTTACAGCTGGCACACCTTCGTCTCTACCAATGAAGAGTGCAAATCTAGAATGGTTTCCTTATCGAGACAGGACTTTATTGCTGGGTTGCCCTTTGGGTTGTAGTAGTCAGATTCATCTGTCTCCTCCGGGGCCATTCGGGTGCCGGATTCGAGGCCATCTAGACCATCTAGACCATTGTTTCCACATCCACATTCGAGTGGAACTAGAACCTGCTGATCTTCCGCGTGGGAGAAGACGTCAATAGTCTTGTTGGTGAGAGACATTTTCTTGTTTGTTGTTGCAAAGGGACTAATTGAATATGTAGAGTTGTGAAGTGTTTAAAAGCGCTTTGGTGTTGTGTAGTAGATTGTGCTTCTTCGCAGATTGTAGAAGATTGCAAGTGTGTCGTATGTAGAATACTGGAAGCGCTTGAAATTTAATACGTTCTCCACGAGTTATTATCAAAGATATCAAAAAAACCTCAAAGCACAGCTTTCTCGTTCCTGATCCCTATATACATATAAAATATCCACTCCCTCCCCTCGCGTCGTCCTTCTGCTCCTTCTCTACTACACCAAGTGACATTTCCAAAACAGCTTAGTTTCTGTCGTGTGTCGCTCAATTTAAATCAACACACTTCATCTTGTCGTTGAACAGTGACAAGATATTTGATCAACCTATAAGATTGATTATCTTGTTCTCTCTCAGCTAGCTAGGGACTTGACATAGCTAGCTTTCTTCACAGTCCGAGTCCAAATCCACCTCCCCTTCTCAAATAGATGCAACGAATGCCTCCACATGAAAGCCACTTCACGTTCATAGGTAAATGAATCGCTCACTAGCCACAAACTAGGGTGTAGACAGTGCAGACGCATCGCATGGTGCTCCTTCCCTAGGACGGCTACAACTCTCACTCACACTCCCACTCAAGCAAGGACTCTCTACCAATCACCGAAACTCTCTCGTAAAAGGTTCCCTCTCATTCCACTACATACCTCACCCCTCTCCCTTTTTCTCACCTTCCTACCAACCAGATTGACAAATACCCAGAAGTTTCTACATATACCAACCAATTCTTTCCACGCCTTAATATCTCAACTCCTACGAAAGTAATCCATCCCATCATAGGCTCCCCGCCAAGACCTTGACAATAAACTATGTCTTTATCTTTTATATAATATCCAGAAGCTGTGAGAGCGCTGCTACTCTCTTTGTTTCTTGATACTTGTAGTCTCAAGGGGTAGGTAGCTACCTATGTACCTATTCGATCATGTGTCGTTATACGAGATGGGCATGACTACCCGGGTATGTATCCACCAATTCACACGGGCTATTGGGACCTACCATTTCGAGAGGCAAATGGCACGGGTCCTATTCACTAAAGCACTTATGATACTGGCTGGCATCTTTCTTGCCATATGATTTTATTACTTGAAGCTCTTGATTGATTGACTGGTTGACTGTTCCCATCCCCACTATAATCCACCACATTCGATGCAAGTCCAGCACAAACAACCAGCAACAAAACATCTCTTATTGTCATACACTGTGCCCAGACAACCGATCTAGCAAGCCAACAAGCAAAGCAATCCATCCGTCACTGAACAACTATCAACAAACAAACATGAAACAGCTTATCCACAGCACACATGAACAAGCATGCAACAGTACTCCCCCATCTCTAAAGTTCCATCCGACAATCCCTTCCGTCCATAAAATGCAAGCAGCTCAGTGATGCTAAGTAGTGAGATGTTCTTTTGCCGGGTAGTAAATCATAGTACAAACAAGTGTAAGAAGCGTACACGTACACGTCCAGCCAGGAGAACAGACCAAAACCACCATCCGGCGAATTCCAGTTGTCGATCATAGTCTTGGTCTAGCTCCCAGGAGGATGAAAGAATGCGAGAAATGAAAACAACGCGCGCAGCAGAAGCAAAAAGAAGAAGCAAATCCTCTAAACGCCAGCAGTGGGGATCGTACCAACGCCAGAAGCAGATATCCCACACATTTCCATTCCATGCGTGATGCAAGGAAGAACGCCATTTTACGCCATGCCAGAACTCCACTGTATATGTCATCAGAGCTCGCATATTCAAGGCCCGTCCAGGAACATGTCCATATCTTCATCCATCTCCCACTTGGCGGTAGACATATCCTTGTCCAGAGATCTCTTCTCTCCCTTGGGCCCTTCGTCTCCATCCTCTTGGTTGGTGAGCTCATCGAACATGCGGGAAACGCCTTGACTGCTTCCGACAATGTTATCGCGTAGTGGACTGTCGCTTCCAGACGCTCCGAGTGCGACGGAATCTAGTCTGCCGAAAGCTGAATCGTTGAAGATGCCTGGCTGCCTGCCTCCGGAAAATCCAGGACTTTGCAATCCGCCATGTAAGAATGCATGAGGCGCAAATGCCGGAGATGCATTGTTCTGCGGACTCATGCTGAAGTGAGAGTCTTGCATACCAGGAAAACCTCCATAGTGACTTGGATGAGCATGATCGTGGCCAGATGGCAGGCCAGACAGAGTTGGGCCGCCATGAGGGTGCATCGTTGCCGATGGAGGGAAGGAATGAGACGTCGGTGTACCAGAGTCTGAACGACCAGGTGCGGGTTGAAGTGGTGGAGGACGTGAAGATGAAGGTTCGCTAGACTTTCGGTTCTTGAAATTATGCGCCTTAGTTCTGTAAGCTGGCGGGAGAGCTTCTGGATCATCGACACCATGTTGAGCCATCAGCTTTTGTAGCTTGGTAGGGCGTGGCTTTCGAGTTGACTTAGAAGCATCAAGGATCGGCGGTGCCTCTGGAGCAACAGGAGACCATCTGTGAAGCTCTTGTCGGAAGAAATTGGTCTCGAATGCCAGAAGAATTTCGGCACCTTCAATCTTGCGGAGATAGAATCGCTGTGTTTCACATTCATCAGCTGTTGCCATGACAGGATTGCAAAACGGTGCCACATGAGTGCGGAACTCCTGGGCATTGTCGATAATCTTGGAAAGAATCTCCTCCTCGTCGGGCTGGAAGGGAAGGCCAGCAATCTCATCTTGCCAAGCTTGTAAATCTTCAAGCTTTGGTCGAGCAGCATCACGAGGAATGCGAACACGCCAATCGCAAATAGGGCAGGTGTATTTCTCATCGTCCTTGACCTTTCCACGAGCAATCTTCAAACATTTACCATGGTACCTAAATTGATTAGCCAAGGAAGCAGAGAATTTTGCGTAGAGTTGGGTTACCATTCGTGACATAATTCACACTCAATCATCATTCCAGCTTCAATTCGACGGCATATACAAAAAACTTCACGGAATCTTGGATCCTCCCAGCTGTGTAGCTTGGCATCCGCTGGACTTGGCTCTCGTGATGCTGGCTCGGCAGGCATGCGTGGCTTGTCTGAATTGATGTCGAAGCAGTCAACATTTCGTTCCAGGACATACTCCATATGTGACTTCAAAATGTGCAATGGCGCGTTTGCTTTGCCAAACAGCTTCTTGCCCTTTCGCATCCAATCTTCGTGGCGCTTTTGTTCTTTTTCTAGATCCAATGTACCATTAGGCTTGCTATTCAGCTCGGCGAGGTGTTCCATGGTCTCCCGAACCTCCGAATACTTGGGGCGCTTGGAGAAGTCCTCATTGCGGCTTCGCTCGTATAGTGATACAATCTGCCGATGAGCCTCGCGTTGCTTGTTCAGGATTTGATCAACGGCAGCTAGAGTCTCGGCAGACACTGGGAGCGCCGCGGCTTGGGCTTGAGCGGAAAGGGCTTCCAGCTGGGGATAGTGGACAAGCTCAGCATTGACAAGTTCTTTGGCCTTAGTTTCCCATGCCAAACCAGCAGATCTTTGCTCCTTGTAATGATTCAAGTAGTCGTTGTATTCAGGAATCTCGAGCTTCTCGCCTTCCTCAATGATCTCTTGGACCTCATTGAGACTGAGAGGAACGCCACGATTGGCCCGAGCACGGTCATTCCATTTCATCTGCTGAACAATCTTGTCAAGCTCCTCAACCTCAGGCATGTCGACATTGAAAGAGCGGCCAAGCTCCAAGAGTTCTTCGAACTCTTGTGTCTTCCGCAGAATGACATTCTTGGTTGCTTCTTGAGCATCTTGGCGGAACTGCTTGATGGCAGCAGCGCGTTCCGTCAATTGCGTGATCTCGGAGCATTCGAAACCAATCTTTTCGGCTTGGTCGAGGAGCTTCATGATGTTGTCAACTTTTCGAAATTCGCGATCGCGTTCCTCCATTTCAGCAGCTTTGCTACCCTTGCGCCAGGCCTTTTCGTTCTTTCGTCGATTCTGTTGCTTGCGCACGATGTAGTTCGTAGCCTCGTCAACCCATTCATTGCAGCGCTCTACAAACGCTTTGAGACCTGGCAAGCGATCTAGCTCGTAAGGAATCTTCTCGCCCTCATTGACCAAGGTGCGCATGACTTTCAAAGACGGCTGAGCACTTTCTTCGAGTGCCCTTTCGACTTTGGCTTCCCACAATTCAGGTACTTGAGCTTTGTCAGCGACCTTTTTGCAGATTGCATCGATGGCTTCCGCAGTGCGTCGGTAGTGAAGCGTGTGGTTATTCCCAGCGTACCGTAGCTCCTCTAGTTGGTCACAGCATTCGTAATTTCCAGCATGAAGAACACACATGACCTTGCCGCTTGTATTGCACTTGAATCTCGTGATATATGCGTATGCCTTGCAATACACACATTGATATTCCTCTTCCGGAACATCCTCTTCGTCAATGGTGAAGCCTATCTGACAGCGGGGGCCAGCACCTTCAATTTCGTCCATGATGACGCATGGACCTTCATGATGCTCCTTGTGCTTGTCGACAAACTGCTTCCGACGAGCAGTTTCGCGCTCTCGCATTCGCTCCAGTGCCGGAGAAAGCCATTTGGCAGTAGAAATGGTAACACCACCAGTAGCAGCACCTTCTGCGGCAGTCCAAAGAAGCTCGTCGTGAGAGAAACAAGGTTGACGTCTGAATTGTTGCAATCGCTCGATACCAGCATCGCCTGAGGGCTCCCAATCATTTGGTGCAAAGTTTACAGCTTCATTGAAGTTGAAACCGTGGTTGAAACCTGCATGATAGGCCTGGGGAAATGTGACAACAAATTGACCAGCTCTTTGATCGAGAGCGTAGACCCGAACACCAGCCTTGTTCAGTTGCTCAGGGGTAAGGAGTGTAACAAGCTGGAAGAGCAGGTCAGGTTGAGTCTCGAAGAGCTCAGGTACAGCGTCACGCATGGCCTGCTCAAATTTCTCGGCATCCTCTCCAGGAATCCCATACCAAGTCTTCGTGGAACCGAAATGCTGATAGTTTGCCGAGTACGCATAGTGGTCCTCGTTGTGCCAACAGAAGGTAGAGAAGATCATGCCAACATACAACCAAGGAACAGTCATGCCAGAGATATCGGATTTGATGTGGCGGAACAGGGAGTCGGCATGGATTGGCAGGATGTTCAGATTCCAAGGGTCCGTTGAATATGGGTCCTGGGGATTCTTCTCGATCGTTGGAAATCCGCTTCCGTGAGTAGTGGAATGAATGTCGGCACCGTACTCTACTTCGACCGTCTCCTCCAGACTAGCAACAAGCCGCCAAAATTCTCTTTCAATGTCGTCCTCGGTGACCGGTCTTGGACAGTTTAAAACAGGGTCAAAAGGCATCTTGCTGTGAAAGTAACCCTCCTTGAAGTCTGCAGCTTTCTCCTGGAATCCCTTGAGAGAGTATATTCCACCTTCCTCAAAGCCAAATTGTCCGTCGCCAACAAGACATCTGGGGCAGTGCCAATCATAGTCCGGCTTGTGGGTTACCTGCGGATCAAGGCAGTACATGTGATAACCATGATCACATGATTCGCAGATCAATAGATTTCCCAGATCATCATTCTTTCCACAATGCTCACACTTCTGGACAGGGTCTAAGCTTAGATCTTGGGGATAAATAGTAGTAGTAGATGTGCTTACCTCACCCGGAGCGGATGAACCATGTTCGCCCGGAATTCTTGGCGGGGTAGGGCGGAACAAAGTCATGTGAGATCCAGCCACAGTTGGTACGGCATCTGCAAGGTTGGCATTAGCAGGGATGGACGATCGCCAATTGAAACCCAGGGAAGGAAGATTGCGGTGCGCATTGAGTGACATCCTTGACACCACATCATCGTAGGAAATAATGTTCCGGGAAGCCAGATCACATCAGATCATATCAGATAACAAAGAGAGTTTAACGTACCTTTCTTCAGGCGCTTACTTCGTCGTCCGCCATTTTCGCTGTCTTCTGGCTGACTGCTGCCCTTTCCTCGCGAGTCTAGGCTGTCGACACTCATTTGTCTCTTCAAGACTGGGTTGGACGTAAATCCGTTTACAACTGGTGCTGAGCTCAGGGCAGATGGCCTGTACTCAGGCGTACCCTTGGCAGAGGACAGAGGGCTGTCGAACGGGCGCCTATTCGGAGTAAAGCTGCTTTCTTCACGTTCTCTCCGGACGTTGACCGGTGTAAATGTCGCAGGGGCAGAATTGACAGGCGTGAAACCACCAGAATTGACTGGAGTAAATCCCGAGGCCATAGGCTGCTGTGTGGGCTGTGCCTGTGCAGGGGCTGGAGAATCTAGTCTTGGAATGTTCTTCAAGCCCTTCTCAAATTCGTCTTTCATCGAAGCATTGAGGGCATCTGAGGCGCGAATGGCTGGGGACTCTGCTCTGAGGCTCGAAGGTGTATGTTGATGTGATTTCTTCAGAGGAGAATTTGCCGGAGAAGGAGTGAGAGGTCCCCCATATTCATACTCCAACTGTTGATGAACACCAGGCTTTGCCAGTCGTAGATACTCCTCATAAGGGAAAAGCCATCTCTGGTAAGAGTTCTTCAAAGAGGTCGACAAAGAAGACATAATCTTGCCACTGTAGCCCAAATCTCTTCCAATTTCAGCCCATTTCTTCAGCTTGCATACCTTTTCAAATCCACCTCTGGTCTCGACGGCCTTCTTGAGTTTGTACAAGTCGAGGGGGCGCTTATCAACACTAGGAAATCGATTGAGGTTGGTTCCATATTGCTTGTGGAATTTGGCGAGTTGGTCAAGATATGTCAGATTTGCGCGAGTGCCTTATTCCCTGTTAATTGTGTCTTCGGTGGTGTGGCTGTTCTGAAATGTACTCACTTCCTTCAACAGAATTAAGCTCCTGCTTTCGGGTGCGGAAATGAAAGCGCTGTAAACAATTAGTAAACTGTGGCATCCTGAAACCCCTTCCACAATAAAGACATTGATAGGCAAGAAACACCGTCTTTCGCCCGGGGTTGTATCAAAGTATGGCATGTGTCCGTACCTCTGTGTCGATCGCAAAGTCTGGCTTCCACGAATCTGGCGGAATGATCTTGCAAATCCCATACTGACTGGCCTCCGGTGAAATCTTCTTCATATAAGCGAAAGGATCCTTGAATTCTTCCTCCGTCGGTCTGTATGTGGGAGCCTCTTGCAATTGATGCGGGCGTATCTTCTTGGTGGCCTCTCGGCTAGCAGTTGGTTGTCCCCTCCTCTCTACGCTGGACAAGTCAAGAGGCAAGCTCTTCATGGCACTGAGAGGCAGTGGAGCAGCGGCGGGATTGATCGCATTGCCATTTGGTCCTGGTTTGGTTCGACCAGAGGGTGTACTGCTGTTCGTTCCACTTGCCGGCGAGGCTCGCATGGTCGAGCTGGACGCCGTGGTGGCTGTTGGTACCTGCACCATGATGGCGGTATATGGGGTGGTTTTCGGATTACGTGAGGGTTTTCGCAGGTCGAATATCTATGGTATCGACATCGAAGAGGCGTATCTCGAGAGTGATGGTCGAGCCAGAGCGATATGTTGGCGACTCCGTCCTACTTTCCCCTCGTAATGGACCTGCCCTACCTCTCCCTCTGCCCACAACGATGACTAGACGCGCAGTATCAAACCCGCTTAGTGCATTCTACAGAACTCGCAGAGGTATTTATTTGTTGATCGATTCGACGTTGGGGAGGGATGATTCCGAAAGAGTGGTGTTGATAGTCGGGATATGCGTCGGAAGGAGGGAGGATGTTGAAGGGGTTTCGATATCTGAGTGCCCAGGTGGAGGGAGAAGCGGAAGTGGAAGTGGAAGTGGAAGTGGAAGTGGAAGTGGAAGTGGAAGTGGAAGTGGAAGTGGAAGTGGAAGTGGAAGTGGAAGTGGAAGTGGAAGTGGAAGTGGAAGTGGGTGTGGTTTGGGTCTGGCACACAACTCACACCTCACAGAACAATGGGCAAAAGAGAGACAGCTCGGTCGGTCGGTAGGTCTGGCTGCTGCACCGTACCGCACCTGCCCTGCCCTGCCCTGCCCTGCCCTGCCCTGCCCTGCCCTGCCCTGCCCTGCCCTGCCCTGCCCTGCCCTGCCCTGCCCTGCACTTCAGTACCCTGCGCTGCGACTTGGGCTCGGCACCAAAGTGCGTATGGGGCAAAGGCTAAGTAACTTAGCGATCCTAACCTGGCTCGTCTGGCCTGGGGCAGCGCCGACAGAAAACTGACGGGACTCGCGGGACTGACCCTCAGAGCCCTCGACCTGGCCTGACTCCCAGAAACGGTGCCTCTCCTCTCCTCAGCCAAGCCGCCAATCCCTGCACCGAACGAATTGTCAGAACATGGGGGGCGAGGAATTCTTCATCACCTTCCTTTATCTTCGCGCATATCCTCAGTCGTGTCCCTCATTATCTTCTAGCAATTATGATACAGTACAGTACATGCAGGTGAGTATTCTTTCTTTTTTTTTTCCCCTATCTTGCTGTGATGGGCCACAATGCACCTGGCTCCCGGATTTGTGCTTTTGCGCTCCGATTTATATTGACAGGGATGGGTGCACGCCTCACATGGTCAAAATGCGACATCCCTTTACCTCCTAAGCCAATCATCGGGCCACCAGGAACTTCGAGGTTGGAAAAGAGCCACGCCCCACCCCTTAGATCGCACCCGACCCAATGATCCAATGACCCGACGACCCAGCTGGGCATCTTGCAGACAGACGGCTATCGGAACTCCCGAGTCAGCAAGTCATCGAAGGTCGACCAGGACGACAACACTTGACAGCAACTGAGCTGCTCCATTGGAACTGTATGGCCCGGTAGTTGCGGCTCATATTGATGTGAACTGGCTTTCTGAATGAGTACTGTGTGCGGCGATATTTGTATCGAAATTATTGTTTGCGACCGAAGTCCTGGGTCCTTGCTGGACATTTCGCTGGACATTCGCTAGCTTCATCCGATATCTGCCCGGCGCCGCTAACTTCCATCATTGCTCGACTTAATCAACGTCACGCCCAATACAATCCGATCCACCAACGATCATAACCATAAGAATGGCTATCGACCGCCCTATACCCGCTTTCTATTGTTGCTATCTCCTCCGGTCGACCATTCGCGGTAGTAGTGTATACGTGGGTTCGACACCAAATCCCGGTAAGGACTTGCGACCGAGGAAGAGCGAGATTCATCATTGACGCGACTGTAGTGAGGAGACTTCGTCAACATAATGGCCTCGCGAAAGGAGGTGCTGCCAGAACGAGTAGACCGAGTATGAGACCTTGGGAGATGACTTGTATTGTGACTGGCTTCCCAAGCCATATAGCCGCGCTGCAGTTCGAGTGAGTTCCTGGTCTTGTTGACACCATGTGATCATCCTCACGTGACTACTATGTTGTTTTTTCTCCCTTACCGCGGCCTCGTGCCCCTGGGGGAGTCGTCAAATACTTATCATATCGTCTGAGTTTCTATATTCTCCAAATTGTCAGCTAACATCTCCAGATGGGCATGGCAAAACCCCCACATAACAACTCACATCCCGTCCGACTCTCGAATACAACACGCCGTTGGTAAGAAGAGGTCCGGGCAGCCCAAACGACCCCGTCACACCGTCTCCTCCCTCCTTTCAAACCTCCAACTCCTCCTCCGTGTATCCTCCTTCGCCCGCTGGCCACTCTCTCTCCACTTCTTCTCCCCAGACGTCTACAAAGCCTGGACAAAATGGTGCAAATCCGCCGCTGAACCAATCCAACCGACCATACATATCATCCAAGACTTCCCACCCACTTCTCCCGATCAAGAACCTCGATTTCCTGCAGAGAAAGGAAGTCCACGATCCAAAAGACAAAAATTGAGCCATGGCATAGAAGCTCTAGAAGTCGGATACGAGACTTCGAAAGCACACGTTGAGAAGGCAAAGAATGTATTCGACTTCGAACAAGAAGGTTCATGCGCAATCTGTCATGATCATCTCGAGCACGACGCGGGTGTTTACACTATCTGCCCCACTCCTGGATGCCAATCTGTCACCCATATTACATGTCTGAGCAAGCACTTCCTGAAAGACACCGAAGACGACTTTCTACTGCCAATCAAAGGCACATGCCCAAGCTGCAACGAGGAATTGCGATGGGTGGATGTGGTCAAGGAACTAAGTCTAAGGATGAGAGGACAGAAAGAAGTAGAGAATTTATTGAAAGTCAGGAGGTCTAGGAAGGGAAAGGGCACGTCTTCGCAGGCCATCGTCGAGGATTCAGAGGAAGAAGATGACGACCTGGACGACGACGACGTTGACGAAGAAATCGAGTTGCACCAGTTGAAAACGAGAAAAGGCAAAGGCAAAGGCAAAGCCAAGGCAGGAAAAGAACTCGGCGATACATGGCATGCGCTCTCTGAATCCTCAGATTCTGACACAGGATCGATCACAAGCACTATCTCTCATACCCGGAACAAGCCTACCTCTACCATTCAAGCGAGCTCAACGCAAACCAAGAAAGTCAAGACCGTAATCGAAGATAGCGACTGGGACGATGCGGATATCATCGACTAAAAACTATCTATGTCAGCGCATCTCTATCCTCACCCATCCTACCAAGAAAGCTCCAGAAGGAAGACTTCTTCTACTTGTACCACAACACACCATATCACGTTTTTGTAGCGAGTTATCATGATATCTAGCAGCAAAGAAAAATGCACCACACTCAAAATACACCACTTAAACTTCAAGCGTATGTACACATATATGTGCATGCATATACCCGTTTGGCTTGAAAGTGACTCGTCTTAAAGACCGGACGTAATCGGGTACCTGCAGTTCCTGACGTCCAGCAACTCCCCTGTTGATTCCATTTTGATCCGCCTCCGCCCACCAATAGCAAAGCGAGCGCATCGTTGGCTCCTCACCTCGGCTTTCTTTCCTTTCGCGCTGTCAGGAAACCTCGATCGGTAATGCAGAACAACAGTTTTCGAAATTTCTAATCAACTTGATTTGCTACAATAAGCAAAACTTCCCCGTTGACACTTTCTGGTGTAAGTGACATTGATCCTCGCATCTAAACATCCCAAAATCTTAGACTTCTGGCGTCCCAGGTCCCCAGCTTGGTTTGCGCCACAGGCTTCGCTTACTGATGTCTACAACACCACCACCACCACCACCACCAAATCAACGAAACTTCGTCCTACCTCATGTTCAATTTACATATAGACTTCCATTAGGAGGCCAACGGAGGTCATGCATGAATCACTTTACGACTTCTTCGTTTCACAGTGTAAGGATAATCGGCTTGAGCAGAACACATCTCGCTGTAATCACTTGCTGGCAAGTTTTAGCGTCTCCTATCTGGAAATCATTGATACGACTAGCTATGTCAATCTTGAACTCAAAGTTACTTCTCTGACCTGTAGAAGTGCATTGCTCGACTCGCCGGGGAAATTTACGTGCTTCACGTACCTTTCTCTTAATAGCTCATACATAGGTATTTCAGCTCACTTTCGGCATGCTTCTGCAGTACCTGCTTCGACTGACTTCAAATCGGTAACTTCAGCATACATAAAATATCATCCGTCAGCTACCCCTCGATCTAGCATTGCCAAATTACTACCTTCACATCACATCAATATCAACTGTAATTCAAGCCTCCCAAATGCAACCCCTCCAACTCCACACAACTTCCCTCAACACCATCACAGCTCCCAATCACCACCACCCCCAACAAACGAGGTACTCCCTCCCTGCCTTACTCCCTATCTCTCGCTTACCACAAAAAACCTTTATTGCACATAGCAAGCCACGTAAACAAAGGAGTTCTCTCCACGCTCCCCTTTCCGCTTATTTGATTCACTCTCTCAAGCCACCACCACAACCGTGCTCTCATATGGTTTTGTTGTACATCGCAGTGGATACTGAATAAAGGGTATATCCCAGCTCGGTTATTGCTCTATCTGAAACTGGAAAGGAGTCCAAGCGGACTTGATGAAGGTGATGGTTTTTGTGTGGGAGACGACGTCAACGTCATACTAGAAACTGAGTATCTAGGACTACGAATGTAAAACTCGACGAGCTTACATGAAGTTGATGTTTAATGACATTTTTGTAGTGAGAGTCGAGTTTTTGGTTCCCAATTATGAATCTATGCTTATGGGGTTTGTTGCATTTCGCAGACGCCGATAACTTCGGGCCGACGAAGTGACGAATTGCTACCGCGGGGGTTGAGGTAGATCGCCACTCCACTCGTCAGATGCTCATCCTATCGATATAAATACATGGGCATTTACCTTTCGCCTTGTGGAACAGCAGAAGCTGTCAAGTATCAATTTTTGCGTGATTGAAATTTCCATTTATTAACAGGCTTTCCAACAACGTACCACTTTGATACCACTATTCAAACAAGCCAGAGTAAGCATTCAGCGCCAACTGCCCACCAAGATGAGCATACAACACAGTACTCCCATCCTTAATCTCCCCCTTCTTCACCAAATCCATCATCCCTGCCAAGCTCTTCCCCTCATACACAGGATCCGTAATAAACCCCTCCGTCTCCGCCCCAAACCTCATCGCACTCTTCGTCATCTCCCCCGGAATCCCATAACACCCATCATGATACCTCTCATCCAACTCCACATCCCCCTCCGTAATATCTCCCTCCGCCAACCCAATCTTCACACCCGTAAACTTCGCAATCCTCAACACCTGATCCCGCGTCTCCTTCGGCTTAGCAGAAGCATCAATCCCAACCACCCTCCTCTTCCTCCCCCCATTCTTCTCCAGAAGTTTAAACCCCGCAATCATCCCCGCAAACGTACTCCCCGTAACAGCACAAACAATAACCGTATCGAAGAAAACACCCAACTCCTTCTCCTGCTCCGCAACCTCGAAGGCCCATCTCGCGAAGCCCAGGCCGCCGAGTGGATGGTCCGATGCTCCGGCAGGGATGTAGTACGGCTTTCCGCCGGACTCGATGACTTCCTTGGTGAGGTTTGCGAGGGTCTGTTTGTGGCCGATGCCGAATTCTGAGGGGTCGAGCCGCGGTGCGGCGCCCATGAGCCGGGAGAGCTGGATGTTGCCGACTTTCTCGTAGCCCGGGTCTGTCCAGTCGACCCAGTGCTCTTGAACGAGTTTGGCCTGTTAAATGAGTAAGTATGTTGTAATTAACATTATACTATTTGTGCTGGAAAGTGGGATTTCGTCACATGACAACCCAGACAACAGATGTGCATACCTTGAGACCCAACTTTGCAGCTACGCCGGCGACTTGTCTGGTGTGGTTACTTTGCACGCCTCCGATACTGATCAGAGTATCGCATCCTTGCTCCAGTGCTTCTGGTACGAGGTATCTGGCCATTGTCAGTTTCAACTCTATAGATTTCAAGAATGGGATACTAACTCCAATTTCCGGGTCTTATTCCCACCAAATGCAATTCCAGAGTTGCAATCTTCTCTCTTGGCCCAAATAGCTACTTTTCCACCTAGAGCCTCTGATATTCTAGGCAAGTGATGGACTGGCGAAGGACCGAACAGGAAGTCGGATTTCGGGATGCTGGCGAATGGTTCTGGGAGAGTGACTGGTGCCATGTTGCTGTTTGTTTTCTGTTTTTCTTGAATAGATTATCAATTGATGTAGCTGTATTGTTCTGGTCTTTTAGAAATGTGCTTGCTGGTTGCAATCGGTCAATATGAGGGGAAGCATAACCTTTTGTTCCCGCCACTAACCGGCGGGTAAGCATCGGGCTGCACGACATGGCACCGGATAACCCGTGCGATCTCGGAACATGGGGATCGCTTTCCACTTTCGTGATTCTTGGAGTCTTGGAATTGTTGCATGATTGGGTGCTTGCGAGTAAGTATATGATTATTACGATTCAGTTTGAATATTTGTGAGGCGGTCCAATTGAAGAAAGGGGATACATGCACGGTTCATACATCAATTGCCGAAAGTGCGAGGATAACCGACTTAGGAGGGTGGAGCGGGATATTATGACAGCTACAGACGGGAAATATACAATAAACAATCCTGATCCTGGTTTTATTATTTTATGTCGCCCTTGTATTACTCACGTCTCTTATTTTTGAGACCCCCGGTATCAGAATCGAGGTTGGAGCTTATGCGAGTAACTGACAACCAGAATCTTTCGAATGTCAACATCGGCTATCTTTTTAGTAAGCGTTCCTTCAGTAATCATACGGCATAAGTTTCTGAACTTTCATTTTCCCAACCAGATCCAAAATGGAGTCGTCCAATCGACTCTCTTCTTCCATGTCTCACCCTTGAATAATGTACCACAGGACAGACTTCCACTTCAACGCAGCTCCCTCCAAACTTCTCCCTCCTCATCAACCTGCTAAACATGCAACCACAGAAACCTCTTGTCCATCACATACGACGATAGGTTCAAGAGTATTGGGTAAAAGAGTTGCTGGAAATAGATGGATCATTGTCCATCAAGTGTGTCACAATTAAATGAAATGACGAAGACTTCACAATCTATCCCTGCTTTGAGTTGGACGAGGATACCAAGATTCTGGAATATGCAGCTGAGCTTAAGCGGGAAAGAGATGAACAGAGGAGGTAAATGTAGCGACACTTGCAGCTGAATAAAGATAGTCATCGGAGGGAGATGGACGAGCTCCAAGTAAAGGCACAGCGGGATCAGCGAGAAGAGCAGAAGAGGCAACGACAAGCTGCAGAAAACGAAATACGTGAAGAAGACAGAGAACGACAGCGAATGCAGCAAGAGCGGGAAGAACTGCGCAAGCAGCTGAAAAAGCAACATGACAATGAGCAAGTCGAACTCCACCGTCAAGTTGATGAAACACGACGAGTAGAAAAACAAGTAGAGGAGCAGCGTCTGCAGCAAGATCGAGAAGAAAAGCAAGGGCAGAAAAAAGAACGTGAAGTACAGCGACGCGAGAACCAGCGTCGGCAAGAGGTGTAACTGCGAATGGAGGAGCAAGCCGAGGAGCAACGTCAACAAAAAGCAAGAGAGTGGCAGAGGTGGCGACGTGAAAGTGACAGTACTAAATATTGGCTCCAGGAACCGGAGACTTTTGGGGAACAATATCTGCCCCGGCAAGGAAGTACAAGGGAAAGGGTGTGTCGCTTAAGGAGTATCTGATTAACAAACTTACGCCTGAGCATTACAAGAAGAGCTCTCGCAAATGTTGTTCTGCATATGATTGCAGAGCTGAAGTGGAGCGCTAGGCGGATTATCGGGCACGTGGAGTCCCTACTTTCCCAGGCTGGAAGTGAGCAGAGTAACATTTGGGTCTGAGGATTTCTGTTTGAACATGGGATGACGCTCTGGTAGAAATGAAGTGAAGTCTTAAAAAGAACGATCGTGTATTTCCATCCGAGACAGAACACTATTGCAATCGAGACGTAATCTTGAAAATCCATTTCGCACTGACTCAACGATTTGCTCCCTTGCCTTGACGAGAAAATCCCAAACTCCTCAGTAGACTGGATTTCTCCGCCGCTATCAAATCGCCAAACAACACTATATGGAGTCCCATCTTTAGAAGCGAAGGGTTTGCCTAGGACTGTGACCACTTGGAACGCAGGTGAGTAAGGAGAAGCGATCAAATGATAGGAGTACTGCACGCACCGAAGAACAGGATCCAAAGCCTAATACCTGTCTCTTCCACCAGGGCCACCAAGAAGTCTTCTGGGAGGTTGAGGAGCACCGATAGGAAACGGATCTCTTCTAGATCCATGAGGATGTCTATTAACGGGAATTGGCCCTGGTCGCTGACGGGGTCCAGCATTGTTCAGCTGTTGGAGAATTTGATGATTCTGGTGCATGACAAAACCCAGGCCTTCCCGCGTTCTGCCATGAGCTATTTCTTCGTCCCTTCGACCTTGATAATAAGCAGCCATCGCTTGTTTGTGTGTGTCTATTGCTTGCTTCTCAAAAGCCTCACGGCGTCGTTGTGCTTCCATTACCTGCTTCTCAAAAGCTTCACGGCGGCCCTGCGCTTCTCTTGCCTCCTTCTCAAACTCCGCACGCTGAGCATTACCTCTAATAACCTCACCCATGTAATGATTTTGTTGTCCTTGTTGGTGGCGCCGCATCTCTTCATCTTGCTGTCTCCTTTTGCTCCCGTTCCGATTGTAGCAGGCTGCTTGTGCTGCGGTCAAGCCACTTGTTGCCAGCCCAGCAAGACCCCATCCAAGAGTGGCCGGATCCACCATTGTAAGCTGTTTGAAGCCTCGGGTATGTGTTGTCCAATTTGGTCGTGAGTGGCCTTGTATGGTGACCTCGAGAGAAATATTGATTTTGACACAAGAAGATGGTGGAGTACTGTATTGGCAAGAGTTGAAATGCACTACTGCCGCCTCATCGACGTAGCGCAGGCGTACTCCAATGCATTCGATCAAGACAGCCCAGCAAGCGAGATTTGCAAGCTAGGAACTTGAAGCGTCGAATCAGGATCTTCGTACTCGGTGAGAACTGTTGGGGTCTCAGTTCCAGATCCAAGAGCCAATCACTAGGACCCTAGATATGAACCTGCCACCCCACAGATTGAGAATTCAGTGGAATATCACCGCCCATCGTCGTACGCTGCGAGCGTCAGTACGATGCACACGATACTCAGAGCGAAGCCCATGTGACTGAAAGAATGTATTGGAAATTGTGCTGTTAAGATAGCTGAGATTAGGCTTTCACCAACTACGCCAGCTGGACCAAAAGATCACAGCCTTCAGCGCAGGCTACATATGCCTAACATCGTGTATAAGTATACCGACTATTGTCACGTGTCGTTTAAAAAGCGTAGCGATTCGCCACATATCACGACGCAGGAACAGTTTTGGGCCAGTACAAAGTGAGCATGGTGGGTGTTCGCTAGAGATTGGCTGCGTAGGCAGAAAGGCTCCGAAGAAGAGGAGTGTCGCGGCTGTAAATAGTACCTCTAAGACCTTGTAGGAAGGAGAAAGGTGGGTGAAGTGTAGCAGTAATCAAGAAGATCTCTGCTTGTCATACCTGACCTGTGGCACGAAGAAAAACAAGCCATGGATATTCAGCCTCAGCAGACTAAGCGAACATGGACTGATAGGGATGGAATTGCCAAAGTGCATAATTATCTCCCGAGCCTTGATATTCTTTCTCTATTCCGCTCAGTTTTGAAGATCTGGTAGTCACGATGTGGACTACAATTAATTTGCTAAGAATAATAAATTCATCGTTAATACTTGCTGAAGTTGATAAAAGGTCAACATTTCCTAATTGGACCATAATGAGGCCCCTACCTTAAACTACCAATTTTACCCCAAGCAACCTCAATACGGAATTATCTTTCAACAGTCCGAATACGAGCAGACAGCTCAACGATATCGGTACCAGTAGTATTTCAAATTGTTATCTATTTGGAGGAGATGTCAAAGTCTATTGCTGGCCGTCGACAGGGCTTACGACTACAACTTCTAGCTCCATCCTGGTCGAAGTAGACGATCTCCGAAAGGGAACTCGTTGCTACTCAGACCCTTTACGTTTAGTTCATTATATCATGGAGTTTAATTGAAGGTGGAGAACATAAGGATTCAAACTTTTAATTGGTATATACAATAACATAAAGCCATAGCTGCCATATACGACTATAGACAGGGAAGAATTGGACGGTCTACTTAGCTTGCCGAATCGGGAGATCAAGCTCCTAACGACTTTTTGGTACAAATCCCCTCCACGTATTCTAATGACACCGCCGATTTTCCTTTCAAACTCATCAATATCACTCCAGCCCCACCAACCCCTAGCTCTATCTTCCAACATACTTTTATAGAGTATAACTAGCTAGAAAGACGATTAACAGTCACATACGACCATAGGTTCAAGAGTATTGGGCATCCCGTCCGCTCTGCCATACACAAGCTTGAAACCGGTGGACTAGTAGTTGGGTGGGTGACCACCAGCGAATCCCCACTGTTGTATGTACCCATTTATTTTTTGATGTTTTAGTGTTTTGGGAAATGGATGTGGAGAAAGTGGCCCCACTCCATACTTGTACCTTTTAAGGAGGCGAGTGCGTTATGAGCGAGCAGCGACTGGCAAAGGAGTGGGACCCACAGAGTTCTATATTCTATAACCATTCTTATACATTTCATGTCTTGTAGGAATTGGAGAGTGTGAGCTGATTTGACTGACCTTCTACTTTTCATCTTGGATTGGGGGCCAAAATCGCGGGGTAGTTCTCGCTTCGGCTAAGTGTCAACAATCACCCAGGGCCGGGTCCGGAGCGCAGTCTCTAGTCCCTCGGCTACAGATACAAGGGCCAGAGTACCCAAGCTACGAGTGCATTTACAGAAGAAGGTTCTGAGGCCGTACTACAACAATACGCTATGCATATTCCACTCAACAGACCAGACTTAGTCAACATACACATCTGACGAGAGAAATTAACAGTGAAAACTTTTGACATTGAATTTCCAGAATCATGAAGCTAAGGTCTGACAGTGCCACGCCCAGCACTGGGTATCATCAAAAAATACACTCTCCACACCTAAAAGACAGACGTAACGCCTTTGTTCTGCGACACATCATCCTGCTACCAAGCTAATCTCTAAAGCTCCAAAATTCAATAGTACCCCTCCTAATCCATTTCATAGAGTATACCTCTGGGCTCAACATCCTTCCTCAATATCCACTTTTTGAAGTACCATGGCAGCATGGTACGGTAATATCTCGCGTGGTCGCGAACCCGGACACTGAAGATCGTGTCGAGTTCCTCCAACGACAGACCCTTCGTCTCTTGGAGACAGAAGTATGCGTACGTCCATCCAAAGAAGTTCCATGCTGCGTACCATCCGAAAGCCTATGCAGTTATCAGCAATCGGTCACTTATGCATGGATAAAGACATAGGTAAAAGATTGGAAAACTTACACCCTGCTCAGTAAACGCCTTCACAAGAGCCGGCCAGGTCAAACTAAGAATGAAGTTGAATCCCCAACACGTCGCCGTGGCGAAGGCCATCCCGATCTCTCTTATATACAATGGAAACGCTTCTGCGCTGTATGTGAAAGGAACGGGACCTTCGCCGGGCGAGTAGACGGCCATGAAGAGATAGATACCAGTTGCGATGCAGCCGAGACGAGCTTGGCCTTCAGGAATGAAGAAACTGAATCCGGTAAAGAGGAGGCAGATACCCATCAGAGGGAAGGTAGTGAGAAGCAAATTTCGTCTTCCGAATGTGTCGATTGTTTTGACGGCTGGGATGGCGACTGGAATTTGTAAGCGAGTGTGTTTGGAAGCACTGCAACTCAGATGCGGAACTTACAGAGCCAATTGACAATACCCGTTCCAAGCGACACAAGAAGAGCGTTGGAACGTGTGAAGTTTGCAGAAATGAAGATTTCTGTTGAGTAGTAGGCGATAACATTGACTCCGCAAAACTGGCTCATAATTAGTCTGGATCACTTTTTTTCTGGCTGGAGGGAGGACTCACTTGTTGCATGAACATGACGAAGAAAGACGACTGCGCCGCACGACGATTTCTCGGAACCAAGAAAAACTCTCTCCAGAGGTTCTTTCCCTCACGTAGCTTCTCCTCAATCATCAACGACTTATGGATGTAGTACAGATCTCGCGCCGCCATCATCTCGCAATTTCTGAATCTGCAAAGTGCATCATACGCTTTGCGGTACTTATTCTTGGTCATGTACCAACGCGGTGACTCAGGAACAAAGTAAACCTGCATACAGACGAAGAAAGGCGGGATGGATGTACTGGCAAGCATGAGACGCCAGTTCCAATATGGGAACACCCCCGGGGTGTATCGGACTTTCTCGAAAGCCACAGAGACGACGAAGCCGAGCATAATACCGAAAGCTGTCCACATTTGCCACATCATAGTCAGAGCACCACGGATGGCTGTTGGTGCACATTCTGCTGCGTAGACTGGAGTGGTCGAAGATTTGGCTCCAACGGCCAGACCAAGTGCGAAGCGAGCGATCAAGAGGTTTACCCAAGAGTTGGCGGCTGCCATCCAGATTCCCTGACTTGAATTAGAAATCTACGTCTCAGTAGATAGATTTTACACATACCGTGATGAAAGAGACGACACATGAGATAAAGATACAACCTCTACGTCCAAAGTAGTAGTTGAGAGGTTTTGTAGTCCAGCAACCAATGAGAGCAGAGCAGAGGTAAGGAGCGCCATTGAGAAGACCTCTCAACCATACTTGCTCGGTACCAATGCCAAACTCTTCGAAGTAGAAGATCTGAGCACCGTTAACTGCAGTCTGATCCATGCCCTGCACGATTGCAGAGCCAGCACAGAGAACTGAGAAGTTGAAAGTCAGTAAGTTCTATAGACGCCGCACGTGATCAGGTGACTCACTTGTCATGTAAAACATCATCTTCGGCTGCTGCCAACGATTGGTAGTCTCCTTCCTAAGCCATACCTTCTCATTCTCAGTGAGGTCTGAAACATTTTCGAAATTCCTCGAGTTCTGCGCAACTAGTGCACCTCTTTGCAGGAGGGGCAAGATGTTCTCGAGGTCTTTCTCTTTAGCGAAAGCCTCAACATCCGTAAGAAGTTCGTCCTTGGTCATTCCAGAGAGAGGATTCTTCAGTTTGGCGCTGACGGCGACCATGCCGTGTTCGTCGAGAGGTCCTTCCTTTGCGATGAGGGAGGCACTTCTCGTGTCTCTTGACTCATTTTCGTTGTGGACGGTCTTCTCATCGTCGGAGCTGTGAGGCGCGGCGTCCGCCATGATGGTTCACTAGCTTCTTACAAAGTCTGGGGTACTTGGTGTTATTTTCTGGAGAGAGTTGCAGCCCAGAAGAAGGCGTGTTAATGTCTTGCGGCTTTTCGACATGATGAGGGAATGCTGTCATCTTATGTAGTAGAAGCAATATCCTCCCCCGCAGTCTCCATCTCTTGTGTCCCCGCCATCTATAACTTGGCGTTGGAAAAATTATGGATACACTTGTCTTGTGTTTTCACGCGGAGGGCTTGTGACGCAAGGATAGTCTGCTGTTGAGCTCAACGTCAAAGGCTTGCGAGCTAGAATCGGGAGCTAACATATCTCCAGCTTGGCTATGGGGTCTGAACCTAAGATTTAGAACTTCCCAAGCACTTTAGTTTCTCAAACACTTTTTTTTGACGTTCGTCGCTGTATTTTTCATCAAAGACATTGTTGCGAAAATGTGAAGTGTTCGCAAACAAAACATGACAATGCTCGGCACACTGGCGCACGCAATAAGCATCCAAGTATCATTAAAAAGGTGAGCATTAATCCACAATCGGAACGAATGCACGGCTGAGATCTCTTGGCCCGATGTCCATTTCTCGAGAAGAGGTAATGTTTACGTTCATCATCAGCGGCGTTCCCTAGCGAATAAATTGGCAGATGTAATGCTGCAGCCATTGGAGTGTGACAAGCAAGCGAACTCACGGTACTTCACCACCAGGAACGTTAAACCCAGGCGGAACAATAGTTTTATTAGGTGTGTATACAGAAATAGGAAATACCATAGATCCTATATCACTTCTAAAGATTCCAGAACTTCCACCCCTATTTCTATCGTAATTGGGATGTAATTCTCTATCTACACCTTTACCTTTATCAGGCTTTAGACCTGAACCCGAATCTGAGTCAACTTCCATAGCATTGTATAACTTAGGTTTAATAACTTCGACAGAAGATCTCTCACCTAAATCCATAGTATCCATGCCAAATAAAAACTGTTTTAAGTTGAAATTAATACCTTTTATACCTAAATATTCCGACAATAAACCTATTATACCTGTGTTAAAGGTTCAACCTAATAATCCTATAGCTATATTGTTGAAAAAATCACAATATTCTATATGAAAACTACCCGAAATTAAATATTTAATCGCCGCTATAAATGTAACAGTTAAAATAGCTCCACAAAATTTTGCTAATGTAAAAGTTGCCGTTGTATTTTGTACCATTAGATATAATTTTGTTTTCATCTTTTTTTAAGTGTAATGGTCTAATAATGTATTTTTTACTATTTTCGAAATTACATTACTCAACCATTACTAATACAACTTAATTTTACTATTTTCGAATGTACATTACTCGACCATTACTAATAAGGTTTCGTTTTGCTACCTCATAAAAATTGTAATAAGCAACTTTATAATAAAATTCTTATCTAAGACTTGAACTTAGATCAAGATATTAGGAATATCCTGCTTTACCATTAAGCTAATAAGAGTTTATGTTATATTTAATAACATGAATATAATATACGAATTCATATAAATTGTATAATATAATATTATTATGATTGCACTTAAGCAACATATAATAATAAAAAAGCCATCATTAAAGCGAATAAACCAGTGGCTTCTGCAAATGCAAAACCTAATATAGCGTAAGAAAACAATTGACCTCTTAAAGAAGGATTTCTAGCAACACCTAATATTAATGCACCGAAAACTACACCAATACCTACACCGGCACCTATAAGGCCTGTGGTTGCTAAACCTGTTCCAATAATTTTTGCTGCTTGTATCACCTTTTATGTTTTTTTTTTATAGAGAAAATATCTATAAGTTTAAGTTGCTTGTTAAAAATATAATATAAAATTTGAAGCATATATAGTTTCTATTATATCCATGTTAATAGAATTTAATTTAAATATCTTAAATAAAAATTTTTGTTATAATAGTTTTTTGTTTTGCTTCGTAAAAAGCAAACGATGCCCTAAAATATAGGAATACGAAGGGATCGAACCTCTGGTTTAAGATCTAAGATCAAAAGGTAAAACCATTTACCGCATATACCTATTGTATATATTATATAGACTAATACGGAATTAATCAACATAATATATACATCCAGAAACATTAGACTTTATAAGCTAATCTAAAAATAATAGCGAATAAAATTAAATAAAACAAACAATAAAATTTTGTATAGGTTAGATCTGGGTGGTTAAATAAAAGATGTCTTTATACGCACATGTTTAATAATTAAAAACTAGAATTATATCATTATTTATACTAAGATTTAAAATTATCCATGTAGTAATCACGCTAATAATATAACCAAAAAGACTCATTAAATTTCATCTTGTAAAAGCATAATACACCATAATCAAAGGGGTTCCCTCTAGCATTATTTAATTATTACTTTTATTAATAATCAAAGTATTTTGTTAAAATAAAAACTTTATAAACCTATACCACTATTTACTATCATTGTTAATTTGTTCGAAGTTGGCGATAGCGGAGTTCTCAGACTCGCCGCAAAGATGGCGAAAGGCTGAGCCTTTATGTCCTATGCCTGGCCACTTGGCGTTGGTTTAAGGTATTGGCGGAGCTCCGCTCCACTTGGCGGAAATCTGGATCGGTTGTGGCGGATTACGTACATTAGTATTGGTCCTGAAATGGGACCCGCTAAGGGCGGAAGGAGGATTGAAAGCTTGCAGATTCTTGTCGAAATGGAAGATTTGCTGGATTGTTGTTGATGTTGGGACTCGCTTGGCGAATTCTGCCCCTCCGACCCGATGACCCGATGGACAAGAATTGGCGTCGTCATTTCGATCGATCCCGGCCCGAGTCACGGACCAGATGAACTACTCAACTTTGGTAACCTCCAGATTTGTACAAAATCAAGTTCATTCTCTTCAAACAATAAAACATTGAGATCAGTCTTCTACTTCCAACTGCGCAGCGACTCCTGCTGCTAGGAACCCTCCCGCTGATAATGCTACCGTGACGGCCTTCAGAGGCGTCGCAGAATCTCCTCCAGCAAACACACCATGAACGCTTGTCTCGTTAAACGGAAGGCTTGTCTTGATGTCGCCTTGCGGCGTGAGCTCCAATCCCAATTGTTCCACGAAAGGTCCGTTTACCTTTCCCTTTGGCTTGTGAGCCAAGAATCCCTGAAGTGTCTTCTCTCCTCCTTCAAGGTGAACTTCAACCTCGCCACCTTTTGCACCCTTCACCATTTTCAAAATACTCCTGGAATCGACAGTCACATTCTTTCGAGTCTTAGACTCAGGTTTGCACTGAGACAAGGCTTTCTCAATGTCCTTGGTCACGGATTCGTTGCCATTAGTGTAAATAGTGACTTTCTCGGCAAGACGATTGGCATATCGCGCCATATGGAGCGCGGCACCTGCAGGTGCGCAGTCATCAATGGCTAACACACCCGCAGATTTTGATCCCCGCTCTTCATACCCGTGACAGAAAAGGCAGTGGAAGCTGTTCCAAGAGTTAGCCGAGTGTCAGACAACATGTTGGCAAGTGTCAGCTTACATTCCGGTACCCCAGCACTCTTCGTATCCTTCGATCTCCGGCATGATATCCTTGATACCAGTGGCAATAACAACTTTTCTTCCCCACCATTCCTTTCCAGTCTCATCGGTAGCTTTGAAAAGGCTCGTGCCATCGTTTCTCGCTAATTTTTCCAGCCTCATGATTGTGCTGTCCTGGAAAGATGTTGTACTGTAATTCGCGAGGATGTCTTTCCTAGCCGCAGCTCGAAACTCAGCAGCATCACGGTGTTCCCAAGTCAGGACGCCGTGCATATGCTTGGATTTCTGATTGCGGAAATTCTCTGATGAGAAGACGATGCAGGTGTGTAGAAGTCTTGCGAGGGACGAAGAGCAAGAAAGGCCAGCCGGCCCAGCACCAATGATGAGTACATCAACAGGTGAGTCTCGGGAAGTCTCGGGCAGCATTGTTGACATTGATCGTGCGATATTTTTCAGCATGTGGTGAGTGTGCTGCAATTATTCAAAGGTGTAATCTTCGTATGGTCTTTGGTCTTTTTTGATGTGTTTGTGGAATGATGATTTTGGTTCGAATTGCAGGAGCCCATCGCAGCTTATATCGTTGTTCTGGAGACTTTTCAGTTCTCATCAGCCTTCCAAGACTTCATATTGTACGTGAGTGTTAAAAAAGATTCCTATTGGACCGCTTGTTTCCATTTGAAGGATTTGATTCTGTGATTGGCTGGTGAGACCGACGAAAGATCGGAGACAAACTAGACTCGCTTAAGTAATCGCGTCGGAGACATTTCGTCGTAGTTTACCTCTCACTGAATCGAGTGTACCATACCACTGAAACTTTCATGTTCCGGCAAGTCATTTACGAGGGTCCTGAGTCAGCAAATCCATCTCACACTTCGAGGCCAGATCCCTTCAACCCACAAGCCGCATCTTCTTCGGCCATCAGTCGGCTCATAAGCTGCAAATTTGTCTCTCCTGGAGAACCAGATAAATCAAGGTAGGCATTGACGGAGAACGTCTCTGAAACACTCTCCAGAAACTGTCGTTCTAACACCTTCAAATGGGCTTCCAAGGTACGGATGTGAGGAGAATCAATAGGTCGAAACTTTCTCAACACAGCCAGGCTATGGTGGAGCTCGCGTAATTTTGCTAGACCCTGCCGAATTTGGATAATAACTTTGGAGCTTTCCTGTTGTTCCAAAAGCGCAGAGACGTGTGGTAAATAGCTCCCATCGTCCTCAACTGGGTCGCGGCTGGTATATACTGAATTTGGGCTATCCGTCGTTCTGAAGGGAACGGATACTTCTATATTCCATATATCAAGACTGCCTTCGGAAGAGTAGGAGTCGCTGTCGAGGTAGTCCATGGACCAGTCACTCTGTCCATCTTCACACTCCGAGATAGCAGATGACAATGGCAGCTCTTTATTTGAGTCGCCATTGTCCTCGGAGGCAGGTACGCAATCGTTAAGATCCTGAGCCCATACAAGCCGTCCGAATGCTCGGGCTTCTTCATAAAAGGTTTGGCGGCAATTTCTGTGTCGTCAGTCTCCTGTTGCATGACTGATGTAATTCCGTGATAATCCTTTGCATGATACGGGATTGATCTATCCAGGTCCAAACCGTCCAATACCCGGGGTTCTTCCAGAGGCGCTATTTGGCTGCAGTCAGAGACAGGAAATTGAAGCCACTTCATTGCCAATATATCCATGGCTGAAGGTCGCAACGTTGGACGTGGTACGAGAACACCTTGCAAAAACCCAATCGCTTCGACACTTGCCCTCAATGCCAACGGAGCCTCAGGGAACGGCTCCCCTCTACAGAACGCAGTAAGCTCTCGAGGGTAATTCGGAAACGGGACTTGCAAAGCCAGCATCTCATATATCAAACACCGGACGGACCATATATCCACCGCATTAGTATATTCGTCAGTATCCTCATGTCCCTCGATGATGAAGTGGACAACTTCCGGTGCCCAATATGATGGTGTCCCTGTTGCTGTGAGCAGCGCGGTATCGTGGTTCGAGGTTCGTTTACTGATTCGAAGCCTCCAATTTTAACCCACCACTTTTGTGCACTTTGGACGACAAAGATGTTCTGTGGCAAAGACCGACATTAGCTGGCGAGGGTCGACGAGCGTCTAATCTATGCACTCGAATGAATTGTGAATGGCGGATGCATACCTCCGGTTTCAAGTCTCGATGCGTAAAGCCTTCTTCATGCATAATCTTGAGCCCTTCCAGCAATTGCACAGAGATGACTTGAGCATCACATTCCTTCAAATCGTCGTTGATGAATGTCTTCAATGTTCCGAGGTGCAAGTTTTCCATGGCAAGATAAATACGATTATCATCCTCGAACCATCCCAGAAATTCAACATAGTACAAAACAAACTATAAAGTAAGCATCCTTCACAGACGTCAGCTCCAGTAAGGTGGGAGTGCCATACCTTCGACCGCGAGAACTTGGCCAGAGCAAGCAGTTCTTTCCTATAATCAAAATTCCGTCTCTTCATCCGTTGCTTGTGTAAAACTTTCACGGCTCTCTGCACTCTGGCACAGTCTGGAGACGGATCCAATTGTTCCTCAAGACGAACTGGACCGAATAGACCAAATCCCGATTCTGGTTTTCGCGGCACCCATCGCTCTTGCACCACAACTTTGCGGATCTCCAACTCAGGATCTGACTCGTGGGCTGTATGAACGATACATCTTGGATTCGTCTCGAATGATGTTTCCAGCTTGAAATCGTGACGGTCGTGGGAAAGGGACATCTTTGACTACAATTGAGGTCGCTGACGGCTCCAGCCTTGTGTCGACCCAGTTAGGGAATGGCTACGCCGAAGAAATGAAATCCGCCCCGCACAGGTATTCATGCCATCGGTGTATCTGACGAACCTTCTTCAGTGGACCTCATTCGTATGCGTTGAAAAACGGACGAAATATGTAGAAGAACCAAGTGCTGTTGTCCATCCACCCTCAGCCTCACCACCTTCCAAGTTGTTAGCTAATCAAGCAAGCCACTCACGTGAAAACTATCGGAGAAGAGCCACGGGACAGTTTGAAGTCTGTATCAATGAAATAGATAGATCCAACAAATTAGACTTGCGACAAAGTACTCTGTTCATAGAATTATTCCCATGCTGAACTCCAACAAGGCGCCGAGAGAGTTCACGTGATCGAGCCGGGTGAGAAGTGGACCTTAGAGGAAAGAAATGGCGGTTCTTTCTCGCCATTAGACCAGCTTTTCGAGTTAAAGATCTACAGATTCCGTTGCTTGAGGTATAATAGACTTGCAAAATTTCTGCACATCTCACGACACATTGCTCGTTCACCTTTGGCGTACACATCGCTAAACAAATAAGCGACACTGGCGGAATCAATAAAACCAGTCTGTGCACACAAGCTTACTTTGGTTTCCTTTCCTTTTTTGCAACCCAACTTCCAACCTCTCAAATTCTTCCTATATACAACCACAAAACTTTTGTTAACAAGCAGATGACGAGTTCTAGTCCTCCTGTCCACAAGTAATACTGTGTCCATGCTGGCCCTCCTCAACACCCCACGCAATACTCCTCGGATACTCCATCTCACCCAGAGCAGGGGTACGTTTCGAGACTCGCTTAGGGATCAACTTATCACCGTTCGTGGCAAGGATGCTCAGGACATGAGCAGCAGTCTAATCGATTCCAGTCAGTCAGTCAGATTTTCTAAAGGAGCACAAAGGGGATAGTGATTAAGGGTAACATGAGGGAACCAACCTTCGCATTAACCGTCAAAACCGTCGAGTTCGGATTCGCATACGTATCACACGCCTGATGATAACACGGATCCTGCGCCTCCCCAGTTCCAGTGTGCAATCCACCAACAGGGAATCCCAACTCAAAGAAACTCTGATAGTCGCTGCCACCACTAAACACAGCCGGCGTGACATTCAAGCCTTTGCTTGTCAGATCATCGACAAACAGCTTTTCGATCACATCTGAACCTGCTGGACCAGTGAGGTTGAACGAGGATCCATCGCCGTCGAAGACGCCGAAGTAGCCCTTGGAGACCATGTCGAAGTTCAAGTAGGTGAGGAGCGAGGAGGCGTTCGCGGGGGAGAGGTGCGAGGTGTAGTAGCGGGAGCCGAGGAGACCATTTTCTTCGGCGCCCCACCAGGCAAAGCGGACTTTGAGGTTGTGTTGGAAGCTGTTGAGGGCAGTGAAGAGTTCGAGGATGAGGGATGTTCCGGAGCCTGGGGTTTAAGTTAAGTTCTGACCGGTTGCTATCTGTTGTTCTCGCTTGGGGTCGGAGGGGAAGTTTAACATACCATCGTCGTTAATACCAGGACCAGCAACGACACTGTCGAGATGAGCACCGAGCATGATAACATTGTTTGGATCTCCACCCTTGGTTTCAGCGATGATATTTTGCGTGATCTTCGTCTCGATCAACTGGAGTGGAAACCGTTAGCTGCCTGTCATCCGAATATCCCCCTTAATTGGAACTTCTCCCTCATCCCACTTCTCCCAAACTTTCCAAGCTTTCCACTCCAACATCCACCAAAACCCTAAAATCGGAAAGGGATAAACATAAACTAACCTGCGTCTGCTGAAACTTAATCTCCACACTCTCCCCCGCCTTCAACCTCTCCACAACCGCCAACCCATCAACCCTATCAATGAAGCCTCCAGGAACGAACTTCTCCGGATCAGGTGCACTCAGTGTACCCCCAGTGACATGCGCATTTACATTATTATAGATAATCACCACGGCCGCCCCCGCCGCCGCAGCTGGTCTCAATCTTCCCGCCAAAGTCCCACCAGTCGGACACGTCCCCCTCTCCAGAAGCACCGCCTTACCCACGACGTCGAACCCCGCATACCCATCAACAGTACACCCCGCGGCACCAGTTGGGCCGAGGACTAGAGGGAGGGTCACGCCCTCAGGGGATGTGGAGGGTGAATATTGCAGGCCGAAGACGAAAGTGTCGACGCCGTCGATGGAGAGAGAGATGGATGTGACGTTTGTCCAGAGGGCGGGGAAGTCCTGGATGTAGAAGGAGCTGGTTTTGGATTGTTTGGCAACTTGCTTGGAGATGAACTCCACGGATTCGGCGAACCCTGGGTAGCCGAAGGCGCGGTTGTTGTTGTTTCGTGAGGCAATCTTTTGGAGGTTCATGAGATTCTTCATTAAGCTGGTTGTGTTTAGTCAGAGAGACTCGGAGGTTACGGGGGTGTATGAAATTAAGCTGATGACTTGCTCTCTCGGGCTCAATAGATTGAAAGAGATGGTACGTACGCTTTCTCCGTGATAGAATTCTGCAACAACTTGCTCGTCACGGGCTTAGGCCCTGTCCGCTCTTGGATACTGGATGCATCTACACAAGCACCAGCGGCAAACAAGCTCACAAGGAGAGAATTGAGGACCTTCATCTTGACAGATCAATTGAATTCCAATCTGAACTGAATAGAATAATGACAATAGTACCAGCGAAAGCAGGAACAAGAGTAGGTCAGAAAATTAAAACTGCAAGCCCTGGAAGGCAGCTTAAATACCTCTACTGACACCTCCTCCCCGCCACAGGGTCGTCATCATATGCACGACTCCATCTTCTTGCCTAGCGACCTACCTTATCCATCCATTGCCGACTTCTTATCACTCTCGCCATGGGTGGGCGGAAAAGTTTAGAGAGATCGCGAAATGTCTTGCCTCCTTCTTTAACCGTACTGCAAATATGGAGATCGGGAGGGGTCGACGTGAGAAATCGCTTGGCGACAAGACTGTCCAAGACTTTGGACCCTGGGAGTTTGACCCCACCTTCCTGATTGGGATAGGTTTGTTTGGACAGGCGAGACAGGTACGCGATGGTGGAGAAACGGTTGTGTTGTGGGTTAGTAAGCTGGGTCAAAGAATGGGGATTCTATAGCCAGAGTTGGTGATTTACTAGACTTGGAAGAAGAGATACTTAGCGGTGAGGGGATTGGAGAGGTTGAGAAGAAGGATTGACAGGTGATAATTGTGAGTGATGTTGATGAGGGATAGACAGTTTCGAACAGCAATTGCGTTCCAAGCCGACTGGCTAATTTCGCAAAGTCAAAATTCAAACCTCCATAAACTTTCATATCCATCCTTTCCTTCCACCCCACTTATACCAATCTTCAAAGAAGCAAGTCAAAGCCACCACAAATATCCACAAATGTACAACTTACACCCATCTACTCTGCATCCCACTGGACCTTCATCGTCGTCGGGAACGGGAAGAAACTCGTCTGATCAGGCGTCATGTACAACGTTGCTCCATACGGACCCGGAACTCTCTTCAGCTCTCCCCGACTCTCAGCACCTCTATACCACGCACCACCCGGCGCACTACCAACTACACGTCCCAATCCTTTCAAGCCAAACACAATCTTGAACATAGCAGTCATAGCCGTGAGACTGGCATCCATGCCTACGCATTGGTGAGGCCCATATCCGTAGGCCAAGTATGACTCGAGAGGGCGGTCGAGACGGACAGCTGTGGGATCGGGGAAGGCAGATGCGTCTTGGGAGGCAAATTTGATATCTACTAAGACACGACCGTTGGCAGGGATATTGATGGTTGATGAGCCGTCTGCGATGTCGACTTTTGTGGTTGCGGGATAGGCGGGCTTGAAGTTTCGGGAGAGACGAACTGTGGAGCGGAGGCGAGCACCTTCGAGGAAGTAGCGGGTGATGAGGTCGTCAGCTTCTTTGGTGTTGGCTTTGGAGAGTTTATAGATCTTGGGAATGTATTCGGCGCCTTCACCAAGGTAGTAGTCAAGTGCTTCAGAGAAGATTTGGGATTGGTTTGCGGTCATGGATGCTGCCGTTGGGAGACTGAGAACGTCAGTATGATAATTCGGAGTAGGAGCAGGATAAAGCTTACATGTGTGACCATACCACATCTTTGATGGAGATCTTGCTATCCAACAATCGTTGGATCATGTGAGTTCCATAATCGGTCAGAGCAGTATGTTGATGGAGCTTCGCGAGTACGTCAGCGAGGAAACCGGTAGCGGAGATGGCTTCCGCGTTGAGCAGTACCAAGTCGCCCAACTGTTGCGCAAGCAGATGTGCTGCCTCTCTAATCTGGAAACTCTTGGTTACATCACTATTGTGAGAAATGTTGATTGAGCACAAAGCCAGAACTTGGTACAGCTCCTGTTCCGTGTAGATGCCTCTTGGCGACTCCTCAGTTTTGATAGGCAAGCTGAAGACTGATGCTGCAAATCTAGCACTGACGAGGTTCGCAATATCACGGACGATATCAACTTGGTACGCGTTCTTGCCGGGTACTTTGAAGCTGTACTCCTCGAGAAGTTCAGTAGTGGTCTGCTCGTAGAACTTCTTGACTTCCGATTGCCAATCTTTGGGATAAAGACCTTTCTTGATGAGGTTTCGGGACGACTCGTTAACAGGACTGTCGCCTGACAAGGCAAAGTCGGCCCCATTGGCCTTCTTCGGCTGGCTGGTCATGTATTGTATACCATCACCGGCGGTTACCTTCCAGTTTACTTTATCACCAAGAATATTTTTCGCCGCGGTGTACGACTTGACAACGACTGTCTCTGGAGCTCGGGATGGTTTTTCCCAGTTGTATTTGTCGGCTCGGTTGAGTGATTTCATGATAACCAAGTTTTCTTCTGGAATGACGAGCGGGTAGTGCGCATAGATAGAGTCTCCCTTGAAATGCTTAGGGAAAGCGCGGAGGATGAGCTTGTAGAATACACAACCATCATCAACAGCACGATCGAATTGTACTTCATTGTATCTGTCATGGTTAGAATATCAATAACGAGTCAATGGGAGAACACGTTACCCCCAATTGGTCAGATTTCGCGGCGTGTAATCAGTTGTGTAGAATCGATCACCTCTCACCAAACCTACAGCATCCGATAGAATTGCGTACGAGGTCGTGAAGTTAACGCATAGACCCGAGCCTGGGCTCATGGGCGGCTTGGCCTTCTCTGCAACAAGACCAGGATACAGCTCAACGTAGTCTGGATGATCGTAAAGATTCTTCAACTTTTCAGCTACCTTAGGATCGGGGTTGATGTCCTCGAATGTAGCATGCTTCTTGAGTCCAGCGAACTCTCTGAACTCGTTCAAGGACGCAATATTCCAGGATCGTGCTTGAATTATGCCGAGGATTTCCACAGACTTCAGAATCTTGGGTACACGGTTAGCACCGAAGGATCCCGCAACGTCTTCTACAGAAGACTGCAGGATCTTGACCAGCTCGTCATCATTGAACGTGCCGTCGGCTTGGCGCTTCAGACCTGCGAATGGTCGTTCAAATGGATCCTTTGGGGTGTTTGCTTCCATGGCACGAAGAGCACCGAGCAGTTGGCCAAGGCTGACATCTTCTGGCTTCTTTCCGGGGAACATCTTGGTGTAGATATCTTGAGTCCATTTGTCATCCTTTTCGGAGACAGCCGAATGCCATCTGTAAACTAGGAATTGTCAGTAGCTATCTCAACTCATGGGGTCACAAAACTTACTCAGATTGAACTCTGCCGATACCTGGTTGCCACATCCCTCGGCTGTAGGCGTCTTGAACAAAGTCTTACCCTCCTCCGTTCTCGGATCAAGATCCCATTTCGTGTCAGTGCGATTCAAGCTCAGAATGGTTCTGACATAATCCTTGAGAATGCAGTTGACGTAGAGACCACAAGTAATGAGGCGACCTGTCTGGAACAGATCGTTGTCATAATCATCCCACTTCTTCTTTGGATCATCGTCCTTCGGTTTTGCGAAACGGCCGTTCTCATTGATACTTTCATTCGTAAGACTATGAAATTAAGTGATTTGGGAGACTTACGCAGCAAGCTGAGTGACGACATAATTGTGGAACCTATTGAACATAATCACCATGACACCAACTCCGGGAGGAAACCCCAAAAGTCTCTTCTCAGAGAAACAGTCAGGCTTGAGGAGTCCATTCTTGAATGTTCGGACGGTGTTTTGCTCATCTTGATTGCTTCCATACAGTGGAGCAAGATCAAGATACGAACTGGTCATGGAATTATTGAAATCATCATGATCCTTCGATGTGTTAGTATTGGGGGGAAGATCAGAATTATATATAGAAGAAGAAATAGAAGACTGCGAACGTACAGTTCGGAAAATGTCGTGAATGATGATGGTGGCCAGGTAGAAGAGCATGCTAGAGATCTTGTTTGGGTGGGGTGTGAAAGTGTCTCCGCGGACCATCAAACTGTCAAAGATGGCTGCAGGATCAGGGAGGGCGATATTCTGGAGAATGGAGGGTTTTGCACTTCTGGCATATGGTGTATTTGCCGCTCCAAGTTGAGGATTGTGAATATTGTTGTGAGATCCATCGGCCGCTCGGTACTTGTATTTGGTGCCAAGACTGGTCATGGGAGGATGAGGAAGAGCATTCCAAAGACCACTGATGAAGTTTCCGGTAAGTTGCGTCGAAATCTTTGAGTTGTCATTCAACTTTGCCAAAAGAGCCACCAGATGTTCGAGAATGAGCTTGTCATCATCTTGCTGGCCCTTGACCTCGGAGCTGAACAATGTGAGCAGGGTCTCGACATCCTTGAAGCCAATTTTGCTGAGATCGGTCAGAAGGGAAGTCATTGTCTTCTTATCTGGGTCATTGGATGGGACGTATGGAGTTTCCGAGAGGGGTGAGAAGGATTTGCTGATGAGTTGTCTGGCGGTCTCAAGGTTGGCTTCTAGCTCCTTTCGCCATGTTCCATGCTCGGTACTTGAGGTATCGACGGTGGTTTTGTTTGATGCCATGATGATTGATGGCCTCTGACGTTACCTTTGGGGGTATCTTCTTCTTGGAGATGAAGTTGATGGGGAGAGAGTGTAACAGGGTAGAAGTCTATGGACGCTCGTAGAGGGGTGAATTCAGCAGATTGATCACACGTGTACTGATCGACCGACTTCGGCAGTCCCAGACTTCGTAAATGAAGCCGATCTAGGAAGTCAATGAGGCCGTAATAATAATCGCTCAATCAACAAGGCAGGCACAGCTCAATGGAGAAGCACTGTGGTGAGGTATGGATGTGACGCAGGACAGCAAGGTAAACAGATTTCCGACAACGGCAAAGACAAAGTGGGAGGAGGAAGGAGTATCAGAGCAAAACAGACGTATGAAGACAGAGGGGAGAGCGAGAGCCACAGATCTTATATGCATGCCACTAGGCGCGAAACTGTGAGCAGGAGGGCCTTCACCAAAAGCAACGAGGCGGGCTGAGGCTAAGGCTGAGCGGTTCTGGATAGATCTCCCGCAGTACTGTAGCTGGCCCGCGGCTGCATACGCCAGCACCCAATCACGGGGCTGGGGATGGTCAAGGGCGCCCCGGATCAGTGAAGCTGCATTGCGAGTCTGAGTGGATGAATGCGACTTATGCAAGCCCGGATGAACGGTGGATGCTGGGTACAATGCAACGGTGGCACGGTGGCACGATAATCGATGGAGGATGGTGTTGTGAGAGGCAGAGGCGGAGACGGTGAAGCGTGCGTGGGCTACTGTAAGGTAGCAGGAGAAGCGGAAGGGAGGCGTGCGGGAGGGCATGGAGGGGCATGGAGGGGGCATGGAAGGGCATGGAGGGGCATGGAGGGGCATTTTCAGCTGGCGCCAGGAACGACACGACCGCCCAGGCTCCAGGGTCGACGACGCTGAATCCCTCTCGTCAGCCTAGGAACAGAAAATAATAAAGGCGCGCAAGAGTCGACACAGCATCGCATCGCATCGCAATACAATACTTATACCTCAAATCTCCATCCGCAGACAACGCTGCCATGTCTGATGTCCATCAGGACGTCTTGCACTTCCCAGCAGCAAGCAGGACATTCCTCGCATCATATCTCCCATCTGCCGACCAAGCACAGCCAGGCGACTGTCTATACCCTTTCACGACAGTCACATTCGCAACATCTCTTGACTCCCAGCTCGCTCTCTCCCCAGGAGCCCAGACTGTACTCTCCGGCCCTCAATCAAAGGCAATGACCCATTACCTTCGTTCACAACACGATGCAATACTTGTTGGTGTTGGTACAGCTGTGGCAGATAATCCTGGACTGAACTGTCGTATAGAGGGCGTCGGTGGGTATGGAAGTGAGGGTTTAGTCGGACAGCCGCAGCCTATTATCATCGATCCGCATGCGCGCTGGGACTTTACAGAAACCAGCAAAATATTCCAGCTAGCAAGAGAGGGTAAAGGGAGAGCGCCGTATATTATTACTACGCTGTCAAACCCGCCTGTTAGACAAGCTGAGACTTTGGAGAAAGCTGGCGGTAAGTTTATTAAACTGCCACTGTGCAGTGGGAAGCTAGAATGGAGAGATATTCTCCGAGCTTTAAAAGTAGAAGGGTTGCAGAGTGTTATGATTGAAGGCGGCGCGGCTGTTATAAACGACCTCCTTGTTCCTGGAAACTCCTCAATCGTCAACTCAGTTATTGTTACTATTGCACCAACATGGCTAGGAGTAGGAGGTGTTGTTGTTTCGCCTCCTAGAAGGGTTGAGGAGGGCAGAGCAATTACTAGTACAAGACTGAGGCATGTCCAGTGGTATCCACTTGGAGAGGATGTAGTACTGTGTGGAAATTTTAGAGACCCTTAAACTTTCCTTCTATCAAATGTCAGTCCGCCGGTGTCTTGAAAGGGAAGAGCTTCTCCACATATCAAAGGCTGACGTGAGAGTCCGATGCAAAGTTTGACTTCTTACTTTCCGGGATTTGTTTCGTACAGTCCTTGTTGGTTCATTTTTCATCTTACATGCGTTTGCTTTTCAGCTCTCCTGCGGTCTGATTATTCTCTACTTTTTTATCTCTTGCAATTGGGCATCTCGGGGCTCCAGTGACCACCACATCAGTTTCGATGCCTGGGTTGTGCGCAAGGATCACAGCTCAGAAGGTGGGTTACACAACCATCACTTTGGACCTCACTCACCGAGGGCCAACAAAGTGAACAGCTATTTCACCCAGCTCTTACATCTTTATCCCGTTAATTACATCTATTGCCTTACGCAAAAAAAGGCAATCGGAGAGGCCGTTTTGTAATCCATGCCCTTCATGTGACAGTCATTGTGACTCTGTCTTATGGCTGTGGAACGAGGCTACCAGCAAGGCAGAGTTGCACCGTGATAGCATTGCTTCACCGAGACCTCGGATGTATAGCCTTCCTGATGAATTTCGATAGCCTTGTCCTACTGCGCGGATGCCATGCACTGAGCCCGAGGCACTGTTCGGCATTCTTGTTGTCTTTGTGAGCTTGCACCGATTGCGTGCATTTGGTCTAGTATCGAATACTCAAGTCAGGAAGATATATGAACTATAAACTGCGGAGAAATGTCCTTCCTCTTGCCTGGAAAGCAATGGCAGAATACACTGTCACGTGTCCCAAACCATGTGATTTCGATATCATGGCATGTTGAAGACAAGCGTTTATCCATGTCGCAGCTGTCATTATAGAAGACTCTTGTCTCGATTCAACGTTACACTACGATTTTCATGGGATCAAATATGGCTATGATTCTGGGGATCCTGGTCCTGGGGCGTGTTGGCGGTTGATAGAATGTAGCGACAGCATCTGCAATGTTTACGCAGGAATGAAAATTGAGAAATCGCATCAACGGTTATCAATTAGAGATGGACTATGTACATGTTGCGGCTCAAAGGAAGACGGCAATGACACCTAACCCCTTCAATTCGATGCCCAACTGTGACCAATCTCTTACGACACCACCGGGGAAAAATTAGGAATGAGAACTTTAGTTTCACTGGAGAAAAAGTCAATCACAGCTACTCACGCCCACCGCCAACGGGAAGGCAGTTCTCAGGTAGGCATTCTATAGAATGTTAGCCAGCATACAAAAGTCAAAAGCCCTGTTATCAGCATATATCCATTCCAAAAGCACTAAAATTAGCAGACAACCACAAAAACAACATCATGCTTACTTGGGAGACTCTGCTACAGTGAATGTCGCAGATGAAGGGGATACCCTTAGGCCAACGGCCGGTAATCCACCTTACCTGTCCACCAGCAAAACAAGACCTCCCCTCCTAAGCCCCCCAATCCTCCAATTCCCCCAAGGTATAAGACCTAGGAAACTTGCCAAATCCCCCGGATAGCCGACGGAAATTGGATCATGAGGTTGATGATTGTGATTGTGGTTGTCGGACATCGAAGGATGCAGACCCTTTCCCAAGGAGTACTGCGAAAGAGAGTGGTTGTGCCAAGAAATAAATGAATGAATAGGCTTCGAGAAGCCGTGAGAGATATTGGAAAGAACGGAAAGCCGAAGCAAATCCAGTATGTGATACCGTAAGGATAGTAGGGTAATGAATGTGGTACACAAGAGTGGTCTGCTCACCCAGACCAGTAAAAGAAAGGGAGGTGTGTGTGAGAGAAATGACTGTGATGCCAAGTGATGAAAGGAATGTGGGTGTAGAGATCGAAATTGACCGCAAAGTCAGGTGATGAGAATAGAACTGGCCATGCCCAAGACCAGATGGAAGTTGACAAATGTCGACGATAGAGAATGTTGAGGGAACGAACGTCGAGAGGTAAAGACCGGTGAAGTAAAGACCGTCGAAAGGTAAAGACAGTTGAAGGTAAAGAACGTCGAAAGCGAATGTGGTTGACGTAAAGTCAAGGTTGGATCCTAAGTCTTGCCCATAAGACTTTTGGATGAAAATGAGTGGAACCAGTGTGAACGCCGGGAAACCAAGAGAAGCCCCTGCTGGAAAAAGATTGTTGAGGTAATGATCGAGATTGATGAAGAAGGTCTTGCCTAAGGACCAACTCCCGAAAGAGTGGAAGGTGTAATGAGTGGAACGATACACGAGGTACCATAGAAACGAGTAAAGAATGTGGTTGACACGGAGTGCCAAAGTGGGATCTTGCCATCGAACCCAAGAAAATGAATGTAAGTGACACAGAGTGTCAGGTTGGAAGTTACCATGAAAGTATTGGTAAAGACTGAATGACTGCCCGGATTTGGAAAGCGAGTGTGAGGTGAAAGCGAGTGTAAGGGGAGAGCGAGTGTAAAGGGGAGAGCGAGTGTGAGGTGTGTAAATGAATGTGGTAGAAAGGTGTGAGGTCCCGTCGAATGTCGACGCCTGACCAAGGCCCTCTGATAGGCTACCCCACGCCGGAGGCCACCCACCTATGAACATCAGTATAAGGTCTTCCCGACTTCCAAGGAAAGGACACAGCTTACCTGAGGAGCTGCAGACGTAACTGGGAAGAAGTCGAAGGTCAACATCTGACTGGTGCCCTCTGATAAGCTACCCCACGCCGGAGGCCACCCACCTATCAATATATCAGCTTGTGAATTTCTTTTGGGAATTGAAGGTGCGAGAAATGCTTACCTGAGGAGCTGCAGATGGACAAAATGGAAGCCTGAATGATTGGATGCCGTCACGTAGGCGATGAAGTGAATGTGGGTGTCAGGAGACACGAGGAGAGAATGTGAGGTAATGAGCGGCATTGTCAAAGGAGTGACAATATATAGCGAATGTAGATGTATGATTGTGGATGAAAGAGTGTGGTTGGCCGATGATGAGATCGCAATAAGTTTTGACAGAAGTGCTAAGACTCCAGGATTGCGTCAAGTTCGGGCCATCGTTCTGGGTAATGACTGTAGAGCCAGTTCACATTCGACTTGTAGGCCGAAGTGAAGATCTGGCAGGTTTCTGGAGAGCGATGGTGGGGTCCTTGGCAGTTGGAGCACCCGTCATCGTCGTCTCCGATTTCAATTGCTGGAGTGAAGAATGGCCGCCGGGCTGGCGTATCCATGCAGTCCTTGCAAAAGAGTGATTGCATGTTGGCATGCGAACGAGTGTGTGGTGTTCCCTTGGATGCTGCGTCTCGACAAGCGAGGCAGGATGATGGGGGTGCACCAGGATACCCGATGAAAGAGGGTTCCCTATGTTCCGGAGGCCAGCATATCTCTAAGGATGATGACTGGAGTTTGTAATTGGTACAACTATCCTCCGTTTTTGGCGGTGGCCGAAGCGATGTGTAATCAAGGCTTCGAGGGTCAGGAATGAATGAATTCGGAGCTGAGTCCGAGATAAAGACCCGAATGTAATGGTTGAGCCATCCGCCATATTCAACAAAGTGAACAGACTTTGTTGACTTCCCAGCTGTAGCTTTCTTCAGGCAAGAAGGCTTTCCAGGCACCGAGGGCTTTCTGGCCTGGGCTGGTGAAGGTGCGACAGAGAGTTCAGCGAGTTTGGAGTCAACCGTGGTGAGGTCGACGTTCGCCGAAACCATCTTCTTTGTGATAAGAAGAGGCTGAGTGGGTGTCACTCTCCGTGATGTCGCAGGTGATGACCGAGAAGAGTTTGGGCGACTCTCTCTTGCTTTGGTGATCTAGAGATACTGAATTAGCCTTGAATTGATAAGTGGTTGTTGTCACACGTGGTTCATCATGTGACATTTTGCTACACGTGATTGTTCATGATGGTTAAGGGATGAGGAAAGAGCGACGGTGAGCTGGAGAGACTCATCGCAATATCTCGTTCAAGCCATTTGCGATCCTATGCAGTACTTATAGGATCTGCTGTGTTGCAAGATGTAGTAGGAGTAGACAGAATAGAGAACTTACCCTTTGGATGTGTGCATCGATAGAAGAGTCAGTCCGGGCGACCGACGATGATGATGACACAGTTGAATGAGTGGAAGAAGGAACACGAGAAGCTGGTCGAGAGACAGGTCTTGGTTGGGCAACCTTCGACGCTGTCTTGAATGTTGAGGTCTTGTAGGTGGACTTGGCGGCCTGAACCTTTCGAAGCTGTACGGTCGCAATCAGCCAGAATTCTGCGACCGGGGCGACGATGACAACAAATCGGCGACAGCGACCTCAATAATTGGGATTGCGTCGATTCGAGCGATCAGAATCAGAGAGAGACTTACACGCTCAACATGTTTCAAGATTGAGTCCTCTGTCTTGCGAGAAGCAGAGGCTGGAACCGAAATTGGTTTCCGAGAAAGAGTGGGCGACGTCGCTGGGAGGGCGACAGTCGATGAAGATTTGTTCCTTTGTGAGAGAACAGGTATCCGAGATCTCGTCGAGCGAGTCCGGATTGGCTCTGGGCGAAGAGCTCTGTTTGAAGAAATAAATTGAGATGCCTGGGTGGCTAAACCAGGAGCAACTCGGATGAGCTTCATACCAAGGCAAGAAGACATGATAAAAAGATGAGAAGAGGAGAAGGAGAGATTCGCAGAATCTGGGGGGCCAGCAGCCTTCTTGTATGCGAGAAGGACGCTACTTGTTAGTGCGGTACCAAAGTCAGATGTAGCATAGCTATTCTTGAATGAGGTTGGATGACGGAGGAAGCAAAATCTCATGTATTATTGGTCGGAGGGCATCGTGACTTTTGGTTGCGGTGTTGTTTAGTCAAATGGGGTCCGGCCTGGCATGTGCTCAGCGGAAACCGCCGTCACTCTTGCTAATAAACACCAAATCAAAGGCAGCCCAATGTCTACTACCAGAAGATCAGCATTGGAGACTGCATGCTCGTTTAGGATGAGCAGTACATCTACTGACAGTGTTTGAATGCTAGCAAGTATTAAAATACCATCTTGGTTCGGTAATGGGGAATACTAGCAGCGCATAAAACGAAAGTATCAGGTAAGATGAACAATAAATAGCACGTTGAAGCACTTGTGTACCAAGATGCGTTAGGGAACAGTGTATAGGGACGACTTAAGTAGAATGTGTAAGTGTCAAGGAAGCTCTTGCGAGCATATCTTCGGCACCGTTGTGCAGGCAACCTGCAGAGACTGAATCGAAGCTCTGGCACTGAAAAACAGGTTTGACAAGGACTGAATGGTCTCTGCCATGTGAAAACTGCTCTGTATGCTGTTGATGGAGGATTGAAAGAAGAATCGCAACAGGAATTGAACAATAGTAAAACAGGGCTAGAAATAAATGTAAATGTTAATGACATGAACGACAATCAACAAGATAGGGAGAGTATACGATGACAATATTTAGTGCAGTCGCTCCTTCCACATCGAGGAGCGTGTGATGCTGATTAGCCGGGCATGATAGATGAGACACCCTGGCAAACGTGAAAAGCCCAACCACATCTTTCGGGGCTACCAAGCTTCTTCAGGCTCTGATCATCTAAGCAGGTTGTTTGAGGATAATCTGCAGGTGATACCTGCCAGAAGTATCGTTTGGGACTTCGTCTGTCAGCGACAGGGTTTCTCATCACCTCGTCCACTTGGCTGGGACATCTTCATGTTGGCCGACATAAACATAGCTCAAGGGCCTTGCAGCTTCTCACCAGTTGGGTCAGGTATCAAATTGAGCTTAAGAGAGGTGCACTCCCATGTCAGACCAATACGATACTATCAATGCTGCGCTTATTACTGCAAGCGATCGATCGAAGATCACCTTCAGTTCAGGCCACATCAATTCCTTCCCTCAAGGTCATGGAGCCAGCCTCTAGCTACCTTTTGACAGATGATGGGCGTAATAAGTCCCATAGCCTCAATTGTGACGAGTACACTGGTCCCCACTGATCAAGGGAAACTCAACAGCCAGCATCCTCTTCAGTCTGCACGCGCACCGACTGAACATGATACAGGTCGAGGAGAACCTCTCCATTGACAAGAAGTATCCGGAAACAATTCAGTATACCTCTTGCCGTACCTGAGATAGTCACTCTCACTTGAGTCGGCGAGTTGCTGGTAGTTGGCGTCTACTGGTGGCGGCGATAGCATACCCTAGGCAGATATCAAACCAAGATACGGCAGGAAGGTCTATGCCATACGATTGGATCAGATGGCCAGATATGCAAACGATAACCTCGGCATGACTTCGCAACACGCCCGACTTTCGATCGGTTTTGCCTAGAGGTGTCTGAAGACATCTTGACAGGACAGACAATGAGTTGTGGTACCCTCTCAGAGCTGGCTTTCGGACGAGGCATCTTCGGAGAGGGAAGTGGCGTTTGGAGATTGCGCGAGAGCAAAACTGAGGAGGTTTTTGCGGGACGTCTTGATAAAGCCTGCAGCCAATACAGTCGCGGAAGCTGCATGTTTTCAGAAGTCAATAGTGGGAAAAGTGAGAGGCAGGTCAGCGGAAGGAGTTCTACCACTGGAGACAAGGAACAGTATATCCGTGATGTATCGAATTCATACAGCTGGCTCCAAGAGGCACCCTGGCTCTTTTCACTCGACAATCCGTCGATCGTGGTGGTTGGTCCACGTGACATACAGCAACCCTGTGTTCGTCCCAGGGAAGTGCCGAATAGACAGTTACATTCCACGTGGGAAGTATCGAAAGAGGCTATCGAGGAGATCTATAAGCTGTCCCCACCCCCTCGAATGACTTGTTACACGTCAGTGCTCGTAAAGGGCATGGTCAATTAATTGTGGAAGCTCCAAGAACGGACTTGCAGAGCCAGCCGCAAGCTCACGAGATCGGTGGAATGGAACGACAAGTAGGAGGCATGATACTGGGAGGATAGAGGCGGTGAGGTACAGTTGGTCGTTTTGAAAGAGGTAAGTTTGTGGTTAGCTGTCAGGTTGTGTCGTGGAAGTAATGATGCTCGCTTGCAACTCGCGCTAGTCCTCAACCAAGCTCAGCTTGGCGTGACGTCGTATTCACATTATCTTACCTAGACATTATATTGAAAGGCATATGATATGGACGTTGTTTCTCAAAACGCTCGAATCCAATTGCACCAGTCTAAGATACCTTCAACTATACAACTGACAGCACAACTCGCCACAATTGAATGGCTCTCGTTGGTCCCGTAGCCCTCAATCTGCGAGCTTCTAAAATATAGCCTACTATCATCCTGGCTTGGAAGCATATATCCCAATCATAAAATCTTGTCTCTACATTGCATAAGGTAATATTAAGAGATCCCCAAGCACTAGCCTCAATATCCCGTGAATGAAGACCCCCGAGACTTCTCTTCCGTACCCCACAGTCTCTCCAAAACATTCACCATAGTCGACAATCTTGAGATGGGAGACAGCCAGTTGGTATGTACGAACATCGCGTCTGATTTACAATGGAGCAGTTGAGTGATAGACTGGATGAAACTGAAGGACTGCGGACGTAGTTGATCTAGCGCCTCACTGGTGTGGAACATGGTCAACTGGTAGAAGGGCCGGGTCATGACCCTAGTTGCTAAGACAAGATGTTGGGTTCGTTTCTCAACAGGTCGTAAAATGCGTTGTAGCTGTAATAAGAGAAAAGTGACGTGGAAGGCAAACATATGATACCAAGCTTTGAGACAATGGAAACCGAATTGGAATTCAATCTTTGAGATCCCCAAAACTTCTCAAGAGCTTTCCGGCAATATGCTCACCAGCCGTCTCTTCTGTCCCATCTCCGCTGCCATCCAGTGGGCTCAGCTTCGTACCCAGGTTTCCATGATAGAAGAATGGGACACTGTATCGATGATGGGGACTGGCGTTAATAGCTCTGTGTAACGGACTCTTGAAAAAGCCTTTCGTCCATATTTGAAGCAAGTCGCCGATGTTTACTATGAGCACATCTTCCTGAGCGGGGATGCGGATCCAAGTTTTGGTGGTGGGATGCAAAGCTTCGAGACCGTGATGATTTGGTTGTTGGAGGAGGATCGTAATGCTTCCAAAATCTGAGTGTGTGCCAGCTGTGGCGTACTTAGCTTCAATAATAGAGAATTTGACGATTGTACTGACCTCCAATAGGTGCATCCTCGGCAGATGAAATTGGATTAGGAGGATAATGTAACAACTTGATATTGGCCACCGGATCAGTCATGAGAGCATCAAAGACATCGTCTCCATACGGCAATGCCATAGCCATGATTCGTAACAAGGTCTCGTGGACCCTCACGCCTTCGGCATGATACCGCATCACTGGCTCCCTTAAATCCTCATCACTTAATGTGTCTGGCCAGAAATTGGGTCCCATACTGAAGTCACCGCATCTCGGATCATCAGTTGGAATCTCGACACCAACATAGAAGCCTTCTTTTGAGTCGGGTTTCTTATCGAGCACTTGTCCGCCCATGGCTTCATAACCACGTTTGCTCAGGCCGGGACTGTTGCTCATTGACATGGCTTGTTTCTGTTCGAGTGGGAGGTCGAAAAGTCGTTCGGCACAGAGAAGAACTTTTCTTTGGAGTGCCACAGGGATTCCATGTCCAACCAACTCGAAAAATCCGAATTGTTGACAAGCAGAACGGACTTCTTGGATGACATGTTCCCTTGATTCGCCAAGGGATGTTGATGATAGGAATGGTGAAATGTCGATGAGGGGTATCAAACAGCGACCATGAAGAGAACTCATAACTCGAAAATATAGTAAGATAAAATTAAATTCGGTCAAGAGTTGTTCAGGATTACTCTTCTCGAATTCGAGGCGATTATCAAATGTGCCAAGAGTTTGTCAGCGCAGTGGTGGGGAAGAAACACCCCACCTCACCTCTATGAATAGAAGATGAATGCCATAAGATGGTCGATACAGACTCCGTCAGGGGTGGAGAATGATCTTGAACTCATGTTAAGGGTTGTGTAGATATGGGCAATGTAATTGTGACGTAAATGGGAAGCAAACGGATCGTTGTGATGGCGAACAGAATGGGAAGAGATAAAGCGCTGTGAAGGTTGTACTATTTGAGTTGGGTGACGATGGAAGATCGAAGAACATTTTCACCCGCCAGGTTCGTATCATATCCATAAATATATCCACATTGAACAGTATGTACCGCTGCCAGCTGAACGATTGTTTCTCCTGCTGAGAGTTTCCCATCTCTGTGGTATTCTGAGACATGTATCGAGATTGGATCGTCTCGTAAATCGTCGTTTTGTTGCAGCTGGGAATGTGGGATTCCCATGACATAGAATCTGCTGTCATCCACTTGTCCTTCAACCCAGCTGCTCTATATCATACCCGCTACCCTTCTCCAATGCCTGCTTCCAAGCCGGTCTTTCATGCACCCTATTCCTCCACGCATGTAGCTTCGGATAGTCCTTTTCCAGATTGGCATATTTCCTAATAACAATGACGTCCATGGGCCAGCTCATTACGAAATCCGCGCCGCCAAGTTCTTTTCCATTAAACCATTCGGCATCTCCCAGCTCGCCCTCCAAATATACCAGATTCTTCTTGAATTCCGCATTCGAGAAGAAGTTATCAAAGCCCTTCTTCACACGTTTCATGATAAAGCTGAATGGCCATGGTGTGTTCTTCTCCGCGATGTCAAACAGCATCTCCAAACTCGCGAGAGGAAATAAAGTCGCACCAGCGAAAGACCGTAATGTGTCGTCCCGTATCCAATCATCTGCTGCAAATCTCCCACGCGCATCGTATGTCTTCAGAAGGTAGGTTGTTATTGTCAAGCTCTCGATCAGAATTCGCCCGTCCGCAGTTACGAGTGTTGGTGATCGACCGAGTGGGTGGATGGACTCCAGTTCTTTCGGAGCTCTCTTATCCTTGGCACCACGGGAGTACAGAACTACTTTGTACTCGAGCTTGTATTCGATTGCGAGCTCTTCGAGAAGCCAGAGGATGCGTTGCGATTGGGAGTTCTGGAGGCATTCAGTTAGCTGGGTTCCCAAACAGCAAGGCTGACCAACATTCAGGTGATGGAGAGTTGGAACTCCTGTCTTCACTGCCTCGGCGGCAGACATCGTTACTGAGGCTTAAGTCTTGATTGAATGCTGTCAAGTTGCTGACGTTGAGTGCGAAGCGAAGCTTTGCTTGTGGCAATGGCAATGGCAATGGCAATGGCAACGAGTGCTTCATCGTCAGTTCATGACATCCCCAGCCTCGGCATCGATCCAGTCTTCCTCAGGACTCAGGAGTCAGGGCAAGAGGGTCCCGGGGGATGTGGGGAGGCGGAGCGGCGGGGCGGCGGGGCGGCCGCTACCAAGCGATCTCCAAAGTTGGCAATTATCCCCGCATCCTGAGCGCCATGGAATTACTGTAAAGGTATTTAGTTGCAGTTCTATCTCACTATCGCGAACTATCTCCGAGATTGCGACCAACCAAGTGACGGCAACCGTCTCTCGTTCTCAGCCGTCAAACGCCTTAACATGTCGTGTGAGAAGCATACTGCAATCCATTTATTGCACCAACTTCTCTTCGACGTTCTTCTCGCCCTTCCATATAAATTTCGGTAACATCCCAGCGACTCGAGAGTCTCGCAACTGCGTGCTTTGATTATTAACATTTCTCACCGCTCTTGTACAGAAGTCACTCCACACTGCATCATGGCATCTCGAACACAGCAGACTGGCAATAAGCCCATTGTGCTTCACATTGGAGATCCTGTCAAGTGGAACACAGATTTCTTCGATACCTTTTCAAAAGATTTCGTCGTTGTTCGACCCTCAACAGAGGAGCGTCAGCGAGATGAGTTCATGAAGGGTCTGAAGGAAAACCGATGGGGTAATTTCTCTGCCATCTTTAGGCCTTTCTGGAACACAGGGGGCGAGATGGGAAGATGGGATAAAGAGCTATTGCCATTGGTGCCATCATCTTGCAAGATATTTGCTTCAGCTGGTGCGGGCTTCGACTGGGCTGATGTTGATCTTATGGCTGAAAGGGGTAAGCAACTGACACCTATACTGAAATCATCATATTGACAGTTGTATTAGGAATGTTCTACTGTAACAGGTAAGCAGCTTGGAGATACGAAATGTCTCTCTAACATGCCCAGTGCCGCCGCATCAGCAGAATCTGTTGCCGACTTCGCCACCTTTCTCATCCTAGCGACTTTCCGGAATCTCACTTGGTGCACGACAGCCGCTCGTGCCTCACCCGAAGAGTTCAAAAATTGTCATGAGAATGCTGCAGTTCTTTCTCACAATCCTCGAGGCAACGTTCTTGGCCTTATCGGGCTCGGTAATATCGGGTACGAGATTGCACGTAAAGCGTACCGCGCATTCGGCATGAAGATCAAGTACTATGATGTTGTTCGAAAAGATGCTGCAAAGGAGGCAGAGATTGAGGCAGAGTTCTTTACAGACCTCAATGCCATGCTGGCCGTCAGTGACTGTGTGGTGATTGCAACGCCTGCGAGTCCCGACGGGAAGAAACTCATTGGGAAAGAAAGGTTGTCTCATTTCAAAATGGGGTCTAGACTTGTCAATATTGCCCGTGGGTCGCTGGTTGATGATGAGGCGGTGGCCGATGCTGTCGACGAAGGACGTCTCGTGGGTGTCGGGATGGATGTGCATGAGAATGAGCCCAGAGTCAACGAGAGACTCAAAGCTTCCAAGCTTGTCACCCTGACATCTCACAATGCTGGAGGAACTCTAGAGACGTACGTTATTCCCTCCAAACTAAGATCTTATACTGACATGATCAGGCATATTGGTTTCGAAACTCTCGCAATGAGGAATATCGATGCGGTTCTTAAGGGCAAGGAACCTCTCACCCCAGTCAATAAGCATCTGATGGCCGCTCCGGCATCGAAAGCCAAGCTCTAAGCCATGTTAATGACCATTCTCATTATTCACGTTAGCCATCTTAGACTGAGCATAGAGGGTTTCAAAATTGCAATAATCATATTTGGGGATCAAACGCCTTCCTTGATAAACTGTTCATGAAAAGATCTTTGCCGTCAGAACACGGCTAACTCAAAGTTGAGGTCTACCAAAAAGGCCTAGGACATTTACCACAGTTATAACAAGCTACCTCAGCTACAATAGCATATCGTTGTCTTTTTCCCCCAGATTCTGCGCTCTCTGTACAATACCTATGTCTTGTTCTGATTCCTTACCTCTGCTTGGTTCCTGAAGTGAGATTCATGCAGAAAATCCTAGTCCCCATATCTCAATGTAAAGCCAGTTCCTGTTTCTGACTTTCCCATTGCTGAACATAACCTTTCAGGGGCCTAGTCGAGGCTCCTCGCTGACTACGCATATTCTCAGACGACCGTGAGGCAGGAAACAACGCCTATCGTCCAAACAACAAGCTTAAGCTGCACAATGTGGAGTAAGCAGATCGGGAATCAAGCTTAATCTGAGCACCTCAATCCCCATATTACATAACACACTTGTACCTTACTCAGCACATCTGCATCGCGTGGGCAATGATGGGGTCGGGTCGACAACCGTGACCAGGAATATCAGTCACAGATCTTCGCATCTCGATCAGGAGGGCGAACGATGAATCATCTGTTATTTGTTTTGGTGTTTTGGTATATCTAAGCTTTCGTACCTGCGCCCTTGTCTCGGCAGGGTATGCTGAGTCAGAGTGCTTTAACGGGTCGGAGCTGAGAAGAAATATTGCCAAGCAAGAATATGCTTAACTCAACTAATTCCCTCAATGCTTTGTTCGGTCATGCTCTATGTAATAGCTTCTTGCATATCGTTTCTTTGCGAAGAGCTATTTGTTCAAGATGGAACCGCTTAAGTTGAACGTTATTGTGGTTGGAGCTGGCATTGCAGGGTTATCAGCCGCCACTGTCATGAGCCGTGCTGGTCACAATGTAACTGTAAAGTTCTCAGATATCTCAAGTAAGAGGCAGAAGCACTGATTGTATCTCAGGTCTTCGAGAAATCTCAACTCAAGCAAGAAGCGGGGTTTATAATTATCATGGGGTGGAATGCAACACGAGTTCTCGAGTCCTTCGGTACGCATCTGACCAACTGAACCTGTAGATCCAACCTGATCACGGTAGACTTTGACTTCAGCAAGGCTCGGAGCGTTGACAGCGAGTTCGTGAGTTCATATACTCGAGGTATAGCTTTCAATGAGATTCTGACGAGTTCCTAGATTGAGACCTTCGACGGCGCGACACTTGAGAAGAAAGCGAGCTTGACGACGAAAATCAATGATGTGAGCTCCTCCAATATGAAACAGAAAGACTTGTTATTAAAAACATTTCAGGTAGAGGGATCGCAAACAAGGACTTTCTATCGACCTGACATACATACGGAGCTGAAGCATTTGGCTCTGAACAACCCGGGAGGCGCACCTGCAACGCTGCTACTGGGCGAAGTAGTTTCAGTCGTAAGCCTCAGCTCTTCTACCATCCTTAGGCCGTGACTCTCACATAAAAGTACAGGATGTCGAACTCGGCGTAGTCTACCTAGCAGATGGATCGTCTCACTCGTGCAATTTAATCGTCGGAGCAGACGGCGAGCGAGTATGTACCAATTCGACGCCTACATCGTCTAACTACTCTACTAAAAATTAATTCCTAGTCAGTCGTGAAAGCAGCTTTTGAAGAAGCGGACACACTTCGCAAGGCCAGATACAGAATATTCCGCTGTCTTGTCCCCACTGAACGTTTGCTAGACGAACCAGGACGGGAGATGCTGTCGATGACGAAGAATACCTTTTCGACTTTCACAAAGGATAATAAAACGCTGTTCTGGTTTGAGGGAAGAGAGTAAGGTATCGATTCTTGTCGATGAATACGAGCTGACAGGATAAACAGCGGTCTGCTACAGGATCTAGAGGGAGGATATGTACCTGATAAAGACAACAAATTTCCAGGTAATAAGCTGCGTTCAATTTTACGAGATCAAGAGGGAGACTTAAAAGGGCAGAACTCGGTCCTGACAAGGCTAAAACGAAGATGCTCAGCATCTTCAAAGATTATCATCCCAACATTGTCTCGTCCCTACAGTAACTTTCCATTCTTCCATATCCTCATAGAATTCAACTAACGCTGAACAGGAAAGCCAGCAGTATCTCCGAATTGACACTCTCTTACTTCCCAACACCTCATCCGCATCTCATATGTCATCGCGCCCTCCTCATAGGAGATGCCGCCCACTCAATGTTTCCCACTACCGGGCAAGGTGGCTCTCAAACGATCGAAGATGTTGGCGCACTTTCCGTATTTTTCAAAGACATCTTTAAGCTCTCAACTTTGGATGAGAGAATGCGGTTGTATGAGAAGGTGAGGAAGGAAAGGGCTGCCACTGTCATGAGCATGAGCGGGATTGTGTTTGGACGGGAAGCGGAGTTTGCGGAGAGAAGGGGAAGGAATCATCCGATATGGGAGACGGGTATTAGGAGTGGAGAAGAGCATGTGAAGTTCTTGTATGAGTAAGTTCCGAACGTATCTTATCGTTTGTGTGTGTGCAGCTGAGGCTGACCTGTGTAGTTATGATGTTATGGAGGAGAGTCGGAAAGCTCTTGAAGAGGAGACGAGAGCGAGGGCTCGCTTGTGAGAGACTTATTTCGGTGTCATTGCTGATATGGAGACGCTGTGCTTGGAATATCAAGAATCTCAGTAGCCCATATTTAGTTATTAGATGGCATTGGCTCAAAGGTACAATAGATTTTCCACAACCTTGTTCACGTAGTGTGCGTCACCCTTGCTCCATTCTGGATACTATCAGAGTCCTGCGATTAAAACTGGGCATTATAGTGTTCAACTCAGCTGCTAATACATTTGCATGGGGCAACCATTTTCAGCATAGTCTGATCACTGGTTAATGACAGTCCACCATGTCTTGCGGATACCGAGTTGAAGATGTCATGAAGATGCAAAAACAGCATTGAGCCCCACTTTCTCGAGGTCCTGAGCGTGTAGCCAGAGTTCTGTATTAGGATTTTCTCTAGAATTGCGATGTGTTTTAATGGAAAGGGAAATTTCAAAGAATGAGAAGGAAACCAATGTTTACCACGTGACGAGCTGACACTACCATCTCTGGGCGGAAAGGCGGAAAGGCGGAAAGGCGGAAACTTAAAGTCCTCCTTGCTCCCCTCCTTCAAACGTCATCCGAAGTAGAAAATCAACCATAGGTCTCCTTCTCTATCCATATGAAGTCAACTCATACTCACAGGTCCCTTGACACATATATCTGACAGCGAGATTCTGATTTGGAACTACCAGCCGTTGAACCTGACGCTCGCGGATTGGTAATCAAGCACCACGAATTATGTCTCGAGAACAACAGTGGGCTGCACGAAATATGCAAGTGCCGATATCGAGTGGACAGAAGCTCCGAGCTTGGGCTGAAAGTTGCAGTAATGAGCAAGAGAGCGTTTTCTACTTTCAGATACTTGTGGGTCGTGTGCAACTTCAAGTAGGCATTGAATGCAGCTTTTGCTCAATCATCATGACATGGAATACCTACAGGTCATGGTAGGCTACAGGTCATGGTAGGAAAAAACCGAGGATTCCGTGTACCGTCTATTGATATATAAAGTAGCTCGGGAGCTCACAACCTTTGAGCAATCAACTCACGGCTAGTTGTTCTTGCGACCTCGCAAAGTTCCTCTCAACCTCAAAATGAATTGGTCACTTGGTATTCTGTCTTTTTTGAATCTTGCTACAACCTTACTGGGGTGCGGCATTGATAGAGCTCCTCAATTTGCGCCAATTCCAGATTCGGCGAAAGGTCTGCCCATTGGACCAGGAGGATATGGCATAGAATCATTTGGGAAGGGCGCATACATGGTGACCGAAGGCAACTATCAAGGTACGCTGCTCCACAAACAATATATGATATACGCTAATCCTCAAGAAGCTATCTTTCTTGTCTCCAACAAAGGGGTCATCGTTGTTGACTGCCCTCCTACCATCGGCCACATGCTTCTCTGGGCCATCGGAAATGTGACTTCAATTCCAATAACACATGTGATCTACAGCCACGCTCATGCAGACCATATCGGAGGAGTCACTCTGTTTGGTGATAAGGTCACCACAATCTCACATTATGAGACTGCTCGATACCTGACCCTGACGCCAGATCCAAATCGCCCAGTCCCAAAAGTCACCTTCAAGAACTCGTACACTCTTTGTGTCGGAAACCAAACACTGGAGCTTACCTACAAGGGTGAGAACCACCTGATCGGTAACATCTTCATCTATGCTCCTGTTCAGAAGGTGTTGATGCTGGTGGATGTCATCTACCCGGGCTGGACGCCCTTCGCACTACTAGGGCAGACGAAAAATGTTCCAGGATACATTCGCTCGCATTATCAGATTCTGGAGTACGACTTCAAGCATATCATTGGTGGCCATCTTGGCCGATCCGGTACTCGCGCCGATGTTCTCACGCAGCTTGAATACGTCCTCGACCTGAAGAGGAATTGCGAGTACGCGATCAACACAAGTGCGACCAACGACCCTGACATCGGAGCCGCAGCCGTCTTTGGTCCGGTCACTGCCAAGAACAAGGGAAATGGTTGGGCTCCGTTCAAGGTGTATTTGGATGTCATGGCGGACTACTGCGCCAACAAAACTAATGCGAAATGGCTCGGAACGCTGGCAGCTGCAGATGTATTCCAATTTGAGAATGCCGGAGTCATGGTTGAGAGTCTAAGGATAGATTATGGGGTTCTCGGGCCTTCTTCAACAGTCTGATAAGATCAGTCTCAGCCAGTAGGGGTGGTCATAACAAGTGCTCGAGGAGAGAGAGGATGGCGGGCCGAGAGAATGGAACGGTCACTCGTTTTTTCACTACCAACAAGCGAACACTGCCTTGGCTCATGGCTGCAGTTCGGAGATATATTTGAAACTTGATCAGTCTATCTGCCCCGCCAAACTTTTGCTACATATTTGCATCCGTTGCTTCCCAGGGAAGACGAGTCCCGGTGAAAGCCATGAATCGATCTATCTCTCTGTACACATCCCAATCAAGTCCCGCTTTCTTTCGTATTCAATAATCCTCCTCCTCCTCCTCCTTCTCCTTTTCTTTTGCCTTTTTCTCCTCATTTGCCTTTTTTTCCTCGTTTGCCTTCGCAGCTTGCTCTTTCTTCTCAGCTGCCTCAGCATGCTTCTTGGCAGTCTGTTCTCTCCCTTCCTCCTCTTCCGCTTTCTGCTCCTGCTTCTGTTCGATGATCAGTACCATTCTGATACGCTCATCATGAATTTCTGTTTGTGAATCGTTCGAAAAGAGGAAATTCTATCAAATAGCTGGAATTGGGAAAGCAAATTACTGACTGCCGCTTCCTCACTATCTCCCTTCTTTTCGGCGGCCTCTGCCTTTTTCTTGGCTTCCTGCTCCTTCTTTTCTTTCTCTTCAGCCGATGCCCTGTCCTTCTGCTCGTCGGCCTCGTGCTTCTCGGGGTCGGTGCTACTTCTTTGCTCTACTTCCATGATCCGAGATTTCAGCTGTGGGGAGTAGCTGGCAAGTGCTCGGTTCAAGAGAACAGGAAAACTGATGGTGTGAGAGCCAATCTGGATACTTGTCAGTCATCATCTAATACAGAACTCGAGTAAGGTACTGGAAATGCCGCGATATTGGTGGCCACTGCCACATATAGGATGAGAAGTTGAGGTTGCATGTTTATGAATTGACACTCAAGTATGTTTATTTAATTGAATATTTCGGGAGGCTGCGACAAAAATGAAAGATGGAAGGGAGAAATTTGCTGCATTTACAAAATAGAAAGACACCCAGGCTCAACGATCTGTATATATACCCACCGACCAAGTCCTCCGGAGTCAGGGTCATCAGCAAGACATTGTAGACAGAGTTTCTGAAGCCCAAAAACTTGGCAAAGTTGCTCTGGTTTTCAAATTTTTTGACTCTATCGGCCTGAATTATCAACCATTTTCTTGATGTTGTGATCATGAGTACGAAATGCTCGGGTTTACGAACAGAAGCCTAATGTTATCTCACGCATCCAATGATTGGATCTAACCATGTCGATGCACAGCGATCCAAGCAAAGTGAAAGGGCTCGGTCATGTCTAGACTTACGATAATTGCCTCATTGCTAGCCCGATGAACTCTCAATCTTGTATAGCTCTCGAAAACTCTCATGTTAGATAATACCCGGTTCGCCTCAGGCACTGCGAACGAAATGTTGCAAGCTAGCGGGGCTGTTCTAACATGCGATTGGTGGCTTTTCTACCATCCCAATGATGTCACATTCTAGACCTCTCCTTTGACATGTCTGAATGGCAACCTTTGTTTCAAATTGTCAAATTGTTTGAGGCTGAACTTAACCAGACGAAGTCGGAATCTTCGGTTGGTCTCTTTAAGATTCTTCAAACATTAATCCCCGTCCCAAGGTTAAATCGCCGGTAGCCTCTAAGTAGCTCCTTTAACAAAGCTAGCAACAGTTCCTGTTACGGTTGCTGAGTAAACATTTTTAAGTCTTTTACTCTACCCTCTTACTACTTTTCAGATCGGCTCCATCTCCTTCTGTTATGATTCTAAGACATAGACAGAGAGTCTCCTTTGAATAACATTGGACCAGAGAAGGGGGTCCATGGACGATTATCTTGGCTTGATACTCCTGTCATTGCCTGAGATTTTATTTGACAGTGCCGAGCTCTCCGGAATATCTGCAAGGAGATTGTCCGAGAATACGGCCGTGAGTTCTTGTGAAAGAGTTCATGGGTAAAGGTTGACCAAAAATCGCGTATGAGCAATACCACTGAAGGATCCCGGTGTTAATCGTGAACTTTGAATGAGCCATGTAGTCCAAGAGCACAAATCTTGTAGGGCACTTTCCAACTCAGAAATGTCCCGCTCACCAAATCGGACCATCCAGCGAGCCAGCATCTCTCAAATGTAGGAACACTCAAGCCTCTTAGATTCATCTTTAGTGGGATGCACGGCTTGGACAGTTTCGTAAGCGAGTCGAATGAAACAACAAAGTAAGCGAGCCCAATCCCCACTGTTTCGCGCTATTTTCTTAAGCTATTTTGCCATGAACATGTTCCCACGGGATGCGACACCTACTACTGAACTCAAATAACGCACCAGACCTCTTTTCTTATCGCCATGAACCTGTCAAAGTCAAAGGCAACCAGTCAGACCGGTGTTTAAGTTCCGATTTTCTCGCTCTTCACTTTGACGTTTGCGGCGGCTTTCCGGTTACAAGGTGAGCCCATATCGTCTGCCGAGGAACCACACTTTCTGGCAAGCAGACCTCTCGTCAATTCCCCAGGAATGCCACCAGTCGCCAATAAGTTCAATTTCTTCATTGTTGAATGACTGACACTCAAATTTTATGGCGGTTGCGCGCTGAAGACGGTTCAACTTTCCACCGAATGGACCTCTTGAAATACTTCCCCGGGATTATTATCTACCCACCTACTAGACTTTCTCAATGTTATTGATAGTATAGGATATGAAACAGAATGTAGTCAAATAACCACTTGTGTCCGATCCTTTCATGACAAGGCTTTGCACATGATCGTTATCGAATATGGTAGGTACACGTAGTGCGGCGTTCTTCCTTGTGGAGCAGCACGACTCGTTGTGTCAATTGAACTCACTCGAAGAAGCATGATTTGTCATGTAACTTGAAAATGTTGTAAATAAAAATGTCCTTATTCCGAATAAGCGTTCAGTGGAATACTTGGCTACTTACTAGCGATTGAGGTCGCCAACCCTCGTCTCTCTTTGTTGCTACAGAACTTTTAATACATGGTGTCCCTTTTTGATCATAAGTAATACATATATTATATCCATCTCGGACTCAACACAATTCCCCTATCATTTCTCCCCAGTGGTCTACTCCTCAAACTACTGTTCGGACTCATGACCAGCCCCGAGTCCCTGAAAGGCGAAAGTGGCGGCGGTGGGGCTTTCCTCGATTTGCCTTTGCCTTTGGACGTTCCCTTCCCCATACTCCACAACTCAGCCTTATCCACCTTAATCAATCCAATAGAAGGCTTGCGGTAGGGCACATAGAATGCTCTTGGAGACAAGGGCGTCCGCGAGATCTGTGGTGTTTTGGGTGTTCTTGGTGTCTGTGGTGCTGAAGCCATGCCTTCTGATCTCTCCATTGCTCTCCTCCCAATCTCCACCAGATTTCCTCTCCGCGCCTCGCTTTCCGTTTTTCGTACCTGAGCTATCTGCACAACTGCCGCTTGGTGAATGATCTCGCTCGGATTCCTCGTATGCCCTAATGTTCCCTCATCTTCCAAACCGAGCGCTGAGTCATAAGAGTCGTCCCTCGCGTGGCTTTTATTCCGCGACTGCTTTTCTGGATCGACAAGGATGGGTGCGACATCCAGCTCAGTTTCAGTCGAACTTCCACTTCCATCACTGACCTCTGGCATCTCATCAAGACCCAACTCCTCGACCCAGTCTTCGATTTCCGCCGCTTCTTTGGCAAGATCCACTTCCTCCACATACTCCTCCACCACATCCGCCAAATGTAACAACGCTTCTGCTTCTTCCTGCATAATTACAACAAGTTCTGTCAGGTCTCCAAGTATCGCATCTTCTTCCTGAGCAGAATGCTGTTGTTCCATTACTGTGTTCATGATATTCAGGACTTCCGTAAGAAGATCCGTCATCTTCTCAGGAGCCTGAGAGGAAGGAGTTGGTGGCGCATCTTTTCGCCGACGTCGAGATCGGATAGGCGTGGCTATTGTTGGAGTTGAGGATGAAGATGAAGATGAGGATGAGTGATATTTTGTCTGTGGAGAACTCCGACTTGTTGGTATTGGACCGCGAGGTGGGATTGACAAAGGTCTTAGATTGAGACTCGGTCTTCTCCGCATTGGAATTGGTGGCGTCGATATATCTTCTTCCCCATCCAGGTACTTTGAAGCAAAATAGCCTGTGACGGACGGCATGTTCGGCCGAGGCATAGAGGTGAGCATTGTATCCCGCTGCTTCCGTTCCGTCGGCGTTGGTGTTGTGAGTACAATATCAAAACTCGACGACGAAGAAGAATTATTATGAGCTCTAGGATGATATTCAGGCATCATGAAGACAATTGGAAACTCTTCATTGGCTTCATGGTCTTCGAAGCAAGTAGAAAGATGGGTGTCTGTTCCTCGTGGTGAGGGTGGGAAGTGATTCGGATGTTTGTGACGAAATGGATAAGCTTTACTGCCGTCAGTCCTCCACATCTTATCAAGTCTGCTCTGACCCCTTAATGCTCAGATCTTAAGAGCTTAAAAGGGGCTTCCAAGCTCGATCACGACAGACGAAATTGAGAAATGGTCTAGAGCTTCTTAGTTCTCGTAATCTTTCGGATGGAAATTAGCTAATCGTGGCACGTCCAATGCGCGGTATATAACTCGCCCCCGAGTCCAGCTACACAAGACGTCATTATGAGACGCATTGTTGATGTGGGAATGAACATGCGATCGATGTTCATGCTTGCATGGATGGCGGGGAGAATTTCTCGCTTATTCAAGGGGCGCCCAGCAGTTGGGGTGAGTTGTGTGGGGTGATCCCAGGGCGGCTCGACAACGCATAACATTCGGAGTTACAGATCAGGATAACAAAAAGTAAGATGCCACGGCGCTGCTGTAGTTGGCTAGAAAATGACGAGAGTTGGGGTTTGGGCACCATTACTGCCTAGCTGATTCCCGGATCTCCTCACCCCTCGAACTGAAATGTGTGGATCTGATTGGTGATCTAATGATCTGATCAATAGATCTGGCCCAGACAGAGTTATCGCTCAACAACCATCGATCGCTTGATGACAATCCATCGCGAAGGATAGTGAAAGACTCAACCGTCATAAAGCCTGGTGAAGACACCAACAGATTAATCACCTTGGTGGCAGCGGCCGGTAAGCAGTAATAAAACCTTCCCAATAAACTGACTAACCAGGTTCTAGTCAATAATAACTTGTAATATGTCCAGGTTGAAAATGAACGACAGGTTATGATGAGCATTTATACTATATGTAAACCCTGTGAGTATTACTGACCATCATTTTTCTACGGTATTGCCGATATATACCATAATTTAAAGAAATGAGTCTTCAGGCTTCCATACGGCGAACTTCAATTTCCAATTCGTCCTTCCGAACTTCCCTCGTTAGGAGTGGTCCTCCAAGAAAAGCTCACCCAGAATAGTCTCTTTAGGGCGTCACGTCCTTCGACCACTTGGTCCTTCTTGCGTTCAAGGAGCTTTAACCAGAAAACCCAAGCTTACCAATCGCCAGCGCCAACGTGTTATCAATATCCATTCCTCGGCGCCCCGAATTGTTGGAATAAGTGTCTGCATCACATGCCTTCGCGTTTGTGCAAACGCGAAGTCTGCGGTAATGAGCGTGGTCTTAGTCTTGCTGGTTAGAGGAGAAGTAGGAGAGAAAGATGTTGGACATCTTACTCATTTCCAGGTTCCGAAGATTTTACGCGGCCATGTGACGATGAACGTGACCTGACAGGTGATGACCGATCTGGGTAAATCCACTCGGGTTTGCAACCCACCTAACTGTTTTGTGTCATAAAAGCTCTCAAAACCATGAGATATTGGTTCGTCGAGACTGACCCGTGGTAAACGCTCTAGAGGCAAAATACCTGTACCCGTTAACAATGCGGAACTTATCATGTGATTCCCCTTTTTGCAAACAGATTCCTGGTAATGGATAAAATTATTGACAGAGCTTCAGATACATTCTACCATAGTAAGCGATCAAAGTACGTAAATCTCTCGATTCACTGCCAGTGATAAGCCAAGAGTATGCCACGTCATGAACTCCCACAAGGCTGAGGCTCAACCGCTGAACACACCAAACCACTTGCCTGATCCCCTCCAAGTGAATAGACGAAAAATCCAAACATATATCCAGGCGAAAGACTAATATGGCGAACTCTTCGTGGCAAGCACTAGGCATTAGGGTAGTCAACGAACATGACTTTGATAATCATGAGATACAGTTAGATACTGTACCGGACGAGATAAGCACGAAACTCAGCATAGAAAAATACACTTGGACCTAGTATCTCTTGGAATCGATGGTACAACGGAAGCTGACGATAATGCTGTTGTTGTTGAAGGATCCGGACGGAAAGTAAAACTTCGGACAAATCCAAAGGGCCGCTATTGAGGAGGTTGTCACTCACAAGAGTCATGGTGTTAAATTGTATCAAGCGGCCAAATTCTCAACAGTAACGAATGAAATTTTCATATAAACAAGATGAGCTAAGACTATGTACAGAAAAGGAAGATTGTCTCGCACATATGCACATCCTCCAAAGAGGTCAGAAATGACAGTATTTGCGTCTTGTCTCAAGCAAGGAGATCAGTCGGTTCGGTAACATCATCCGTCTTTTTCTCGCCATTTCCATTCCGATCCGATCGATTTTCTCCATGCTGTTCTTATGCGTATGCTTATCCATGTCATCTCTTTTCATTTCTATCCGTTCCACCTTCTATCTGAACACCGGGAACTTGGAGGAAGTGTTCAATCCACTCCATTTCGTCATCTGCGCAAGTATTTGCGTGATGACGGCAGCGATGTAGACGAGATGCCTACAAGCACTGGGAGTAGTATGGGGAGGAGTATGTGCAGACCCATGGGGATTGGCAGGTGAATGGACCGGCATAAGGAGGCTGGCCACCGCATTGTCCCCATCGTTGAGCACCACCTGAAGCTGCGGAAGAAGTAGCGGCAGCAGAAGTGGAGGTTTTGGTCGAGGTACGGAGAGTGGTAGATGAAGTGGCCTTGGTGGACGAAGTGCCGGCTTTAGTGGAGCTGGAGGAGCCTCCACTTGGTGGGTTGACGACAGATCCCGCGTTGAAGGTGGAGTTGATAGCTCCGACCTTGATGTTGGAGTAGATGACGTAGGAGTCAGGGCTGGCAGCTTCGACCTCAGCTGGGACACCACTGGTGGTTGGGCACGTTCCACGGCCAATACCTGGTGTGGCTGGGTTGCCATCAACTGGGTAAGTGCTGTCGAGCCAGAGCATGTTCGCGGCGTAATCGTCCCAGAGGGAGAGGGAGAGAACCATGCCGTCCTTGAGAGCCTTGGACATGGAAGCAAATCCACCATGTTTGTTGTAGATATCTTGGTCTCCGAAAGCAGTCTTCTGAGCCTTGCAGAAGGAGTCGGTGAGAGAGTTGCCTGGGTTTCCAGCGATAGTAGATTGAGAGTTGGGGATGACAACACCGTTCTGGACGTAGAATCTCTTGATCTCGCTCAGGGTTCCGGCATCGGTGCCGGTGTTGGTGAGGAATTGAGTGACGACAGTGAAAACAGAGTTGGTGTTGACAGTCTTGCCTGGGCCGTAGAACTCCTTGTTGCCTTGGCGGTAAGAGTTGAAATCACATCCGTCGGGATCAGTGACACCAGCATATCTGTCGGCAGAGTAAGTGCCTCCACACGCGTCTCCAGAGCACATGGTCTGTCCGGTAGGGTCGGCAGAGTGAGGAGTGTATGCCGTAGAGATGGAGTTGGCTTCCCAAATATCCATCTCGGCACAGCACGAACCGTGGGTTCCGAAACCAGTGTTGGCGTTATTGGAAGCTGGGACCCAGCCTTCGACGTTTGCCTTAGATTACAGTCAGTATGGTCGCCCAATCGCAGCAGAAACTTTGGGAAATTACCATTCCGTTGATAAACTTAAGATCACGTGGGCACTGGGCATCGCAGTATCCGACACCTGAAGCTGTTAGTCCCCATCAACGCTCTCTTTGGGTGGTACAGAAATTTACCATATTTAGCACCAGCCTTGTTGTTGGGGTACAGAGAGGCACCACCATCCTTGGCCATGCTGACAAGGTAAAGAGCACCATTCAGGCCACAAGGAAGATGAGACACATCTACATCGAATGTGAATTCTTTGTTCAAGAGGCTGAGCATTTGGTAGTTGGAGTCATCGGCCATGAGGAACATGCGAGATCCGACGTTTCGATTGGCGCCGTTAGTGACAAAGTTGAGTCTCAAGGCATTACCAGTGGTGGTAGCTCCATAAGTTCCGGAGTAGTCAGCACCATCAAGTTGGCAGTTTTTAGCGCAAGCCGTGTTGTCGGGGCAGAAAGTTGGGTTCCAGGTGTTACCAGTATAGCAGTTGGTACCAGTGGATGAGTGCAACCAACGCCAGTTAGAATCGAGGACGACCTTGCCAGCAATGGTTGTGCAAGAGCCGTAGGCTGTGCAAGTTTGCCATGTGAGAGGAGGGTGGACTTCAGGAGTCAAAGTACCGATTCCCTGACCGGAAGCAACAGACAGCAAGAGCGAGGCGAGGGCGATTCTGGAAGACATGTTTGAGGACTGATGATGATCTTGAGAAGAGGCGTGAAGAGAAAATTCTAGATCAGAGAAATCCCGGTTTATATAACCTTTTGTTTCCTAAGAAGCCAAGCTCATAGCTGGAGTGATCGTGGCGCAAGGTTCTTCGCACGTGGATCTCCTGAAGTCGAACTACCTACAGGCCATCTCAAATCGATCATGGATCAGCGGCTCGACGGTCCCTTCGGAGTCAACAGTGAAGAAGCCAGGGAGACGAAACTCTTCGCTAAAGGCGGACCGGAGTGGAGAGATTGGAGGGTGAAGGAGTTGGCCATGACTAGCTGCTCAGCTGGTGTCTCTCAAATTCCATAGTATCAAAGAGAGTGGAGAAACGTTGATGCGATGCAAGGGTCAACTTGAACGGGCTCGCGAGGTACATCGAATTCACTATTCTGGACGCCTCTCAAGACCGCACGATGCGGTCACGGTGACCACCGGATCAGTTGAACCGAAAATTAATATAAATATCGGAGCTAGCTTGGGTATCCAGGGGCAAACCAATTCGAGGGACTTTGAGTTCTCTCCGGGCCCCTTGCCTCATTTAGACCGGATTCCCATGCTTGGGCAACTTCAGGAGAAAGTTTTAACCGGCTGTTCAATTACTCAAGTCTCGAAAAAAACAAATTTGATGAACGTTTGAGTAAGAAGGACCTGCAATTTCATGATACAGAAGCACAGACAACAAGACAGTAGGGAGAACTTGGTACCGGTACTACGCGAGCCTCTAGACAGAGAACAAAGCTTTCTGTATAGTACTGTTTAAAGTGTAAATCGCAGAAATATATTAACGTTATCATCGCGGGGTCTTCCTACCAAAGCTCTCAAAGGGTCGAGTCTGCCGAGGCCCGAACCGCCCTAACATCTCACGAGGGTCTTGATTGCGGGGATAAGGTTCGCCTGAGACCCGGGTAAAATCAACGACAACACAAACAGGGGCTGTGAGTGGCGCAACAATGCCGGGGAAATAGTGTCTCCGGAGCAAGACATACCGTCAGGAGACCACAAGACTGGATTGCCATGCGAGATTGGGAGATCTAGCTTTTCAGAGGGTCCTTGCCCAGGGGAAACTCCACTGCCACCAGACAGCAGATTATCCATTTAGGGCTTTCGGCGAGCCCTCCGCGGACAAGACCTAAAATGGATACACATACTCCACAGTAGCGGCTTCCACGGATTAACATCATTCTGACCCTCTGCCTTGCCTCCACACCCTTAGGTACGCTTGCTACCCCAGTAGGGTTGTGCCTGTGGAGATTGCCAGGTGCATTTTGCGGGAGACCTAGTTACTTCCCAGGTTTTCCTGTCACATGAGCGTGTTGTGAGCGTAGAAATCAAGATTTTGATAGCCAACATTGGACGCAAAAAAAAAAAGGCGACGGCTGCCCCTGCCGGGAACTTGCGTAGCAATAAGCGAGAAGGGGTATCGGGGGAATTCTCCATGATGAACATGGGAGATGGAGACGAGCCGTCGAAGCTAAAGAAAGAGATGTGATTACTCAGACGGACCCTGGATGCCGAACAATGGGCTGGTAATACCTCAGGTTCGCACCCTATTATCGCAGGTTCCTTGGACTACTGCTGGGAGAGAAATTGGATGGTACAGACGATCCATCTGAGCGCTTAATGACCCTCCCTAATATCCATCCTTCACATCGTATTCGATTGGCGAGAATAGCATCATCGCAGCTGCCGAACTGCCCCATACACTCCACAATGCTCGCGTGGGGAATGCGAGATAGTATGACCTCGTATGTGCGGCTATGATGAAAACCAAACAGTATGAGCACAGGATTGCCTTCGGCAAAGTTCCCGGCGCTCCTAAGTGAGTGCTCAAACTCATGCTCACTCACAAAGAGGCTGATTTTGGGGCACAGTTCTTCCATGTGTTGACTCGTGCTTTGGGAATAGTGACACCCTTCGCCACCACCTCGTCACCAGCCGTCCGCCGTGCTATGAAGTCGCAGATCCGCTCTCAAGCAGTCCGCCTTCGCATTGGAGAGGGAGTCGATCATCTTCTGGATCTAAAATTCACAGCATTGCAGCTCGCGACTACACAAGTCGACTCAGCCACTCTTCACGACGGTTTCGTGGACTGATCACACCCAGCTGAAGTCATGGTTCCGAGAAACCTAGAGCTTGAACAAACCTGCAGTGACGCATCCTACAGCAAGGACCGTTCAAGACAGATTTGACTGCAAGTTCGATATGGAAGCGCGGATCATTCGGGGTCCTCAGATCCATTTCATTTGCTGAATCCGAAATCGAATCTCAGTGGCACATGTTGCAGCGGCACCCATCGAAAGAATAAGGTACAGCTTTCACCAGAGGCTGCAATCTGGCTTCGCGTTTTTGATCCGGTTAGACGAACGGTCGACCTGGCAATGATTCACAATCTCCTGTTACCCAGAGCCATTCCCACAAGACATCTGGCACGACACCGAAGCATCTTCGAATCAACCACACGAAAGGATGATGATCCCAGCTCCTCCCGCGCCGATGCCTTGTGTAGTGAATTATATACGATGATGGGATCAACAGAACCACAACGCTCTCGGTGTAGGTCATCGGGGTCCAGCTTCATATCCTCCCTCAAATGCATCCATTGATTTCCCAACTAGCACCTGGACGATGACATCCTGTACGTAAGAAAAAATGCGAGATGGGTACATTGTAAAGCTGGATCGTGTGGTTCGCAATCGTATTTCTTTGGCGGTCTTAATCATTGTTGAACAAAGGTTGTCAAGACCAGATGGCCAGAATACTGGAACTGGTGATGCTGCTCCAAGAACGTCTCCCAGATCGACTGATGTTGGCCGCTCGAGGTATCATTGCTGTCGCATACTCTTCTTGTGCACTGGAGGTTGCGGTGTTGTTGTTGTAGGTACAAGGAGGCGAGGTGGTTGATGTTGGTGATGTCGACATCTTACAGCGATCGGCAGTGCTTGATGAGCCCCTGAAGCTCGGTTCGTCGGCAAGCTTAGCGCCTCGCCCCGCCCAGCACCAGCGGTATTTGTGCTTGTACGGAGAGTATTTGTATCCCAACTTCTACATCATCTTGCTCCATCAAATATACAGTGTTGAGATATCTTCCACCTTTGATATCTCACAATACTTTTGTGCTCTCCATATTTCGCAGTCTCTACTATGCGACCTTCTGATCTTAACTTGTAACTGAATCACGCAAGAACTTGCAAGAATGGTTCAGCCCCTGCTTGTCATCTCCAGGTACTTCTCCCCAGTGGGTACGAGTAGGTTCAAGGTGCTGGAAATGCCGTGCATCATTACCCTCAACGGGCCAGTTACACTGCATCAACAGATCCTGTGCCGCCGCAGTATCAATTTTCGGTATCCTATCAGCAGCGCCATATCACATTCAATATTCATTCTCGCAATCCTTCATGTCACCACCATTCAGCCACTTTGCTTACAAAATATCGTTTATTAGTCATGCATGCCGTGCAATGCTCTCTAGGGCCATCTTCTCCAGTCAACAGAGAGACTATCATATGTTCACCGTCTCGCCTAGCGTTGTGCCGACATGAGTGGTATTAGTACTCCGCTGCTGGCAGCTTCACCGAGGTAACTCTGCTGTTCCTGGCTGCGGCTATGCGCGATGCTTACTTGCACCTCAAATATCATACCACTTTTCGTATAAACCGCGGTTGTCAACATCTGATCCTCCAATGATAAGGTTGACTTTGATTATTGGACATTGGACGTTCGTTAGGGGTTTATTTAATACTAATCACTGTCCAGATGGCAAGGTGCAACGCGAGATTTAACTACTGTGCCCTTGGCCCAGGGACTATATCTTTCCCAAACAGCGCCACTTCTTCCACTTTGTGGCCTCCTCTGTCATTTTCGAAAAGTTCTAGAGAACTTCCATGCAATGTTATCAAGACCAATAGCAAGAAGCAGCTCGACAAAGAAGTCGATATTCATCCGGCCGACCACCTTCCACAGGTACAGTCCTCAATTAGGACTACAATGTAGTTCTTCAGTAATTTACGGTCAGAGAGTATCTGCTCGGGATTTCTCATGGTCTAGAGCGAGTCGTATTGAAAAAAAAGACATATTCCCTACCGTGTCTCCATCAACAGCGCCCCATATCCAGCGGACAGAAACCGCCTGGAAGCACCCCTCTTCACCGAGAAAGATGTGGAGAAGATCAATATCTCCCATCGCGAAACACACCTTCTCTGACAGAGTTGCACTCAGTGCTATTCGTTTTCTACGCTGGGGAATGGATACCGCAACCGGGTACAAACATCCGGAAGAGCTTCCAGGTGGAGGACAAGCATCCAAACGATTCGAGATGACCGAATCAAAATGGCTTGTTCGATTTATATTTCTCGAAAGCGTGGCTGGTGTCCCGGGCATGGTTGGTGGCATGTTACGGCATTTACACAGTTTGCGGAGGATGAAGCGAGATAATGGTTGGTAAGTTCTCTGTCTCCCAATACTCCCCTGATTCCAGACTCTGAGACAGACAGGATCGAAACTCTCATCGAAGAATCCTTTAACGAGCGCATGCACCTCCTCACTTTCCTCAAACTACACACGCCGGGCATTTTCATGCGCACTATGATCCTCGGTGCTCAGGGCGTCTTCTTCAACGGCTTCTTCATCTGCTACCTCCTCTCACCTCGGACCTGTCACCGTTTCGTCGGCTACCTCGAAGAAGAAGCCGTCCGGACTTACACACGCGCTATCTGTGATCTAGATGCCGGTAAACTCCCTTTGTGGAATAGCGGCCGTGTCCAAGCACCTGAGATTGCCATTGGGTATTGGAATATGCCTGAAGGGAAGAGGGGTATGAGGGAGCCGCTGATGTACATTCGCGCGGATGAGGCGAAGCATATAGAGGTCAATCATACGTTGGGAAATTTGGATCAGAACACTGATCCGAATCCCTTTGCGAGTGTGTTCAAGGATGAGTCGAAGCCGCATCCGAGTAAGAACCTTGAAGGTTCGAAAGGTGAAGGATGGGCGAGGGAGGAGGCGCTGTGATTGGTTAACACTTATCTGCGGATTCATCCTCCTCATTCAGCCCATTTTCTGCCAGTCACCCGAAAGATCGGACTGCGGGGTTTCCGAAGTGATGTCAATATTTCGATGTGCTTGAAGGCCTGCCTTGTAGATTGTGGCGTTGATGGGAAGCTGGGACGTTTCGTTCATAATGTCTAATCGAACCTTGATGTGACGGGACATGAATAAAAAGGAAACATTTCGGAGTTCTCTGCGACTGCAGGATGGAAGCTACATTACAGTACTGTAAATTGCCACAGAAGAGGGAACAAAACTTTACTACCCTGTGCATTTTCGCTTTTAGTTTTATCTTTACCAAATTGGTGCTACGAAAGGGTCATGATTGATTTAACAGAGTTCGAATCTTAGCTGTGATTGGAGCGAAAGAAAAGGATAACAGTCGAGACACGTGTCGACATCCTGAAAAATTCCAATAATAGGTATGAACCGAATGAATTATTTCTAACAAGAGGTCTTCAAAGTATATTGCCGAGCTTGCCTTTCCTTGTTGCAAGTAGAATTCTATGCTCCACGATGACATGAGCCCGTCGAAAACAAAGAGGTGAGGTCGAAAAACAACCGAACCCCTGACTCAGTTGAGATCGACTCCGTACGGGTAGCTCGGGCAGGTAGTGGAACAGTTCCAGAATCAGGGCTAGTCCTTCCAGTCAGGGGAAGGACCATGGCGATCATCACCCCGCGCCGCCCAAGCAAAACACAACACAGCAACTTGTCGTCCGACTCAAGCAAAATATCGCAGTCTAATCAATAAATATATGATATTCCCTGTCAGACGACCACTGCCAGAGACTCCCATTTCCATCTGCCGAGGAAGGAAAGTATATCTTCCAACTGGCTAAACGCCATGGGTGCTCTATTGGCGCTCGGGGCTTTCAGCCGCCCGCCGATCCGCAGTGAGACCAACGACGTTCCAGGCGAGCCAGGGCAACAATTGACCTGTTTGGCACGGCTGCGAAGAAACAGTTTGCAGGCGTCTTGGCGACGATCAAGCCACGGAGAACTCAGATATTAAGTTAGCATGGTGTCTCTCTCTTCTATTGGAATGTGAAGGTGTTCTTTTCTTGCTCTGCTTCTTCTCTTTCTCTTTCTCTTTCCCTTGTCTCCTTTTCTCCTTCCACTTTCTCTTCAAACTTCCCCCAAAGAAATATGTTGAGCTCTGCAGCAGCTCAATCCTACCATGCCCTCTCTCAAACGCAAAGAGAAAACTGATGCCCTAGATGAAGACTCCTCTCGATCCCTAGCATCACACCTACCAACAAGAAAAGTAACCCGTGGGCTAGTTCTCACCGGTCTCGTATTCTGCCTCCTCCTTCTCCTTCGACACAGCGGACTAGGCCCACAAAGATTCGAGTTCAACTATGTGTCAATCCCAATCCGCCCTGAGAAGTTCCCTCCCAGTTCAATAATACCACTACCGCGAAGACGAGCGAAGAAGATACCAAAGATACAGCATGAGCTGGTGCCAGAGACGGCGAAGGAAAAGCAGGTGCGGGAGAGTAGGCTGAAAGAAGTTCGTGACGCGTTTCTGCACTCGTGGAAGGGCTATAAGGACCAAGCATGGGGACAGGATGAATTGAAACCAATTGCTGGAGGGTACAAGACGCCATTCTGCGGATGGGCTGCCACAATGGTGGATAGTCTGGACACGTTGTGGATTATGGGATTGAAAGATGAATTCGAACTGGCATTGAAAGAATTACGAAATGTCGACTTTACGCATAAGGAGGGGTGCAATATCAATCTTTTTGAGACGACGATTAGACATCTGGGGGGTCTTCTCTCAGCGTATGATTTGAGTGGTGGAAAATATGTTATTTTGATAGAGAAGGCGGTGGAGCTTGCTGAAGTGCTGTATACGGCTTTTGATACACCCAATCGCATGCCCACGCCTCATTATATTTGGTCTGCGTAAGGAGACTCTGAACCTTCCCAAGACTTTCCGCTAATTCTCTCAGAACCGACCCAAATATCCGAGTCCATTCAGCCAGTAGTTCAATTGAACTCGCAGTACTAGGTACTCTCTCCCTCGAATTTACTCGACTGTCCCAAATCACGGGGAACGACAAGTATTTCGACGGCATCCAGAAGATCATGAACGAGCTCGAGAAATGGCAGGATCATACTGTGCTCCCAGGAATGTGGCCAACAATGGCTGATTCGGCGAGATACAACCACAGTGTTCTTCTAGGCTCGCCATATGTTGGAGGAGAGGAGCAGTACACTCTGGGTGCTTTGGCAGATTCCACATACGAGTATCTGCCAAAGCAATACATGCTTCTCGGCGGACAGATGAAATCCTACCAAAGCATGTACGAGAAGTTTATTCCAGTCGCCAAGAAATATCTTTTCTTCAGGCCCATGACAGTCAATGACGAAGATATTCTCATTTCCGGAACTGTCGACATCGCAGCCGGCGGCGCGCCTCGGTTTACCCCAGAGCTTCAACATCTGACGTGTTTCACAGGAGGAATGCTGGCAATAGCGGGGAAAATCTTCGACCGTCCCGAAGATGTCATTGACGGCGGTAAATTGGCAGATGGATGCGTTTGGGGATATAAGAACACTGTCACGGGCATCATGCCCGAGACATTCACAGCCGTGCCTTGCGCAAACAGGACCAGCTGCACGTGGGACTCGCAGAAATGGTTCAAGGCTATTGATCCGAATGCCGAGGAGGCGTTGACGAGGCAGAGAATCGAGCATGAGAAGTTGTCCCCTGGGTTTTCGCATGTGAGGGATGCGCGATATCTTCTGAGGTAATGTTCATTTTCGCCTCTGTGCTCCCGATTTTGCTAACATCCATAGACCCGAAGCCATCGAATCAGTTTTCATAATGCACCGCATCACTAATAATCCACATTGGCGCGAATCAGGTTGGAATATGTTCAAAGCCATCCAAGCACATACCGTGACACCACTAGCTCACTCAGCTATCAACGATGTCTTGAAAGGCGCGCCGGGGCAGGTTGATGAGATGGAGAGCTTCTGGCTGGCGGAGACGCTAAAGTATTTCTACTTGCTATTCAGTGAGAATAGCGTTGTGAGCTTAGATGAATATGTGCTGTGAGTCTATCCGCCCTCGTATCGGTACGCGAAGGAAGAGAAAGTTTTGGCTAATGTTGGGTAGGAACACGGAGGCTCATCCGCTTAGACGGCCGAAGTAGCAACTTTGAGAGCTCGTGCTGATTGACTTACATTGTACCGCATGGCATGGGCCGGTGTCAGATGGCGTTTTGACTTTGTTCTAGAAGGATTATTGTTTCTATGCGATTGGCGACTGGTGTGAGTGCATAGTGTGCCTAATCATACTCGTTTACAAAAAACTGCCTATTTGTGCTTTCATTCTGGTGATACTGGTTTCTCAAGCGGGCTCTGAAAACTCTTTCTCTGCGCTGAAACAATATTCCCGAGTCCGATTGATAGCCAGGGGAGCTGAGAGTCGATCAGTTTCGATCCGGACAATTAGACTTGTTGGGATGATACAAAAGGGGGATGATGGGTTTTAGCCAAGCTTTACGACAATCTAGTCAACAAGCTTAGCGGAAAGTTTATTCTATTCAGCTCTCGTATTGCGCAATGATTCATTTAGCAAGCTTCATCGTTGTATCAAGAGTCCTAAACAGGTTCTTCAGCTGAACACGATAGTTCTACGGAAAGTTCCAGGAACAAGACTTCCTTCCAGAACCACGGGAATGACCGATAGAAACAAGACTTCCAGAACCACGGGAATGACCGCTTTCCGAAAGCTACTCCATCCCCCCACAAAACAAACGTTAAATCTCATGAAATTTGGACCCCCTGTGGATAATCAACTAGGTATGATGTTGATCCAATCAATCAGCTGTTTCTCAGCCTCGAGCAGGGCTTCAAGTGTATCTCGAACCTTCTACAGCCACACTTGCCTCTACAATTGACCACAATCTGAATCGTGCTTCGAGTATCTCCAGGCAATTAAACTGGTAACAATAGTCTTACTAGGCCTTTGATTCACAAAAGTACGCCTTTAACGTTTGTTTAGGGGGGGGGAGTGTGGCAAACACTAGAGTCTGGAATCTATATAATTGACCATCATATACCCTTCAAGTCAGATTCAATCATCACAACAGCTCTCTACTTCATCAAATATCCATCAACTAATACTTCCATCAACTAATTCTTCCATCAACCTCATCATCGCCCAAAATGGTCGCCCTCATCAAACTCGCCGCTATCTTCGCTTTCATGCTCCCAAGCGTTCTAGGAGCCAAAGGCAACAGAGGTACTTCTTGTCCTCGCTATAGATAGCCAACTTGTATGCGCAGCTACTATGCCAAGACATTGTGTAGGAGAATGCAGGTTACAAACAGACTGTTGCGCGTGCGATCCTGGCACTCATCGCCAGCTGGGGTGTTATCGTAAGCTTCACGTCACTTCTCGAAAATGGGTACACTTCTGACAAAATGGTATTAAAGGAGACAAAAGCTCGTCTACTGGTTTCCGATGCGGTCTCACTGGTGATTTGGGTATCTGTCGACCATCCTGCTAGGAAGCTGTTAAGGGAAGGTGCTAAGGGTCTCATCTTTGCTGGATTGTCACTTAGAAGAACCTATGAAGGATTTGAATTTCAATCTCACTCATCAGTGTATTTGCGAGCGCTAGTAACTTTTCCTGTACATTCTCTGTTTCCAATATGTGTATCTATACCAAATTTTACTGCCATGCCGCAGCAGGATTAGCAAATATCACATCCGCAGCTTTGAGCCCGATCATGAAGACTGGTATAACTGGGAAAGCTCCTGGCGTTCTTGGGAACGAAGATGCATCAACAACTCTTAGTCCGTTGACTCCTCTCACTCTGAATGAGCTGTCCAAAACTGCCATTGGATCACTATCAGCTCCAATGGAACATGTACTGGTTGCATGATGAGACCATGCTTGGGCCTTGATCTCTTCCTTGACGTTGCAATTGCGGTTGCCCTTGCAGGGAAGTTGCTCGGTCCATGGCTTAAAAGGTGCACCCATGGAATCAAAGATCTTACGGCCCAACTCAATTCCCTCGGCCAAAGCTTGAAGATCCTTATCCGCCCCGGGTTCTTCAAAAAATCGGAAGTTGATATCCGGAACCTCTCGGGGATTGCCGGACACGAGCTCAACCGTCCCTAGACGACCATTCGGGTGGATCTTGACCATAGACCAATCGAACGAGCTAGGCTTGAACCCTGGAACCACATTGACGGTCTTGTCAGGCCAGTAACCTTGGAATACAGCTCCTGGGAGTCCAAAGAAGAATATGTCTCGCTCATTGAATGCCGCAACGCTGGACTTGAACATGAGTGCGTCGAGCGGACCAATAGCATATGGTCCTTTTCCCTGAAACCACTCCTCGAGACACGGATCACCAGGTGCTCCGTAGGTGCAAGCAGAAGCCTTGTTCGTGAAATTTGTTGAAGCTTCAGCAACAACGCCCATTTCGGTGTTGTCCTGGAGATTCTTCCCCACACCGGGAAGGTCCACGAGAACTGGAATGTTGAACTTCTTCAGCTCTGCCTTGGGGCCGATACCGCTGAGCTTAAGAATCTGAGGTGAGTTGAACGTTCCACCTGCAACGATGACTTCACGTTTTGCATAGACTTGCTTCTTGACTCCTGCGACTGATGGATTGTATCGCGGGTCGGCCTGGTACATGCTCTTTCCAGCAAGGTACTCGACGCCAATTGCTCGAGGAGTTCCATATGTTTTGGCGGAAGTATCGAACAGGATCTTTGTAACGAATGACTCCATTCCCACAGTGAAGTTATACTTGGGCTTCCCATTTTTGTTCTTGGCGTTCATTACCTGCACGACAGCATCGCGAGCTGAGACACGACGTCCCATGGGGTTTCTGTGGGATGGGAATCCACGAAGTCCAACTTGCTGATCTCTATCTGGACTTGCGTTGTTCATATCAGTTTGCAACAGCTCGAAGACTTTGTTTGGATCTTGTCCCATAACTTTCGCGGCGGCTTTCAGAACTTCTTGTGCTTCCGTTTGGTTTCTGAGCGATTCGCCGTCGTTCAAGCTGATATCGAGAAAGCCATTGAATCCATGACCAGGAGTGCCTTTGGGTACAGTATGATCGTTCTCGAGCTGGATGAAATACTTGCGCATCTTGTCGGCACTTTGTTTATTAGCTCGTTGTCTGCTATCGCAAGTCGAAATATAGCTTACCTCCAAGAACTATCCCCCGTAATATTTGCAATCTCATTCCAGTCTCTTTCCGCAGGCAGAACGGCACATTGTACATTGTGGGTAGAGCAGCCTCCCAATGTACCGGCTCGAGGGTAATACACTCCGAGTCGCTTCGCACCAGCAGGTGGCTGGGTTCCAACATAGAATTGTCCATCGGTTGTATTCCAGACTAGATGTTCATATTTGTTGGTAATGCTGTCATCCGTATGGTACTAATTCAGATTATAAGCACTGTGCCTCTTAATTCCTTGAAAAATGCATGTTCATGTTTACCTTGACGAAAAAGTCCCAGCGCAGAAGCGGGTCGTTGTTCGCCAATGAGCCCCATTGTGCAACCTGTGTTGGCGTGTCAGTATGCATTCTAGATTCTGCTTCCTCGCCTCTGTTGAGCAACTAACCTGGACATGTAGGTTTTCGCCTTGATCATCGCCTGCTTCTAGGAGGAGTACCGAAGCACCCTTTTTCGCCCTGGACAAGGGTCGAGTCAGCAGCAAGTCAACACTTTGAGGGAAGATATGGTATTTCATCAAACCTACAATTCTGCAGCGAGAGGTCCACCAGCAGGCCCAGAGCCTACCACAATGTAACTTTGAAGATATAGTTAGTACTTTTTGGAAGCTTAAAGAGAATATGCGATGATAGACCCACTCGTAGATAGCCTTTGCTGCAACATCTGCTGTTGCGGTGGCTAGCAGAGCCAAGAAAGGAAGAAACATGAATTTCCCCATGATGTCGATTCAGCTCAGCTAGGGATGAGCGCGTAGATTGATCCGAAGTGAAGGCACATTCGACGAATTTTGGTGGAGGAGATTTAAAAGCAAGTGGCAGACCTCAGGGAAGGTTCGAGTACTTATAGGCAGCTCCAGGACGTGAAGTTACTTCACACTAAAATTGGGGTATACATGACTCCTGCTTTATCCATACCCAGCCTGCATTGCATACTGACTTACCTGATTTGAGGTCCAGCGCCGGCGCACCTGGTATCTCACTTGAGCCGGCCAATCGCTACTCGAAAGACCCTGAGCAGCTGCAGGTACGGCTTTCCAAGGAAAGAACAGAGGAGGGCGTGATTTTGGAAGCTCTAAATACGTCAATATTCCAACCGACTGGAAGATTGCTCAGACTTTCCTTGGCTTTCTCGAAAACCTGGAATTATTGAAAGTATCCAGCCTGGACGCAATAGGGGGGAATTCTATCGCATTCGGGGAACCGGCTTTCCGGTAAATGTGGCATGTTGCAGAAACGTGGCAATCACGTTTGTTGAACTTTAAGACATGCGTCTTGTAGGATTATTGGGAATAAGTGTTGGATTCATTTATTTGACTTTCTGATGGCATGCTGACCAAGAAACTAGTTACTTTTAACCCCAGCCCAAGCGAGCTTTGGAATTAGGCTCTCGCTTCTGTCAATCCACTGTTTGTCAACAATGGAAAGAACAACGAAAGGCTTGATGAAGATTGCGAAAGTACTGTTCCTTGATTCAAATATATGAATATAATAAACAATTAATTTCTTCCTATTACTATCCTTCGGGGCGATCTGACAGCAAAACAAATCCGCCTCCAACATCCGAACAAGCTGGCTCTACCCCGCACTAGGCTACTCAAACATTCCCAGACCTTGCAGCGGAACATTGACTCGATCCGTACCGCACCTCGTGCACCCTTGTTGATCTGCAAGCCGAAGGATCGTTATCACCGAGATCATCAATTGCAATATCATGCATTCAGGATGTTTCCCCGGAATGAGAGAAAACAAGCTGGAGCAAACGATAGTGGGGGATCAATTGCAATTGCGTATGCCGAAAAAGGATGATCTTGCGTTGTACTTTAGAGAGCGGTTATCAGGAATCTTGCAGTCAGGACTTTTTCTTACTGAAGCCTGCGCCCGACTCGAAAGTAGCCCTGGAAAATATAGCAACACAATCTCAAGGATTTCAGGAAGATGAGACTACTGCCTTCGCTCTTTGTGTCATTACATCTGCATCTCGAAAAGCCGAGGCTCGCGTTGCTCAGCCACTGTAATCTTGGCAAACTCAACACCAAGGATTCAGGACGGCAATTATTTCTACCATCTCAAAGTCCCACAAATTCTTTCTCTCGGGTACCTATATCCTAACACAATAATTCCGAGTTGAACCTGGTAGTTTTCAGTTGTTTGATTGGAAGTCAGGGTATCAGCCATCAGAAGATGGTGCTTACATTCCAATCAACAGCCCCTCTTCGCTTAAAATTCCGCATCATGAACAAGATTGGGAGGCTCGGTCTCTATCCACAGTCTCGTTATCTGAACCGGCAACTGGCAAGAAATGCTATTATTCTTTCCCACTACAGACATAGAAACAAACCGTCCAAAAGACATCAATTGGTATAAGAGCGTCCCCAAAACGAATCATCGTGTCATTGAGAAGAAAATCCTTATGACCGACCAATCTGCCAATCCTCCATTGAGCGGACTAGACCTATATCACATCAAATATTCCAGACATGGATACGTGTTGTCTTTCTAACTCCTACATAAACGATGAGCTTCTTCGAATTCATATTCAAGATGTTATATTGACTTACATGTTCTGGCCTCCCTATGGCTCTATCGCATTGTTGAGCGAACGCCATCAGCGCCGGTTACCAGCCACAAGTTGGGCCGATAAAGACCATGAAACAACATGTCTCAAGCATGCCTCAAGCATGTCCAAAGAAGATCGAAATAGCTTGTCATACTCGTATCAGCTAAAGAATGTTGGCGCCAGGCAAGCCTCAGTCAAGGATGGCATTCCTCGAAATGTGCATCTGAGACCTTGTCTCATCGCACATTTTCAGCGATGGTTGAACTTGCCGGCCTTGGCATGCTGGCCAACCATCTTTGATGAGTGGTATCGGTGAAGATCTTAGATGCATCTTTGGCTTCAGCCTCCTTTTTACATGCGAGATAAAGATGGTAAATTGCCCTTGAGAATATTGACAATGGCAAATCACCTCAAACACGATAAACTGCTTGGTATCCATACGCTTCCTACCTCAAAACACTAAACACAACTGGTCATTTAAACACAACATGTCATTTAAATCTATCCTAAGTATCGCAACACTGGCCTTTGCTTTGCTAAACACTGCATCTGCACAAAGCAGTACCGCAGGGCCATTCCCCTCCATAACCCAAGTACGCCTGACCCAGTTCCGCCCATGAATCACCTAGCTCAATACTAACCTCTCGCAGACTACAAACTCCACAAGCACACTCCCCACATCCCTCTCATCATCACCACCCACAAACACAACCTTCACACACTGCCTATCCTGCACCTTCCCACCTTGCTCCCTCCCAACACCGTCCTACCCAACCTCAGCCACATACCCACTCCTCAACACCACCCTCTCATCCACCCCACCAGCACCCAAAACCAACATTCCAGACGTCACGACCAAGATCATCGTAACAAAAACTGCAGATGGCGTTCCGGCGGAGACTGTAGCACCAACTGCTGGTACTGAGTGTGCTGGAGCTACGTGTCCGGGGCTGGTGTCGATGGCTTCGAGGACGGAGAGGCTGACGGGTGTGTTGGGACCGTTGGCTATTGTTGCCGGGGCGTTTGCGGTCTTAATTTAAGCGTTGGCGATCTGACTGGGAATCCTACAATGGGAAGTTCAAGTCGATGACTGCAGAACGTTACGTGCATCTCCTTTGCCCCTTCGGGACTATGAATTATTGTTGCTGGCGATTTGAAGTCATAGCATAGGATAAGATGAGAAATAGAATACTTCGTGATAATTTGAAGATTCCAATTCCAATACTCGTTTGAGAAGACCAATTTATCAGTGGTTACCAAAGTAATATTGCTACAGCTTTAGCGGTTTTCATGGCCACTCGCTTAGCCAGATGTTGAAACGATAGCGTGAATGAGGCACAGCACGTGTGCCAGTGGTCTAGTGAAGGTACCTAAGATATCTGGTCTGTGACGAGAAAGGCACTGGTGGTGTGGCTGTCGAACCGATTTCATTCAGCTAGGTAGCTCTATGAGTAAGAGGTATTTGTGCGAGGCTACTTGTAAGGACTTTGAGTAAGGGTCAGTGATGTGCTGAGAAGGAGTGGGCGGGTTTCTTAATTACTTGTGTACCTGTCTGGAATGAAACTCGGGAGTATTCTGGGAGAATTTGGAATGGATCTCTGTCATCATTAGGTCTGCTAGAGGCAGGCAGAGAATATGACTTTGGGGAGTTATTAGGTTGGGAGCGAGCGGGACATTAGTAGTGAGAGTACTTTCGAGCACTGAATCCATGATAACCCAAGGAGCGAGATTAAATGTCGAATTGTTTGTCCTAGCCACACATGATCTTTTAACTCGGTGACGAGAACATTAAGTATTCATTCAGACAACCGTGTCAAGCTATCTATCGCTCATTCCCAGCCTGATCCTAATTGAAGTAGTTTCCACAAGACTGGCAGTAAGTAAGCCCACGACAGTGGTGCTGCACATAGTTGCTTTGGTGGCGGAAGGGACACGTCTTCACTAGAGGGTCCGCTGTCAAGGAAGCCTTGAGAATATCAAAAGCGATCTCACCATTTTCCCTGCAAAGAGTAGCGAATTCTCCTCGGTCGCACAATTCCTTCGCATGATCCCCCGCAGTATGGATAGCCACATCTTTCAACGACCTGTCGTTCTCCATACTCTCCTCGTAGAGTAACTTGAGGTTGGCAGCGAACGACACACTGTCCCACGCAGCTAACATTACTTCCTCGTACTTCTTCTTTGCCAGAGTCTTCAGGTCCGGAATCTGAAGTTGGTCGCCGATGATGTAGACTTTGGTATTGGTGAGCAGCAGGCACTTGGTTGTGGATGTATCGGCGGCAAATGTGAGCGATGATCCAGTTGCCTCTGCTTTCTTGGCAGGCGATTGGGTTGAGGATGTGGTGTCGCTATCGCGGCCATCAGAGTGATTTGATTCGTACATGAACTTGAGCATGCAATAGACGATGTCGGGTTCGTTGCCATCGAGGTCAATTTCACCTGAGAATGCTTCCTGTGGAGGCCAGTCAGCATATTAAATACCCTTTGGTAGAACGAGAACTTCACCATGAACTTGCCATCAATCGCAGCAGCCAGAGGCTTAGATTGAAGACAGACAACAGTACGATGAACTTTGAAGGCCCTGCCTTGGCACTTGATCAGAAGATCTGAGTACTTCCCGGTGGAGAACATCCTGTCAGGTGGTCAGTATTCGACGAAAATGAAACTATTGGTAGACATACTCTGCTGTGATTGAAGCCATCGTAATAATTCTATTGACCTGCTGATGCTGTGATAACAGAATTGTCGCACCGGGGTCCTGGTATTCATATAGACTTTGTTCTCACCACCATGGAGCGAGGCGAAAGCCACGGTTGGCAAAACATTGCCTCTTCCAGACCATGCCAAAGTTCTGTAGTAAAGCCCGATCCAAAAGCAATCAAAGGCATAGAAACTTCCAGCTGACGCTTGGAAGGAGATGTTTGTGGACACACGTCTCAGGCTTTAGTATCAGCCATTGCGATCAATTGCTTTCCCTTTTCTGTCAAAGTCTTTTGACTTCAACAAATCTCTCAAGCTCCCTTCGGCATGCGATGTACTTCTGTTTCGTCCTTGAGATATATCGCTGAACGATCCACTATTCTTAGTCCATGGTAGCCAGGAACCAAGGCTTCCCAGGATCGATGGTCGTCCGTCTGGTTCTGGTCTTAGCGTAGAAGCAATAGACTCATTTCGAATCAACTTCGGTGCTGTAAAAGAACTTAAAGCTGGAGAAGTGTATTGACCTGCCTCAAAGACAGTGATTGTTTCCAGATCTGTGGCCGTTGAGGTCTGGGGACGAGCAGGCTCACTGATCAAAGACGTCGGCGAGAGAACCTGGGCACCTGCGTCATGCTTGGATACTTGAGCATTGTCAATAATCATCGATGCAAAGGAAGCTGATTTCGACCGAACATGTTTTGAAGGGCGTTCAGCAGCTGGCCCAACTTCGATTGCTTCCTCAGATGCTTTCTTGGATGCCGCTTGGAGTTCTTTCCGGGCCGCTCTTCCACGAACTTCCTCTGCTATTACGGCTGCGGGCTTCTTCTTTGACTTGTCCTCATCTGAAGACCTTGAGGAAGACATGATTGTTTCCAGCGTTCCATATGCCACGGATTTCGTTCTTCGGCCACCACGAGAGCCTCTTCCAACTGGCCGAGTCTGCTCGTCGTCTGAGCCGATGGCCTGAAGTGTAGGGCCTCCAGCAGCATAGGGGCCAACACCAAGGCCAACATTCTGTAGAATAGCTTCCCCGCGACCATGGGGTGGCATATGTACCTCGTACTGGTTACTGAGACTGTACTTACTTCTTGCACATATCTCGGCAATTCTTTCCAAATCTTCTGCTACGCCGTGTTTGATCTCCTCCATGATTCCTTTGAAAGTGAAAGCCTCAACAGGCGGCATCTTCAATTCTGCTTTTCCGGCTGCCATAGCTGACCATCCATTCTCTTTCTTCGCAGTGACGATATCTCGTTGTTTTGAGGGAGGCCTGGCAGCTCCAGAGTATGTCCTCACAATTACCGGCTGACTAAAAGTACTATTTCGTGCACCAGTTGACTTGGCATATCGATGACGGGAGTGTGTCGCACCATTCAGCTGTCTCAATGCGGAGATTCGAAAGGCAACAGTTGCTTCGTCAAGGATATGTTCGCCACGGGCAGCTTGTTCGGACTCGACGACGAGACTGGCAGTGGATGTATTTGCACTCCAGAGGCTAGGTGGGAGGAAGTGGAGAGGTAAAGAATGTCGACGGTGGGAATCTGGGGCCGATTGAGGAGTTTTTGGCTTGTGTTGCTGGCCGTGCATTGAGGGGTGATTTGAGATAAACGCTGGCAACGCTCGGGGCGTCGAAGCGTTCGGGATGGTATTGGCATCGGCGGCCATTGTGTGGAGCTCAGAGCGGATGCACCGACATATTTCTGCAATATTCAAGCAATTGCTGTGCGTGGGCCGTAGACAGTGGGGAAGAATGCGGTGCGTGGTCGTGTCGATGCCCTGATGAAAAGTTCTGTTGCTGTGTCTGGTCTGCATCCGCGAGAGGAGAGCTGCGGATCAATTTTGCCTGGATGCCTCCTCACTGGCCCGGTGCTCTGCTGCCACTTCATCCCGCATGGGCCGATCCCCTGTTGGCTGGCTGGCTTCCCCGGATTTGGCGCGGTCGGCTAGACCGAAACGGGGAAGGTGTACCACCTTGGCGGCAGCGCTTATGGACCACCCCGACTGCCCGACCCGACCCCTCACAAGCTCTGGTGGACCACCAGGACCACATCCGGACCTCACCAGAACACACACTGCAAACATTAACATCAACATCAACATCAACACCACACCACAAACTCCTTTGCAGAAAGCCGCGTCGAGCATGGCGTCGTCGGCAGACCGAGATAAAGATACGAATCCAGACGACAAGCAATCAAACCCCGACAATCCATTCATCAAGTTCAGACAATTTGCGGATACCCAAATCAGCTCACTCCTTCAAGGCATTATTGGCCTCCCGTCTGCCTTCTCGAAAAGGCCCTCCGACGATCCGCGCTGGGCTGGCATAGACGACGGTCTGCGGAGGCGAGATGAGCTGCAGGCTCGGCAGAAGGAATTGAAGGAGTCAGAAGCTAGGAAACTGCAGCGCCAAACAGCGGACGAAGAGCACCCATTTACCAGAACCATGGACAGGACAGATGCACTTGGCGAGGGATACCAGCCGTTGGGAGAACAGGAAAACAAATCCGAAATGCCAACAAAGGATCTACCGCTATACTCGGCCGTCAGGAAGTCTCTTTTCACTCATCTTCAAATCCCAGATTTTGATGAAGCTGACTGGAACGACCTCAACAAAACTCCAGCCTGGGGAGAGAATGGCTTTCTAGTCCAATACTACCCTTTAAAAGTCCTACCTCATCAAAGATCCTCCTTCTTTGACAGGGATTGCATGACCATGACCCACTGCTTGGTATACAATGACCTCAACAGCTCCAGTTCCCTGCGCTCGGAATATTCGCTTCTGCCATACCTACTCTTTTCACCATACTCGCCCCTCAAGCTTGAGAACGATTTTCACCGCTCATACTTTCGCTGGAGGGCTGCATTCGAAGATTTGATCGCGACGAGCCAACCACCAAAAAAGCTTTCCGCGTGGCAGTTTATAGCGGCTACATTACCTGCAACACCAGCAGTTTCGCCCGAGGGTAACTTGCACTGGATCTCGAAGCTTAAAGCCCTTGGTTATCTTCAGGAGAAAAAGTGCATCAGCGACGATGACCATGAAGCACTGGATCACCAGCTGTCGATAATGCTATATGGATCACAGAAGGACAAAGAGTGGGTTGACACTGATGATGAAACTTCGTCGGGTAAGCCCTCTGTTACTGGTCTAGCACGAGATACGAGAGCCGCCGATCAAGACCTCGAAGCGACGAAGAGTCCAAGGACTGAGCAGGAAATGTATGACCATTTCCTGAAATGGGCTTCATCACCGCAAGCTATCAAGGAAGTGTTTCAGGCCGGCGAAGCTTTCCTAGCATCGCTAGAGAACGACGACCCCTCAGGGAGGAGAAGAGAGCAAGATGGTGGTTTTCCCCGGCCTCCATCGCTCATGAGAGAAATCTTCGAGGTCACGAAAGCATTCCGAGAGCTCTCCGAACCTCAGCACAGCTCCTCTGACGCCCAACAGTCCGACAGGACTACACAGGATGTCAGGACTGCCGAGTCTCCAGACCGAGTCGTGTCCTCGAGTACAACAACTGAACAGACTGTACATGAAGATGGGACAGTTGAAACTTGTGTTACAGTCTGGAAGAAATTCAACAGTGGGCGAGAGACGTCAACTACTACGCATCACTGTGAAGATCCAGCTACTACAGAAAGTAGGCCGGACGAGGTTGAGACCTCCCCGAAAGTGTTAGAAAAGGGGGGGAACGAGATTGAGAAAGTAAATCAAAATGGAAAATCGGGATGGTTTTGGAATTGAGCGATTTGTACAAGATACCTGGGGAGTTTGGAGTGTGATATGATTCTAAACTCATGGACATGAACCCTTGTTTTGGGGATGGGGTGAAGAGGTTTGTTAGCGGAGGGAAATTTGAGCTCCTCACCTCAACGTTGGCAACACAGGCAACAGTGTATCACCAAGTAAGCAAAAGTCTATAATGCACATATCGAATCCTTGTTTGACTTGGAAAGGACATTGTACTTCTTTTCAATTTCATCTCTCTCGCCACCTGCATATGTATTGATAGAGTTCGTGCAATTTTTGTTCCAGTGTACCATCTCACTTGATGTCAATGTTCGTTTTTTAGAAAAGAGATATCTACTCTATTCACCACCAGCCCTCACCTCTTTAGACTGCAATTCACCCGCATAATCTTCTCGAGCACCACTACGTGAAAGAGCATAGCTGGTTGGTAGCCTCATATCCGACTTTCCTCCGAGCCATCTCGCGTTACTTCCCTGGACCGAAAAGCAGAAAACAATAAACAGGCTTCTATGTTCACTCGGATCTACGATACGTTTGATCATACGCCAGGTACAACCCGCCATCACACTCCCCCACTCATTCCGATCACCACCTACTATGCATCCCTTGAATAGCAGACTACACTCACAATGGCGCCTCCGACCCTGCTAGCGCTCTTATTCGAGAAGGCCAGTAATGTCGACATCGAGCTGAACAAGCGAAGCCTCTCCCTGGCCGGCAGCGATCTGGCTAAACTGATTCGCCTTCGTTGTGGTATCAGAGGAGAAAAGGGTAGAGAGGTCTCTAAGACGGGTGAGGTGAAATATAAGAAGGAGTTTAAGTTGTTTCCTAAGTTGCCGTTGGAGTTGAGGAGAATGATTTGGTGGGTTTTCAAAGATACCAGAGTTGCGAGAACCTAGAGCTGAGTGGATGCCTTTTGGGCAGTGTCTCTCTTTGATTCTATGAAGCAAAAATAAATGGTAATCCAAGATATCTATTTAGGAAGAGAGCAGTCCCTCTCTTTCCACATCGGATTATTACTGTTGAGAACAGACTGGACAGTCCCGGAATAAGAAACGCACACGGCCCACCGACCATCACGTATCGCCCCCATCCTGCTCTCGATCTGATGATCACCTGCAAGGAGTTCAAGGAAGTTTTATATGAGGTGTGCTTTGCTTCCGTCAAATTCGCAGCCAAAATCAACAATATCGCCGAAAATGTTGAAGCTCCGGAGGTGGTCAATTTCAAGAAAGAAGCAAGACCATCCATGGCAAGCCAGCACATTAGTTACGACGATGATGTCTTCTACCTCACCAATGGCATTGGGTATCTCGCAGATCTCGAGCGCAGAAGCCCTATCCCACTTGCCTCGATCAAGCGAGTTATGATACCGCACAAAATCTACAATGAAATCATTAGCGTCGACTCCGAGCCGTACGATGTCATACTGCAAGCCTTGACTGGCCTCGGACAAATCATCTTGCTCCACTTTCCCAAACACACCTTCCCCAGCCACTATATGAACAGCCCAGACAAGGAGCCCGCCCGTGGTTACGAGGCAAGAGAACTCCTCGCCTGACCTTGGCTCTCTCTTGAACCGCCCATGTCTCTCAAACGGTACCATATCAACGAATAACGTGTCTGTTACTCGTTTCTATTCGTTTATACGCATACAGCCAGTTGGGGAAGGGAGGAAATGGTCCATATTGGGGGAAGAAAGTTGACAAGGAGAAGTTCAAGAAATTCCCTGATATGAAGGTCTACTATGTTGATGCGTCCAAGGGTCGTGTTGGTCCTGAGCTTGTGGTCCAGGATGAGGATCGGTACGAGTTCAGATCACTTGATAGTAGGTGGTACTCAGTCTCCACTGGCATGGAGGCCGCAGGGAGTTGTGGACTGAAAGTCTTGTCTTACGACCTTCAAGTCAAAAGCTCATTGGAGAACCTATTCTGTCTTATTCTCTTCGGATACAATCTGTTGAAGAGATTGTCCAAAATACTGTAAAAGAAACCAAACTCTTCACAGCAAGGCTTTCTGGCTGTCCGAGGGCACTCATGGCAGCCTGAACAAGAAATGAAAAACATCACAAACCCTCCTCTTTTTTGATCCCAGTCTTCGTCTCCACATGATCACTCCTCAAATAATGACCCTTAATAAACCCACTCGCTAGTACCGCCAACCCTGAGATCCCCGTATAGAAGATCCACATATTCCGCATGCTCCACGCATATGCTCCTCTGACCGCCAACTGCTGCACTTCGTTTTGCAGCCCCTTCACAAGATACACATTAGCACCTGCTCCTCCGTTTGATAGCATATCCGTGATGTTCAGAGGGAGATTGGTCGGTGCTTTGCTCAGACTGGGAACTTTGATATCCATTGAACTCTGGAAGATCACACCGCCGATGACGACTGAAATAGCTGTAGCGAGACTCCGCACAAATCCAAACGTCGCGGTGGCTGTCGCAACATCCTCTTGTTTAGAACAAGCCTGCAAAGCTATCAAAGGAGCTTGGAAAAGCAGACCAGCGCCGATACCTGCGATGATCTGGAAACCAATGATCTGGGCCAGGGGTGTGTGGACGGCGTAGAGGATGTACAAACCATTGCCCAGAGTCATTAACAGAACGCCGGCGTAGATGAGGGGGAGGTAGGTACCGGTGCGGTGGATAATGAGGCCGACTAGGACGCCAGCGATGGCTTCGGTTACGGTGATGGGCATCACGAGGATTCCGGAGGCGAGGGGAGAGGAGAGGTGTACAGATTGGAAATACAAGGGCAGGTAATATTCTGCTGCGATGTAGACCTGTGATTTGAGTGAGTTAACTTGACGAGCTAAAGGTAGCACGCTACAAAAGGAAACAGCTTCGAAGAAAAATAAATGAGATGGAGAGGTTTCGTACCATGCCATGCCACAACGTCAGCAACAAACACGCCACGTTCGACTTATTCGTAAACAAACTCATTGGCATCAACGGATACTTTGCCAATTTTCTCTCGCAATATACGAATACCCCACTCATCAAAGCACCAAACACAATCAGACAAATTACCTTGGGCGAATCCCACGGTACAGTGGATCCACCAAATTCCAAGCCAAGAAGTAACATCAGGACCAGTCCGATGATCGAGAGACTACCGAACCAGTCTATTGCTTTGAAGCCCTCCAGGAGTGGAGTACGAGGGTTGTGCACGTCGAGATAGAAGAATAGAATGATAAATGCGGCACCGGAGAGAGGCAGATTGATCCAGAAAGCCCATCGCCACGTGAGTTTCTCCGTGAAAGCACCGCCGAGGATTGGTCCGATACCGCCGGCGACGATCCAGACGAGCTCCATCAAGCCGATATATAGACTTCGGCTCCTGTTTGGTCATGTCAACAACGCCCGACCAAGCTAAGCGAACTTCCCTCTCCAAAGTATGCGACTTTTCAAATGACATGAAAAGGGAAGTCTCTGGAAGGATACAGAAGAGAAGCGGTAACAAACCTCACGCTAAATAAATCACTAATCGTAATAATCACCATGGGAATCATTCCACCTGCCGCGCACCCCTGAAACGTCCTACTAACAATCAACCCCTTCATACTCTTCGCCTCTGCACACCCAATACTAGCCACAAAGAATAAACCATCCGCAATCAAGATTACCAGTTTCCGGCCAAAGATATCAGAGATTTTCGCCCATATGGGACCGGCTGCAGCACTGGAGAGCAGATATGCCCCACCGATCCAGACGTAGCCTGAGGAGCTGGACAGGTCGTGCGTTATAGTTGGAACAGCTGTTGCGACTATGGTTTGGTCGAGAGCGGTTATGAACATAGAAAGCTAGATTGGGTGTGAGCGAGAGTAACGTATGAGTGTGGGATATGAGGGGAAAAGGGATCGCGTGGGTTGGGGACGGACGTAGAGAGCTGTCATGATAGCTGTTATGCGGAATTTGCTTCTTGACGAATCAATCTCGTCTTCTGATGGGATTGGTAGGACTGCATTGACTGGTACAAGCTCAATGTCTGGGGAAACATGCTTGCTAGGCGAAATGGAAGATGGTGCCACTGCAATTGGGGGGATTGAAACAACTGGTTCGGTTGTCTTAGAGTCCGACATTATTCCAGAACTCCGAGAAAATTATATACTTATGCGAGATTTAAATCAAGGAAATGACATGAGAGACAAGAAATGAAGTTGGGGATAAGATAGTGAAGTATCAAATTTCAATCTAGTCTAACACGCCTTCGGACATCTTCACCCCACTTTCATTCCTGACTCATGCGGGGTTGCCTGGCGTTGGCTAGTCAAAATGTAAGCTGATAAGCATCTCAATTCAACACGGGACTAAGATAGCCCATGGCCAGCCTGGAACACATTTTAACGGAGTAAATAAGATGCTGCGGAGTTCGGCATTGTCCCAACGTCGCTCAACGGTGTAGCTTTTTCAAGGCCGTGATGGTTGCGAATTCGAGTTTCGACTCTGAAATTCGTTTCAGCAAAACCGTGTTACTTATTCAGATTACTAGTACCATGAGATGAGACGCAGAATAGTCCTGGTGTTTGTGTTTCGACTCCGACTCGCTATCTCGTAATCCCAAGATTCTCCTCCTGAACCGTGGGCCGAAAACAACGAAGGCGATCATGCGCCGCAGACTATATCTTCTTTTGCCCCCTTTGCTAGTGAATCTCGGCCAAGCGTCTTGTGTCACCAGCTCTCAGGCGACAAGCCAGAATATGATGTATGCATGCGCCAGAACTCTTAGTTATGGCTTGCTAATTTCACTCCTTCCAAGGTATTTTGATGCTCGTATCCAGGAGAGCCAATCAAAAGAACCCAGCTGTTGCTAAGCGAATTGGCAGGATGCAGATAGATATCGTGAAAGAACACAGCAAAAAGCATATATAAACACAGCTATTCAGCCAGGAAATTGATAAGGAATTGGATTTCTAATAATCCTTCTCATTTATTTCTTGTCGGAGCAGTCGCGAGTCACCATACGAAGAAATTCGCCTCGTCCAAAGGACTCTTGGCGTACGGTGCTTCACAACGTTCAAGCATCCATACAAATACATTACTGTCTAAATCTTTGGAACTGGCAGGTACAATGCCTTCTCATCAAAAACACGTCCTCATCGCAGGCTGTTCAGCCAACGGCCTTGGCGCCGCTCTCGTGGGCGTCTTCCTCCAGCACGACTACCACGTCTTCGCCACACTCCGCGACACTTCCAAAGCGCCTTCACACTTTTCGACACTCAACAAAATCACTCTTGTGACCCTCGATGTTCTCTCCCAATCCTCAATTGCTTCAGTCGTTGACGCTGTAACCAAGAAAACAGGTGGTAGACTCGATGTACTCGTCAACAACAGCGGGAGATTCGACGTCATGCCAGGCCTTGATGCATCGATTGAAGAGAGCAAGATCTGAACTTTTGGGCACCATTGGCGATGATTCAAGCGTTCTCGCCACTCTTGGTTGATGCCAAAGGGTATGTAGTCAACGTTGCGAGTGTGGCAGGGGTGTTGCCGTTGTATTTTCAGAGTATGAGCCTTCTTCTCATTCTCGTCCCTTGAATAAGGTGTATTTTGAAGTGAGAATTGATGTTTGACATTGGAGAATAGGTATATACAGCGCCTCTAAAGCCTCTCTTATCAACGGGAGCGAGATCTGGCGCCTCGAACTCGCTCTCCTCGGCGTGCGGATGCTGACTGTTATTACTGGCTCCGTTTGCAGTAATGTGTTCAAGAATATGCCAGGGATAGTGATACCGGATAATTCGTACTATGCGGCAATTGCGAAGAATGTTCAGGATCTTGGTGATGAGAGGTTGGGGAAATATGCTATTAGTGCTGAGGCGTGTGCCAACAAGGTTGTCGACGGGGTAGAGAAGGGGGCTACTGGAAAAGCTTGGTTTGGTGGTGGAGCTTCTGCAATGGGCTGGGCGGCGTCGCTACTTCCTGACTGGCTGATGGTAAGCTTTTCAATCTTGTGACCTTTAGCGATGCACGCTGATGAGTTTAGGATCAATCCGTGACTGCTCTTGTTCCCTGGGTGACGAAGATCCAGCGATGAAGCGGTGTCAATGAACAACGAAACAAGTCAGGCCATCTTGGCAATTGGGAATATATTAGAAGGCAGACATTTGTGAATTAGCCATATGTGTTAAGGCTTCTGTAGTACGATTGTTAAATGAAAAAAAAATAGGAAATCCAACATATCATGGCTTCAGATTCTGCCAGCCCACAAAACCCTGCTGGCCTTCTTGGTGAATCTCATTTTCGTTCGGACGCGCCATCCCAATGACAAAGGTACTTCGAGGACTGTCATGGCTGACTGTGCTCTCACGTTGATTCAGGTTGGGACTTTGCATTGCACTAACAGGCGAGGCAGCTCTACCTTGAGGAGTTCCATCTCCAATCTCAACAATCGCCATTCCAGTCGGCCTTGTTGCCCATCTGCTCTCTTGAGCGGGATTTGGCACTCCAACTACTTCGTTGACGCTCTGCATAATGGGTTTTGCGGTCGGGGTATCCAGTTCATGTGCCATTGGGCCCCTACGGAGTGCTTGAACTGCGGCAGTAGGTGGAACGTCATCTGCAACTTCATGGAGGTGGGTCGAGTCGATCTCGTGAACATTGGGATTTGGTGATTGTTGGGGGCTCTGATAAGGCGGAGGGCCAGGGCTCAATGGTGGCGAGCTCAGGGAAACTGGAATGTATTTCTTCGAGATCGGCATGCCTAGAAGAGAGTAGCGATCTGTAATTGAGCGACTTAGTATAAAGATACACATTGATGTTCTCTAAATGTAGCATAATATGCTTTGATCAGGTGGCAGTGACATACTAGGCTTTTGTGACTTAGATTCGTTGATTGGAGAATGTTCGGAAGCACCCGCCAAGTAAGCTCCTGCAACAGACTGCTTGTGCCTCCGTCTTCGACAAAACCACAAGATCGTCAAACCTATGAGGAGTATCGCAAGACCTCCACCAACCCCTCCAGCGATTGCTCCAATATTAGCACCAGAGCTGGTGTTCTTTGGCAATGGAGTCGAATTGGATGTCTGAGTTGCAGAAAGAATTGATGAGCTGGAAGCACTTGTGGCAGTAGGTGAAAGCTCCGAAGGAATTGTTTTGAAAGCTGCTGGCTGGAGAGAACCTGCTGGGCAACCGACTCCATTACACGGATTGACTTCACAACATCCTTGGAATGTAGGTCGTTGAGGGACATCGCAGGTCCACCACAGCCCTTTCGCACATTGCGTGTTAGGAAAATAGGTTCCATTCTCTGTGGTATCCGGATTGGTACCACTTCCTATTCCAGCAGCTCGCAAGTTGGAAGTGGGACATCCTCTATTGTCACCACGGCATGGATTACTGATACAACAACCAAAGAAGGTTGGTGATTGAGCTGTGCATGTATACCTAGGAAGATGCATCAGTGACAGAATTGAAAGGTGAGCCGCAAAACTAACCAATCTCCACCCACAGGACAGATTCCTTTTTCATCTTGGGACATAGTGAGACCACGCTGAGGGGGAAAATGTATTCAACAATGTGTTCACTCGAACAGGGTCTTAGTTGCAAGTGACCGTTTAGACTATTGCATGAAGCTTCGAAAAGGTTTCCAGAAGAAGTGGAGAAATTGGGACGTGCTCGCACAACGAACTGGGAGAACTTGACAACAAAGAGAGTGACTGAGTGAAGGAGTGGAGCACAACTTTGTACACAAAGATCAAATGACGGTTTCGATAGAGCCAAAAATAGACCACATCGATATTCCAACAAGGATTTGAGATGCAAAGGGCAAGTGAGCTAAGGATTTGCAAGGCGGGCGAAAATTACCAGGATTTGCGATCTCATCGCAGATCTTAGACGAGATGTGATTGTCCTCCACCTTCGAGATGGCAAGGCTTAGGGGCCAGAGCTGCAGGATGAGGTGGGCGGTGCTTGAGATCGCACCAACATTGACCAACACTTGATGACCACTGATTGGAGCAAACAGGACAAACCAACTCAGCGAGTTCTTGGCTGCATGTGGAAGACGTACAGTGTTACACTCGATCCCAAAGTCAGAGACTGGAGACATAACATTCGAGTTGCTTCTACAGCGGTAGGTATAATTCTCCTCACAGTCGCTCTGAACATACCTAGATCGAATGACGTTACTCCCTTGTCCCTTTCTAAAACAGCTTCAAATCCTTCCTTCGCAAGTCTAAGAGATAGTCAGAGAGTCTCCGCCAAAGGATGTTGGGATCGAGGGGCACATTTCATGTGGCAATTTTGCTCCAACACATCAAAGAACAAAGGACATAGCATATCCAACTGAGAAGCAGTAGGGTGCTTCGAGTCTCTGCCACGACCAAGCTTCTGATAGGAAATTGACGACCGCGGTCTGACAGGAATCGGAAATTGAAGATCAATGTTTGCAGAGGAAATCTTACGATACAGCAAATATCGAGAGCTTGCAGCAGGTATAATGCGGGAAAGAACACACAGGAATAAGTCGTATGGTGCAAGTGGGGGATGCTGGTTCTCAAAGACTTGTACTACCACACACTTTGAGGGGAGTTTGCGAGATGGCTAGGCTCTGGAGGATCCCGCGAACCTAAGCGATCCTGCAGGTTGCTTCGGAATGTAAACTGCAGTTAATATAAATGACATGCGAGAAGAGAAAGAGGCTTGCCCCGCGATGAAAACGAGATTCTTTTAATCGATGTAAGCTTCCACGTGATTGTGTGAAAGCATCCCGCCACCCGTTTTCTGCTATAGTATAAGGTAGAGACCTATGTACCTAGACATGACAACACCGTTGTCAAAACACCAGTCTCAGTTCATAGAGATGTTGCCATGGCTAAATTGAGCCATCATTTTGGAAGGCAGTAGTCACGTGGCTACCACATTTGCTTAAGCGAGCGGCAGCTGCTTGTTCTTTTCCGATGCAACAATGGAGGAATTACTTCTGCTTCTAGCACATCTTCATATTCAGCCCGGGATAAGGTTTATGCAATACTCACAAACAGCAAGCACCTATCCTGGAACGACCTAAATCATTCCAGCCCGGTGGTCGGGTTACCAAAATTGCAATATACTTCAGTACTTGCTCCTTTTTCTCGGAAAAACTCGAATGCCGATCTGGGGGAAGTGCGGGGTTGATTTGAGGGGGAGCTCGCCATGAGACATTGTATCCTAGTGCCCCGTTTATCAAGGATTTGTATCGCTATGATGACGACCTTAATGAGGGAGCGAGGCTTGTCCATATAGTGAGCTTGTTACCAAATCGAGTGCGGAGGATGATTCTCCGAGAAGCTGGCCTGGAAAAGTACCAGAGCAGTGGGTCACTCCAGCATAAATCTTCAATGGTTTTCGTATGCTCTCATAGTTATGGAGAAGTTTACATGCACCCATGGCTTCATTTTGGGACTTGGTATAGGTAGATCACCCCATCTTACACATTTACCCGGCAAGTGCGGGGATGAAAGTAACATGGGAACGCAGAAATGAGATCATTCATAGCTAGTCTTTTGAAGCTCAAGTATTTCTCATAAGTTTATAATGGCCTTCGGGACTTTTCAAGGCACTTTCTGTATAATCAGAATTTGTTGAAAATGTTCAGGCATCTGAGTCTGGCAGGACTGTTGCTTCTTGTTTCGCATCCAATTGCTGGGAATGGACAGAATTCAAGTGCTCCGTCTCTGACATTCGCAGTCCCACCTGGTTACTCGACCAAAGTCTACAATGTCTCCGCCGCAACGTCGACTTTAACATATGAGTACACCGATGAGGAATTGGCGTTGCTATGGAATCAAGTAGGAAAAATTGCAGTGGGGCCTATCACGACCACAGTTTTCCCCACCCCAGAACCATCCGCGTATCCTAGACCAGGAGTGATGCACCCTATGGTATGTCAGAGTTTCGATTTGTACCGTTAACTTGGTTTCTGACAAGCTTAGGTTCCCTCATACGCACCGTCTCTTATTGCTGATAAACTGCCAAAAGACTTCGTTTGGGGTCTCGCTTCAAGTGCATATCAGATCGAAGGAGCAGCGAGAGATGAAGGAAAAGGTCCATCAATATGGGACTTGATAGCACATCGAGATTATGGTGCAGTTGCAGACAATTCCACTGGCGATATTGTTGCAAGCCATTACTGGCTTTACAAACAGGACTTTGCTCGTCTTGCGAATCTAGGCATTCCATATTTTTCTCCATCTTTCTCGTGGTGAGAATGGACAAGCACTCTTGAGTGGAGCTGATTTGGTCTGACATGGAGTTCTCTAGGCCCAGATTCTTCCCATTCGGAAATGGTCCGGTGAACAAGGAGGGAGTCGCTCACTACGATGATGTGATTGCGAGTATGGTAGAACTTGGAATCAAACCTGCCGTGACATTGTTTCACTGGGGTAAGCAATTACATACTACATACTCCATTGCGAATTATTAACTGTTTTGTAAGATACCCCATTGGCACTCTTCAATTCATACGGAGCTTGGACAGACCCAAGGATTGTTGATGACTTTGTGTCCTATGCCAAATTCGTCATCTCACGATATGATGAGCACGTTCCAATCTGGTATACATTCAATGAACGCAAGTGTCCTTTCATTCTTTCTTCAAAAATATTTCTAACAACCTAATGAAGCACAATATTGCAACTGGCAATACAGTTACTATCCAGCAGGAAACGAAAAAGGCAACTACCCCGCGTACCACGGAATAACAGGTGGTCTCGAAGCGCGTATTGCATGCAGCCACTACACGATTTTAGCTCACGCCAAGGTAGCAAAATGGTACCACGGGGAGTTCAAAGGCAAAGGTCGCATCACATTCAAGAATTCGGGAAATTACTACGAAGCCAACGACACATCCTCAGCAGCAGACGTCGATGCCAGAGCGCGAAACTATGAATTCGTACTTGGGTGGTTCGGTGGTTGCTGGCGAGACGGCGACTACTCCGCCATGTTGAAAGAGACGCTTGGTGATATGCTTCCCGAGTTCACTGCCGAGGAGTTAGAATTGATCAAAGGCTCCTGTGACTTCTTTGCTATCGACCCATACACTGGATACTTAGCCACCAGCATTGAAGGCGGCTCAGCAGCTTGTGCTTCCAACTCGAGTCATCCTGACTTCCCAGAATGCGCAGGCAGTTCGAGCTTAGCAGCAGATGGCTTTCCTCTGGGTCCTACAGCAGATAACGACGTAAGCTGGTTGTACAGCACTCCTATCGCGGTTCGGAGATTCTTAGGCGTCATCACAAAAGAGCTCTTTCCTACGGTAGGAGATGTCGTGGTCTCTGAATTCGGATTTGCGGAGCCATTTGAGGGAGATCAGAACAGTCTGAGTACCATCTTGTGGGACTTGCGAAGAGCCGATTACTATCAATCATACTTGGATAACATTCTTGCATCAATCGTAGAAGACGGTACTTCCCCTCTGCCAGACCCTTTTTTTTTTATCGTCGCAAAACTCAGTTACTAGTGCAACAATAGCTGACCAAAACTAGGTGTCAACGTCACGGGGGCTTTCGGCTGGGCGATCTTCGACAACTTCGAATGGTTTGAGGGAAGCCATACGAAGTTCGGCTTACAGTACTATAACCAGACTTCGCTGGAGAGGTATCCGAAAGCTAGTATGTTCCAGTTCTTGGATTGGTTCAAAGAGAAAGGAGGCGCGGTTTTGGAGGGGGCTGGATCCGCAGGTGAGAATGCCAGTGCGATACCGAGAAGGTAGCTAGCTGCCTTAGATGAGATCCACTGTACACTTTCGATACATACTCGCTGCAATAATGGAAGTGCCAGAATTATTATACCGTGACCTCACGCTATGCTGAACATGTAAGTGACCGGCTTGGAGGCAACTCTTACCAAATTGCCTTTACGTGTCGATATGTTAAGAGTAAGTATTTCGACTACACCATCTTCACAAAGGTTTGTTGGACGCAGATTTCGATATGAGGACGATGAAGCATATGAGGCTGAGCCTTTTGCGATTTATGAGTTAAGAAAATCTCTCCACTGGCCACAGCACTGCCAGGATGAGAAGGGAGAAGAAGATATTGGATTTGGCATTTGTGGCGGTACCTTTAAAGTCGTATTTTCAACCCTCTTATATTACTACGAAACCGCCTCTAATATTGTTTTTGAATGCATCAAAAAACTAATTGTACTTTAAATAATATCTCTATTATTCAAGAGTATTATTACAGTGCTTTTGCAGCGCGGAACAGTTTCGAAAAAACAGATTTTAATCCCTAGCGTACTTTCCCTAATATTACCTTAGAGCAGGTTGATTAAGCTCTACTGAGTGGAGGCTCTAAGTTGTATGTAGACTAGTGAGTCTCACCTTGAGTACAGGGATTTAAAAAGTGTTTTAATCATTTAGTATACTATAATACTAGTACAGTTTTCAGTCCTTGTTCTCAATAACTAAGCGTGAGTTAAACTGAATTCAGTAATCCGGATGTAAACAAACAGCTACAGCTTGTGGAGACGTAATTTTAAACTCGTGTACAAGAGTTTCCTCGTACGTCTCCACGTAACTTTCCCTTTTTCAGTTGCGGCTTTAATCTGTTGAGTCGTGCACGGCCGAGAAAACTGTTTCTTCGAAACTGTTCCGCGCTGCAAAAACACGGTATTATGCCACTAGAAAGTGGTGAAGTTATTAGGTCAGAATCAAGGTTTAAGCGTTGCGCACAAGTGATTCATTTAGCTTCCCGTAAGGAGGGACATTCCTTCGCATTCTCAAGTTCGAGTTGTCGTCTCTAGAGCGCTGTGACGATTCAGGGGCACCCAGCTGGCTTGGATGGCTCGGTTAGCTATTCCCAATTGGGAAAGCATAAACTCTGTATATTACCCCTTTATCTCTTTTACCTTCTTTTTACCTGACTTCTAGATTCTAAAAGAAGCTTGGTTACCTTCACTTGAAACCTTTGATATGTGAGACCGATATTTCAGCGTAATTTCGGCCTTATCCCCTCGTCCGCTGAGACACTGCCCAAGCTAGCAGGGAATAAGGAGTAGGGGTTTCAATTGGTCACATCACTGAATGATAGTTGAGCCTCATCTTCCGGCGAATAAGAAGGCCTTGTTCAGCTTCCCCTGCTAGCGCGGGCAGTGTCTCAGCGGACGAAGGGATAGGGCAAGCGTCACAAGCGGATTCCCGGCCGCGATTTTGTACTGCAGAGTAATAGACAAAAACCAATCAGTTCTAAGTCTCCCAGTGTAGAAATTGAATGAGTTTATTATCTACAAGTTCTGTAAATTTGTACTCACTTGTAAAGTGCGAAGAGGAAAGTGGGATGGGTCAAATTCGTTGTTCTAAGAGCTTGTGTTTTCAGATTTTATTCTTACGGCACGGACACACCACATCTCCCCCTACCTAGGTATGGCCAAGCACTTATACGATGATATGCCTCCCAACACTTAGACAGCCTCGTTTGACAACGAGTCAACGGTCTTACTTGACAGCGTCAGCAAACACTACGACCTCCTTCTCTTGGACGATGCTCCCATGCGTCTGACCAAGTCGATTATTGATGAACTTGAAACTAGGAGATATCTTAAGATTGAGAAAATGTCTTCTTCAGTGAAGCATTCAATGTAACGTCCGGCGCCCCGTGAACCGGGATGCACACCACACCCCTGCCAATGACCGAACGCGTGCTGATATGTAGGCTGCAGAATATCATATCAGGAAGCTCGATGTTTGGAGCCGGGTAGCTCCGCGAAAAGCTGTCTCGAAATTGGTGCTGGCATGTTCCCAGCGAGTTCGCAATTCTGTATAAAGTCAAGAAATGGTCCCATCATTATAAAGGAAGTGGCTCCTGTCGACTTCATACTTTCTCAACTATTCCCCTCTATATAGCATGGTTGACAAGAAGGTCTTCCTTCTCGCAGCAGTTCTGCTTGCTCAGAATGTTCTCGGTAATCCATCTTCGTTCCTCCCAGGGCCGATTCACCGCAAGTCTGAATCCGCAGCTCCTCTATCAGCAGATTCCAAAAAATCTGCCGGCAAGCCTCAAGCGAAAGTGGTGGACGGTGCCTACATAGTTCAACTCAAAACTGAACGCTCGCTCACGAAGCGAGCCGCCGATATTTACAGTGAGTTTCACTTATTGGCTAGAAAAGATGCAGGTCTGGACTATGAGGTCCGCCAGACTTTCTCTGAAGAATCCGTCTTCGTCGGTCTGTCTGTCAATCTTCGCGGAGGTGACGTCCAAGCTTTGAAGGATCTGAACAATGTTGCTGCCGTTTGGCCAGTCAGGTGAGTACATTCCCTATAGCATAGATCTTCTCTTCGAAGGCACCATATTCGCACAATGATGCATCTGAAGGTCCTTAGGAAGGGAACGCTAAATCTAATATCTGTACTATAGGACCATCCCGGCTCCTTCGGCAGCGTTGCCACGTGACTTCAAGAAGGCAGTGAAAGAAGTCGGAGCAGATAAACCTCTTCCTTATGTTACTGGCGAGCTAGATGTAAATCGACCTCATATTATGACTGGTGTCGACAAGGCACACGCCGCGGGTATCAAAGGGAAGGGGATCAAGGTCGGAATCATCGACACTGGTGTTGATTACCGACATCCTTCACTTGGTGGGTGCTTTGGCGAAGGATGCAAAATTGCTTTCGGTATGAATTTCTCTCAGTACAATGTTTTAGTTCAAGTTGGGTGTTGAAATATTGAATCTCATGTTGATTGCTGGCTCAGGGTACGATTTTGTCGGTAATGACTATAATCCAGATCTGGGATTTCCGCCTGCAGAGAGCCCGGATCCATTGGCAACGTGCGTGACAGGCGGTCATGGATCACACGTTGCAGGTAACATGCAACTTCACTCATCTATAATAAGCCACTGAATCTCTCCAGGGATTGTTGCAATGTTGGACCAACCAGGGACCGGCTTTGGACTGGTTGGCGTAGCTCCTGAAGCTACTCTTGGTGAGGTCTTCCACTATTCCGCCGGCTATTGCTAACTAACGGTAAGGAATGTATCGTATTTTCGGTTGCGAGGGACGCTCCGATGATGATATTATCATAAAAGCCCTTCTCAGAGCTGCCTCGGATGGCGTTGATGTCATCAGCATCTCTGTCGGACACATCTGGCCTGATGAGGTGACCAACCCATATTCTATCATTGCTGAGAACCTGCTCGCAAAAGGAATTGCTATATTTGCCGCTACTGGTAACCACGCATCTTGGGGTCTCATGAGTCCGTCAGCTCCAGCTATCAGCTCAAGTATCTTTGCGGTGGGGTCAGTCGACAATGAGAAATTCCCGCTGACCTTTCAACTCACGGATTCTAATGGCCGCCATCTGCGCTATTCAGCTCACCTTCCTCAGCAGTCCCCACCAGATGGATTGATAGTCCAGGTTATGCACTACGGTGCAGACCCATCCCGGCAGACTGGTAAATATGTCGAAGATTACGAACAGGCAGCAGCCAATCTTACTCGTCTTGGAATTGATCCAGCTACAGTTATTCTTGCGACTCTGTATGGTGACTTCGTAAGTTGCTCAAAACATTCTATCGGGCCATTCACTAATTTGGACTGGCCTTCTGAAGAGCCCTGCCGACAAAGCGAAAGCTGCAGCGACCTTCGGATATAAGTACTTTCTTCAGTATACTACAGAAGATCAAGATCCCTTCTGGGGAAAAGAATACAACATTGATGAGCCCGCGGAGTGGCCAGTGGAACCAATCAGTCTTACGGTCCAGGATTCGAAGACACTATTAAGCAGCTTCGGCAAAAAGCCTTTCCATTACAAGATCTCACTCAGCACAACCGAGTATGCTGCAAAGAGTGTCACTGCCTCAACACCTGGGACTATGAGTAACTTCTCGTCTATAGGTCCCACCCTCCAGTTGAACCTCAAGCCACAACTTTGTGCTCCTGGTGGAAATATTCTGGCCACTTGGCCGCTGACATATGACGGCTACACCATCATGTCCGGCACGTCGATGGCAACACCCTATATGGCAGGTGCCTATGCCTTGATTAAATCTCAGAAGCCCCAGTTGACCGTCTCCCAAATCTACTCCCTGATGCAAAATACTGGAAAGACATTGCCGTGGTATTACAACAATAACATCAAGTCTTCCGCTGTTCATCAAGGCGGCGGTCTTCTCAATGTTCAGCACGCACTAGCCTACGAGTCGCTCATCACGCCGAGTCAGCTCAGTGCTGGAGTTTCCAAGGATTACACGACATGGAACAATACCGTTCGCTTGAACTTCACCATTTCCAACCTCTCCTTGCGCAGCAAGACGTACAAGTTCTCCCACACGCCTGCTGCCATGATGCAACATCTATGGTGGCAGGACGAGACATACAATAATATGTATCCGTTCTACGGGTCTGCAAAATTCCCTGCTTCCGAGGTCTCTATTCCAGGCGGACAGAGCAAACTGGTGTTTGTGGATATCGTTGCTCCTGTTCCGGATCCCATCACTTGGGGCAATTATTCGGTCAATCTGTTGCTGCCGATGTACACAGGGTTTGTGACTGTGACAAATAATAATGATGTGTTTACCATTCCTTACGTGGGAGAGCTTTGGGATGAGTGTAGGTGCCTCATTTCGACCAAAGTGGTCGCGCCTCAATGAAATGGCTTCGCTAATGCTGTTGCAGCTCGATTTCCCGGACGTGATAATGGCCCCCCGTCATGATGACTGCACAGAAAGGAAGAAAACGGCAAAGGTATACATATCATTTGGAGTGAATAGGTTTGCCCCATTTCTAGGTCTCATTTTCTCTTTTTACACTGCACGATTATCCCTAGAGCTTCAAGTTTAAACCTACTCTTTCCTTGAGTGCACATCATTGTTGGCAATTAGATCCGACCACTGTCCTATGTTGTTGCATTGTTTGTTTTTGTGCTCACCTGGGCGTTGCCTCTGGGATATCAAATCCTTAGACCTCCTTGTCAATAGATTTCTGAACTTATCTCACACTCCTGTCTGAAATCAGCTGCTACCTGTTGTTCGTTTGTAATGTTTGGCGGTCACTAGAATGTACAATAAAAGCAATCAAAGTCAGGCTTGGTGAACAGCAGCTTCTTATGATCATCATTGTGTTTCTAGGTAGCGGCTCTATTAACGACTCTGCATGGTACCCATCAAGCGTACCGTCAGGACGTTTTACAAATTGGACCTTTGACATGAAGAAGATCAGTCACATCAAGATCAGCCACAGTATGCGACAGCCCGTTAATACGGGGTCTGGGCAAGCGAAAGTCCCCGTCTGCACTTGGTTGGAGGCTCTGCACAATGCACCTCAACTTGATCAAATTTCGATTCTTTGCAATCTTTCTTTCTACCAGCTGCATATAAGTTCAGGAAGCTTGAGACTCAGGGTCAAGATGGGAGACTTGGTGGACTCATTCGAAGGGTGAGATTCTTCTTTATGAATTGGTGATTATGGCTTGGGTGAAACAGACTCTTCGAGTCCGGTAAATATGCAGAATCAACAATTTGCAGCTAGGAAACGATCTTCGAAATCGATTGTGCCACCCTTTGCTCTCAATCCAAGGTTTTTGCTCAGATGTCCGATGGGCAATTCAAGGTATATAATCAAAAAGTTCAAGAGCTGGAGTCTCTGGACTATGGATCCGATAAGCTGATCAAATCCAGGAAGCCACCCTCCGCACCCCAAAGTCGATATGGACGCCAGACTTGCATAATAAGTAGAGTCCTGCTTCAATGGCAGATGACCTCATTATATCACCTCGTCTGAAGCTTGAGGAGACACTGACTGGACGGCAGTTAACACTCACCGAAGTGCTTTCCGTCCTTTACTGACCAGCTGGGCTCTCTACCTTACATAGGATGAAGACTAATTAAATCATCTTGAAAATACACCCTGGCATGAACACATGTGAAGGCCGTTCAATCACCTAAGAGAGCTTCTTACGCGACTCATACATTGTGGAAACAGTGATGTACAACTCTTGCCTCCATCTTTCCCAAGCGCCGGATATGTAACACATATAATACACCTACTTCCTTCCCTTGCCCTTCTTCTTTGCACCGCCCTTTTTCTGCTGATCCAAGCCTGACCCCTTGCGTGCGCCTCTCGATCGTTGATAAGCCAGCACAATATTCTGTACACTGCCCATGTCGTGCTTGGGCTTCCGCATGTATGTCAATCTCGCTCTTCTCGCCCTCTTCTCTCTCCTCTGCACCACCTCAATACCCTCTACATTCGGACTGTAGATCTTATACCACATCTCCACGCCAACCCTCGTCAGCTCATTTCGAAGAAGAATGGCTGAATCGACGCCCCGTCGGCGGATGTTGATGCATACGCCTGCGAAAGGATCACCTGTCTTTAGTCGCACGAGGAGGATATCCCCAACTTTGGCGGCTTCGGTGTTCGTCCGGGAGAAGAGGTGACTGCGAGCGCCAGTTGGGTCGAGGATGGCTATTTGGTCTTCTGTGAATGCCTTTAAGGGTTCTTTGCATGTGTTTGCAAGCGATACTGGCGGCGGAACGATTTTGAGCTTCCTGTTGACTTTTGCAGAGTTAGCACTGCATAAATATGAAGCAATTGGATGGTAGGGTGCTATGTACCATGGCTTGTAGGCGCCTGACTTGCAGGTGGTGAAGGTCGCTTTGAAAGTGACGGCGCCGGCTTGCGGTATGTCGTCAATGATCTCGCAGCGACTTTCTGCTGTCTTGAATGCCGCAGTATTGACTTCCAGCAGCCCAGTGGCCGTAATGTGGGTGTTAGAGTCGCCATGGTTTGCGACGTGAAGGGGTTGATGTTCGTGATGGAAGCTTGGTGGTTTGGCTTGAAATTGTCCTGCCGAGCTCTGATTCGTCAAAGCCTCCTCACGCTTCCACTTTTTTTGTTGCACCCAAAAGGCTGAACAATTGGGAGCGCAGTACCTCCGTACAATGCAATCTCACGCTACAATTCCCTGATCATCAACGAAACAATTCATATAAGTCAAACTGCGAGAAGCTCACTCGGAGCTTTCTCTGCGATCATGAATGGCAAAAGTCTCACGAAGGTGCTCCGCTGCAGCAGCTGCACCATCAAAATAGCAGGGAAAGGTGTTTCAATACAACAGCGAACACTCTCGAGCTCCCCAGTACGACAAAAGCATGGTACGAATAAACACACGCATATGCAGGTTTCCATCTAACTTCTCTGTAGGTGCTATTCCTACCTTCACCGAGGTCTCCTCTCCAGAATTGCAAGATCTGTTTACCCAACTCCGCGAGCGAGTCTTCCTCCCGGCCCATATCACACAGCAACAACGAGACCTCATATTTAAGGGGAAGAACAAGAAGGCACTCGAAGTGGAACCAGTGACGGCTGTTGTAGCAGGCGAAGAGTTTACACTCAAACCTCTTGACCCACTGGCTGACGTACCGTCGAGGTACAAGAGCCTCAACAAGGCATTGTATTTGATGCAGGATAAAAGGGACTGGAACAATCTGCCGAATCTTTTGCAGGGCTTAAAGACCGTCAAATTCAAACTTCGTGAGGACGAACGTCTGGGTTTGTTACGCAAAATTGCGAAGGCTGGGCGACAGGATGTTCTCCTGGAATGCTTAAGAAGAGCCGACGAGACGGGCTTCACATTGAAGAGCCCGAGTTTCGTGGTGCAAGTGTTTTTCTGGATGCAACAGAAGGCGTACCAGAGTGACTGGGATGCTGAGGAGACGAAGAAAGCACTGCAGTGGGCGGAAATGGTGAAGGATATGATGGCAGAGCCAAAGCACCAACCAGCAGCGGGCAGCGATCCTCTGCCAGATCTTCACGAAGTCCACGGAATACTACTCGAGCTTGCTGCTGTCAGGGCTAGCAGTCACCAGGATGGGAAAGACGCGGACGGAAAGGTGGAGAAGTATGCGTCTGACCTCCTAGCATCGCCGCGACATTTTGAAGTTCGCCATAAAAGCAACCGCGGGGCACCAAACTACTGGTTAAGCACAAACATTCCAACGCTTCATGGCTTAAGAATTGCCCAAGAAGTACTCGGCGCAACATCCGAACTTTCGATAGGATTGAAGACACTGGGTGAGGAATTGGAGCCGCTTTTGTCACAAGCCAAAGACCGGATTTCAGAGACTCCTAATAGAAACGGGGCTCTTCCGACAAGTGTATTGTTGTATGAGAAGCTGTTGAGTTCTGAATCATCGTAGTATGACACTGTATACCAAGCCAGAGGTATATATGACCAATCTGTACATTATGTAGATTAGTATTGGAGTTTACGAATCGAAGGCTTTGAACGTGAGCTTCTTGAACGTTGCATTCGAGGTATTTTGCTGGTTCTATCCTGCAGTACTCCAAAAGAAACCATCGTCAATTTTCCATAGGAAATACTCTTCATAGCTGACATATGAAAATTTTGACATTCTTTTGGCGATTGTATCATACTGGCAACTTCTAACACCCCAGTACTCAAGTATTGTTTTGTGAGATAGTGGTTTGGAAGGGCTTATCTGATAGTTGGCGGGCCAACAAGACGCTTGTTGATTGTGCGTCGCGTTTTCTGTTTGGAAGTGCCTCCAAACCGCGACTTCATAAACAACCACGACCAAAACCCCCACATGCGATAGACTACCATCTTACTTATACCAGCTGAGCATACAATTCGTATTCAAAATGCCCAGCAGGGTATCAACCGCGCGGTCCACGAGAGCATCCGCTGTCTCTCACAAATCCTCAGTCCAAACATTGAATTCTCGCGCTTCAACAGCGTCGAGGATATCCACGCCCAACATTGAGATACCAGACGAATCCCCAGAAAACGAGCTGAGGACACAGATAGGATCTATTTTCCGGGATGCGCAACGGACAACAGCCAGCCACAGAAAGCTAGTCATCAATCTGCGAAAGATCCAGGGAGCCTGCTGTTACGAGCCTACGACCAGCAAGAAGAACCAAACCGGCGCAGAGGATTTCGACGAAGAACAATTCACAGATGAGTTTACACGGTGCGTTCTACGCATTATGCCCGTGAAGAAGAGTGAGAGCGTGGGCGAGCGTGCGATTCGATTTACAGGATTGTTCTTGCGACATGCGAACGAGAAGGACAATGAGCTTCTGCCGGAGAGCGATGACGATGAAGGAGTTATGATGGACACGCCGAGTACACGACTTACTTCGCACCTCATGAACTCGGTACTGCCTCTTCTGACAGCGAAGGAGAAGTTCGTCAGGTACAGGTCGACACAGCTGATCTCCCATATCATTAATTCTCTTGAGGCTATTGACGATGATCTCTTCCAACTCCTACGTCACGGACTGCTTAAACGGATACATGATAAAGAGGCTATGGTCCGTGTTCAAGCTGTGTTGGGACTGGGCCGCCTTGCAGGAAACGAGGTTGAGGGCGAAGCTGCGGACAGCGACGATGATGACTCTGGATCCGGATTACTTGGACGATTGCTGGATGTGCTCCAGAATGACCCCAGTGCTGATGTTCGAAGATCACTCTTGGTTAATCTACCAATCCTTCCAAATACCCTGCCATTCTTGTTGGAAAGAGCCCGTGATCAGGATTCAGCGACTCGACGTGCTTTGTACTCCCGACTTTTGCCCGCCCTCGGAGATTTCAGACATTTGTCTTTATCTATGCGTGAAAAGCTGCTTCGCTGGGGCCTGAGAGACCGAGATGAGAATGTCCGAAAGGCAGCCGGAAAGCTTTTCCGGGAGCGCTGGATTGAGGATTGTGCTTATACGGCTGAAGCTGAAGCCGAGGGAGCTGAGACTGTGACGGGTGAAGCTAAGCCACCAAACTTCGAAGGCCTTCTGGAATTACTTGAGCGCATCGATGTTGTGAACTCTGGTGTGGAGAACGGAGTTGCATTGGAAGCAATGAAGGGCTTTTGGGAAGGTCGTCCAGACTACAGAGACGAAGTCACATTCGACGACAATTTTTGGGATACCTTGACTGCTGAAGCCGTCTTCATGGCAAGAAGCTTCAATGATTTCTGCAGGAACGAAGGTAACGGCAAATTTGAAGCACTGATTGAGGAGAAAATGCCAGAGGTCACCAAGCTTGCTTTCTATCTCCAGCGATACATCACTGTTCTGGTAGAAGCATTGAAGAGGGTTGCAGAGCAAGAGCCAAGTGAAGATGAGGACGAAGAGGATACTGTGGAGCAAGAATTTATCGTTGAACAGCTTTTGCATATCGCGCGAACGCTTGACTATTCGGATGAGGTTGGGCGCAGAAAGATGTTCGCTCTTTTGCGACAAACCCTGTCTATTCCAGATATTCCAGAGGAGGTCACCAAACTCACTGTTGAGGTTCTTCGGGGTATTTGCGCTGGAGATGCTGCTGGAGAACGGGAATTCTGCAGTGTCGTTCTTGAGGCTGTCGCCGATGTGCACGATACTATTATGGACGAGCCAGCTTCCGAGGATGCAGATGAAAGCTTCCACTCCGCAAGATCAGAAATCAGCGGCGATGGTACTCCAACTAAATCTGGAAAAGCCTCTCAGCGGACCGAAGAGGAGGACCAGGAAAAGGCGATCCGCGAGATCATGGTGAACATGAAATGTCTACACATCGTTCAGTGTATGCTTGAAAACGTCGAGGGAAACCTGCAGCAGAACGTTGATTTGGTTGCCATGCTGAATAACTTGGTTGTACCTGCAGTTCGAAGTCACGAGGCTCCAGTTCGAGAGCGTGGTCTCCTATGTCTGGGTCTCTGCTCACTACTTGACAAATCTCTTGCAGAAGAAAACTTGACTCTGTTCATGCACTTCTTCAGCAAGGGCCACGCAGCTCTCCAAATCACTGCCTTGCAAATCCTTACTGACATCTTGAACCAACATGGTGCCCACCTTCTGGACAACAATCCTGCACTCCTGAAAGTTTATTTGAAGGCCCTGAAATCCGGTACCAAGGCACCAGAAGTCCAGGCTGCGGCTACCGTTGCCGTGGCGAAACTCATGCTCGGGCGTGTGATTTCAGACGCTTCGCCAGCGATTGAGGATCTACTCAAGACACTGGTCGTGCTCTACTTTGATCCCAGCACAGCTCACAATCAAGGCGTTCGCCAAACACTGAGCTATTTCCTTCCAGTCTACAGCTTTAGCCGAAAGGAGAACCAATCTCGCATGCAGAAAGTGGCTCTTGATGCTCTTCACAAGCTCTTCGAAGTCCAAGAAACTCTCGACGATGAGGGCGAGGCCGAGACTGAGATGGTCAGTCTCAGCACCATCGGCGCACATCTCATTGACTGGACCGACCCCCGGAAATGCTATATCCCAGGAAATCAAATGACGCTCGAAGAAAGTGCCAAGAAGTTTGTAAATGGCGATGTGCATCTCGACTTCGCTCGCGACCTCCTCGAGCGTCTTGACTCTGGAATAAGCAGTAAGTGCTCCTTTCGTGCTCCTCTCTGCAAGACCATTTGATGCATCCCTTACTGACCCCTCCACCAGGAGAAGAAAAGAAAACCCTTGCCCCACTCCTCGCCAAACTTCACATCTCACCCGCCTCCACACCCTCCCTCCTCCGCGAAATCTACGCCGAAGTATCCCTCGCCATTGACGAGAAGCTCATTGCCGATGCTACGGGCCGTAATGCACTCTTCAAGATCCACGTTTCGCTTGGCAAGATCGTAAACACGCTGAAAGAGAAAGACGACGAGCACGCTAGCCTTACGTTGAATCTAAGGGGTAGCGTGAATAGTATGACCAGTCGCAAGAGTAGCGTTGCGCCAAGTGTGGTGGATGACGAGAAGAGTGTGCTAAGTACGATTGAGGGAGAGGGAGAAGAGGACTTGGGGAAGGTTGAGGAGGAAGACGATGATGATGAGGGAACTATTATTGGGAATCCCACGCCCAAGAGGAGGAGTGGTACGAGAGATTCACTTGTGGATGAGCTATTGAGTGATGGTGATGTGGATATGTCGGGTGTATGATTCTTGGTTTGGAAGTGTAATGATGACATGATATATGGGGGCATGGAACGGCAGGCTGAGGTGGTGGGATTGTTTGGCGTTATCAATTACGTATGTTCATTGTTATTTGCTTCAGTAATGAGATTCATGATTCAGTATTGCATTTCTTATGAATAGCAAATGTTTTAGGGCCGTACTAAGAAGTACGAAGAACCTGCTTCAGACTCAGAGCGTCGTACAAAATCACCACCCTAGCACCAAGAACCTTTATGTGCATGCATAAAGAGTGTCCGCAAACCAGCCACTAGCCCGCCATATGCTACCTACCGCAGCCCATGAGCCAAATGAAAGGGAGTCTGGTAGCATCAAATGATCAAAAAGAAACCCATGTATTTCACCGCCATACCGTCATGTGGCTTCACCTATTAAATCATAATCATGTCCATTGTGTTATGGGGAGTTTAGCGGTACAATATCGTCATGTTCTCCTGGATATTGCGTTACCGTAATGGGCACGTCGAAGATACGGGATGTTCTGACCAAGTGAAGCTTTCGAGTTTGACTTGGGTTCGTGCGGTGATGGAAGAAATAAGGAAGGTTGTGCAGGTCTAGGTTGCTCTGGAAAGAAGTCCTGTACTAGCGTCCCGCTTATGGTATTGTCTTCATGATGAAGCCTGACTGGTGGCCCGAAGAGTAAATGCATCGTCTCCTCCCTCGTGAGGATCGAGCTCGACAAGTGTGTTGGATTTGATAGATAATCATGGCACATGGCATCGAACCTGCTTCCAAAAAGTGGACAATCTACCCAATGCATGAATGTATCGACAGAATGCAACAAAACGAGGTCCACACCATGAGATATCGATTTCGTTGGACTTTCTTCATATTCGAAAATATGGTATTGGGACAGCAGCAAAACTCTCCAGTAAATATGTGAAATCAGTTCATCCACAGAAGATGCTAGCTATTCCTTAAAATGCTTCTGCATGGATTGTTGTGAACACAGTTTTCGGGGAGTGAGTTCGTGCTACCCGCCAAGAGAGACTATGGGTACAAAAGCACCATCAGGGCAAATAATTACAAGAAGAGGTAAGTAGTTGTATGATCCAGAAGAAGAATGGTTTATGCACGACAGCAATCATCAACAGTGTGTGTAACATAGGTCCAAGGCCAACGGTTAGTAGGGATGGCTAATAATTTCTTACAACCTTTCAAATGCTGTCACTTTCTAAGACGGCATCATTAATTACAAAATGATAAGCGACATGAAGTCGGAGTCTGCTGTCAAGATCACTGTATTAGACCCCAGCAAGTAAATCATACACTCGCTTCCCATTAAGTACAAGGATATCGAACCTCAGAAAAGCCCCAGACTGCAGAATCAATCCTCATCTAAAACAGTCAAAGCACAAGAGTCTTTCCCAAAGAGACGTCTCTCCTTTCCCACTTCTGCGCATTTTCATCTTCAGGTTCTGGCGTTTCATTCGCCCATTTCCTCATAGTTTGCTCCCGGTTCGCCCCAACGAAAGCGTACGTCGAAGGTCACCACTTCTTTTTTCCTCATCTCCTTCGCTACCCGATTCTAGCTCCTTTGTCTCTGCCGACTTAATCGTAACAGCTCGTAGCTTCGCACACTATGTTTGGACTTCTTCGGCCGGCCTTGGATGAAATTGCGTGCTTGGATATATATTGGTTGAGAAACGGCTTTAGCAAGCTGGAAGAGCTTCAGAGCCTTTCAAACGAGTTTTTAGACTGCTAAGCGTTAATATGTGGTTCGATATTATGTTGACACTTGCGCAGTCGTGGCTGAGGACGTACCGAGATGGAATCTGCCATCCGGACCAATATCTTATTTCTTGACTTTTTATTGGTTAGTTTCGCTATCCAAGTTACAGTGGTCGAAAGGAAAAGTCGTAAGAAAGTGGGGCGAAGTGAGCACTTTAGCCCTTCATCAATCGGCTCAGCTTCGCGAATGTAGCGTTCTTTCGCTGTAGGGGACATTCTGACGAACAAGTCTCAGATGACGCCCTTGACACCGACAGGCAGACTATTAATATGATTCGGGCGAGCAATATTTGCTTGACAAGGAGATGCGGAGATTCCGCAGCAGCGAATCGAGTCGTGGCTGATGTGTGGCGTTGAGGATTCCGGAAAAATATTAACTGACAATTAAGTATATCGTATTGGTGTCTGAAATGGCAGTCCAGATGAATTAGATTTATCTATTGTGAAACAGGCCACCTCCTGAACTCCGTCCACCTCGTCAACCACAATACCTACCTCTCTTATCTTCTGCTCCTCTTCTGGGTTCCTTTCATTGAAGTGAATTTCTCATACTTTCACAGCACAAGGTTACGTAGCGTGGGTGAATAACAAAATTATGTCTTTGTCACATGACGTGGTGTGCACTGCGCTACGGCGCGTCACTTATCGATTTAGCTAAATTTGGCTAAAATTCATACTTGAACTGGTGAGCTGTCATAGTCGGACCTAATAATTGAATAAATTCGCACAATCACTTTGCGCCTTTGAAAATTCAAACTTCCGATTTTCTTCTGGGAAACTCAATCTCCGCTTCGATCTCCGTCCACTACAAATCTTCTACTTCTGCACACTAGACGCAGATCTCGGTTTTGCGCCGCGACTTCATCTTTCACTCTTACAAGCAGCTTTCTGCCTTTTCTCAGTGTGCTTTTTATCTCGACTCTGCTTCTAGACCTCACCTTCATCTATCGACGGACCGCATACAAGATCTTCGACGTCTCAGATTCTCAGCTCTCGACTTGAAAGGTGTCTCTTCACCTTCACACACTGGACTGTGGCACACAAAGATCACCTTTGCCCACCGATCATTGCGAATATTCCTCAACACAAGCAGCAGAGATCTTCATTAAGAGGTGAAAGCGAGCAATATGCCACCGAAGCCTCAAAGCCCACGAAAGCTACAGAAGAAGAAAGCAAATGATGGCAAGAAAGTATACCCTCCATTAGGTCAAGGTGATTCAAGTAAAGCAAGTCTGCTATCGCAGAACTCACAGGCTAGAATACCTCGAGCATTTCTTCTTGTGACTCTCGCTATCAAAACAACCAATACACGATCATCAAATGACTTTATGATCGGGGATTTTGCTGGCATAAAATATCACTTGAACATCATGGGGTTCGAAGACAAGCAGTTCTTTTTGTCCACTGTCAATCTGGCAGAATACTGCATGGCTGGGGTTCACAGCGACATCAAAATTCGGGGAGAAACTTCAGAAAAAGTCGTCTATTCGCGATTCAAGGCTTTACACAGACAAGACGACTATACCTTCATTGACGAGTCATCAATCAAGATCACCTTTCATGAATGGATGAGTAAGACTGCGAAGGATGCTTTACCTGGCGACGTCGTCAATGTCATCCTCATTACTCACGGCAACGCTCAAAATGGGAATTTGCAATTTGGAAAAAACTTTATCTCAATCGATGAGATGATCAAGATCTTGAAATATTTCCAAGACAGCGTTCAGGTTAACATGGTAGTTTCAGCATGCGGAAGTGGGAAACTATGCAAAGAGATTTCGACAAAAGATCAATTTAATAGATACATCGCTGCAGCTGCTGGCCCTGGGGAATTAAGTTCTGGAAATGGATTGGTCGGATGGGTCAAAGGTCAATCTGCAAGCGGCAGATTCCGAAGTTCTTATTTCACGGATGTCATCATCAAGTCTCTCGGGAGGATAAATTTCGACCGCCTCGGACCCAGCATGGGGGAGTTGCAACAGAACTTTCATGAAGGAGTCAAAGTCAAGCCAGAGCCTTTCGCCGCGAAGTCAACACCATCTTTTGCCGGTTCAGCCGCAAAAAAGGAAGAGGCAGAGATCGCATTACAGAAGATCATTCATTTAGACTATTTCGATTTCCCGCCAGATCCAAAGCGGGCGGCGAGATATTTGAGACAGGAGTCCGACATGCAGGTAGTGCAAGCAGCAGATGGGAATAATGTTGATGACTGGGGTTTCGGGGGTGATGTCCTCGATTTCTTCGCCACCGAAATCTCAAAAGTCGATGAATCTTTTCTAAGTCACGATGACGCCGAGCTGCATGCAAGAGTGCAGCGTGTGCTGGATCAGACAAAGTCGGGTGAAAAAGCAACCAAAACTGAGATTTTGCAAGCCATTATGTTTCGGGGGAAGATGCAAAGTGCTTGCTTTTCAGTTTTTATGTTCTTGCAGGATCATTGCTTCGTCACCATGAAAGGACTGGAAAAACCAATGAATTTGAGCTCCTTACAAGATGATGAAATTCGAGAGGTTTCGGATGCTTTGTCTTGCTTCGAGCTCCTATCCGACAGAAACGAGTACTCATTCATAACTTACTGCACATTCAACTATTTGCCCCCCATCATTTGGCTTTCGACATTGATAGTGCGTGGAGCTCTTGTAAGGGATCTTTGGACTTTGTTTGACAGGATGAGTTGCATGGGAGAATTAGGACCATTGGATATTGAAAGACTGCCAAAGGTGTGGCCGGAGACTAGGATGATCAAGGTGGACGAACAAGCTGGGTTGGTAAATCCGTTGGCTACGGGAAATGGGCAACCATTCTCCTTTTGGTTGCCACACTCAATGGGGAAAAACATTGACTTGCATCAAGTCTACAAGTACTTCGATGCCGATAACTTCATGGCATTTGAGAAGCTTTACTTCAACTACTTCAGGCTGCCAGTTGATGATCCAAAATCACGAGAGAGGCAATGCTCGTGTTATATTGCACAGCAGTTGACATCGATGGAGAATTAGAGCAAAGCAACTATGTACAAAATGAAAGCCCTCAAACCATACACTACCGAAAAGAGTCATATTATCTGCAAATACCAGGAATTCAACAAGTCGTAGACATGAAAGCGTCATTCACTCGTTCGTGGATAATACTGGCATTGGCAGAATGAGCTGTTGAGTTTATTTGAAGCTTTAATGTGTCTACGCTTTCCCTCTGGGATTTCTGTCAGTTCTATTTGGATATGCTGCAGCTGCTGACATGTCGAAGCTAATAGTGCTGGTTCTCTGTTTATATGTAAATGTACCTGGGAAGTGCCAAACCCTTTCGGTTCGCATCAACAGTCAGTGTTCTCACAGCTTTCCACCTCCGAGAATTATTCTTGAGCCGTGTCTCGAATCCCTCCTTTCAAACTTTCATTTCCTCGCCACTGCCAAGGTCAACTTCCGTATCGCCCAACCCCTTCACAATCCACTCTACGACTTCCTAGCTCCATTCCAACTCAGACAAACCCATCCGTCCACACTCCCAGATTTCGTTCGCGTAATCGGCCTGCCTACCCAAAGGCTCTTGAGCACCTTATATGTCCGCACTGCGCCAGTATTGAAGATCTTTTGACTCCAAATATGAACATCACAGAGCACCTCTCCTTCAGCACTAAACTCCGTCCAGGCAGCGTTGTATCCATATCCAGAAGGATTGCCGCTTGAAAGAGTTTGCACTGAGCCTTGGGAGCCGTTGACAATCTTACGTGGATTGACGTATGTCGGCTTCAAGGTAGCTGTCATAGCTTCTAGATCAAGCATTATATGTAAACCGCGCTAGTGAACAACTGTTAGTTTGAGACGATAGCATGCACCATTGTCGAACAAGGTTGTACCAGAATGTCAGCTACCCAATGAGCATCGTGCTGCCAGCCGAATTTCATAGCTTTGCCGTTCGACAGATCTTTGAAGGAGTTTCGACGTCCGCCTAGCTCCCATAGAATGAATCCATTCTTTCCGGAATTGTACAGAAGACTTTGGTAGTAGCGAGAAGGGAGGAGATAGTTGCCTTGCGCGTCCTTGTCAATGCTGTCGGTCTGCAAGAAATCGTAGCCGCTGTGTCTGTCTCGGCCGGTGGAACCAGAAGAGAAATCGTCTTTGTTGATGTCGTCGTGATCATAAGCGTGCCATTCGAAAAGCATATCGCGTGTTTCGATATTGTTCTCTTGGAAAACAGAGTCCCAGATGTAGCTTTGTAGTACGAAATCGCCACCCCAATCACCTTTTTCATAACGGTATTGGGTGATGAGGGCTATCCCTTCGTCCGTAACAGTAAACTTGTGGAAAGTCACTCAGTCTATGGTTTCTAGCTGTGAAATTGTAGACTTGTTTGTAAGACGAGTCAAGCTGGACCTGCTTTAGTAAATATACTCAAGAGCGGAATGCAGAAACTCACCATAATGTAAGTACCATCTCCATGGCGAAGTGTGTCATGACCTTTCCAAAATGTTAAGTAGTCGTTTCCCTTGTAACACTGGACAGCAGCATTGCAAGTCTCTCCATATATGGGGTCCATCCACCCCAGATTTCCCAGTGTATCGTGGATCATTGGACTTCCCCTCTGATTCCACCTTATCACCGCTCAAGCTAGCTGTGATGTACAGCCCATCGTCGCATCTTGGATCTGACTCCCGAACATTATGAAAGCGTGAGATAAAGCTGGGCTCGGCAATATATAACCGGTGAGGATATGCTCCATCCTTACCCTCATTCAGACTGTGGATTCGAGCAAAGTTTCACTCTCAGCTGTCACCACCCACTGAGAGAAGAAGAGCAGCCGGACTCAAATACATGCTGCAACTTCAAAAACGCCCACCCCAAGCCCGAGGGCGAAGGAAATTCTTTGAGCAGCTTCTTACTGCGAGAGGCGAAGAAGTAATGTCACAGAAACATAGCGTAAGATTACCGTTGCACCTGGCTGTTTCGCGAACAATCGGCTCGCTTCATAATGAGAAATAAGAATGAACTTCAGATGCTCCAGATGAGGCTCTTTTTGAAGTTGGACGCCCCACGCTTTATGTTGCTGCACCCTCCCTGTGTGGATCATCCGACATTGTCAATGTAAACCAAGCCCACCCACTCAAAACACCTTGCCGGGCCGCGCGCCCATGAAGAGTTCTGGAGAACATAAGCTACACTTGCACTGAGTATGAAAAATTCAAGTCATGTTAGTCAGGCTATTGGATCAGCAAAAGGGAAGCAGGAGCCTTGACATAGGAAAAGGAGCCTTAGAGCCAAAAATCGAAGCCAATGAAGCAGAGGACATTAAACGTTGCTGGATGGTCATAAATTTTATGATCTCCATGAGCCGGATCGCTACAACAAGGCCAAAGTATAGTCTTCTCTGATTTTTCCACTGATGCCCAATGGTGCTTCTCCACCAACCACAGCTGGACCACGCGCGAATACCTAGTATAACGTTAGCTAGATTCTTGGCACGAAAAGATCGACTAACATCTCCTGCAGAAGCTGTATCTGTCGTCTTGTGCTGCTTAGTATCTCTAAAGAATAATTCTATACTGGTAACTGGAGCACCAAGATGCGACTGTATCTCAGGATCACTTCCGACGCGATAATCATACATCCCGGTTTGTGTCACGGCTCCAGCGACTTTTGCAGATGTGAGAGCGTATATTATGCGAGATCCAGTGTAGATCCGCAGATCTGATAACATCTGGGAGCTCAAGGGAGTAGATTTGACACCGGCCTGTTCAGAGACATAGATCAACCGTAGCTTGCCTGGAGTAGTTCCGATAGCTGGGCGAAGAGAATCGTACATGCGAGAAAACATCGATGCAAGTGGCATAACACCATCTTGGACCAACGCTCTGGTTTGGAACCAATGAACGATGTTGTACAAAGATGTATTCAACTTGCCTGCTGTTTCGGCGTGTGTCTTGGCGAGCGTATCTGCTGATGCTACAATGATGGTTGGAGCGACGCCTTGAGTTGCTAGCACCAAGTCAGGGCTATCACCAGCCACCGAGTTCAACGCAACGGAGGCATTCGAGTAGAGCGCGGAGAGTGTCAAGATAAGAGGATATATCGTTGCGAATGAGTCAACTGGAAGGAAAAGGTCGGCATGAGTGATACGTTGGGTTGTAGGAACGGAAGTTAGTTGACCTGCAATTCCGGCAATGATATTGGCATGAGTAAACTCCGTTAGTTCTCCTGATGGCCAGAAAGCCAAAACCTTCTTGGGCTGGGAACTCTTGTCAATGGCTGGTAATTCTGATCCTGTACTCGGCTCCTGGTCCTGGATTATTTCCGACCAAGTTGATACATTGACGGCGCCTCCGGTTCCTTTTGGTACTTCATTCCAATCCATGTGCCTACTTCCGTCATCGACCACCCAGATGAGTTGCTCGAGAGCAGGGTAGCTCTTAGTTATGACATCGAATGGGAATGAGCCAACCGCAGCTACGACGGTATCAGACTTAGCCTTATGTAGTAATGAGATGATCTTTTCGATGGGTTGGTTGTAGGGTACAAGTGTGACATTTAAGTCATAGAAGGCGCATGCAAACAGAGTTGCAAGAAACTCGATCGAGTTAGGGAGGTAAATAGCGACATTCCTTCCACCAGCTTGCTTGATATTCTGTCCGATGAGGTTGATTTGTCGGGTAATATCAGCTATTGAAGATAGTCAGCACCTGGAACATATTCAAGGAGAGGGTCACAAACACAGATCATGTTCAACGACCTGCTCAGAGCCCAGCACTGTTAGCAATTTTCCGACTTCGCCAGTCTCCTTTCCATCTCGGTCTAGGCCTCCGGCAACAGCCCTTCTCCAAACGTCTCTGAGGTCTCCATCTCGGCCTCTTGCCCATTTCGAGTCTCCCGGGTCTTTGACATTCAGCCCGGAATTCAACGGAATGCCATGAGGGGAAGAGTGGGATCTGAAGACGGCAGATTCTCCTTCTTGTCGAACTGGAGAAGCCTGTGCCTGCCGCGCAAGTAGCATAGGATGGGCGTCTGGGTCGCGAGCTGTAAATACTTGGTAAATGAAGGCCGATAAGACGACTGCGAAGAGGGCTGTAGAGTAGATGTCCCATTCACCAAGGACACTTGTGACGGTCTCGTCCAGCTTCATCATTAGATTATCGAAGCCCATGATGGTAGGACAATAGGTATCAGGTCGAAAGATGTATCCTGTTGACGCTGCGAAGACGTCGAATTGTTTTGTTTTGTTTCGTTTCGTTTCAATACTCGTACTCTCCTGTTAGTGAGGCCCAGTAGGTCGAGGCTGACACGTAAAGATGGCGGGGCGGATCGGCCGAGGTGTACCCGGCACCATTCATCAGAGCTGGCAGGGATGGAAGTGCCACGATTTTAAGGTACAGGACCCGACCCGAGCCCTGTGTGAATGCGGAAGGCTTCAAAACAAAACAACCACCAACATCCACGACAATACGACCACGACCACGACCACGACCACTTCCGTGCTGCGGTTCGGGCTCACGACAATGCTTTCATAGGACGATTCTACCTTTACGATTCTTCTACTAACCTACAGCTACTAACAAGACACGAAACCCACAGCACGAAAGGAGATCCTGATGTAAATATACCTTTCTTCGAGCTTTGTTGACTTTGAGCACAACCAAGATAGAGCTGACTATACCACAGCTCAACATCTGCCACTAATACGCCAATATTCTCACGATCAGCAATGTCCACACCAAATCGCCCATCAACGCCAGTCGCGCAATCCACACCCTCAAGCTCGACACCTGCCACTGGCACATGGAGACACCCTAAGTTGGACGAGATCGTGAGACGCCAGAATGCCTCGAACTTCACTGCAGCCAATGTCAAGAAGATCGCATGGAATGCTGGAGGGCTAGCAATAATCTTCTCGCTGGGTCAAGGACTGAGGTACTTGTAAGTATTACCTCAGTGCGCCGGATTATCCTCTACTAATAGCCACCAGTCTTCCTGGACTATTCGATTCGGGCAAGGTCTTCTCTCCACAAGCAAACTGGGTATACTATTTTATTCAGCTTGTGTTTGTATTTAACATCACCATGGCCTGCATGCCACTTGTACGAACAACGGACGACATCACGGACATTGCTCTCACGCCTGCTCAGCGACAGCTTCTGGGTCTCCCACCGAGTTCTGCGCCTCCCACGCCTGGCTCACAATACGTTACACCACCGAGATACGCAAGGACTACGCCTGTGGGAGGCTCGCCGGGTGCTAGAGGAAATTATTCGGGATCGCCACTATCAGCGAAGGGAAGTCCGAATGCTAGTACAACAGGGTTGCCATTCTCTCCGAATTCAAGCCCTTTGTTACAGAAGGCTATGGGCGGTGGAATAAATGGATCAAGACGGGCGTCATATGGTTCTCCAAGTCCCCTTGGTCAATCATTGTCAAGGGTTGGATCTGAGACTCCAGGCTCGCCAAGTCCTGCTTCGAAAACTGGTGGGCTCGGATTAAACAACAAGTGGCTTTATGATAAGGGACGTAGGAATTCGGGTAGCTCGAAGTTGTATTCGTAGAGGGAGAGGGAATATCGAGTTTTGTATTATTGAGCAGAATACCCCTATGCCAGGCTTGGCAAGCTGCGTAATTCGAGATAATGAGCTCGCCAATGAATATTTGAGAACAAACCAGTCACTGATGTCCATTTTGTGAGTTTTCGCTTTCGAGAAATGATTGAGTACAAAGTATGGGTCAAGTTGTCCTCAGTTCTCACTTATTTGTAATTCACGTGGTGATTAGATCCGAGACAATCAATCAACCGACAAGCATCCAGAACGTGAAGCTCTCCAGCTCCTCACACCCACCACCACTCCCCTTTCCTCTCTTATTACACACACCACACTGGATGATTCGCGCAATTCAGAATGGGGGCCTCTGACTCGAAGCTCGTATTCAAGAAGGGCATCTTCAGACTTTCGGAGGATAAAGTCATCCCCGCTGATGATCCATATTGGGCATCTGTAAGCCAGCCATCCAGCCAGACAGTCAACCTTGCCTCCCCGTCTACCATACTGACTTTCTCCTCCGCGCCAGTTCTGGGAACTCCCTGAGTCCACTGAAGACATATTCAGTCTCTTTTCACCGAACGATATACGGCGGACGCGCGATACGGCCCTGGAGAATCTAGAGACGCTGTTTCTTGCCATCACAAGCCGACTGTTCATACTCCGACACCACCCTTCATTTCCAGATCCCGAGCTTGCGCCAGAGCGAGATGCGCTGAACTGCATACGGATCCTTACGCGGATCCTACCCTATATCTATGAGGCGGAACAACTACAGGCATGGGAAGATAAGTTCTTCTGGGGGGTGAGGAGGAAGCGGACACGGTACGCGGGCATTGAGCAGGAAGCATGGGAGGAATACTGACTGACTGGATTCTAGAAAAGCGTCACTGGCTCGAGATGTTCTATTCGACGAATCGCAGGAAGAACTTGCGAAAATCGAGGCAGCGGGCGAAGAATTCGAGGAAGTGAAGCCGCTTGCTGAGGAGCTGATAGATACGCTTGTCGACCTACTCTTCTTCGCAGATTTTACACTTCCCAGACCGCAGAATACGAAGAACAAAGTCACATATGCGATATGGCAGAGTGGTGTTGGGTGCAATACGTCAATTGGGACGAGTAAGGAGTTCGAGAGTAATAGGACGGAGATCTTGAGACTGCTTTTGACTATGACCAGTCAGAGTATGTATACGTCTGCGAGTCTGCTACCGGTTCAGGGTGTCAAAGCGATCAGCTATATTGTCACTTGCCCGGATAAGCAAGTAGTCTTGTCGGTTCTTTGCTCTTTGCTCAATACTGTAGGTTGTGATGCACAGAGTCGAATACAGAGGCTAACATTTCCAGACCCTGAAGTACAATCCGGCTTCTTGGCGGGTTCCATACAACGTTCAAGTCTTCAAGGATCCAAAAGCCATCTTGGTCACTTATGCACTTCAAGTTTGTTTGCCTGGCCACTTGAGAAGCGAAGGTCGCTAATCCATGTAGTTTCTCTTGGTAATCCTTCTCTACCCTATTCCAGAGACAGATCCGGCACACGCAAAGAAGAGTACGTATTCTGGATTGGGGACTTTCGTAGATAGCAACGCTGACCTATCCTAGATTACTTTCGACATTTCCTTGGCCGTCTACATAGACCTCAAGACTTTCAATTCATCGTCGATGGAATGACTAGAATCCTCAACCAACCTCTCAACGCAAGCACTTCGTACATACCTGGAAACCAGCAGTCCTCGAAATGCACCTCCGAGATGATCATGCTATTCTGGGAGATTACTCAGTGCAACAAACGATTTCGCTCGTTTATCATTGATACCGGTCGCTCACATGATTTCCTCGTCCTGATCCTTTTCTATGCTATCGAGTACAAGCTAGATGCTTCAAAGCAAGGCGTAGTTCGGATGTGTGTTTTCTTGCTACAGACTTTGAGCGTGGAGCCAAATTTTGGGAAAAACCTTAACAAGAAATTTGAGGCCCAAGAAACACTACCACCTACCATCAGACTGCAGAACTTCAATGGAACTTATGCAGATTTCCTCATTCATGTAAGGCTATTCAATTTCAAGTAGGGCCTGCTGCTAACCATCCAGTCAATCTACAACATAATCACAACGAGCCAAGGAAAGCTCACAGCAATCTACCCAGCTTTATTGGCCGTCATCAACAACATCGCTGCATACTTGGAAAATCTGAGTGCTTCCACTTCCTCAAAACTTCTTCAACTTTTCTCCTCCATGTCTTCGCCGAGCTTCCTTCTAGCAAACGAGGGCAACCACAACTTACTACAGTCATTGCTTGAAAGCATGAATGCCATTATCGAGCATCAGTTTATCAGTGAGTATTCTCATCTCGTAGATTCCCATTCAATGCATCCATGACAATTGACCTCCAAGACTCACTACCTGGTAACGAGCTTGGACTGAATTGTCTTTTCTTTAGATATTAGTATGACGCCAAAAGGGTTCCAGTCGCGACGTAAGAATGGCTACCAATTGGCAGCTCATGTGTGGTATTCGGTGGAGTAAATGCTAATTATCGGCTTAGAAAATCCAAACTTTGTCTACGCTGTTCTACGGAACCACAAGAGATTCGAAGGTAAGCAACAAACGAGTATATTTGCTCATGGTAGCTAATTGATTTAGCACTCCGAACATTCACGCTCGAAAGTGGTCAAGAAGAGATCGAACGCCGAAATCGACGTCGGAAAGAACGCCAGACGGATCCGAATGATCTAGCAGAGAGCCGAAGAGGGTCCGTTGAAAGTCTTCGAAGTCCTACAACCAATCAATCGCATGCACCGACTCTCAGTGATGTACCCGAGGATGGGACTTTTGCTATTGGAGACGATGACGATGAAGATACTGACGATGATAATCGCCCTACCCCAGCAGAATCAACACCTACGGAGCAGCCATCGCGAGCTTCATCAGTCTCATCGAGTGTAGACGATGCTGTTCCAACTCAGTTACGAGGCATGTCGGAGAAGGCGAGAGGAAAGATGCCAGGCAAGTTCGCCAATCTCCAAAGTTGACACGTCGCTAACCTTAACAGCTGGCATGCCAACTTTCTCGCGTGCAAATAGTACTACAAGTCTGAATAGTTACTCCACAGCAGCCTTCTCACTCCATGGCGCCTTTGAGCCCACTCCGGATTGGATCGAGTCATGGCTTACCGAGCTCCCACTTCACACGATTCTCACCATCATTGACCAGCTTGCACCACTCCTTCCTACGCAACGCGCATCCACCGACACTCCCTCAACTTCTATCATCCGCACAATCCAAACAGCCAAGATCACAGGCGTGGATCCCTCGCTAATCCGCATCCAGTACTTCGAATGGTCACCGCTGTCCCTCGGCTGGTACGAATCCCTCCTCTGGTCCTTCGTTTTCACCAGCGAGATGCAAGTTCAAAAGGGAACCGTCGGCGTCTGGAATGGGACAGCAATCAAGCTTTTCCGCGTCGAGACCGTCGCCCCTAGTGGTCCCACCCTGAGCTCTCCCCGCGGAGCAGTCGATGCGGTAGGAAGCAACATTGTGAGTCGCATTGGCAGCATCAATTTGAGAGGTGTGGCTGGTGGGGGACAGGGACAGGACGCGCAGGCAGGTGGCGGTGGCGAGGGAAGGACAGACAGACCTTTGCTGGCGAGAACGGGCACGGGAAATGGGGAACGGCCCGGGTTGATCAGAGGGGCTATTGTGTAGACATGTGAATATGCATATGATTTTTGGACGGATAGAGGAGTGGATGAGCGCGATCTAAGGTGGCCAATATGGCAATAGTCACAATAGTCATCCGCCAGGAGATCAGTAGAGAAGTACGAGTACAGAAAGATACATACAAGCGAGGCGTTAGGATTGGTCAGGCTACAGTATTGGACTGAACTGGACTTGAGTATCAAGACTTCTACCTCTTCTGCATACATAGGAATTATTTTTCTTTCCCGAATTTCTTAATTGTGACTGGTTCTTTCCTGCACTTTCCACAGCGTGACAGCGATTCTTACTTATGCTTGCAGACCCAGCCAAGTGAGCTTCGTGAGGTAGCCAGTCCAGTCGCACTTCCCAGCGCCACACCTCTCTCGCAGGGCTGCTGCTGGAGAGAACGAGCGGTCTGGGCAGCAGATCTTTCCTCGTTCAACTTCAGGCCTCGCGGCCCTGCATACACCTCTCCCCCATTTCCAGTTTCCACCATGTCCATCACTTCTCGGTATTCCCTCTCTCACCCAATCCGCATCATCCACCTTTCCAGAAGTTCAAGCCACTCCTCTCTCCAAGCGAGCCAAGTCACATTTCATCGTGGCTGTGCAATTCTAGGCCTTCCAGTCTTCCAGATCGGCGGTGATCTTTTCCTTCGTGGAGATGGGGTCATGCAGGGACAGCGTGGTGGCAGGGATGGGGAGACGGGTAAAGGGAGCTGACGAGCTTACGCCACACCTTGGGAGGGGGGTCAAGCCACATACATGGCTGAGATCTGAAAAAGGGAGGAAGCTGTTATGGACGGGGGGGGGGATTGTGCTGTATTAAATTCTGATCTACCTAGTTTTATTTCATCCCAATGTCCTGAACTTGAATTTCGCTTCTTTTGAATTTGTGCGATTGTTTGTCTTTATATGAATTATTCAGCTTTTAGATCTGTTGCGAGTAGTAATATACTCTTTGAAGAGCGCGGCCTGAGTCAATACTTATAAAGGGAGAAGGCTGAGAATTTAAAGATTGACTTTTCTCCGCTGGCTGAGAGAAGGCTGAGACGAGCCGCCCTTCGAAGACGAAAACATGGAAAACAGCATCGCCAGTCTTCACGCTGCTGAGAGCGAGGAGATTAAACCGTACAAGATACATGTAAGTCTCTTGTTCCCTCCTTAATCAGTGCGGCTATTTCCCCCGGCGCGCAGATGCCCTGGAGCTAGAGCTGACGTTTTATTCAGGTGTCATCCAAATACCTTGACCTCACGAAGAAGAAACTCGAATTGACGAGGTTGCCACATGAGATTTTGCTGCCGCGAGAGAGGGAATGGGAGCAGGGTACGCCGAAGTGTGAGATTGAGCCGTTGGTTGATTTTTGGTGAGTCGTCTTCTTTCTTTGTGAGCTGGGCAACGGAGGTATCTCCTGTTTGCGCCTCCGCCTTCAACACCAATTTTGGCCGACTTAGACTTCCTAGAACTGAGGTGTCTGCGAGAATGGTTGGGAAGTACACTTACTGACAATCCATGCAACAGGCTAGAGCACTACACCTGGCGCCAGCGCGAAACCCACCTCAACAACACTGTCCCCCAATACCGCACCGCCCTCTCTCTACCAACGACTCCTTCCTCACCTCCCCTTCGAATCCACTTCCTACACATCAAGTCACCCCACAAGCATGCCCTTCCCCTCCTCCTCATCCCCACCTTCCCTTTAACAAACCTCTCTCTCACCCCCCTCTTCACACCCCTCACCTCCCCCACCTCACCAACCTCTACCCAACCATTCACGCTCATCGTCCCCTCCCTCCCGGGCCTCGGCTTCAGCGATTCTTTCTCCTCCTCCAAAACCTCATCCTCCTCCCTCGAAAATACCGCCGCGCTATGCGACGCCCTGATGAAGCGGCTGGGATACAGCTACTACCTAGCCAGCGCGACGGGGTCAGGAGTCGACAGTCCCGCGGGGATCGATTACCATCTTCTGAGGATACTAGGAGAGAGGTACCGGGAGAGTTGTCTAGGCGTGCATGTTGTTGAGCCGTGCGTCAAGGCACCAACACTCAAGGAGCAGCCGGCGGCATGGATGAGGTTTGCGGTTGCGAAATTTTTCCACGCGAAGATGTTTGGGTATGAGGAGGCTGATTTTCTGGCGTTGAGGGCGGAGGAAGGGAGGTTGAGAGAGCAGAGGGAGAATTCCGATTCGAAATTCGGATCGAGACAGAGGTATTCGAGAACCGTAGCAGATGAAGAGAGTCCGCTTCTTCAGGCAGGTCGCCGCACAGGCCAAAAGAGATCTGGTCCTGGCCACAGAGCAATTGGGATCCTCGGCCTCAGAGAACCAAATACCTTCGCCTACGCACTCTGCGATTCTCCCGTCGGACTACTCAGTCTCGTGCTGAGTGCCCTGCGGAGGAGAAGTCCCAATCATATGCTCACGCACACGGAAATCATCGACGTGACACAGCTCGCCTGGCTGCCTGGACCTGAAGCTGGCGCGAGGTTTTGGGCTGTGGCGTTGGAGGAGGTTGAAGGGTGGGAGAAGGGATCGTTGGATTGTGATGCTGAAGATGATGATCCTGAGGCCGTAGATGGAAAACGAAATGCGGAGAGGAAACAGGCAGGGAGGAAAAGAAAGAGTAAGAGTAATGTCGCCATGACAGTCTTCTCCTCCGACAGCTGCGACGGTCCCTCGTATATCTGTCCCGCATGGGCAGCGCCACACCACACCGTCCTGTTCTCCCAACGCGTAGCTGGTCGACCTGGTATCGCTGTCTGGGAGAGAGTCGATGTCCTGGTTGAGGGGATCAGGGGGCTGGCGAGGGAGGTGGAGAGGGTGGATCCGAGGATTAGGGTGAGGCCGTTGGAGGAGATTGTGGTTTTTGAGGAGCCGATTATTGAGGTTGATGGGGAGGAGAGTGAAAGGGGGAGGGATAGTGTGGATTTCAGTGCGTGGGGTGGTGAGAGTGAGAGGGAGAGGGAGGGTGATGGAATGCAGCTTGAGGTTGAGAGTCCGGATACGGTTGTTGCGGTTGATATGAGGAGGGATGAGTAGGTAATGTGAAATGAAATAAGAGGAAAGAGCATTGGAAGAGAGAAGGGATTTAAGAAGAGAGATGCTTTGTATTTTGAGATACCAGGATGGAGTTTGAGTTGCTCGTTACTGGATTTGATTTTGTGGATGTGTTGAGAACAGAAAGAAAGTAGAGTAATACACGCTTGAGCATATATCCAATGAAATGAAAGAAGAATATCCCCTCTTAAACACCGAAAGTTGAAAGTGAAACCGCGGCTTGTACTGTACAGCACAAGAATATACAACCCAGCTTAAGTGCGCGTGCTTCTTATATTCTCGCTGGGGAGATAAAGAATAGAAAACTGTTACAAACTTTAGATGAACTAACAAATAAAGTTCTTTGAAAAGAACGAAATGGCAAATTGACAGCTTCTTATTTTGAAAATGAGAATGAAGAAGAAGAAGAAGAAGAAAGGATAAGGGAAGGAGATGAGCTAGATGATGAATTGGAAAAGAACAGTTGTTTCCTCGTTCACCTTCCCTGTTCTCGTTATGACATCATTGTCGTCCAAGCACATGTTACCTAGGTCCTTATATCCCACCCGTAAACCATCGTGCCAGATTGGCATCGTGAAAGATTAAGCAACTCAGATGTCCCTACCTGGACTGTGCTTTTACTCAGCCTTCGGAGAGGGAAAGGAGTGACATCTTCGAGCGGGTCATCACGTGATGTTTAGTTGTACCCATATCCAAGATCTGACTGTGGTAGGCAACTTCTATCGACAAGATCACGCTGATAGGCGGATGCGTGACTGACTGTGGTGTTAAGTATTTAAGCTTTGCTCAAAACCGTCCTGTTGTCACTTGCATACATATATTCGGCTGATCATCCGACGATAAAAATCCACAAGCTTACAGTTGGCAACAGCATGTTGAGATGAGTTACAAAATAACAATAAGTTATTCAAATATATCATACAGTCTCAGATTCAAAAAAATGTAAATGAGGCGATAAAAGAAAGATGTATGTTGCGCAGGCTACTGGCTGTGTGTGGAAATTGGAAGTGAGCTTTGAAACGACGACCGAAAATGTCTCCAAATCTGTGGAAAGGGAGAGGAGGATAGGGTGAGAGGACGGGAGAGTAGTTATATATGTAGCTGCGAAGAAAGGACGATTTAAGGGTAATAGGTCAATAGATGGCCTCAAAGTGGTTATGTTTATTCTACGTGCCGGCTGGCTTCCCTCGCTTAGACTTGTCCGGAAGTCAATAAACTGGTGGTGGGAATATCTACCTTTTTCCTAGTATTGACAAATGTTGCGATCTCACTTCACTAATTGAATGCCCATGTGAAGCTAAATTACTAGGTGCTCTGGATTTCAATTCGCATTCCGCCCTTCAGTCGTGAATATAAGGTTTCTACGCATCGCCGGCTCCACCGAAATTTTGTTCACGTTTCCATTTGGTCTCACCTCATAAGCATACCTACCTACCTCCAGCCAATCTCCAACCTTGCGCCAGATACACACCAGTTTGGGATCTTTTGACAGTCACGAGACCGAATCTTGTTGATGTTACTTCGCCTCGCTGACAGGCCCCTACTTCATAAGCGAGGTATTTACGTAGCGATCGACAGCACTTCGTATTTTCCCTCGTCATCAGCATTACTGCTTACCTTGCTGTTAGCCACTCGATCTGTAACACAAAATAGGACCATGCATTTAGGGAAACTTATTGGTGCGATGCCTAATTTGATGATATTCAGCGCTGGGTGGCGGTAGAGAGATGGGGAATGCTGGATACGAGTTGTTACATTTGGTCACACGTGTGATTGTAATGTTTCTATTTTAGAAGGAATGTGACGTAGAGTGAGTATGGGTCATTAGGATTAGGTATGGGTCTATGTTAGAAGATAACTTAGTAAGAATTGACACCAGACTGTCAGGTGAGATGATGGAAAGGATATAAATTACTGCTGTCCTGTGCTTAGAATCATGTTTCAGAGTCCAGCAAACATCAAAACCGAAGAAATCACAAGTACAACAACATCACCAATATATCACCCGCATAAAGATCTCCAAAGATGCGTCTCACAACCACCACCGCAGCTTCCTCTATCTTCTCCCTCCTCCTCTTCAGCACCACAACCTTAGCAGCGCCAGCTCCCCAAACAACAGTCACACCCGGCGCCCCCACACCCTGGTCCGTCACCTCCTTCACACTCGGCTGTTCCCCCGCAGGCTGTACCTACAGTTTCTCAATCAGCGGACCCTCCACTCCAGGCGTCGGACCCGCCTTCTCGACAACTTGCTCTGGCACCGATCTCCAGAACAAGATGGTTCCGTGCGCCAAGCCCGAGATATCGGCGAATCTGGTGCCTACGGATCAAGGGTTGGTGTTGCAGGTTAATAGGTTGGAGAAGCAGGGGAATGGAGATACGGCGGTTATGTCGGGGAGTGCGTTGGCGGCGGGGAGTGGGGAGCCGGCGGAAGAGGCGTTTACGGTGGAGGCGTACTCGTATGGGGTTATTGTTGGGTAGGTGGACTAGGGTCATGTGGTTGTAGAAGACAATGTTTGGGAGTTGATATTACGGTGTTTTCAAGAGTGGAGATTACGTAAATTGGAACAATGCAGCGATAAGTTGCTTTTGTAGAGGTGATAGACTGGCTTCACTCGGGCACATTTAAGCCAGATATTCACCCATCTCAAATCGTGTCAAATGACTAAATAAGCGATACTTCAACAGCAATCAAGGACATCATGGATAGCCGGCTCGTCCAGTTATTGGTTAATTAGGTTGCGAAAGACGTAGTAGGTCCTGTCCAGTCATCCGAGACTTTGCGAACTTCGAGAGATACCTGCGGTTGTTGATGCTGATTCGTTGGTTCAGCTTCAGTCGGGTATATCTTTTGTCTTTTTTCCCCCCAAAACATTCTTCTCAATGCAAGTAAGTTTTGAGTTTCCTTAGTTTTTGGAGGATTCGCAGGTGCTCCTTTTAAAATTCAGTCTTTTGGTCCTTGGAACTTGCCGAAGAAAAGTTGTTTTTGTCTTGGCGAGTGGCTAAGCGAGACAAACTGATTTTGAAGCTTTGAAGGTATTGATTAACACTTCGGGGGTTATCCTAACGGTGCAGAAACTGGCCAGCTGATACTTATATTGCCAAAATAGGGAGTAATCATTGTAAGGAGTGGTTCTAACAGATGTGCTTGACGGAGAACGTAGCCGCTAGCTGACTAGTAAGACTTTCGGGTAACACATAACACTTAACAATTAGATGCAGAGATTCCACTCGAAAAGTGTGACAGAAAGTAATTTTCTTGCAAGCTTATATCTTTTTTTGTTGTATACGAAATTTCTTGCGTTGCCTTCTTGACCAGGAGCCCTGTCCTTTTGAAGAAGCTCCCGAATTGCAGACCTCCACAAAGCCCAGCGCGGGCGAATATAAGTATTCTCTGGTCCTGTTCATCTTCTGAACACCGGACTTATTAAATGGGTAAAAAGGTGCTTTCCAAACAAAAAAACAGTCCCCATTGGGATTCGTTACCTTCTCATGGCTCACTCCAAGCCATCCATCCACGCAGCTAAAATCAACAATCACTTTGTCCTTCGAACCAGAATTTGTGGCTCAAGAACATTATTTCGATGACCCAGTGCAGGTATTTCAATTACCACCTGCTCCAATGCCCGTCCAGCAGCCGGCACAAGATTCTGTAGCCAGGACTGCAGATCAGAAAATGGGACAATATCATGACCAGTTACTGAAAAACCAAGCTTCAAAAAAGCCACTGTAGCTCGGAAACAGATAGTTTTGAGATGATTGCTCAGAGTAACTTTATGTCCTCGTAGGCATACCAAGGATTTACAATGCTCTTCTTCCTGTCTGTCACGAGCGGCCAGGCCGTGGGCATCTTCTAGATCAAATACGAGGTGCTTGATAGCGAGGCGGTCTTTTCTGGTCTTCTCATTCAAAGCAGAAGCACATGACTGGTCGGTGATGCGAAATGTCTTGCGCTCTTTTTCCTCCCAAGCAGCGACACATTGCTGAGACAGGATTTGATGGCTTTTGTTTGTGGATGTCGATAGTTGTGCGAGTACGATGCAGAGGGGAGATCGGACGGTTTGGTAAGAAGAGCTGATGTGTCCTGTGATATCAGCGTCCAAAACTAGGGCTCGGAGCTCCGCGGGAAGTTTGATGAGGATAGAGATTGCCTTGAGGCATTCTGGAGTCGGTGCATCGGGAGTTGAGTTGCTGGCCATTACGACCTCATGATTGTTGGTGGTTTCGACCATTTTTGTGATTTTCAGAGATTAGATGGAATGAATTGTGCTACGATTCGAGAAAAAAGAAAGATAATGGTATGTTGCTGCCCGAAAAAAAGATAGTGTATCCCCTTGACTGCTAGAAACACACTTTTACAGGGCACAGTGCTAAAGCGAGGCGCTAAGATTCTGGTAATGACCTGTACTACAGGGCTAGTGCGCTGACTTTCCGCCCTGTCAAAAAGTGTGGTCCGAATGGCAGTTAAGAGGGTAAGTATCCCTTAGACTCCAACTAACCCTCGCCTATCACATCGAAGCTGAATAGGGTCTGTAGCCAACCTAAATAGCTAATACACGGTACACTATGACGTATTCAGACTTGCATTGGCATTATGACTTTTTCTCGCAAGACAGTTGCAAGGAATGAAGAATCAATGTTTGTTTAATGTGGTAGGTGACGAGTAGTTGTTCAAAAGTTGACGATCGAGCATCTGGTAAGCGGGTGGGACGACAACATGTTATGACTTCGTACATTCAATGCTAATTAGTACTGTACCGTGAAGCAGAGCTTAAGAAACCGTGTTCAATTGAATGGCATGATGAAGGGGGCACTCCAGACAAGAAACAAGGCTCCGCTAGGAGCTTGTTCTAGCTTATGGGCCGTTCCAAGATACCAACCGATTCTTTGCAGGTGAAGCCGCATATGTGTCAGAAGGTCATCGGGGCAGGATTCGTACTTACAAGCAATAGGCAGCTCAATCACGACCTTCTCCAACGTTTTTATCGCAGCGGGAATGAGCGTACTGAATCGTCCTCCAATGTCATAGCTTCGAAAAAGTTCATGGCAGACTAGATCGCTCGAGGGTATGCAGTAGTGGATGCTTCTTAGGCTATTGCTGACTGTGATCTTTTGGCCTCTCATCGTAGGGGGAAATCCATACTCTGATTGCTCATCCAGTGGCCATCTATCGAAGACTAGGTGTCGGATTGAAAGACGGTCCGGTCTGCTGTAATTGTCCAAGATCTGAAGAGAAGCAGAGCCCAGGACCCTGAAAGTGGTTTCATTTTTCTTCTCCCACAGGGCCAGGATCTCCGCGTACATCTCATGATGCACTTTCTGGGGCAATCCAGCTTCTACCAGTTCTTTCAAAGCCAGGTGGAGAGGCGAGCGGGGGGTGTTGATCGATGAAGTGATGTGCTCTATGAAGTCATCTCTGATGACCTGGTTACGAAGCTCGGTCGGGAAATTCTTGTTGTTCAAAATACCCATTCCTTTGGCGCATTCGACCAAGGGATGCTCAGCATATGAAGCGATCTCTTCAGCCTGGCTTTTGGCAGACATCGTGACTCGGTCACTCGAATGTGTTTCTTTGTTAGACGGGATTTCTTTGCACTCCATTCTTTCGATGGATGTTTAAGATTTAGAGGACACTCACACCTTCTTTTATGAAAAAAAAAAAATCAGGAAGGAACAAAGCCGATATAACAAGGGCAAGCACCCTTGGAAATTAGACTGCTAGGCTGTTTCTTCACGCTAATTTATGAGATCAAATTAGATGAGGATTGTACTGAACTCATACCATTCCCTTGTTAGAACACTGTTCAAGTGTTAAATAGAGTCATAGTCATTTTGATTGGTTGGAGTGACCACGTATGTTCTATTGCTACAGTGCAAAGTTTACTGTCTCATCATGAAATAAGAGAAATAACAGGACTCAGAACGGGGATAGAAACAAGTAAAGTCACTTATCCCAATTATCACTTCGTATCCTTATTCAAGGGCCCAGTCCCCATCTCGAGCTCGATCTACGACTGTGCAGCACTGTTTACCGTGTAAATGGATTAATTATAGCGTCTGAGAATGATGGAAAAGTTCCAGTGAATGTCCAAGAGTAGAATTTGAGCTCTGGCCGATTATTTTGACCTTTTAAGATCACAACCCGAAATCCTCAACTCTTCCATGTTATAACCCATCTTCTTACTCTTCATCAAACGAGATGACAAGTATCACAGTATACTCATGGCTCCGATATTCTTGAGATTCGAACGTGAGCTTCTTCAACGTCTTTTCAAAAGGCCGTACGAGATGCGCTATGCATGCTGCAATCATCGTTGTCACTTTACTTTTGGACTCTCCTAACCTGCTTGTCACCTCTTTTACGCTATACGACTTGCGCAATGCAGCGTCCGTCTCTTCGTCATAACGGATACAAACTGTCTCGAGACTGTTGCTGACTGTGATTTTTGAAGATTGAGGTGGTACCATAGGACTGAAGACAAGATGCTTGATTGTATGCCGCTCAACACGACTCATGCTGTTCAATTCGTTTGAGGCCTTCTGATCTGGGACATAGAAGGTGAGATCCTCGATCTCTGTTTTCTCCCAGATGGCCAAGGCGTTATCGTAGAGTATTTTGTACTGCTCTGCTAGCTCCGGATCGGATTTCTGGGAGCGTTCTTGAAGGATTGTGAGGAGCGGGCAACGGATGCTGAGGTTCGGGGTGTTCAGGAAGATGGGGAAGTAGAATTCGAGAATCAGGATGCGCAGTTCGGTGGCTGTAATTCGAAATAATATATCTACCGCTTTATGACGCATCAAAGATGCGTCGTCGACTGGTGGGGTTCCAGAATTGGGATATGAAATGGTAGCCATTTCGCCGTTCTTGTATGTTGGGTCTTTGATAGTTGAGAATTTATTCGGGGACATTGTGTAGAGGGAATATTAGACCGTCTGCTTGCTAAGACTAAAGCTAGCCTTTCCTTCAGGTCAAGTTCTTTGTCATTACGTAGTGAGCTACTAGGAAGAAGCATCTGGGACCGAATGTGAGCCCGGGGCTTAATAAACGTTGACCAGCTTTGAAGTATATGGTAGCTAGAGTGAAATACGCCATACAATAGTATCGAGCAAGAAACCTAGCGTCACATTTGGCTAGATTCCAAAATTCCGACGAGAGCTCCATAGGGAGGATACCTTCTTAAGGTAGGTACCTACTCTTACTTCAGGAACGTGCACACACTTATATCACGTGCTTATCGTTCTTCCCTTTGTCTCCAGAGCAAGAGAAAGCTGTCGAGTTGATTCCTTTGAGGATCGTAGTCCTGACAGTAGCAGTAGTTGCGAGCTCAAAAGCTGGGGATGATGTCCTACTTGGCTGCATATGCAATATATTAGAGTGGACACCTTGATATAGGTAGTGGAGTGAGACATGGCCATCTCGGATGGGGAATAGAACGACACTTCCGAGGTGCCGGTTACAGACGAACCCAAAGCCACGATTATGGATCTGGACAAATCCCGCTCCCACCAATCATATCAGGCTGCTGGTCATTAGCACGTGAGCCTGTTTCGTTTCGTCTCAACTCCTCTCTCTGGGAGACCCGGAAAGTCTATCTACCTACGTCTCAGCCTCAGCTGATGGATGCTTCCATGAAAATTCCATGAAGTCTAAAATGCGGCATAAAGACGAGTCAGAATCCGAAAGTCTTTCGCCTGAGGAATTGTTGGAAGATACAGCGGTGTACAGTTCCATGTGGTGCAACGTTGAACGAGATAGGGTAAATTGCTGCTTACTTGGCGGTCTGTGGTTTGACAAGTAAGCTGGATATGCATGTGCTCGCAGGGCAGAGGTGGCAATTGCTTCGTATGTAGAGTTTTTGGTTGCACCTCTATCATACCTATTATTCCCGGCACTGACTGGCTTAGTGATGGCGAGCCATCCGACCGACATGATGTGCTAAATGCAGGCTGAATATCATATATCATATCACAATGATTTCAATAACTTCCAATTGTGTGCAAATGTTAGGACAATTTCCTCTACGAACAGCTGCAACGCACCTGCACGCTTCCAATGCTATCCCTTCCCACAACCATAAATCACACCACGTGCAAATGCGGCCGCTGTCAAACAAGTGGGGCAAATGCAGCCAAATGCACTGGAATGTTTTAGACCGGGATTACCGTAATGTACTGCCGGCTGCCAAGGGATTATCCTGGTTCGATAACAAAACATCCTCGAGGGCAATCTTCACCACGGACCACGTTCCATGTCCTCGTCCGCTTGTTTTTATCTGAATGGAAAAAGGGAGACTTCGGACTTTCTTCTCCAGCTCAATTTGTTTCTCCCTCCTTCTCTCTTTCATCTGAATGCCCGCCATTTCTTTGTCTGCACCACCGTATACCTAGCTAGTGCGGCCAGCAATAGCCCATCATCACAAGCTTCGCCAGATCCTGCCAAGGCCCACGACCTAGACGGGCCAGTCCCAGCTCTGCTGCTCAGCCCTCCGGTCTAAACAATAAGCCAGTCCACATCACAACCATCCCACCAGAACATCACCACTTGCGCTGATTCCAAACCTGATATCCCACCATTGAATTGTCACCAAGCATCCTCGCAATATCACCCACAGGCCTCTGCAGATCGCGTCCGAACTCTTCAACATCCGCCCAATGCCCACCAACAAAGATGCGTCCCTTTGAACCCGGCTCACGCATTTCGTGTCGCAGTTCCTAACAACGACCCTTGCCCGAGTGTCTCATTATCTGGGGAAACGCAGGGCAGCAGAACACTTGAAGTTGTCTGCCTGCAGTATCCGCTGCAATGTATTCCATCCTTTTAGACATTTGGGCGCAGGTGCGGTCTATGAAGCCGGCCTTCATCTCCAAGACGCCCCATTTCAACTTCATCACTGTCCATTGTGAGCAGCTCTCGTCGCGTTCGCTTTCAATGTCCCCGTCTAACTATTTTTTATAGATTTCTGGATTCTTGGGATGACAATATTCAGTTCCTTGTGCCTTTATATCCGATCAGATCTCCGATACATCGATGCGCTGTTCTTTGGCAGTGGCGCTGCGACCCAGAGTGGTCTAAATACCGTGGACTTGAACAAATTAAATACATGGCAACAGATCGTGGTATATATAGTGCCCATGATGACGAATCCGATCACGATCAATAGCTTCGTGGTATTCCTACGGCTATACTGGTTCGAGAAACGGTTCCAGCACATTGCGAGGGAGTCGACAAAGAACCGGAGGAGCATAGCCAAGACCTTTTCCAAGGCAAGGACAAACGAGCGAGATATTGGAGAAGAAGAGAGGGGAGTCAATGGCAGGAGTATCGTGGTAATGCATGAGAGTACGAGACCAAATGGGATGACGAATAAAGACGCTTCGCCTGGGGATTTTGAGGACCAACTCGAAAAAGACAAGGCAATGGCAGGAGAGCGGACTCGATCATCACAGTCATCGCAGGGCACGAGTAAGGGTCAGAGTTCAGAAACTGCAGAAGATGAAAAGCTGGATACAGTGGAAGACCATCTCCGACCTCACCAGATCAAGTTTGCGGAACAGGTAAAACGCAGTGATGGGCTGGCAGATCAACCAATTCGGATGCCAGCTCAACGAAGTAATGAGGACCATATCGCTTTTTTGGAGCGTCAGCGGAATCAGGACGAAGGAAAGGTACTTCGCATTCCCGGTCCTCGAGATGCCGATGCAGGCGTAGCTCCCGTCACAGTGGACGAGCAGGATCCTCTCAGTCAGATCATGTCCCGAGGAGAGTCCGGATTCTCGGGGCACTTCCCTCACCATGAACAAGTACCTACTGCTCAACTGAACGATGATGACCATGATATCCAGCCTGTGAGGCGGAACATTACGATCGCTGAACCTGTTCGATCACCTGTACATGAACACGTTGCGGAAGACGCAAAAGCAGCCAAGAACACTCTAAGTGTACTTAGACTACGAAGACCCCGAATTTTCGGCGGAAAGAGAGATGACGATCACGTACCCCATGCCCGGAGAACAGCCACTCTTCAGACAATCAAATCAGCACTCTCCAGAGAGAAGGACGATACCATGCCATACTTGAGCTGGGAGCCCACTGTAGGACGTAATTCCGCCTTCGTGGACCTGACAGAAGAGCAGCGAGAGGAATTAGGCGGGATCGAGTACAGGTCTTTGAAGTCTCTTGCTATGATTCTGACTGCATATTTTGTGGGCTTCTCTATCTTTGGCGTCATATCCCTCACCCCGTGGATTTACAATGACAGAACCTACGGGGATGTTGTCAGAAATGCTGGCCAAGGCCGCGCGTGGTGGGGGCTTTTTACAGCAAACTCTGCTTTTACGGATTTGGGCTTTACTCTCACACCAGACAGTATGATATCCTTCCAGAGAGCTCAATGGCCGCTTATTCTGATGTCATTCTTGATCATCGTGGGCAATACTGGGTTTCCGATCATGCTTCGAATCATCATATGGGTGACTTCGAAATACGTTCCTAAAGCGAGTGGTATCTGGGAGGAGCTAAAGTTCTTGCTCGATCACCCGCGTCGATGTTTCACTTTGTTATTTCCTTCCAAGGCAACATGGGTGTTGTTCTGGATTTTGGTGGTCTTGAACGGTCTCGACTTGCTGTTCTTCATTATCCTCGATGTAAGTCATACTTCCACATGATGATGGCTCTGCTGATCTTAGTAGCTTGGTAACTCTACTGTAACCGATCTCCCGACCAACATTCGTGTCTTAGACGGCTGGTTCCAAGCCGTTTCAACCCGTACAGCAGGATTCGGCGTGGTCAACCTCGCGGCACTCCATCCCGCAATCCAGGTTTCTTACCTCATCATGATGTACATTTCCGTTCTTCCTATCGCTATTTCTGTACGTCGTACCAACGTTTACGAAGAGAAATCGCTCGGAATATATGGCTCGGCGGCTGAAGAGAACGACGATGAAAACGAGCCTTCATACATTGGTGCCCATTTGCGTCGTCAACTTTCATTCGATTTGTGGTATATATTCTTGGGATTCTTCATCATCACCATCTCCGAGGGCAAGCGAATCCAGAGTGGAGATCCAGCCTTCACTATGTTTTCAGTCCTCTTCGAGATTGTCAGTGCATACGGTACTGTCGGCCTCAGTATGGGCTACACCAATATCAACGCCTCATTTTCCGCAGAATTCGGCGTCATTGCCAAACTTGTCATAATAGCTATGCAGATCCGTGGCAGACATCGTGGTCTTCCTTACGAGCTTGATCGAGCTATCTTGCTCCCTAGCGAACATCTCCAAAAGAAAGAAGCAGATGACGCGGCTATACGTGCACGAAGACGGTCGTCAGTGGGAACCATGGGCGGACCTATCAGTAGCGGCGCGGCCAAGACCAGAAATAGTCGTAGCATTGAACGCTCTGCGTCGAATATTCTTGGCACACTCCTCCATCCTGGTCCAACGATTCCCAACAGTCACCGGAATGCCTCTTATCGCCCTGACTCTAGGTACAACAGACCCCGGAGAGCGAGCACTACATCTGCGGGTAGATGGAGCCGTGCAACCAGGAGTATCAGCCCAGGGCATCCAATCCCCTTCGATGGTACAACCGAGAAGAGAGGGCGTCCAGAGGGTAGGAGGAGTTTCTTTCAAGAAGGCGTCAATCCTCCACCTCCTGAGGAAATGACTGCAACAACTACAACAACCAACAACACTGGCGTGAAGAACGCATAATGGAACACATCAGAATCAAGTAAGCGAGGCGCAGGCGGTGTATTTTTGCTAGAACATTTGGCACCTCTTCAACACATCGAAGAGTTGTATTCCTTACCCACAGAAAATATCGGGCATCATCTTACTGGGAAGTACAGTGATGAATTAGTACGACCTTGTAATTATTTGGAGTTGCTTGTTTGAACATATGGCACACGATATCTGCTGGCGTTTTTCTGGGCTGGGAGGTCAGACTTGTAGAATTGTTTGGAGGGTTAGACTTCTGCTGGTCCGTTTTGGGAGGCGCTAGAATGAATGGTGTATAGCTGATAATATATGTATATGAATATGAATGGCTTGCTATTGAACAGACTTTGTTCATTTCCAGTGCACAAGAACGACTTGAGTAAGAAGTCAAGATAATGTTGTGTTGTTATCCGAGTGAGTTTAGCGAAACACTGAATTAATATTGCGCCTTAAGTTATTCTGGGATATACGGAGAGTTCAATATCGAGCTCAATAATGCGATGGGGACGTTCTCTTGAAGTCTGACTCTTCTTTGTCTTGACATTGATACTGCCACGAGTGTGTGTTTTAGAAGGGAGCACGGCGAAATCATCAACATCCACAACAGAGCCTTGAGCTTTTCTCAATTCAATCCACACTCCTCAGATGCGGCTCACTAGTCATGCTGACTTTCGTTTGTGTTACCTGAGCTTTATTTGACTGGATGTTGTTGTCTATCCTCACGAGAGGACGGCATTGTTGGTTTGTTGGTTTTCACTTCTGGGCTGTCCATTGGGTAGACCGTATTCGACGCTTGGACAACCTGTGCCTTTGGACGATATCACATTGCAACCCGCCTGCATTTCAGTATTTTTATTCAACCTGGTAATTGGGGAAGATCAATATGGAATATCGGTGTTTCCTGTTTGGGTGGACTTTGCGAGCAGAATGCAAGTACCCGTGATGTCCTCGGATGTTCCTGCCGTCTCTGATTGTACTTTTACCTGCTGCTGTACGGCTCAGGTCCTGATTCGGCCACTTGATGCCACTTTGGGACTTCAAAAAGATAAGTCGCCTTGTCCTCGTGCTGAGAAATGGAGATGAGCTCCGGTGCTTCGCCGATGGATGTACAGAGGGGAGAGTGTGTGAATGACGATCAAATGGACGAAGCCAACTTCTCTGATACCTTTCCAACACCATCCCTTATATGATCCTTTCGAGTTGTTGATTCCCCTGTTGTCATCTAGAAAATTCTCACTACATAGTGTAATATATTGTACCGATACACCAGAGATGAAAGTGTTCATATTTCTATCGATCCTCGGATCCCTTGTTACTCTCATCTTGGCTGACGAAGACCTCGAAGACAAAGTTACTCGTTGTGTACGTTCACTTACCCCGAATTTCAACCCCGTAATCAACTAACTCAAAACGAAATAAGTGTTCCGTCCTCAGCCCTCTCAAGTCCTACGTCTCATTTCCCGACTCCCAAATCTACATCAACCAAACCACTGGCAGTCTATCCTACTGGTCATCCTTCGAAAGCGACCTCTCCCCAGCATGTCGCTTCACGCCATCCAGCACCACCGAACTCGCTCTCGGCGTCCGTATCCTCTCTTCTAATCATTGCCAATTCGCCATCCGCTCAGGCGGACATATGCCATTTCCTGGCGCTTCCAACTATGATGGTAAGGGAAAGGATGGTGTCACCATTGACTTGACTTCGCTCAACCAGATTGAGGTCCTTGATAGCTGGACTGAAAACGGTGTCGTTCTTACTGAAAAGGTTGCCAAGATTGGACCTGGTGCGAGATGGGCTGAAGTTTATGCTAAAATGGATCCGCTGGGATTGACTGTCCCTGGTGGTAGAGTCGACTCTGTTGGTGTTGGAGGGTTTCTGCTTGGTGGTGGGCTTTCCATTTTTGCGCATACGACGGGGTTTGCGTGTAATTATGTGTTGCAATATGAAGTTGTGCTTGGAAATGGGACTGTTGTCCTGGCTGATAGTGTGCGAAATTCTGATCTATGGCTGGCGTTGAAGGGTGTAGGTCTTCCTAGTTATGAATCTCGCTTGTTGGTATTGATGATGGCAGGGACACAACAATCTTGGTGTGGTGTCTAGCTTCACCATGAAGACCATTTCTATTCCAAATGGAATTTGGGGAGGAATAGCTATCAGTGACCCAGGCTATATCGACCAAGGCTTTGAAGCACTGTACAACTTCGGCGAAGTTGCTGGTCGAGATGGCTTGACTACCGATATTTCGGGCGCTGGTAACACTTCTAAGAATGCTACTCACGGCGACATTGTACGCTTACGTTTGAACAGCATCGCTTCTCTACTTCAACAATCCCTTAACCCAGGCCAAATTTATCAGCAACTTCCTCACCAGCTCAACCGGCTCGATCTCCCCACCCATCCTCTCAAATTTCACCTCCATCCCCCAGCTCAGCAAGACTTTCAGAAAGACTAGCCTTGGAGATATCATCACGGAAGTCTCTGGCTCTTGGGTCAACGGTCATCGTCAGATTATAGGTGAAGTTACGTTCAAGAACAATGTTCAGATTATGAAGGAGGCACAGCAGATTTTCGAGGCGGCGTTCGAACCGTTCGCTCAGGTGAAGGGGTTCCAGCAGATTTTCCTTGTTCAGCCACTCCATCGGGCTATTTTGGCGGCGAGTGAGAAGATGGGCGGGAATATGTAAGTTCTGTTTTGCAGAAACCGGGCCGGAAAGCCTGAAAGAGAGAGAATGATTGCTGAATGTATACAGCTTGGGTCTCGGTGCCAAGGATGGCAATATAGTATGGTTTGCCATCGACCTTTCTTGGGATGATACCAAGTTCGACAACGCCATAAACAATGCTGCTAAGAAGTTCTTTGCGGATGTCAGTCAAGCTGCAAAGCGTCTTGGTGTTTATCACCCTTAGTAAGTCAACATCTGCAGTCCCCACGCATCATCAACCATCATCGACCAATCCTGCTATCCAGGGCTCATTTGGACAGCAAGCTGATATATTGAAGCATCTACCTCAACTATGCATCGGAGTTCCAAGACCCAATCTCTTCGTATGGTCATGCCAATGTTCAGAAGCTGCGTGCTGCGAGTAGGAAGTATGATGGTGGTCAAGTTTTTCAGAGACTCGTTCCTGGAGGATTCAAGATCCCGGGTGCTCGTGGGGAGAGTGACGATGACGGAAAGGTGCACCATGGTCACTAAAGGTAGATGCTATTGTTCACCTGGAGGTGGTATCACAAGCCGTGCATGTGACAACATCTTGCCCGGTGTTGAAGAGCATCGAAGTTACATGTAAACACAATTTGCTGAGGAAGCCTGGCAAAATGCTTGTACCTTTCAATACGTGGCAATGCATATCGAATATATAATTGCAATAACATCATCAGATCCAGTGATGTGCGCCGATGATATCCAAGAATGGAGGACAATTCATCCGGCTGACTGAAGATCAGCACGGATATCATCGGATCGGGTCCTGTAAAATGTTTTGACAAGAACGATTCAGAACTTAAATGTCTGCATTTATTCCGCTCCAATATTGACCTACGGATTTAAACTTGATCCCGAAGTCGGAGTAGCTCGCTTAACAGTTGAATATAAATTCTCAGTCAACACCCCGCGTTCCTCGCTTCTCCACAATTCCCAATCACACCCAAACTCCAGAACTTACCCCAACGCGGACGGACTTAAACATATGCAGGAAAACCCATCAACTAATAACCACACTATAATGTCCTCTCCCCCACCCCCAGCAAACCCACTTCACCTCCCACCACACCTCACCACTCTCCTCACACGCCTACACACCCAATCCCTGACACAAGAAAGCACCCTCCCCGCGTCAACTTACAAAGACACCAGCACCTCCACTTTCGACACCCTCATGCGCGATAAATTCATTGCTCTCGAAGAAGAGAAATGCCATTTCGTGTACCAGATCATCCGCATGATCGATGCACGGTATGTTGTTGAGGCGGGGACGAGTTTTGGTGTTAGTACGATCTATTTGGCGTTGGGGGTTGGGGAGAATGTTAAGGATGGAGATGGGAAGCAGGGGAAAGTTGTAGCTACGGAGAAAGAGAAGAGTAAAGCGGAGGTGGCGAGGAGGCATTGGGCTGAGGCGGGGAAGGAGGTTGAGAAGTGGATCGAGTTGAGAGAGGGTAATTTGTTGGAGACGCTAAGTGAGGGACTGGAGGAGGGGGTGGATTTGTTATTGCTTGATAGTGAGTTTTCTTGTTTGATTTCTCTTGTATAGATTTAATATTGTGGTGCCCTGCACAATCCCTTGAATCTGAGTTCTGCGAGATACTGATCAGTTTTAATAGTCTGGGCTCCACTTGCTCTTCCCACGTTGAAGATCGTGCAGCCTAAGCTGAGAAGAGGCGCGGTTGTTATTGCTGATAATACTGTAAGTGGCAAAGATCGGTATGGAGACTTGTTGACTTACATGAGAGCGGAAGGGAGTGGGTTTAGAAATTTGACGGTTCCGTATCAAGGGGGATTGGATGTCAGTGTTTATCTTCCATGATACAGTACTGTGATGATTTTACGACGCCCCTGAGAAGAGGATTTTTGGACCAGTTGAGCTAGTATTGAAACATGATTTGATTATTACAGCACTACGGTACGAATGCTGACTATCAACGACCGAGTTTTCATATTTCATCCCAGAAGGAGTGTACGTGTTCCCACTAGACTGTTGACACCCATTTCCCGAGTACCATTCCCCACTGCTAGGTCTTTATCACCTGAAACGCGAACTGGTCCCCAAGATTCCTCCAAACCCATCCTGAACTTCTGAAAGACCTCCATCCCAAAGCGCGCTTCTAGTTTCCGTATCCGAGAAAGAACAAAATCTCTATCTTCTTGCTTGCAGATTTCAGGAGCCGCAATGCCGATAGGCCAAAGTATGGCATTTTCATATTTCGAGATAAGAGGAAGCGATGATAGGTTTTTGAGGACATCAGAAACAAGGAATTGGACTTGAGCCTCGTTCTGAGCTTCGAGATAGGTTGGTGAATTCTCAAGTTGTCATGATATACGTAGGCGTTGAAGGAAAAATACCTTCCCAGCAGCGCGATAGATCTCGGACATGATCTGTGAGTCCTGCTTGTTTGAATGTGATGATGATCCACCGCCACTACTGTACCCAGATCTGTTGTAGCAGAAACTTGGCATCCAGTCCAGCCGGCCATCCCATTTGTCAAATGCGTCGATACTTACTTCGCCGTCGAAGTTGACGATTCTAGAAATCAAGTTCGGGAAATAGAATTTGGAACTCCTCTCGTTCCCTCTCCTTGATCCTAAAAGCTTATCCTGTGCTACATTGTATTTGGAAAGGGTTGGACGACCACTCGCCATAGCAACCAGAAGATCATTATAGAGAAACTCGGAATGCAGGAAGCGATACTCGTTCGACCAAGTCTCTGTAATTTCATCTTCAGACTCACAAAATCCCGTGATTGGACCCTCGAAGCTGGAGTCCCCGGAAGCGATTGGCAAGCAGATGTTGCGTCGCATCTTTGTATCGAAGAATCGGTTCAGGAATTCCAGATGTGGCCTCAGACTATCATGTGCCTCACCTGACAATTTATCGTGGAGGATCAACAGCATGATTGTAACAACCAATACCAGATCATCTTCGGATTTAGTCGTGACATTGTTGCTGTTGATACCCTCGAGAAGCCTGATTCCTCCTATTGGATGCCCCATAAGAAGTCTCTGGCATCCTTTCAGCGCATAGCCTTTCAGCCTGAGAATCTCTTGCTTCATCTCAGATCCACCTACACGTCCGATGCGAGTTCCAGAAAGAGCTAAAAGAGCACAAAGTACTGTTTCATTCCTCACTGCTAGGTTTGCGAAGACGGAGAGGAAGGGGTTTGAGTCGCCAATATATGTTGGATAGATGGTGGAGAAGTCCGTGACATAGTGTTCGAAAAGAATTGTTTGGTTGTGTGTGAGCTTGATGGGGTGAGGAGAAAGTGTTTGTGTTAGAGCCCAGGTATCATTTGATCGATCTCGGTACTTTTGATCAGAATAGATTTCTTCCATATCACAAAGCTTGGTATCATACTTCTCATGCCGATCTGAAGTAGGACGTGGTGATGTAATTGAGGTCGCTGACAATGCTGGACTAGTGAACACGTCGCTTCGTGTACTCAACACTGAACTATTGCTCTTGCGCTTCCTCTGACATGAATCTTCGGATACTGAAGAGGGTGCATTGCGAGCACCTTTCGGAGGACCGCGTCGGCTCATGCCAATTCGAGTATCGCTCTCAGGCCAAAGTAACTTTGTCGCATACCCTTCACACTGGAGGCCTCTCGCTTCACAATTCTGGCATGACGGGTGTCTAGCATCACACTTTTTCTTCCTATCTGGGTAATTAGAACAGGAACTTTATGAATAGGTGAGGTTGATGGGGGCCAAGATAAGCGAATGTTGATTCCAGGAAACCTAGACAAGATGCAAAATGCTGAGCATACCTCCGCCGACACGTCCAGCAACCATCCCGTGTACGTTTTACAAGCTTAGGCTTATCCATCATGAGCATGCCTTGGAAAATGATGTTATCGTGAGGATAGTAGATCATAAATTATCGCGCTTTTCAATCCCACCCTTACCACGCGCTTGCCGTTTTCAGTTATGTAATCCCAGGAACGTTGTGTTCACCGAGCACAGGGTGGCAATAAGACGGGACAAGCATAGAAGCTAAGTTAGGTCTCGATGTTTGCTCGGCACAGCATCATTTGTGATAAGCCTTAATGTCTTAATGTCTTGTTTTTTTGTCAGCTAGCACATTGATGCTTCCGAAATAGCCGAGACGAAGGCCATCCTGTAACGCGCTCACTTCACCTCAGGAATCCCCTGCAATGGCTTTGAGTTAAAATCTCCTTTTGCGAATTTATATCGGAAAGAGAGTAATTTATTTCGTTCATTAAATTTTGTAAATCAAGCATGTGAGGACTGTCTTGTTGAAGTGACAAGCAGGTATTCGATGCTTGGCCTCCTCTCAGACACGGTAATTGGTAGCTTGACTGATTTACTACTCTATTCTTGTATCATGGCAAGATTACTGAAGCTCGATATATCTGTCAATTCCGCTCATGCTTCAAGATGCCGCACGCCCTCTCATCTCATACGGCAGCAAAAAGAATAAGAATCCAGCCACAACAAATAGTGAAGCCGAAATCCAGATTGGTGCATCCGTCTCAACTCCAATATATGCTGCGATGATAGGTGCACATAGACCAGATAAGCGATTGAACAATGCTACCAGCCCGTTTCCAGTTCCTCTTATGGGAGCTGGGAAGAGCTCAGGAGTGTACGAGTACAAAAGTCCGTACACGAGATTCTGAAAGAATGCAACGGCACATGAAAATCCGAGAACAGCCGCTGAGGACTTTGCTTGGGTGTAGAGGAAGAGAAAGAGTCCAGTGCAGATGCATGCAACTGTCCCAGTTCCCTTTCTGCCGATGTGCTTCATGTCGACCGTGAGACCACCGATGATTGACGCTGGAATACCACAGACAGCCTGGATGGCATAATTGCGATAAGTCTCATTGAGTGAAGTCGTACTTGCTGCGACACCCCGATTCTCAAGGTATATTGGAATGAATGAGTTGTAAAGAGGATACGCCATCCCGATCATACACCATAAAAGAATCATCAGCGTGGTAGAGTATGCCATCTTTGGAGTGCTGAAAAGCCCCGCTAATTTCTCGAACCTGAAAATCTCCAACTTTCTTCGAAGGATAGCCTGTTCGGCACTTTCCTGCGGTAAACCATGGCCAGCAGCTGCGAGTTCGGCATCAATGCGCTCGAAGTGCTCAATGGTGAGCCATGTTGACGTTCCGTTGAATTTAGCGATTTTCTGAACAACTGCGACAACTTTCCTGTCCTGTTTCTTGCCAAGAAGAAACTTTGGCGTTTCGGACATGGGAAATAAGAATCGGAGGACGCTCATTACGAGAGTGATGGCTCCGAAAGTCCAGAAACAGTACCGCCATCCCATATTGTCCAGGTAGAAACACTGCCCAGTGGGTGTGGAAGAGGGGCAAGAGTAGTTGACGACTAGCGGCCTAATGGAATTAGTAATTGCTTGAGAAATGTTCTGCGTGCATACTCACCATCCAACGAGCACAGCCACTGACTGGCCAATTGACCAAAATGCGGATTGCATTGTCAACAGATATTGATGAGATGCTGGGATGAACTCCAAGAAGATGGCACTATCTACTGGTTGGTTGCCTCCTGTAGCAAGACCTATGAATGCACAAATAGTGGTAATCGCGACAAAATTTGGCATGCCCGCTCCTACAATACCAGAGATGGACGACATTATCAATGTGATGTTGAAGGCAGGCTTGCGACCGATGAAGTCGGCACTGACGGGCCATAAAGTTGAACCAAGCACCAGACCGGCATATTTGCCAACAGTCAAAAAAGCAATTCTTGCCACAACAAACTCTCGCTGGACCAATGGACTGATGAGAGTAATCGCTTGCATCCAGAACTAGGTTTATTAGCTTGGAAGTGTCCCTGTGCGATGTTCCACTACTTACATTGTCGACGAACCAACCAAAGCCGGTGAGAACAAAGGTCCACCATTGGTATTTCCCCATCCCCAAGTCAAGGATCGCTTCGTTAAGGATTGCAACTTTTAACTCGTATGCCATATCAGCACCAGGTTGCACAGTTGTCGTGTCAATCACGGTGCCCACACGATTTCGATAGTGCATGCTGCTCTTCTCGCCTTCACAGTCATTTCCGTGGGATGGACGTGTGTCAGAAGCATCAAGCTTCTCTACACGGGTCACTTCCAGTGCATTATTTACTTCGGTAGCCATTTTTGCGGAAGAGGTGGAATCAGGAGCGCTGGTATGCAAGGTGTCTTGATGAGAACTGAGATGGACCACCAAGACAATGTTTATATTGGAAAACTGGGAGAGGCTTTATACTCGAGGGTGCCGAATGCTTCGAAAGTATCATGAGCTATCAACTAAGATACTCACAACTCTCGCCATTATCTCCTCTCATCTGGTCCCGCGTTTAGCTTTGCATTATCCTCTTGGCAGCTGGGCTGCTACCTATCACCATGTCAGGGGTGGAACGGCGACCCTTCATATGGTGGCGATGAAATTTGATGCCCAGAATTTCAGCGATAAGCAAGGCTTGGGGGATGCGACTTGGGAGAGGTGTCGAGAGGCGAAGAGCAAGAGTGGGGTCGCCGCGGCTCGAATGTCACAAATCGAGTTTGGTGTTTGCGCTTCAAATATCTCTCTACTGGCTTAGTGTGGACGGTGCCAGACAGAAAACGATCTCGTGCTCGCCATTTCCTATTCGATATAATTTGAGCCGCGAGCATATCTGTCTCTCCGTGTTGATTCAGCACATAGCTGGTATGGTTCGTGCCATAGAGCCGAGACTGGGGTAAGTACAAGTCGGATGCTGCAGCAGGGTGGCATTTCGAACTTTGACATTACATTAGGTTTGGTGATGTTCTGAGCCTCATGACCTACATTGTCTATTACGTGATGGGTTCTGGGGCAATGAACTTTGATTGTCAACAATCCAAAGTGCGGGGTAGAAGCTACTGTAGCCGAGCCCCTGAAGAAGCGAGCAGGTGAGGCAAGTCCGTGAGGACAATGGAGGGCCAACTAAGCACCTGTCGTACTCTCTTACCACATCCTCATCAAGGGGTCGATCAATGAATTTGATGGGATCACTTCTCGGGAGCAGTCCAGGAGAAGCTTCCTCTCACAAGAACAAGAGCCGCTGGAGACATACGACAGGATACATTCTAGTTCTTTCCCCAATATTTCATACGAAAATAAATCCGAGGAGTTCTCGCTGTCCAACAGTGGAAGTCCAGCTCGATATGCTAGTACCAGCATCATGGGATGCACCGATCGGGTGGAAAAGATGAACATCATCTTCCAAAGTTGTATTGCTACCTGTGGCTTGTCTTGGAGTCATGGCTATCAACAGGACATGTTGAAGACATTGCTGATAGGCCTGCGCTTTTATTTGACTCAATTCGGAGATTCGACCCGCGAGCTTCCTCGCCCCACTTGCTCCGCTCGCTTATGTGTCAATAGTGATCTACAAGCACCACTCCCTACCTGAGTAATTCTAGACGCGGATATGGCATCCCCAGGTTGGTCGCAAGGTGAGGCATATTTGTCTTCTGGAAGTTTATAATCGCCTCTTCAGCTGTTCGAGCGTCACTCATCAGGCTAATTCATCATACAGACCTCAGAAGCGAGCAACAAGAAGAACGATTCATCATGGCTGTCTTGACCTCAACACCAGAGGATGTTTCTCAAAGGGATCTTCCTTCCCAGAGATACCCTAGAAAGATTCTCAATGCGTCGCTACCTCCAGTCCATTTGGATCCTATATCGTCTGAATTCGTTGCGTCCAAACACCTTGCTTTCCAGCCACCATCCAAAATAATCTCTCTAGCCGACATCCACCTCCCAGACTCTGAGATCTCTCCTGTTGCGTCATCTGTACCTTTTCCACTTCTGTCGGCTGAAGCAATTAAGCAACACAGAAAAGAGCTTTTCTCGAAAGATGTCCTAGACAACTGCACTTTCGCAACTCGTCCTGGCTCCGTCCAGCTCCGTGGAATGGCGCCACGCTATGCACCATTTGTCCACCAGTTCTGGAACTCATCTGAGGTCCTCGGTATCATCAGCAACATAGCAGGTGTCGATTTGGTGCCGGTGATGGATTACGAGATCTGTCATACCAATGTTCAACTCGGACCTGGTGGTATGGACGCAGTCCGAAATACGCCGATTTGGCCACCAGCCGCGACAGAGGAAGAGAAGAAATCGTTCACTAAGAATAGTACTCGAGAAGAAGAAGTTTCTAAACCGATTGTTCCTTGGCATAGAGACTCGCATCCTTTCGTTTGCGTGGTCATGCTGTCCAACACAGATTTCATGACAGACGGAGAGACGGAACTCATGAAGGGCGATGGGTCGACGATCAAAGTTCGATCACCTGAATGCGTGAGTAAATCCCATGCATTTAGTACCGTACTATTCCTAAGTCATTTTAGGGCCATGCTGTTGTGCTCCAAGGTCGATCAGTCTCACACATCGCCATCCCTGCGGGCAACATGCCGGAACGAATCACGATCGTAACCTCTTTCCGTCCACGAGATCCAGTTCTTCAGGATAGCAGCTCCAACATGAATGTGAGGAATAAGTCTTTGCTTCCAGAGCTTAATTACCAATGGACGACCTACCGACTTGAACTTTTGAGTGAGAGATTCAGAGCTCTAGCGTCTGATATGACGAAGGACTACCAGTCCAAGATCAAAGACACGGATTGTGAAGGGAAGGCAGGGGCGTGCAAAGTTGAGACCGTCAATGTTGAAAAGCTCTCTAGATGGATGGAGTCTCAGATCAGTTATATGGAAAAGACATTATATGAGATGAGACCTGTGACGGTCGATGACTGGGTGTCGAAGAATGAGGTGTAAAGAAGTAGACTGGACAGACTGTGCTGTTTTCAGACTATTCAGGAACTAATGTAGAATTTTATGTGGCAGAACAAATTTGATAAATAGTCATGTTCGAAGCGTGCCCGTGGGAGAAAAGTTATGACCAATGAAATCTGATGACGACAGGAGCTGACCATCACTCTCGCGCAAAAAGCGACATTTAATAATGATAACAAAGCTACTCACGAGAAATAACTCACGAGAAATTACTCCTATAATTGAGTGAAAAGTTTCGAAACAAGCTTGAGGATAACAATCGTACCATACGATCCACACTTTGTATCAACGTTTCTCGTAATTGTAGACATTGGGAAGCGGCCCGGTAGTGCTGTTGACAAATTGTGTAGATCTAAGACGGCTCTTCAAAATTCTAGATTGGAGGCATAGAAATGTTCCGGAAATGGTCATCGTTTTCTCAGCTACTCGCCCCATTGATAGACCCATTTTCTGATTTATGAGTTGGTCTAAATTCCGCATGCAGAAGTAGGGAATAGCGCGCCCAGACATGGTTGGTGGTGTCCATCACGTGATTTGTTTATCAACTCCTGAGTTCTGCCACGACGCGTCTGGAGTAAAATGGCCTGATATCTGAGCATTGCGAAGTGTAACTCGTCTATTCAACACAAATTACTGTGATCTCGATGTATTTGCCAATTCGATTACTGCCTCTAGGATCCGAACGATTGTGATGAGTTTCGCCCGTAGATGCTTTCCAGCACCACATCCAGACCCATTAGGGTCTGGCAAGAGTACGTCTTGCCGACTCTGTAGAACATTTATGTGTCTGATATGTTTCACAGTGCACTCAGTGTGACCCGGCCTTGGGATGGCAAAGGTCCATTGAAGATACGGTCTATGCAATTGGCGGTCAGGCACAGGTATTTTCATGGAGTTAGCTCTCAACACCTCAAACTTCGCCCACCGCAGGGTCGACTTCTTTGTTATGTGCGAGTATTTTTCAACCATAAAAGCCTTTTCAGCTCAACAGCCATTGCGCACGGGAAACCGCCGAAAAAGCAGAAAGCCAAACCTGCTTCCTCAACTCCGGCGACACAAGTCAGCAAAGTCATTCCACCCAGAACGAAGCCTCGGGACTACGTTCCTACAAATGTCAGATTGGCACGGCTCGAAAAGGTTAGAGGAGAAGCAAATCCGCCACCACCGGTTCTGAGCTCGAGGCGGCATTGGCTGAGCACAAGTTTCTCACAGACAGTCACTATGCGGCAGTAGAGGCTGAGAACAGCATTTTCTAGGTAATGAAAAAGAATCTTGATATGGTAGCCTGGAATAACTTGACTGCGACACTATCTAGTTCAAGCACAAGTTGCTGGCAGGAGAAAGCAGGTCTGAGGAGGGAGCTAGGGATTGCCAAAAATGTGTGCGCCGGAATCGACGATCCTGTGGTTCGCAAAAGTTTGATCAGATGGAATGAGAACACATGCAATCATCTCGAGGGGTCCTTCAAAGCTCTTCTGAAATTGCGAGCCAAAATTGCAAGATTGAGTGGATTCAAGAACTTTCTCGAGCTCGAAGCTGCTGGCTACGCCGTTGCAGGTAAGTACCGACACCGCAAGCTGCTGGACGTACAGTCCGCAATGAGCGTTATGGGTGAATTGCAAGCCCAGTTAGCTCCCACTATAGAATCTTTCATCGAGAACTTACGAGAATTGAAACTTGTGGATATGAGATCTCGCTCAAAAGCTCATTCCAGACCAAGCGCGGCTGATGTAGGACTGAACTGGGGAGATGTCGAATACTATGGGCTCAAAGCAGAGCAGAGCAAATTTCCTGGGAGCCACAAAATTCACAGGTCGATCGGGGAATATTTTCCAATGGAGTTGACGACTCGGAAGTTGCTCGATATGTGCGGCCAAGTGTTTGGGTTATCCTTCTCCAGGCTTTCGGGAGATGAGAGCGGAAATTTCAAGAAGCGATACATTCAGACTAAGAAGTGGCCCAAGAGCGACTCGAAAGACCTTCTCGTTTTCAAAGTTCACGACACCAGTACTGGTAGTCACGGAGCCCTTTTGGGTGTCTTGCTGTTGGATCTTGTGGACAAAAAGTCTAAGCCACAAGGGGCACAATGCGGTACTTTTGGCCAAGTATGTATCAATGCTCATCAGCAATATCGTTAGTACCTCATGCTAACGCGGTCTAGTGTGAAGTCAAGAACCTTGGAAGTCAAAAATGGTCTCCTGCTATTTACATTCGTGCTGTGTTCCCCCCTGCCCGGAAAGATGCGCCGGTCCTGGTTTCAAGTTACAATGTCATCACTTTAGCTCACGAGCTTGGCCACGCCATTCAAGAATTCACCCGTGGAGGCCTTGATAGCATGGCTTGGGACTCGGTCGAGATAGCAAGCCACTTAGTGGAAAGACTAGTGTCCGAACCTGCTGTTCAACGCGAGTTGTCATCGCACTATGTTTATGAGCAACAAGCCTACCTTGATGCTTGGAGTACGTCTGGGAGATCCTTGCCACCGAAGCAGGCGCCTCTTGACCTCCTGGAGAAAGGTGTCGATATGTATTTACATGATCAGATTTTGCCCTTTCTGAGAACTCTTTGGTTCACAAAATTGGATTTCATACTCCACAGCTTCACGGAAGAAATGCTCGACGCCGTAGATCTGGGAGTCGAGTGCCAAAAGGCATTGAGCGAATGGACAGGAATTTGCGGAACCGATGACTCGAATTATGGCCCACCAAAGAATAACGAGTACTTGCACTACAGGCATTACCAGTACTACTACACATCGCTATACTGCTACCCATAGTGAGTTATATTCGCTCATGTTATATGACCCACTCCGGGTACATCCGCATGAGGAACCTGCTCTGCTATGCTACTTGATAAGCCATTCTAACTGATGCTAGTTCGAAGATCTGCGCCGAAGAAATATTCCAGACGCACTTTGTAAAAGACCCTTTGAATCGCACGCAGGGTCTTCGATTCCGAAAGACTTTTCTAGAGCATCGTGATGTGTTCCAAACACAGGCACATCGGGATTTGTTTCTGCAAAAAAATGGCGAAGGTGCAGAGGCTAAATTGGAGCGGGATCTGTGGCTCAGTGGCCGCTCAGAAAATAGTATGGATGCGCTGGTGAAGTTTTTGGGGAGGCCGCCAAAGATGAAGCCTTTTGTTGACTACATGTCAGGCGTCACTAGGGAGAGGGAGACTTCAAGGCAGGCGATGTGGTCCTGGAAGAAAATCTTGGCGAAAGTCGTCAGTTGAGAGACGTGTTGAATGAGAAGAGTGTAGACGCGCAAGTATAGTAGAGATGCACTGGCCAGAATGAGATTAGACGAAACGAAGACAAGGAACCAGAGCCCGTCATTATTCATCAATCATGTGTTTCAGATCGTCAGGTGTGACGTGCAAACACAACATCACCCATACCAGAATGGCCACATTGCGGACGATTCTGGAACTTGAGGATATGCAAGAACATATGCGTTAAGGTACTGGAATCAAACGCTCAGAAGGGCAGTGAATCAAGTTTAGAAATTGAGGTTGGCGGGGGGTTCTGTAGGTGCCACAGTGGAAGTCACGAAAGAGTTCATTGCCGGACTGAGCATGGGTAGGCTTGGTTACTTTAGGTAACGTCCGATGACTGAACATGCAAAGCCAAATGTGTACTACTGTATTGGAAATATATGCTTTAGGATCTAGCTGTAATATGTCGGTGTGATCTCTCGAAAAGAAAATCTCATGTACTGTCTGGTGACGACATGCGCTTTGATCATGCCTTATACTTCACCTCCACCTCCCACAATTCCTACCATTCCTTCAATCTCATATTGTACAGCGAGAGAACTTATACCACGGCCATTCCTGGAGATAATGAAGCCCTCAGAGTCAGAAAACACAAAATTAAATGGAAAGCGATCACAGAACCCCACAGCCAAAGAGCCACCATTGCATGACATCAAAGCTGAGTGGATCAATACATCTTCGAAGTCATACAAAGGCACGCTCAGAGGGAAATCATCATCAATCAAAATCCCTTTTTACTTACTGGTAGGGGAAAACCGATAAGTATCGCTTTAGTGTTAGTGAGAAACAGGACGGGAGCAAAAGCCGCATGCTAGAGACGGCCTGCAGAAGCAAAGCAGCCGCGACGAGTGATCGGTAAACAAGTGAAGGAATGGAATAATCATAACTCGTACGAAGCGAGGGCGGTGAATGGAAAGCCCAGGTTGCTTGTATTTGGGTTCTAGTTCAGGTCCGACTTGTAGAGCAGCAGCTCTGAGTCTTGAATGGCTATCCACAGTGGCAGTGCTCTTGTCATCCATCAATGGCAAAGCGTAATCCGAAAGATACTTCGGCCATCGAATTCGGACCGTGAACCCCCTTAGACTACCTCTTCGATCGCAAAGCTGACATCACGCACATGATAGTGGCATATTAAGGAATGCTTTTTTTACAAGCACGGCCTCCTTCGCTAGTATTAGGCGATAGTGAAACTCGTTATCATACGTTAGGGGAGCAGAGAAGCACAATGATGCAGTCATGAAGTCAATTGAGCTCGAGTATGCAAAGCCAAAACATTCATTTCCCCCAAACGCCGCGCTTGATGCATTTCCTTTACCTATTTACCCGAAATCGAACAATAGATGCCTGGGAACGCTACCTCCGGCCTCCTCTCCCACCGCCAGCACCGCCTCCACCCATCATACCTCCCATTTGTTTCATCATAGCCTGCATATCCATCCCACCTGGCATACCACCACCTCCACCACCGAACATTTTCATCAATGACCCCATATCCGGCATACCACCCGCAGCTCCTCCCGCACCACCCATGCTCGCAAGACGTTTCTGCATAGCTGCCATCTGCTGCTGCTTGTTACCGCCTCCCATGGCGCCTTGTGCTCGTTGGATGTTCTTCATGTTGCCACCCATCTTCTTCGCCATACCAGCCATCATTTTGTGTTGTGTGAGAAGATCCTCAACTTCGCGGACGCTGGTGCCGCTTCCGTATGCTATCCGCGTCATGCGAGTTGGCTGCTCAATAAACATTTTGCCATCGCTGTCGAGTTCTTTGACAGTCATGGAGTCACAGATGTAGATCATGCGCTTGAGTTTCATGGAGCCTTCTTCGTCGTCCATTCCTTGCATCATGCCGCTCATACCTGGAATCATGCCTGCCATTTTGGAGAGAGGTCCCATTTTCATGATGTTCGAGAGTTGATCTCGAAGATCACGGACTGTGAAGACTCCCTCTGCGATGTGCTTCATGGTGTCCTTCTGGTCCAGCTTAAGTGATTGCACGTGCTCCACCAGACCTTGCATATCTCCCATTCCCAGCAGCTTGGAAACGAACTGTTGTGGTGCAAATCTTTCAAGATCCAACATGTGTTCTCCGGTTCCAATGAAAACGATAGGTGTATGAGTCGCCGCAACAGCTGAGATAGCTCCGCCACCACTTGCATGTCCATCAGTCTTTGTAATAATAATAGCACCAAAATCTGCAGTCTCCTTGAAAGCTTTACTTTGCGCCTCGGCTTGTTGTCCAATACTAGCATCTAGAACCATGATAGTCTGATCCGGCTTCACGGCAGTCTGAATATCCACCATTTCTTGGAAAAGGGCGTCTTCTTGTCGATGTCTTCCGGATGTATCCACGATAATGATTTCGAATTTCTCCTTCTTGAACTTCTCCACACCTTCTCTAGCAACTACCGCAGGATCCGTTTGTGTCAGAGAGCCATAGTATGGGATCTTCGCTTTGGTAGCGTTCTGCTTCAACTGATCGAAAGCTCCAGCACGGAAGGTATCTGCGCAGACCAAGCATGCTTTGAAACCCCTCGATTGGTAATGTCTGGCCAGCTTCGTACAAGTCGTCGTCTTTCCTGCACCCTGCAATCCAACGAACATAATAACATTGGCCTTTCCCTTCTTAGGCTTGAATGGCTCGGCATGGGGATCGACGAGTTTGACGAGTTCGTCGAAAACCGCTTTCTGGATGAGTCGCTTCTTATTTACGCCCGGCGCTTGGTCTTTGAAGTTCACAGACGCCTTGATGGACTTTCGCAGATTTCCAACCAGTCGCACATTTACATCTGCTTCGAGGAGAGCTGCGCAAATCTCTTTGATCATACCATCAAATGCCTGCTGAGGAATTAGCTGTGTCACTGGGTAATGTGGCCAGTACTGACCTTCTCGTCCAGGTTACTAGACCTCGTCAGGTCACTGACGGCGGCATTGATACGCCGCCCAAGATCTTGAAGAACCATGTTTGTTGCTGGTATGCGAGAGATGGCGTCCGGGGTTGGGGGATGTGTCTATTGCAGCGCTCGAGGGTTGTGGGTTTGTGGCGGGGTAGTTGCCAAGGTCGCGGCAAAACATTGATCCGAACCTTAATTATTTTTCTTTCGATAAGATGTTGGAACTGCGCCGAGAACACCACCAATTCAACTCGACAAATTCAATATGGCAGGACAGATCTCAAAGAAGCGCAAGGTGGAGGAAGGGATGAAGGGCAAAGTCTCCCGGCCAAAGAAGAAGTTCAAGAAGCAAACCGATTACGACAATCAATCCTCGTCAGAAGATGAGCCCACCGAAGAACAAGATTTCCCAGCTGTCAATCTCCAAGATTCCGACGAGGAGGGCCTCGATACTACAGATCTTATCACGGCAGAAGAATCTGAGCCAGACCTAGACGACGAGCCAGAAATTGCTGACGATGAGGAGGACGAGGTTACAGATGCGTCAAATTCAGATTCTGAATCTGGTTCGGAAGATGAGGAGAACGACAACCCAAATTTGATAAGAAAACGGAAACGCAATGATCCTGAAGCTTTTGCAACGTCGATGTCGAAGATTCTGGGTTCTAAATTGTCTACGAGCAAGCGCAGCGATCCAGTATTGTCGAGGAGTGTGGATGCAATTCAAGCCAGCAAAGAGATTACAGATTTGGCGTTGGAGAAGGCGGCAAGACACAAATTGAGAGTTGAGAAGAGGGAGGCTATGGATAAAGGAAGAGTGAAGGATGTGTTGGGAGCTAGTACGGCATTTGACGCAGCGAATGGAGTAGCAGATGGGCCCAGCGTACAGGAGACGATGGAATTAGAGAAGAGATTACGGAAAACTGCACAAAGAGGTGTGGTGAAGCTGTTCAATGCAGTCAGAGCCGCGCAAGTCAAAGGCGAAGAAGCTGCTCGGGAAGCGAGGACAAAGGGTCTCGTAGGGCATGGAAGAAGGGAAGAGAAGGTTAACGAGATGAGCAAGAAGGGTTTCTTGGATCTCATTGCTGGAGGTGGTGGAAACTTGAAAGCCGGTGCTATCGAGGAGGCATGAGATGCTGTTGAATGCTATAAAAGCGTGCATTGCCTGGCGTTGAGATGGGAATTAGGCGTTCGATCTTTGGCATCCCCCAAATGCCTCTAAACCTTATTATGTACGGATCTTGCGCCGATAATGTACATGGGTATTCACATCACCCTTAGATAGGACGCCCTATCGATCCAATGTGCTCCCCGACTCCTCTGAAATGCATCATAAATCCCCCCAACACTCTATTACCACCTCATTACTCCCTCTTCGCGAAATCGCTAGCCTGCATATTTCTGGTCTTTGCGGGAAGGTTGACGACCAAGCCATTCAGCTCCGGCTTCATTATGATTTGACAGCCCAGCCTCGATGTCTCCGTCAGACCAAATGCCAAGTCCAACATATCGTTTTCATCGTCGTCTGCCTCGGGGATCTTATCGAACATTTCTTCGTCCTTGACGATAACATGACATGTTGAGCATATACATGATCCTTCACAAGCCCCTGCCAGATGTTAGTGTTGGTCGCTGTTTGTCAACAAGCAACTTGCCTTCCATCTCAATGTCATTCGCCTGAGCAATCGTCAACAGATTGTCTCCTTCATTCACTGCAATCTTATGCTCGTCTCCCTCCTTGTCAACAAACGTGACATAGAGCCTGTTGGTGTCAACATCTTCTTTCTGACAAGCACATCCAGGGCTCTTACTCTTTGCCCGGAGGTGGTGGTTCCCAATGCCCATGTGAAGCTGCGGAGGTGGCAGAGAATGCTCGTCGTCCAAGAGACTTCCCCATAGAGCTCCCAAATCCATAACTCCTCTGGCTCTGACTTTGACTCCGAACTCCGTCTATTGGTCTTGCGGTTGTTGAAAGTGATACGCGGCCCTGGAAGGTAGACTGCTTTCCAAACGGCGTCCGCAAGCATTGCAATGATCTTCTTCCAACACTGGATACCCCCCCAACAGCCATTTTTGCTGGCGACATGTTTGCTGTTGTGTTGAAGCTGTGAGCTCGCCGGAGATAGCGCTGTAACTTGAATGCGCCGCTTGGAGTGTTGGTTCTTGGTTTTGGAGTAGAAGGGCAATGGTGTATTCGGAGACTCCAATGAACAAATCAGTAATCAAGCAATGGGAACCCTATCTCGACCCTAATTGTTGTTCTTTCAAATGTTTCAAGACGGTTGTTTGTCCGAATGTTGGGTGGCACATGCATGCACGCTGATTCTCTCCGTTCTAAAAATTATTTACTCAGAGGAAGTTATTGGCGGGCCGGGCTGCCACGCCTTGTCATCACATCCACAACCACATGCACATCCCTGTCGCTGCATCATAAAGCTTGCATGGTATTGAACTGCTTTTGACTGACGAAATCTTGGTCTGCGCTTCACTTCCAGACAATCCTACAACCCCCTTTCTCTTTCGCTTCCATATGTAACAACAAACCAACAACATGTCAACAACACGAGAAGGGCCAAATCCTTTGAGGCCATACTACAAACCTCCTTCAATCGGCATCCCGCAGGATTTGCCGAGGGCGACGACCAACGGAACGCATGGCTTAGGACCAAGAAATGGCAGTGCAGCTTCCTACGCGTCATCTGCACGCGATATCCTCTCAGATATCGATTATGCGGATTACGGATCGCCTTCGACGGTTGAATCGATCAAACAGCAGATAGACGATTGGTTTTACAGATATACGAGCATTTTGCTGGCGCAGCCATTTGATGTTGCGAAAACTATACTGCAAGTTAGGAGTCAAGGAGTGGATGATGGATTGGTGGAGTTGAAACCGCCGAGGCATAAGGAATCTGCATATAGCGATGTAGGGTTTGAACCAGGATTTTTGAAAGCATCCGCTAATTGTCGTAGTATCCTTCTGATGATTCGGATCCGGACGAGCCTGCATACTTTACATCTTCTGCACCCTCGGCACATTCATATTCTCCTTCGAGAAGTCGAAGGCGGCGCGACGGCAGTCCTGGACTTCTTCCGCCTCAGAAAGCTACGCCACCAGCTTCGATCCAACTTGTGCTGAAAAGATCAGATGCCATTTTGGAAGTGATATCTCAGGAATGGGCAAAGGAAGGGGCATGGGGAGTTTGGAAAGCCTCGAATGCGACATTTGTCTACGGATTCCTGCTTCAGACGTTGGAGAAATGGTCAAGGGGTCTGATATCGGCACTGTTAAATGTTCCAGATCCTGAAATATCTGCTGGATTGATAGGATCGACGTACCCTTGGGCTTCTTTGGCTGTTGCCGTTGCAGCTGCTGCATCAGCAGGAATTTTACTGGCTCCGCTAGATCTTATTCGGACGAAGTGCGTAAATCAAAGCCTACCTTATCAAGAGTTGTGCTAACATTGTAGACTCATCGTAACGCCTGTCTCGACAGTGAAGAGATCACTTACTTCCCAAGTGCGAGCTTTACCATCATACCTATGTCCAGCATCTATCCTTCTACCTACTCTACTACATTCTCTTGTAACGCCAGCAATATCACATTCAACGCCTCTTCTCCTAAGATCACACCTCGGTATCGACCCAATATTAACACCCAACACCTACCAACTCGCCAAATTCTTCTCCCGAACCGCCGAACTCTTCATCAAACTCCCACTCGAGACAGTCCTCAGAAGGGGTCAAGTCGCAGTGCTGAAAGAAGACGTAGAAATAGCACGCGCCCAAGGAATCTGGACCAGCGACCTTCAGACTCTCGTTCCAATTGGAGAGTATCGAGGCGTTGTCGGAACCATGTGGATGATTGCACGAGAAGAAGGAGTACGCGACCCGCCTGTTGTTCTTAAGACGAAGGCCAAACCGCAGAAAGGACAAGGCTTACCAGGTCTTTGGAGAGGATGGAGAGTCGGCATGTGGGGATTGGTTGGCATGTGGACGTCACGGGCGTTGAGTGGAGGGAATGGTGGAGAGTTTTGATTATGGATGGCGATGGATGGATGATACCAATTGCTTTGCTTTGGCGCAGGGGAGTTGGGACATACCCGTACTTGGTGGACGGGATTTTGGCTCTCGGTTCATACCTACTCAACTCTGTTTTTACGTGTATATGACCGCCTGTACTTGTGAAAGCTGTGCTAGTAGAGAAGGAATGTACAATTTGGCGTCAGCGCAGCAAGTGAAGTTCTACCTTTCGACATTTCCCAAATGTCTTTTTTGTTCTTCTGCTATCTAGGGCTTCGAATTCATGTCCATTATATATACCGTCACCGTTGGAACGTAAATTTTCCTCTTTCAATAGTGCACTTTTCCCTCCCGCTACCAAACATACAACTGTAAATAATGGCGCGTAAGCGAGTGGACGTTGTCCGTCAACGATTTCGCTTATCAAGACATGTACACTACAGAGTGATATGGCACAAGCAAGATGTGTGGCTTGCACTGTACTACGTGTAAGTGTCAAGCACAGCGGCAGGTGTACCAGAGAGAAAGGACTGGATACTTACCAGCGCCCCTAGGCTATACAGGAAAGATGCGGGAGGGGAGTGTGCTTGAACGAGCCAGCGAAATCCTAAAGAAAAGCTTTTCAATATCCTTTATCCTGGGTATACAAGTATTATACAACGCCAATCCCAAATCCTAACCTCAACTCCATATACCAAAATGCGCCATTGAGAGTAAAATTTAAACTTTAGCCTTCTTCCTCACCATTCCAGTCGCGAGCACGTTGACCTTCGGTGCCGATTCTGCCTGCGGCTCAGGAGCATCTTTCCTCTTCTTCCTCAACAATCCCATATTCAAAGTCGTAACTCCTGCAACTCCAGCCGCAGCTCGAATCTCGACAGCGTTCGTCCCAGTCACGCTTTGGCCCCATGCATCGCCCGTACTTCCCCATGCACCGGAACGAACCTCGTTGATCCAGCGAGTAGAGCTAGATGTTGCAAGCTCAAGATTGGCGAAGTCGAGACGGAGGAGCAGCTCTGTCACGCGTTTGTAGTCGGCCTCATCGACGATGATCTGACCTCTGCCTTCCGGCCGCCAAACATAGTATGCCGATGTTTCAGGCCGGTCGAGCAGATAGTTTTTGTTTTGTGTTTTGACTCGCGGCTGTCGAGGTATGATGGCCCCAGTGAGCTTCTTCCTTTTTGGCGTCCGTGTCTTGGGCGAGGTTTGCTCACAGTCGTCGGGCTTCACAGGTGAGCTCAATGGTTGAACCTGACTCGAAGCATTGAACGACGTGGCTGGCGTTATTAGGAATGATGAAGGGGGACTTGAGTTGACTTCTGTCTGGCTATCAACGGTCAGGAGGCTATTTTGACTTTCTCCCAGTATTGATTCCGTAGGCAACGCCTGATCTTTGGGAGAAAACACAATCCATATAAATCCCACAAGTCTTCCAGCCGAACATTCTTGTCGAAATGCCATCATATCCCAGAATTGCTCGACAGATTTGACGCTCTTCCACTGCCCACTCGTATCTTGGCTCTTTGTAATCTCCTCGTCCAATTCATCTAAATATCTTGCTTTTGGATCATCTGGGTAATGCGGGACGAAGCATCTCGGAGGCACATCGTCTGAATGTCTTGATATTTCTTGAAGTGGGTGGCCAATGGTCCATTTTGAAGTATTTCGGTTCGGTACGTAGGAGGTGGTTTCATGAGAATCGAGTCCAGGAACCGTCAAATATCCCTTGACCGAATCCCACTCAGGCGTCTCTCCAATCAGAGGATCCAGAACTCGACACCACCACCTTACCAGTCCTCTATCATCCAGTACATGCTTCCCACTGTATTCAATACTCCCAGGGAACAGGTATTGATCCTGCGCTCGCGCAAATAACGAAACCACGCTTCGAATATTCTCCCTTTGATGTTGCAGTACCAGATGACGCAGGAATATAGCAGTGATATCTCGAATTGGAGATGGCGTGCCTTTTGCCAGACCTAGCAGATGCAGGTATCCTGTTGAGTCTGCCTTTGAAACAAAGAATGTAGAATCGAATGCCGTCGAGTAGATGAGGATCTCGACCGCATAAACCAGCACTTCCCTATCTTCCGAGACACCAATCGATACTGTGAGAAAGTGGCTTTCACAATACGTTCGATCAGGTCGAGTTCCTGGGGGCGCAGAGTATATGGAGGAGGTTCTGGTTGGAGGGGTAGAGAGGTGGTATATCTTGAAGTTGGCGTTTTTCGGAAGCGCAATAGCAAGTTGATGAAGCAATGATGGTGAGATTGGTGCGTTGATAATCTTCTCGTGAGCGGCCATATTCAAATAACATACCAAAATATTGCGCTGCTGTTCACCAGTAAAGCTGCTGAGGTTGATGCTGTAAGGGACGCGCTGAGAGACGCGATGGCCCACCTGGCTGTAAATGGACTAGTGTCAAATATTTTATGAACATCGACTCCGAGACGAGAAGCTCTCTTCAAGACATCGACATCACGAATCATGAGATAGGAGGAGACAATGGCATCAAATTCGACGAAACGATCGCTTCAGTCCTTTATACGGCAGAGTCGGCCGATATGTGAATGTGCCAAACCTCGAACGAGCTCCATCAGACAATTCTCGATATCGAGATCGAAGAGAAATGCAGACTATGAGGTGGAAGGGGAGCAACGGCCGAGATGGTCATATACTCCGGAGAAGATGAAAGCTCCATACCGATGGAGAATAGAGAGTACTCCGAAGAAGTGGGAATGCAACAGCGATCCAGTGCGATTAGATCGCTTCTATATCAACTTGCTGGGCCGAGGGGGGGACAAGGTGCTGACGGAGGAGGTAAAATGGCTGGCGATCACACATAAAAGTTTCGATCAGGGAAGGAGAGGCTTCAATGACCGTCTGGCATTCTTTGGTATGTCTATTTTAGGTATGTGGAGGGTTCTCGCTGACCATCTTAGGTCGACGGATATTGAATCTACAAACCAACATTGCCTTACTACAATCACCAACTGCGAATCAAACCCAGTCACTTGCAGATCCTTCTGATGACCGACTACACTTCACACATCCTGCGCTGGACGGATTGCCCAACTTGACAGATGCACCAATCAGCGAAATCTTGACAAAGGACCGACTGGGCCAATTGGCAACTCAAATGGGGATGCGAGAGATAATGAGATGGACACCGAGAAATGTAAGCACTCTTTTTACATATCATAAAGCTAGAGCTAATGATGTTTAGGAGCAAAAATTGGATGCTTCCGGTATTGACGTTGTCCTTACTACCTCATTGTATGCCATAATCGGTGCGATAGCCTTACAGAAAGGAGGAGATGTTGCGGCTCGTGTAGCAAGAGAGAAGGTTCTGAAGCCATTGGGAATATTGTAGCTGTATATCATGGGAGGACTGTAGATTACTGTACAATATGTGGAAACACTCTATACCAAACTTGTTCCAATTATGGACCCGGATTTTACAGGCGTTGCTGCTTCATTTGAGTGGTAGCCTCGTCTTGGCCCGCGGGTACTGCACTCAAATTTCCAGTGGATATCTTGCTAGCCATGCTATTTCAAGTCCGTTCCACTGGGAGTAGAGCGGTAGATATATCGGTTGGGAGATACATGATGTCTTCCCAAATTGCCAAACTTCTGGTTCTAGCGGTATTTTCGTTGCGTCGACCAACCTTCACAAATATTCTCTCGAGAATCTAAATTGCCCAAGCAGACCTTCAGTGTCTTCGTCACCACCTCGGCCGAAAGAAACTTAAGCTCCACCGCCAACAGGCTTGTCTCTCTTCTACGGGATCAGCTAGAATAACCAAAAGTTTGGTATTCCATCCGATGGATGACTTTCCTTCCTCAGCACTCGTAGGTATCCGACCAAATCCCTTCAAATGTGTAGTTACGTCCCTCATGTCAAGAATGTGGCGTTCTATTCGTTTGATGGCAGTTCCATGTGTCGCAAAGAAGATAGTAGCATAGCTCTGGATCGTTTCAGATCGCGTATGACGCTAGAAGAAAGGATTATGAATGGTAGTTGTACAGCCTCGAAAGAAACCCAAAGTATTTGACATACTAAAATCCCATCCGTAATCTATTTTGATTTTCGTGGACATGGCGTTCCTTGTCTCCATTTAGGCTGGTCGGGAGACCCTTCTTCCACCAAAAAATAAGCGAGAGCGCGTGACAGGATCGTAAACAAACCCAGACTTTATTTCAGCGATTCGAACACGTCGCGACATGCATAGCTCAGAGCATTTTATAAAGACAATCAATTAGCAATAAGAAAGGCATCAATGAACACAAATTCAAGTCCAATAGAAAAGTAAAACAACCCCGCACCAATACCGACTCCAAAGTAGCGAAGCCAACTGGTACTTCAGCCCTCTTCCAAAGTATCCTCACAATCATGAAACTGTTCTGTATCCGTTTCTTCTTCAGAGTAAGACTCTCCATTTCCCCAGTCCTCCTCGTCACTTTCCATCTCCTGAGCTATGTCCCGCTCGTCAACCACAATACCTAACTCTCTCATCTTCTGCTCCTCTTCTGCGTTCCTTTCCTCACTTCCGTCTACGATTTCCTTCATAGCTGGTAACCAGTGATCTTCCAGAAAAGCTCTGAGTGGGAGCCCAAGTTCGGTGAACTTCGTTTCAAATTGAATAACGAGATTTTCAAGCTGGTCAATGAGGTATCGCTCTTCGTCATGGATCTCCTTGATTTCTTGCTGACAAAACAGTTTCCAGGACCCCCAGAACTTGGGATCTATGGGATCTATGGGATCTATGTGGCATGTATGAGTGAGCTCCAACCATTCAAAAGTCATGATACGAATGATTTTAAACGTCATCCAAGGGCATTCGACCAGGCTTGCTTCGACCAAATGAATGATTGACTGTTGACATATATGTGGGTAGTCGGATGTCTCTTGTAGCTGGTTTCCTAACTCGAAGAGAATCAATGGTCCACCAATTTTGGCATCCTTTCATGGCCGAAGTAATGGTCCGGCATCCGCCTTTTGAGCAAGCACACAGACAGTTATCCTTGGCATTGTCTTCAAGAAAAGAACCCGCAATACGAGCCTGGGCTTCCGTGGGTGTTTTTACAATGTGCTGATTCCATAAGAAGAGCACGGGCCCAATTTCTGCTCCTAGGGCGTGCATTGCTGTCCCACCGCACTTAGGATGATGACGATACACATCAACACCTTTGTCTTTCAGCCACTTCAGCAGTTCAAGAGCGTTCCAAGAATATTGAGTGCTCAGAATCTCCACTTCAGGCTGGGGAAGCCTTTCAAGAGCAAAGTCCAACAAACGCTTACGCCTATTAACCAGATGAAAGATAAACTTCTCCCTTATGGCGCGATTCTTCCCCGAGAAACCTCCTCCAAACAAAGATTTGGTTCCCACGGACCTCCCAACAGACTGTCATGATCTAGCAAAATCGACTTCGACGAGAAGTTCTGCGATATACATGTATATAGCAAAGGTTTATACCCAGTAGAGCTCCACACATTCAAATCCGCCCCTCCATTCAACAAGATCAAAATGCCTTCAGGCCATGTAGCAGACAAATGTAAAGATACCATTCCCTGGTTGTCTTGCTGGTTTATTTGATCCGAAAAACGCTCAATTGCTTTCTGAAAAGCATTCTCATCTTGACAAAGAATGGCATGGATGGTATCTGAAACTTCAAGAGCTGAGCAAGAAGTTAACTAGGTGCTTTCTATACAAATTCCGGCGGACTGTTATATAACTTACTTCCGAGCTTTTGCTCAAGTGTCAGGCGCTTCATGGTGCTTTGAATAAAGCTTGTGGCACAAAAGGGTGATCCAGCAGAGGCTGCAGAGCCAGATCTTATGTCTTCGACTGCTAGGCCATAGTCAAAGAGCTTCACCATAATGTCGTGGTATTCGTATGAGACATTCTGCATGTCCATGAGAGACGCATGGCTAAAACACCTGATCGCCATGTCTACCAATGTCCTGGCTGACAGATTTGTTACTCAATGAGCTTTACTGTTCACATTCCCTAATTGTTTTCGCTCTATACATATCAAATTCCGCTTATTAGAACCAAGTTGCACTGACACCACTTGTTTACAAGATACATAAGGAAAGATTGTGTTAGCGTATCCTAGTAACTTAGGCCTAGGAAATTTATCTAAGAAAACCAGGAACAACATTTAAGTGAATATGTTACGTACCCATTTAATCTGCTACGCTGCAGTAGATCTACCTCAAAATTTCTTATTGCATCAAGTAGACAATTCGTCGCCTGTATCTGTTTAGAGCTTATATGTCTATAGAGCAGATAATCAAGAGCTCCTTTGAATGTAAGCTTTTTATATATAAGACCAGGTTATAATTTATGAACTCGGAATCTTACTAACATGTAACAAGTTGTCCCTATCTTCATTAGTATCTGTTAGAGATGCTTTTCCATCTTAGAAAAGAATCTTCAGTTGATATAAAATCCAGCTGAACTCATTTAAAAGACCTTCTGTATTATTTGCACCCAAGACCGGGAACTCATTTTTTGGCGTGAAAATCATAAAAGCAGGAGAGTCCCGCGGTACGACAGCTCGTAGTGTCAGTTGCGGGCTGATGGCACACCCGCCAGGCCCACGTGTGGCTGAACCTGCGGTTAGCCATATACCGACAGGCTTTACAGAGACTTCCGAGTAGGCAAGATGGCGGCTAACAACCTATCGTTAAAGTCGTTCGCGAAATATTTCGTTGGAGCAATCTCTCCAGAGGACCAATTTAACGTCTTATTACACAAGATTGAGTCGTTACATATCACCCCACTTGTGGACGATTCCGAGGTATGTACAGACAATCAGTAAATAAATATATGAAAATATCTATATATGAAAATATCTAACAGTAAACAGTTGAATAGAGCATAGAATGAATTTTACTAGGCCTCACAGCTCACCGAACCAGAGTTGCCAAGAGCGTCCGTCTATTACATTCCCCACCTCACCGAGCACTTCTGGAAGACGCACTAAGAAAAGCATTCAAACTCGTTGGTTCTATTTTATACTCTCCTAGACAATTACGTCACAGAGCAGGCCGTCAAGGAGGTCACTCCAATCAAACTCTTCGAGCCCGGATCTGATAGCAGGGCAGCAGTCCGGGCCTGGATGTTTCGGATCTCCACGTTAGCGCAAAGAGAATCGAATGATTACATGATCTCTGCTGTTAGCAGAATCATTGAAGAAGTGGACAATGAGTGTGGTGAAGGCTTTAGTACTACACTAAATAAATCTCAACTGGCTCAGCTCTTCAAGAAGACCTACGGGCAATTTCCCTTGTTTGTACTGAAGCGGTGGAGGAAGAAGGAGGAGAAGGCCGTGTGCTTTGAGCAGCTCTTTGCGAAATTCATCGACTCTCATACTTCCAAAAGATGTGTACTGGAAGAACAAGTGAAAACAAGGTGATCTAGACGGCTAGTAACAGGCAATAGCCTGTCTTTGTGCAATTTAAAGCTATCCACAAAAATGGGAGGGAGGCGTTGCGAAGGAATCCGGAGCACTACTCCGTGCTGAATTACTGCCATATGTTAACAATTTAACACTCTGACGATACGAATATGCCACAGTTCAACAGCTCAACACCTTCACACCTCAAAACTTCAGCACTTCTCCATCACTTCAAGTCTCGCACTCTTCAAGTGCAATCATTTACACGTCCACACGTCCACACGTCCACACGTCCACAAATACACAAATACTCCTTTCAATTCATTTCATTTCTACTTTCACTCGCCCAACTATCCACTCCCCAAACCAGACCACCAAATAAATTAGCCTCACCCAGCGATCTGCCTGCTACGAACAAAATTGAGCTAAACACACTTGCTACACTCAGCCCAAAGATTGACGAGGTATTTGCAAGACAAATTCAGAAGAACCAAGTCACTCAAGTGATAAGAGAGGAAGCCAAGCCAACAAGGACGTTAACCATCACTTCATTACACCCCTAGCATACGGCACATACGCTACCAGCTATAACCAGACAGAAGACAGCACGCACGCACGCACGACTAACCCAGCAAGAACCCCATAGCATGTATGTACACGAGCGCATTTGTTACCCAAGCCCAACCATACCAGATCATACCAGACCGAACTCCAACAGTAAACCAGTATGTACCAGGACTTAAGCCAGCCAAACCAACAAGCGACTCAAGGTGAACAATATACTAGAGAGGGCAAGACACAAAGCTCATATACTTCACTCATCTCCCTTCGCACTCCCACTCTCCCAAACACTCCATCCTTCCTCGACCTTCTCAATCGGCTCCAACAGACGCGCCTTTCCTCCCACCACGCCCTCACATACCGACGTCTCCACACAAAGACCAACACCAACCTCAACCTCAACACCCTTTCCCTTCCCTACAACCTCAGCAGTGAAGTTAAAGGTCTGAGCAACACCCACAACACCCACACTTTGCTCGCGTGACCGTTCTTGCTCTTGCTCTTGTTCACACTCATCGGCAACAACAACAACTTCCCCAGCCACCACGCCCTCACCATAAAAGTCCTCCGCTACAAGATCACCCAGCGGCGAGCGATCAACCTCAATGGCATTCTCGTCAGCTTGCTGTCTCTGACGACGCGATGCACGATGTAATCGTGCTTTGATGTCACGCATCTCGGCCTCAGCATCAAGTTCGCCAGTCATACCCGACGATGAAGAGCCAGAAAGAGCCGTCCGCGTCTGACTAACGTCGTCCATAGGCGGGACGTTCTCCTTCCCTCTTGCATCACGTTCTCGTGCCGCGGACTCCTCGTCGGAACTGATATCCAGAGTGCAAGCACCGTGTTCCATAAGGTTGGTAGCTAGCTCCTCCTCGGTGTCTTCGTGGATTTCGAAGAACCAGCTGTCTTTAGGGGCATCTTGGTGCAGGGCTGGGATGGGTAGTGCTTGAGCTTGGGGTTGGACTTTGGGGGCTGGGGCGTTGTAGGAGGCGATGGTGCCGGAGAGGGCAGCGTCGATGCTGAATCCCGAGGTAGAGGTAGAGCTTGAGGAGGATGTGGAGAATCGTGGGGGATCGACACGAGTAAATGGACTTCCTGTCTTGCGTCTGTTCAAGATCCCGATCCTCTTCCTGGTGGGACTGCGTCCAGCAGGTGCACTCAATGGCGTGGAGCGAGTAGTATCCAGTCTAGGCTTTGCGGGTGATCGAGCACTCAGCATTGGTCTGCTTGCTGCAGTAGAGGTGGGTTTGATGGACGAGACGTCCTTGGGAGAGCCAGGTGCACGCGTGAGGAAGAAATTGGTTGGTGTGGGCTTGCAGAGGGCATCTTTAGAGTGGCTTCCATCTGGGTGCTTGGAGCGTTTAGGGGAGAGGAAGATGATGGGGTCGATATTTTCAGAGTTGTCGGCGCAGTCGTCGAAATCGAAGGTGGTCGCTTTGCGTTTGGTAGGTGAGGTTAGGGTGGTGATGGCTAGAGAGGTTGTGAGATTGGTTGTCATGATTGAGATTTAATCGAGTAGGAAGTGGGATGTCATATGGACTGCAATGAATCGGAGAGGGGTGTAGTGGGGTTGATTTGAATTGATTTGGAGGAAGATGCATACCATTCTGTCGGTTCTTGAGGCTGGTGAGGTTCTGGAGACGCGAGCTGTTGAGCGGTGCAAAGGGCTGCCGAGTGCTTGCCATTTGGGTTGCCATTGTGTAGATGTCGTCTGGACAATTGAGGTCGTGGAATGCTGGAAGGGAGAATCGACAATGAGGCTCTGAACAACACCACGATGTCGAGTAATCAATTCCAATTCCCGGATCCAACAATAAGTCCACTGGTCGATTTGATTGAAGGGTTAAGTCGTGCAATTCGTTATTTCGTATGTCTGTTGATCCAAGTCCCAAAGCTTCAATCCAAACAATCGTCGACGTGATTGTTTATTGTTATGATTTTGATCCGATCCCTTTCTTCCACGACAAAACAATCAGCAAACTTCAAGAGTCGGGGGCAAAGCGGCATATATTACCCACAGCTCAGCGCAGCTCAGGTCTGTCATGCCAGTTCCCAGTTTCTCGCAATCCAATACGGCTCCCTTGCCTTGTCCTGCCACTGCCTGCACTTCAGTTCCGACACACGTTAGCGCAGCTGCACACAACCGCGTCTTCTCGTGCCCCTTTCGCGATTCCCTCCAATCGATTCCCCACCGGCGTTGCCCCAGCCCAACAAAGATCCCACCTGTGTCTCTCGGAGATCAAGCTTGGCGAACTCAATACGTCGGGACTAGGGCAGAAAAAGGCCAAGTTGATTCATGCGAAGGCGACGAGCGGATATGGTTGGAGGATCGAAGGGCGGTTGTATGCAGGAGAGAGAGGTGGAATTGGAGGAGAGTGGATGTGGACTTTAGCGTGGCGCGTCCAGACGCAAGTATAAAAGGGGCGCGTTGTCCATGCATGATTGACGGGCTTTTTCGTGATTTTCGTGCTGAGACGGGCTTCATAAGTATGAGGGCGTGTTCTGCATAATCCGATGGTTATAATGTTTCTTGCTATGGTATTTTTGATTCTTTCGTTTCATGATATGTAGATTGGGTTTTGGTCCTTTGAATTTGAGTCGCAAGGGTTATTTACTGAGTGGGGATAAGCGAATGACCAGCTGGTGAGGAGAGAAGGGATATCCTCGTTGGGAGACTGAACAGTCAAGATCTGCTGTTCGTTCTAATATGGAAAATCCTTTCCTTTGTCAATCCAATCCTCATCCAGCTGCTCTGCTCATCCCTCGCACGGCAAATCCTCCTTCTCCTTAACCGAGCCCCCTCCGTCGCTCCAACCGAGTGCCACTGTCACCCACCCGAGCCACCCAATCACTCAGCAAACGGACGTGTTCCTGCGACCACCGCCAGATCACACATTTCACGGGCATATTACACTATTATCGCTCACCAAGCCGGTATTGTCCATCAATTGGTCCTCGCCACACTTCACTCAAACCTTAGAAGTGAGGTTGGTTATACAGCTCTCCCTCACCATTGCAGCCCATGCCCTCATCAAGCCCACGACGCCGCAATCAGCCATCCATCGCCACATCTCACCCTTCTCAGACCGAACCAACTTCAAGCCATCGTTTCTCCTTCCTCTTCTGCATAGACTGTGACGTCCAGCCGGCCACAAAGCGACCCCGTCGCGTACAAAATTCTCTCCACTAACACGATCATGATGCCATCCATGGCTTAGCAGGCCTACAAGTCGGCCACGCCAGGCCAAAGAAGTCACGACCAGTTGGGCTATTTGCGGTGCATTGCGTAGCAAATCCTGCATTGCATCCAGAGCATTAATCTCGAATCGCCAGCCTTCTGGTGCCGTCGTATTTGTGGTTGATGGCCAGTGGACTCGACTACAGTAGGTATACTACAAGATATATGGAGGCCATCGTTGTTTTCAGAAATGTTTCAGGGGATGGAAAACATGAGTGAGGCTGAGATCAGGATGGTCGAGAGTAACTGTTCACCTCTTCACGTTGCTGTGAAGTTTCACGTCCGGCCTAGCCGTGCCGACTGACCAAGTGGTCAGCGGTCATGGCCCAGCATGCCGTAGACGTTGTCATCCAGCCTTCAGCGCCATGTCAGAATAAATCAGAATCCAGGAAGCAGTGTTGGCTCCATTTACTATCATTTCTCTATCAGTTGTTTCCTGCCTTATCTTTGCATTCGATTCCGTACTCGTGAGAAGCTGGGTCACATGTGCCGTGATATCACAAGGTCGATTCACGTCAGCTCACGGCTTATTGAGGACAGCAGCTTATCATCATCGCTGGCGCTTTTAGTTCAAGAACGCAGTAGCAGACAAGCAGTCTTAACGATTGACTTCAATACAGTCTCTTTCTTTCCCATTCCCTCGTCTGTTGACCTTTTCACTTTCGTTTTGTGTAGCACGAGTAGAGGAACTTAAAAATACGATAATTTTGACACCTAGTTGGAAAGGCGGTGGAGAGTTTGTTGAGTCTTATTGTGGTATAAGCAAGATTTGGTCGTATTATCAGGGTTTAATAACAATCGATATTATAATGTTAATGATATTAGAACTCTATGGCTACAGACTTCATTCACATGCAACACGAGACGTAAAAACCTCACGTTCATAACAACAGTCATGTCATTTACCCCGCCAGCCCAACGCTTGAAGCATCTTAAATTATCTAGCTGTACATATCACCTTGCATGATAGGCTGGACCCCGTCCCTCCTATCACTTGTACCTGCCATCCTAGAACCATCAACGTTAGTCCCTTTATCACCCCAAAACAAACCATCCGCTGTGCCCCAGTCATCCACCAGATCGGCCATCGTTTGCAAATGACCCCAAGCCGAAGGAATGCATCCTCTTGGTGACATGCGTGCCAGATAGCTCGCAAAACCACCCTGAACAATGGCGATGCCAGTCACAATAAAGAGTGCAAGATAGGACATATTCATCAGGAGGCTGTTATTCTCTGTCTGAAAGAGACCCAAGTTGAACATCCAGTGGATCAAAGGCTTAAGCGCGAAGAGACCAATGTTCTGCCAGCTAGTCACAGCACTTTTGAATGAACTTGTCCTGAATTTGGCTCCATTACCGGAGAAGTCCATACTACGCCGCCACATGTATTCATCACGAGATCGGTTGGCGAGTAGCTCCACGCAATGCGTGCCGAGAGTGACAATCGCTTGAAGCACCGTGACCAGAAGGAGGCTGTAGAAATGCTGTATCTGGACGGCAGAGTTGCCGAGAGGGAAGAAGACGTTTGGTGAGAAGAGGCTGGCGTTGCAGATACTGTCACCAGAGCTTTAGACATGCTTGCAGACGCCGAGAATGACTATATTTTGGTTAGCAGCGTTCCGCACAACACCAAAGATATATGAGAGGTCTTCCATACTGCAAGCCCAGGCCCCAGCGAGGACCACAAGGAACCAAACGAGGTATTCAATTTTCTTGACAGATGACTCTGTACGCGCGACAGAAGGTTGGTGCTCTTGCGGCGTCCTTGGAGTGGGAGGCAGGTTGCGGTCTGAAGCAGGCATCAGGGAACGGCCATCACGGCGACGCAAGTCGTGGTGCAAATATGCCAGTGTCGCATTCAGAGGGTTGGAACTCCACGTCAAGATGTGCTTTGACTGGGAGATCAAACAGGCCGTTGATATGATTGTTTGAACAAGTAGACCGGCACCCAAGCAAGTAAGCGCGACGCCGTTCACAAATGTGAAATATTGATAATGCGTCTCATCGCCGTAGAAAGACCAGCTGGTTACGGCAATGAATACCTGGGATGTTGATGCATAGCAGAGCACCAGTCCTGCTGAGCCGAGTAAGTTCGAGTACCATCGATTGGGGCCGGCGGCCTTCGATCCTGTCAAGAGGCGGAGATTGGAGTTGAAAGCCAATCGACCTTCTCGGTACATCGCCCAACGGAGAGACGCAGAGTGTACATAACCGAGACAATCGGTACAAAATGACACGACTATATTCAGGAGCAGAGGGATAATGACTTTCTGAGCCGATGACCATTCGTTGAGGAGGAATGTGGATCCAGCTCTGGTCCCATTAACGGCGATTGCGTATCCGCCAACTCCTAGACAGAGTATGGACAGGACCCAGCTGACTACTACTCCAACGGTACAAAGTAGCCGAGTTGAGGAGGCTTTGTCAAATGGTGGTAGAGGAGGACCATATAAGACTGTCTCTGTGTCTTCGCATACCCCCGTCGTCGTCTGCTGCTGCTCCTGTTCCTTCTCGCTGTATTCAGTCATCTTGACAGCCAGACAATTATTCTCTCAGGTCAATGACACTGGAAAACTTCAGCTGATATTTAGCTTGCTTGAGTTCTCGCTTTCAGGTGAACAATGGAGATATGAAGTAGAATTCCTTAAAATACGATGAGACCTTGAACTGTGGCTGCGGCCACAGATAAGTAACAAGTCCACGGCGTCTTGAGACCGCCCCATCAAAGAGCGCCTGACCCATCTGAAAGCCTGCACTAACAACCGCCATCCCAGCCATCTGGTAGCCCCCCACATCAAAAAGCATTGTGGATCTGTATATTCGACAAGGCGTGTTTCAATACGCTTTGTGGCTTGGGGTCTCGACTATTGAGGAATTCAGCCCAGCTCAGCTGCTCCGCTTCTCGATGCTCGCTAAATTCAGCTAGACGCGGGACATACACGATGTTCTACAGTCCATGTTCGAGTATTAAATATGCCATGTGCTAGGGTAACATGCTTCGGAACGCAGATATAATGATTAATGATACCACTTCTTGCGAAGAACAGGTTTCGAGAAGGATTGGACAAGATCAGCACGTCAGGCTGTAAATGTAGCCAAACAACAAACCCATTGATTCCTCGCATCGTCCCTGAGGCCTTGCTGCTTGCAACAGCTTTTCTTGAGCTTTCGGCTGTGAGAACAATACACCAGTTGAGCAGAGATGTGCTATTTTTTTTATTGAAGCCGCCTCATTGCTGCACCTTAGTCACACGGGTGTTTACCTCTTTGGGCGAGTCAACCAGAGAGTAGATAGGAGGTTCTGCATCGACTCCTCGCTACATCATGCTTCATGTAAACCATTAAACTCCGAGTGGCTGTAATAATTCGTGTCTGCCAAAGCCGATCAAGCTTTTATTGAAAGCTTGACTTGATTTTGAACAAATCAGCCTTGAAGGCTGGACGTTAAGCTTTGATGGTCCTAGCCAGCTGGAACTTTATCGACAGCTTCACGCTTAGCTAACCAACCCTTTCTGCACATAAGCTTTTGACAACTGTAAGATCTGGGGGAATGCTGGGAGTATTATCCAGTCATTTTGCTGATAAATCCCTAGCCTCTGAGGCTGAGCCGTGTCCAGTGTTGACCTTTCCATAACCGGCTCGCTTAATGTCACTTCTGACGATTCTAGGCCAGCCACAACAATGCGACTGTCCAAACTCATCAAGTCTCGGATTGGAAAAATGCCTGATCCGTTCCTGAACCGCAGACTGTCGCATATCTGCGAATAGGATCATTTAATCAGAATCAGGTGGCTGCACCTGGCGTCTTTCACCATCCAGGATGTTGGTCATGTTGATACGCTCCAGAGAAAGTAAAACCAGCAGATCTCGGCGGTCTAGATATATAGTAAGTCAGTCCGTCCACATTCCAGCATTTTGTTTCTATCAACCGAGTCACAGTTGCAAACCTGTCCTTCACAATCATCCCCAGGCGGCTTGTGGATTTAGAACCTGCTTCAAAATGTCCATCGTCGTTGTCCGCGGTGGCCCGGCGAGTCAAGTCGTTCCAGGCTACTACACCTGCTCGCAAGAGATCTGTAGCGCGGAAGGCTGCGTCCCTACCGGCGTCGAGATACATTGCATGAACGCGGAGCCCAATGGTTTCGATATGACTTACAACGGGCTCACAATGCAGTGCGACGGCACATCGACCTCATACCCTTATAAAGATTGCAGCTGCATTATTGACTATACTGGATGTCCGACTGGGTCATCGATTACCGTTGTCGGACTAGGCGATTCGAGTGGCGGCAGTGGTAGCGGGAGCAGTGCGACTTCAACCTCTGACAGTGGAGGTAGTGGTAGTGGGAGTAGTCCGACTTCAACTGCTGGGAGTGGAGGCAGCGACAGTGGAAGCAGTCCAACCCCAACTACGAGTAGCGATAGCGGAGGGTCGGCAGCGACGAGTACAGGGACAGGTGGTAACAGTAACTCAGGTGGCGGCGGTAATTCGTGAGTTGTCCCGTCATGTGCATCAGACGCGAATTCTAATAGCCGTCTTCTAGTTCCAATGCTGTGGCATCTGTGCGAGTTCGTTTGACTGATGTTATCTTTGTTTCGGTTGTGCTAGCTTTATGTGGTGGCCTGTTGCTTTAATACTAGAGGCAGAGTGTCATTGCTTCTGGAAATCTGGATTATTACAATGTCGACGTAGTTGCGACGCAAAAAACAGCAAGAGGCAGAGAGCACAATCCATCACAGATAGCTATGGCATCGAAAATGGATTTGCTACACATACAGACTGAGTTGTAATGAAGTCCCGAATATGCACTTCATTTTAAGCGAGAAAACCTAACGCCCACAAATCCACTCTTTAACTCTCGGGCAAAGTACCTTTCAAAAACGGCAAAAAGGGAGTGACAAGTTTGATGGAATTTAACCATCTTAACTTTCAATCCAGACACACATTACGTGTTGTTATCTGGCGGTGCTGGGAATCGAACCCAGATTGAAACGGGTCAGCATGAAATTCCTTCGAGAGGAATACCACAACGTCACGTGCTACCATTACTGGAAGGACTGTTAATTGATTTGATTGTATGAATCGGAGGTGAGGAGGAACGTACCACCACACCACCTGTCATGAGATTGTGCTCACTTTGGCTTATTTGGGTAACTATTGTAGAGAAAACTTTGCACTGTAAATGAGTGACTTGAGTGGAGTGCAGGACCAGGGTCATTGGGCTGGTGGGTCGAAACGTAATGGTGTGAATCACAAACTTCAAAAAAATATGATTTTTACTTTTCATTAACTCTCAATTGTTGAAAAGCGCATATTCTTTTGAGAAGTAATCCGTGTTTTGTTCATGGACCTATATGGCGATATACTTGAAATTCGATGATCAGCCCTGTACCCTTCATGCCAGACGTACGGTATAACATGTTCCTACGACACACATCATATCATGTAATCCAATCATTGATTTCAGATGGAGTAGCAGTATTTCTTCCTGACCAATTACTCCCTCCAACACTTGTATTCTCATCCCTAGATACTCGTACTCTAAAATAGAGCGTGCAAGACTCGTCTCCAAGCTGGATACCCAGCAACCCTTTGTCTCGTCTCAATGATCACGTCCCAATTGACTTCCCTTCGTCCTGTGTCAACATCAATCTTGTCCAATGTCAACCATCCAGTTCGCTTCCAGAGGTATCCGACAGCCCAGAAGCCGAGAACCACTGGGAGAGCAAGCATGGCTTTGAACCAGTCCTCAGCAGAACCTAGTTGGCCATTGTTGCCGAGCGGATAAAGCGCCGTGTAGAACTAGTTAACATAAGTATGATCCTTGAACTATGGCCTGAGCGGTACTTACTTGAGCTGCAAGCACGAGAATGATGAGAATTAGTCCGCACCATGATCCCCACACACCAAAAGCTGCTTTAAATGGGATCTCATCCAATGTATGGCCATGATACTTCCACGCAGCTCTAAATCTGATGTGTGCTACACAGATAGAACCCCAGGTGAACAGGGCAGCAAGTCCGGATAGGGCAAGAAGCCATTCGAAGATAATCGGACCGCTTGCTGCTGCATTGATAAAGCCTAGGGCCCCACAAGCCAAGATAAGAATAGTGGCAAAGAGAGGGCGTCCAGACTTATCAATGTAGGAGAAGCACTTCGGTGCGTAACCTTGTTCGGAAAGTGCGCAGAGCGTTCGGGAGCCTCCATAAACACCAGAATTGCCGATTGAGATGACGGATATGAGAATAATCGCATTCATGAAGTGGTTATAGCCATGGAGACCTCCGTCTTCACCGACGATAACAAATGGGCTTGCATTCACATCGATGACGGCCCCAGATCCGAGAAGTCTTTCATCGGTACAGCTGGGGTTCATCAGCCGCGGAACTTTTTGAAATGGAACGGATTATTACCTCACAAGCAGCCCGATGAAGAGCAAACCAATGACATAGAAGCATGTGATGCGCCAGAACACCTGTTTAATCGCTCCCGGAAGCGCAGTAGCGGGATTTCTGGCCTCAGCTGCTGCTAAGCCGACGAGTTCTGTGCCTGAAAAGGCAAACGCTGCAGTCACAAAAACAGAGCAGACTCCTTTGAAACCGTTCTTGAAGGCTCCGGGGTCATGCCAAAGTCTGGCCCCCCAGTAGCCATCGTACTTGTATCCCGATGGTCCGCCACCGAGTACTATTTGAGATGTTAGTTGACATTTGGGCCCATCCAGTGACTCGGTCTTGACTTGCCGAGAACTAGGGCGATGATCATGAACGCAACAATAGCACCCAATTTCAGGATACTGGACCAGAACTCCTCCTCAGCATAACCTAGAACACCGAAAACGTTGATTGTGATAATTGCCGCGAGGAAGATTGCAATCCAGACAGCTGGATCAATGTCCTTATTCCAGTACTGGGTCGTGACCGATGCAACGACAAGCTCCAACGGAAGTACAATTGCCCACTGGAAAACATAATTCCACCCCATAGCAAAGCCCCACGAAGGGTCGATGAAACGTGTCGAGTATGTGTAAAAACCACCTGATACTGGGTACATGACGGCAAGTTCCCCAAGAGCGTAAACTGTGGAGCCTGTTAGTGATGATATTGCGTCATGCTATTTACGGCCAAGTACTCACCAACATTGAAGATCATAAAACCCATGATCAAGAAATCAACAAGGAGAGTTCCAGGGCCCTGATAGACTGTCAGTCGTGATGTGCAGGTGGCTCTCTTGCAGCTCAGCCCGAGGGACTCGGGATAGACCAACGTACTCCCCGATACAAGGCAGAGCCTGATCCGACGAAGAATCCAGCACCGATGGAACCTCCAATAGCAATCATATGCAGATGGCGAGGTTTCATGGTCTGATTGAGGGCATTCTGACCTGGCACCGACGTGCGCTTCTTGAAAGACTCGAGTGTGCAGCCCATCCGTGTCCAAAAGGATAAGTTCTCTTGTTGAACTGCGATAACATTCTGCTTGAAATCAGGAGCCGTATCGGTACGAGCGACGCCATATTTCTCGGGTTCTGATGGCATGTTAGCTTCTGATGGCATGTTAGCCATGTTGACAGGTCTGAACTTTTGAGGTCGTCTCGTAATGACAAATGCAAATGAGAAAGACAATGATCAAGATGATGAGAGGGGAACGGGGAGATATAGCTATGTGTGACGTTAAGCTTCACGCTCATTGTATACTTGGACCCATATAAGAGTGACGTAGGCCTTAGATCACCAGTCTAACGTAGCTTCTAAATCATGGGCTACCGAGAGAAAATAAGGATCCAAGTCAAGAGCTGGCAAACGCTAGCAGGTTTGTGGTGAACCTCCTCGGACTCAATTCACATGCCAAGGTCACCGTATTATGGTACTCGACCTGGAATTTTATCCTGGAGAGACAGAGCTTGTAAATAAGTATCGATGACGAGAAACGTTTGGTTTGAAAAGGTGAATGCAAATGGGCACTGAAATAGTGGTAGCGTCTGCCTGAGGGAAGGTCTGGACCCCTAACAGGCTCCACTTGCCGGCAATGAAAAGAAACTCAAGCCAAAATCGCAAGACTGTAGTGTAGATTAGGAAGGGAAATATCTGGTACAGTGCTCGCACTAGCAGCCTTATGAGACCCACGAACTCTTCTCCTCCAAGAATATGGTCTGCGCAAGAGCCAATGCAAAGGGAGCACATGAACATGAAAATAAAGAACTTTTTGCGGACTTGTATTTGAGCCATCAATATTGGTTGGTATCCTTCGAGATTATGGAAGTTGCGGAACGTATCTCGAGTAGATTGCGCCAGCTTAGAGGTGCAGACCCATATGGGTCTCTTCACTCACCATATCATTGGCAGACACACCAGGTCTGCATTTGCTTCTCCTCCGTTCTTTGCCAGATATCGTTCATCCTGGGAGGTGGTCCGCTTATGCCTGTCCTTGGCTGAGACCTGGAGAACTGCGTACCGCTTCTTCTTCGAAGTTCTCGTCATGCGCGGAGGGTAAGGCGATTCTGTTGGCATTTTCAGAGGGCAAAGATCCCGAAACCAAGAACTGGCCCTAGAAATCTAAGCTCAAGCAGAAGTTCTTTCCATTGCCCTCTGTTCCACAGCTGCTGTCACATCTTTTGTGACTTGCTCAAAAATCGAATATAACGAGCAGATCTTATACTTCTCAATTAATATTCCAGGCTCCTTAACATATGATGTGTCTTGTCCCTTCTTGCTGGTGCCGATATTCTGGCCGTTGACCTCAGTTCCCACAGGATACAACGGTGTCCGTCCAGTCTCAACCAACATGACAAATTGAGGATCGATAGGCACGCTTGCCAGGAATCTGACTCCGAACTCTTGCGCCATAACTTTCCCTCCTCCAGCGCTGAAGACGTTTGTGCATTCTGAGCAATTCGGACATACAAATCCACTCATGTTCTCCACAACCCCGATGACATTAATTCCGGTTTTTGTGCAGAAGTTTAATTCCTTCTTGACGTCCGCCGTCGCCACAGCTTGGGGTGTTGTTACAACTACTGCCCCTGCAACTTGCCCCGGAAGTGCGTTTTTCATCAGTGTTTCCGCCAGCGAGATGTGTTCGTCTGATGTTCCAGGAGGGGTATCAATCAGAAGATAGTCGATTTCTCCCCAGAGCACGTCTGACAAGAATTGCCGTACCATGGCAGTTTTCTTAGGTCCTCGCCATACTACTGCGTCTCCTCTCTCTCGAAGCAAGAAGCCCAAACTCATACAAGAGAGTGAGCCTATACCTGCTGCGGGGTTGGCGGGGTGAACGGGAACAGGTATCCATCCTCCCGGTGCTTGTGTAACTTTGGCGGACTCGATGCCGAAGAGACGGGGAATTGAGGGTCCAGTAAGGTCAATATCGAGGATGCCAACAGAATGACCTGCGAGCGAGAGGGAGAGAGCGAGTTGTGTTGTGATTGAGGACTTTCCTACGCCACCTTTGCCAGATAGGACCTTCACAATTAGTATAATTCAGCCATGAGGGTAGAAAATCGCACCAATACAATGTGTTTAACTTTGCTGAGAGACATCTTGGTAGTACTCTGAAGCCTTTCAGTCGGGTTTATCGTGTATTTGTTTCATTGCAAAAGCATTGCGATGTCGCACTTTATTATTCCTTGTCTTATCGATTATCAATCCATACAGGAACCAAAGAGAATGGGGTCGGTCAAACAAAACCCCGTTCCGAAGCCCCTGGCAGCTTATGTAGCACGGCTGAACATCATACCCAAACACATTGGCGTTCATCGTCGGCGACCATGGCGACGATTTATTCTTCTCTGCACTACACATCAATATGAGAGCTTCTGCTCGCGCCTATAGCTATGGACGATCCCTGGGGCTCTTCACCATGGGCAGACGAAGCACAATTATCGGATTCCGTTAAGACCAAGGCAGATACGGAGGGTACTCCTCGACCTACAACCCCCGTCCGAGCGCCAAAGTTGGGACTCGATGACAGGATAACCTCCCCATGGGGTGACAACAATGATAATGATGGATTTGGGGATTGGGCTACTCTCCCGGGGGACTCTGGGCAGAACTTGGCACTTGATGGAGCAGATGATAGCTGGGATCCCCATTCCGCACGTACTGGGGATATGAAGACTGGACATTACAATGCGCTATCTACTGAATGGGATTTTCATCATCCTACGGACAGTGATAAGTCTCCGAGTCTAGCTCCAGATCCATTTCCAAGAAGTCCGGAGCTTATGCGACAACCTTCGTTAGATCCGTGGGCACAAGAGATTCCAGAAGAGCACAATGTGGAAGTTAAGGAGGCCCCAGAAGCCCACGACGAAGAAGCAAGAATCAATGTTACACTACTGGAAAACGAGTCGGCTGGCGGCCCAGAAACACCGACGATACAGTCCTCAATCGAAACAATGCCTGACCTGGAGTCTGACAATGTAGAAAGTGTCACAACTGGAGGAGATATCCCTGGCGAAGCCAGCGAAACCAAAGATCACGATCTCAAGGATTCTAAGGAGAAGACTTCAGAGGGAAACCCTGGCTCAGAGAGTCAAGAAAGTGATCCAGTATCAAGGCCATCGTCGTCACCTTCAGAGCGTAGTCACCACGATGAGCTCCCGCAGGAGTCACCAAGGACTTCATTTGATGAAGAGCCAAAGCCCAATCGTCCCCAAATTCCACGGAAAGTGTCAACCAAAGTCCAAGAACTGGTGCAACATTTTGATACACTCGCGAAGAAAGAGGATTTTGAGCCAATTATAGTCCGGGCCACAAGTGCGCAGGGTACAAATATGCAGGAAGATTCCGAGGAGGACGATGATTTTGGAGATTTTGAAGAAGGTCAATCAGACGATGATGTACCAGAGGTAGAAGAAAGTCGACGTTCGGAGCAGTCTTTGACCCAAACCTCCGTCAAGGAGACGTCCCGGCATCAACGATCTCCATCTTTGGAAAACGCCTTGACGAAAGACTACGGGGTCGTTGTTTTCAATATCGATCCCTCCCAGTTGGATGGACTATATCCTAGTGATACTCCAGATTCCACTTCGGGGGCTATTTTCATACCTGACTCCATTCCCTTTGACTCATTCTCATCTACTGAGCAGAGGAAGACTTGGTACAGAATCTCAAGATATGGGACTATGCGAAAACACAACGGCGGCAATGATGAAAATTACGTCCGTGTGGGTTGGAAACCATCTACAATCCGAGACGATACTCTGAAGATCGTTTCGCGATGGATTGAGGAAGATCGAATCAGTGGCCGTGTGGTTCTAGGGGGTGGCAGTAAAGGGAGTACTGTCTTTGGATGGAATGATCCGAAATCACCGGCAGTCCCTCTTTCAGATGTATTCGTGAAGCATGGCAAGAAAATGACAAATGCTAACAATTCCGTGGAGGCACTTCCTGAGGTCCCTCGAGAATGGCCGAAAGGGTTGGTTCGAGAGCGCTCGACGTCGAAAACAAGGTCTCCTTCTAGCAAACCGCGCAGAAAGAGCTCGGTCAAAGCTGCGTCTATGCCGATGCATTTTGACATGAAAAATACTCCGGTTGCATCAGTCGCGACTTTTGGATGGAACTCGACCTCTGGAGCTGCACAGCCGCCAAGTACCACTTCAACATCCTCTGGAACAAGGACTTCGGGCGTACTTTCTGGTTCGATACCGCATATCAATACGGCTTCCCCTCGTCAGAAGTCAAGATCTCCCAACGCCAGCTTCACATATCCCCCTCAAAATCTCAACTCTGCTTCACATGTAACCAACATCCTGGCTGCTACTAGCGTTGAGTCAGAAGCTCCACACACTCAGAAGAATGTATCGCCTCCGGCCCTTTCAACGTCAAATGCTGTGATAGATGATGATGATTGGGGCGAAATGGTGTCAACACCAGCCACCCCAAATCTGCCTTCCCTTCCAGCGTTGAAAGGGTTGCACCACAAGCAATCTCAAAGCCGTGGAGAAACCGTTGGTGATTTCCCGCAAGGAGGGATTTTGAGTGGGAGGATCGACGGCCCGCAAGCAACAAATCACCGGCCGACAAACAGTTTTGATGAGATTCTAGTTCCACAACCTTCAGCCCCTGCTTTAATGAACCCCTCCATCGTCTCTAATGTGGATTTCTTTTCTCCTCCTAGGAACAGCATCGAAAGTCCTGCAGCTGTGTCGACTTCAGATCCATGGGCATCAGCGGACTTTTCATTCTTTGAGACCACGCCTGCTTCTGCACCAAAACTCGTACCAATACTCATGTCAACGGCGACAGGGCCAAAAAGTGTCAAGTTCAACACTCCGCTCCCATCTTCTCCTCGAAGAGACCATAAATCGCGCGAAGAGCTGGAGCAGGATCGAATGGTGCAAAAAGTTGTGAAGGGATTGCCAGACTTATCGTACATGTTAAGGAAGTGATTGCAGCGTTCGATGATTCGACGGTGTACAGTAATTATTTGAGAAAGAGCAGGGTATATATAGGGGTATTTTGATATGCATTTTAGCGGGGAGCACAATCCATGAGAACTGGTTGGATACATGTATTAACAAAGGGTATTGAGCACCGGTCTTGGATGGTCCACTTTAAATGAGCGAACGTTTTTTGTTATTATCAAGCAGTATTTTTCTGTCGTATGGTACCAAACTTCGAAAGAATCCGAGTAAGGTATCTTATTTCGAGTATTTCCAATCTGTCGAACGTAACTTCCCTCAGAAGACCGATCATGGCGACATTTGCAGGACAAAGCCGTTCCTGCCCTCTGACCAACTCGTTCGTAGGTCAGAATAATCATTTTGGAATGGTGACTTGTTTTCTTTACAAATTCCGCCTTCGACCTCGTAGCCTAACTTCAGAACCACTGCATGTTCTACACCACATTTTTTTTATCACATCGATGAGTAGGACTGTTCCCTATCAGGGGAAAGTTCTTCAAGACTGATTTCATCCTAAGTTTTACAATGGCGAGTAGCAGAACGGAGCAAGTGAATGAACAACGTCAGCAAATGCAGAGGCGTACATTCTCAGAACGTCCAACTATTGTCATTCCCGAATCATTGGGATCAGAGGTACATAAGAATTCGGGACCGAAACCTTGGGATCTCGAAGTCATACGAAACGACCGAGCAGCTAGACGAAAGGTCCAGTTCTCCGAATCCAGTCACACCAGCTCTCGGCGCCATCGCCAATCGTTAGGGTCTAGAACTGATGGCGGTAGCGACATCAAAGAGCGCCCAGTGGCAAATCCGTTTCTGGACCCAATCGACAGCATAGCGCCTGATGAGAGTGGCGGAGTTTCGCCTCCAAGCGAGCCCGAGTTTTGCAATAATATCACGGTGGTCACGCCCAACGGAACGTTTGCTGTAGCACATTCTCCTCCGCCAAGTGTAAAGCCTCCAAAAGGCAAGTCAGAGACTCAATATCAAGGACTACATCCTTTCGTCCCGGGTAAAGTGAGGCACACAACTCCGGGAGAAGTGAGTCGCAGGCACTTCACTCAATATGTCTACTCCAAAACGCAGACAGATTATGCTATGACACACCACTACCTCTGCGAGACAAGCAATCCGGAGGAGCCGGTATATTATTACCACGATGTAGGAGGATACACAAGATTGGATCCGGATCATAGATTCACGCTGCATCTTGGGAACCATTCCGATACTCCTGTTCTTGGAGCGATGTGGCATAGCAGTTCGGGTATGCATTTTGCCGTTGGAAACCCTTTCATGAACTTTATGGATAAAGACAACGAGAATGTGACAACGATTCAACGGCAGTACTGCGATTATCTCAAGCCAATATCTTCTGTTCCTTCGAGATGGCATATGGACTTTACATTTGGAGGCGGTGATGGAGAGGGGCCGAAGAAGCATTACAGATGGCAGGTCGTGCATCTTGCTGAAGCTATTCCCCGTCTTCGACACGGTAAATTGGAATTACGAGAGCGGTACGAGGGAATGTTGGATGAGAAGGGAAAGAAGAGAGAGAAGGGCAAGTTGCTCGCCGCATGCCGGAATGTCGACGACCTCTGCACCAATATCTGGGTGCGTGATCCCTCGGAGGATTTCGATAATGAATTGGCCATGACCAAATGGAAGACTTGGGTTCTTCTCACTTGGGGCGCCATGCGTGATAGGATGCAAGGTCCGCATAATACTGGGTCTCCATATCATACAATTGGCTATAAGAAGAGTACGAGAGTAGTTGAAATACCTCGGAGCAGACGTCCCATTTCTGCTACACTTTTTGGGTTGAATTCTTCTCCGAGAACCGAGGAGATTGAAGAGAGGATGCTGGATCCTGATGAGTATTAAGCCTTGTACTTTGATTTTCTACTGAGTATCAAGAGTCGAATGACGGAAACGTTCCGCCAGTATTTGGTTTTTATGCTCTCTCTCTCGCCGGGGGTGTGGGTCGTTCTGGTCCTTTCGGCCCTATGCTTTAAGTGTCTAGCATACATGACTCGTGAGGTCCAAGCAAGCCCAGACAGTACGTGGGAGAGCTGTGTCGTGCCTGGCGGTGCATTATTCGAGCCTCAACTGAACTAAGTGATACCAGTTAGTGAACCTACCTAGTTGAAGACGCATGAACCCTCAGCATCTAGTGAGTAGTCTTCTGAAGTCATGAGTGCTCTGCACACGAGAAGTATTTGGGTTCATAGTGCTGGAGCTTATCACAGAATTGAGTTTCGAGGCCAAATGCTCTGTCGCAGAAGCATGTCAGGCTGTCAAAGTTCCTCTCCGCCTGTCGGCAGTAATAATGATAGCAGCTCGTGATGAGACATTTATCAGACCTGGCCCACTTCCGAGATCAGTGGTACCTCTTCCGATGGCTTCAGTAGTGCAGCATCCGATATCACGAACCCCCAAATCTCCTCCCCTGACCAAATCTTTAGCACGTCCCAACAAAACAAAACAAAGCACTGCCCTGCCCTGCCCTGCCCTGCCCTGCCCTGCCCTGCCCTGCCCATCCTCTAGTTGATCGATCCCAAGAGTCTGGGACGGGACAATCAAGAGTTCAAGAGGGCGTCTTTCCAACAAGCAAACTACTGCCATCCTAGAATGCCAGCATCGGCCAGCTAAGCATCTCGAGAGCCGACACTGGCTTGCGTACCCAGCCAGGTCCACCAATACAAAGCTCTCGACATGCCCTCTGCAAGCCTCAAAGAGCCGTCCTGCGGTCCCGTACCCCATCCCCCGCATTATCCTCAAGCCACAAGTCCATGACACAGGTAAGCGACGCGCTTTCCACCAGCCAAGCCCAGAACCCCAGATAGTAACAATCATCGACTCGGAAATCTCCACACCACCACTCCTTTAGCCCTCCTGCCCTCCTGCCCACCAAGTTCCAACCTGGCCCCCAGTCGAGAATGTGGTCTAGCACGGGGTGTCGGAGTCAACTACATCTTGGTGGATCGTCGCCCAATGGCAGCTGTCAGACTCGAAGGGATACCTCGGGCCATGACTGGGAGCGGGTGGTAGCCAAGAAGAGCCCGTCCTTCGCTTCCACTTGTCTGTTGCCTCCATGCGATGGTGATTGGATGAACATGGGATGGGGGATTTCCATACAATCCACTTCTATCCCTGTGTAACTTTTTCACTGCACGTTTCCCCGCCCCCCCCCACCCCCCCCCCCCCCCCCCCCCCCCCCCCCCCGCGACTTTCTTTGGTGAAAAGAGCTGGAGCTGGAGCTGGAGCTGGATGGGTCTGGTCCCCCAATAATTGAGAGCTAGAGCTACTAAATGACGGAACAAGTTTCGGGACCGCAGGGCAGGGGGAGTGATATATAGACTGGCCCTGCCCTGCCTCCTCTTGTCAGCTTCTCAGGATCAGCGAGAAAGTATCTGTACGGATATCTGTATCTGTATCTGCATCTGTATCTGTCGTGTACTCCTCTTGTGCGACTGTAACTGTTCATTCAGTGGTTCGCTACGCCCGCCCAGCTTATCGTCACACAACCCTCGACTAAGCTTATCTCAACTGCAACTGCTGCACAGCACAGCACCGCACAGCACCGCACCGCTACCCACAAGAAGAAGGTCGTTCGCCTCTTTCCTTGGCTGCAGCTCACTCTACTACTACTATTTTCATCGCAAAGGAGTCACTTGCGCGACATTTAATCTTCCTATTCTTTGCGACTGTCGAATATCAACAGTCACATCAGCAATATGGCGTTCGATCAGGATTACGAGAAAGGTATCAATCAGACACCTCCATCCGATAGCCCTGTTGATGGGAGGTCGGAGGTCATGCATGATGAGAGTGCACACACCGCCGCGGAGAGGGGACATGTTGCGACAGACAGGTAAACCTCCCGACTCGGAATGCGCGGGCACAGCTAAACAAGTAAAGACATGGAGTTTCTTTGATTACATTCGATCCCCAAGCCGAAGCTAAGCTTCGCATGAAAATCGATTTGTACATCGTTCCAACAGTTGCTCTGCTCTACCTCTTTTGCTTCATCGACAGAGCCAATATCGGTGTGTCCCTCCGCCTTGACCACTAGCCTCATTGCTCACAATTCCAGGTAATGCCAAACTTGCCGGTCTTGAAAAGGAACTCGGTCTGGTGAAATACGACTACAATGCGGTTCTTTCCGTCTTCTATATCTCATACATCATCTTTGAGATCCCCTCCAACATGGCCTGCAAATGGATCGGTCCTGGATGGTTCATCCCGATAATCTCACTACTGTTCGGTATTTGCTCCATCTGTACCGCTTTCGTCCACAATTTCCACCAAATCTGCGCTGTTCGCTTCCTTCTCGGTGTTTTCGAGGCCGGCATGATGCCCGGAATTGCGTACTATCTCTCCAGATGGTACAGACGCAGCGAACTGGCTTTCCGCCTCTCTCTGTACATAGTTATGGCTCCGATCGCTGGTGCATTCGGAGGGTTACTTGCCTCAGGCATCCTCAGGATGGATAGTTTCGGAAGCCTGCACTCATGGCGCATGATCTTTGCCATCGAAGGCATAATCACCTGCGGCCTCTCCTTGATTTCCTTCTTCACCTTGACCGATCGTCCAGCTAGCGCCAACTGGCTCACGCAGGAGGAAAAGGATCTGGCTATTGCTCGCGTTAAATCTGAGCGTGTTGGAACCACCGAGGTTCTTGATAAGATGGACAAGCCTAAGATGCTCCGTGGTATCTTCTCGCCTGTCACTCTGGCCACATCCTTCATTTTCCTCCTCGATAACATTACCGTCCAGGGTCTTGCTTTCTTCGCTCCCACGATTGTCAAGACTATTTACCCAAAGAACAGCCTTGTCTCCCTGCAACTGCACACTGTACCACCTTACATTGTCGGTGCATTCTTCACGGTGCTCTTCCCCTTCCTCTCGTGGCGCTTCGATAAGCGTAATATATTCTTCATCATCTCCGCGCCATTGATGATGATCGGCTACATCATGTTCCTCGCCACGAAAGATGGGCAAACCCGCTACGGTGCTACATTCATCATCGCCTCTGGAGCATACTCCTTCGGCGCGCTCTGCAACGCCCAAGTTGCTGCTAATGTCGTCTCCGACACGGCGCGCTCGTCGGCCATCGCTACGAACGTCATGTTTGGAAATATTGGAGGGCTGATCTCAACATGGAGTTTCTTGCCGTTTGATGGACCGAATTACCATATTGGAAATGGATTGAATCTTGCGACTTCGAGTACCATTTTGCTTTGCTCGATTGCTCTGCTGTTTTGGATGTATGCCGATAATAAGAGGAGGGCGAAGAAGGATACCGATAGTGCACTGGAGGGGTTGACGGTGAAGCAGATCCAGGATTTGGATTGGAGACATCCTGGATTCAGGTGGAAGCCATGAGGAGCTCACTTGTATGTGTTATGGAGATGGTAACAGAGTACGGATCGGAAGATTTTATATCAGATTGGATTTGCTTCATCAGAGATAGTGCTGATAAGGGGCGAATGGGGTTGATACCAGTCACATGGCATGGCTTTGAAAATCCACGCACCTTGAGTTTTACAAATAATCGAATATCGCTCTGCACCTCACTCTCCCTTCTTCCAAACTTCAAAGCGTAAGCGACTGATCCTTTAACATATCCAAGTCAGTAGCCAACTTACAATCACCAATCCTGATAGCAAAGTTCAGTCATCTCAGTTCACTGCGTAAACCCCCCCTTCTTTGTAAACTCTCTCTTGGTGAACAATTTTCTTTGTCGGTTTTTCCTGATTGTTGTTATCGCTTAACCGATCTTCCGGTGTCGGTGTCGGTGTCACGGTCATTGTGCCCAGGCGATCCATGTTTGTTTGTGTGCTTCTCGCTTAAGGTAAGTAGTCTGGCGATGAAAAAGGGGGGCCAACCAAGAATAACAAAATATAGCGTCCGTTCTTTGTTGGCGTTTTTTTTTTTTTTTTTTTTTTTTTTTTTTCGCTAACTGTGCATATTTGCAAGATGGAACTAATAACAAAGTATTATAGATAAGGTGTTGTAAGTCAACCGATATATGCACCTCGTGTTCTGCATGTTACGCGTCTTTTCATTTTCCGCTGAGTTGTTTGTTTGCTTGCAAACACTTCATGGTGTGGTGTTTTGAAGTCGCGTGGTGCCTTATCTTGAACCGTAAATTTGAATTTCATGCTGTCTGCTACCTGGAAGACCAGCAACACCGCCTGAAAGACTGGCCTTTTGTCTTATTTGGGCAAATTCAAGGTCGATTCTGTGAATCATTCACGTCATCGGCGAGTCGAGTCAGCTCAACTTGACGCCTAGCATTTCGTTTGTAAACTAGTCTATGACTTCAAAGAATACATTTTTGAACATCAAATACAAACATAATCATAACACTGACTTCAAGAATCTAGAAAAGATTCTTTACCTTCTTTCATTGAGCAACGTCTACTTCCTTCAACTTCCTTGAGCTCAAACTCTTCTCCATCACCGGCCGCATTGATAGCAGCCGCTGCTGCGTCGAGCTTGAATCATCCTCCTACATATCCTCATTTGTCGTAATAAGCAGCTGCTAATTCGATCTGCGTGCCTTTCTCTCAGCCCTCGACCCTTCTGATCCATTTCGCCCCGTCGAGCACTCTCTTCTGGAAGCTCAACTACATCGTACGCTCACTGTCGGCCCTCAATGCTTCTTCTTCCTCCCCGGCAGTCGACATGGCTGAGACCCCCAGATCATCGTCATCATCTTCATCAAATTCGGGTTTCTTTATTCCATCTTACGTGGAATCGCCGAATACTGATGTTGACATCGAAGTCATCAGTCCGATTGTATGTGAACTTCTAGGGTGCAGGCAGTCCTCCGTTCTTTTGATGGCACAAAGTCAGTCGAGCGCATCCACCCTGTCGAAAAGCTCACGCACTTCCCTAAGCTCCCCGCGGAGTTGCGTCTGATGGTATGGGATTTCGCTTTTGTGGCAACCAGAAGTTGTCGGAGTCATCAACAGTTTGGAAGAGAACAGACTGGATTTGACAGGTTGGGAGTATTACCAGTCCACGAAGCGGCCTCCCCTGATCCGATTCGTCAACAAGGAAGCGCGGGAAAAAGCAAAAAGGCTGGAGCGTCCTCTGGTCACGTATATGGACTGGATTGTGAGGCCGAGTATTCTCGCATCTCCTGCTGTAGACACCGTCCTGTTGTTGGAGAAGGACTATAATTGTGAGTTTGGACTTTGGCAGATGTTGTCGGAGCTGATTGACAACTGCTACCCCCCTGCGAATATGCCAAGGATCGCGATGCATACCAAATGGCGACCCTGTTTCATTGGTATGGGCTTGGAAGATCTTGAAGAATCTCGACACGTTGAAGATCTTTGGTACAAAAGAGGTGATTTTCGTGGTTGGTGATGAAACTGGATGTCGTGTGAAGGAGGTGAATATTGGCCATACTACTCCAGTCAAGGATGCAGAAGTGGTCTTAGAGATGGATATTTTGAGGAAAATCAAGGATGAATTGAAGATGAAGGCGGAGGAGAAGGTGACCTGGGAGGATATGGAGAAGTATGATCTTCTGCGAGTGGATTATGCAAAGGAGCTGTATGAGGCTGATCCAAAGTGGTTGGTGACCAAGATCATCTATCGAGAGGTAACTGCTCGGGCCTAAGGAATGAGTGGATGGATGGTGCATGGGGGACTGGTGGATGGGAGTTGCCACGTATATTTGGACTTGGTTAGGGCAGTCTGGACAGAGGAGCAATTATCATATAGACGCATAGTGTAAGAGTATTAAGTTGGGCATCGTATACGCCATTTTAGGCAAGACTGGGCGGGGATTGATCATTTCATATCATCAGCGAGTATTGGGGAATTTTTGGGGTTTGGGAATCTAGATCTCCACTACCTATTGTACATACGATTGAGATTCAGGCCCGAAATAAGGACTATTTACAACGAATGGATGTATAGGCACATATATCTGAAATGACCCTACATCACGATATTCGTAGTAAAGTTGTCGTGTGCTGTTGTTGACTTTGCTTCTTCGTTTAGATTGTTAATAGTGTGGTATTGAGACCTCACTCATTCTTGGTTCGTTCAAGTCAAACTTGAAATGTTCTACTTTCACTGCTTGAGTAATACAATAGTTGAAAACTAGCATTTAATTGAAAGATCTTCAACTATAAGTAGCTACCCAGGCTGTAGGTGGCTACATGCATATGACTGGAAATTCCTTTCGAAGACCTTTCATTTCTCCCAGAAGTAACCTACGACGAGTAGGCTTTGGGAAATTTTACTACTACTTTTCAGTGTCAAATCCAATTCCGAACTACTCTAATGCAATTTGGAAGTGTAACAATAAATATCATGCGCTTTGATGGTTGCGTTAATCTATGAGAGACACAGCTTAGCAAGTGTCTGTCCAGGGTCTATCAAGGAAAGCACACTAGTGGGCTGGTCCTTCCCAAACATCCACCAATAATATCCCAGTCCTCTTGGGAAACTTCGCTTTTAACCCATCGACATAGTCTAATTGCAGGTGTCACTTTCTCACCAGCCATATATACATGGTTCAGATATTCATTTCTTCATCTTCACTACAACCACCCAGCTTCTTTACACACTCGCTTCTCAAGATTGCCCAAGTGACAAGGCACAGCCCCCAGCGCATTCACACCTAATCAACACAGGCCACGATTAAGAGTTCTCGCAACCATAGAAGGCGACTCGGATCGGATGGGGAAACACCTGCAATAGAAATATACTCCTTACCATCATTCGATTGTGGTCCCTGCCGTCTCCCAGCTACTCATCTCACGAACATCTTCCCGCATCCTAACAGCACGGATGCCAACTCCAACTCCCAATACAACCAACGATTCGTTAATTCGTTGGCTACCTAGCAGTTGGTTCCGAAACCTTGCAGTGTCGCTATCACTACACTCTCCTACCCAGGAACAAAGATAGAAGAACCAAGCCCCAGACCTACGCCCATCCTTCCCTGAAACGAGATCACTTACAAAGACCTGAGACGCCAAGTCCAAACATTCAAATCAATCAGTTTTCGACCATGGCTCAAGAATCAAATGCGGCGCAGCTGGAGGAAGACATTCTGTCTGGTCCACAGACTGGACAAGACAAAAAACGCACATTATGGAAGCGTTTCAACACATTTGTTTCTAATCGAGTACTAGAACGATTTCCAATCGGAAAGAAATCTGTACCGCCTACTTCTCCAGCAGCAGAAGACGCAGCTACTGCGACCGAAAGCACGTCATTGGATGAACAAGGGAGCCGCGTGTTCCGTCAATTCCAGAGATTTCCTCCAGAACTACGTCTATTGGTCTGGAATTTGGCGTCATCACCACGCATATTAGGTTACCTTGTTGTCCGCAATCTTGGGCGGTTCTTAAGGGACCCGTACTGGACTTTTGTGCAAACAACCATTGCCTATTTATTCAGTCACGTCTCCTCTGAGTCTCGGCAGGAAACACTAGAGCGTGAAGCACAACTAAGTACAGGACACGGGCGCCGCGAAGTCATAAGACAAACAGATAATGTTGTATTCTTGATGAGTCTGAGTCTCGGTCGCCGTGTTGATCCTCTCCAAACTCTCGTGGAACAAGTAAAGAGATCGCGACGGTCGAGACCAAAGCTGCCTAGGATGGCCTTTCAGTACAATCGGAGATCGTTGACTTTCGAAAACTTCGAAAATGACATTTCTGTCTGGGGGCAGATAAGAAGATTGAATTATTTTGGGGTGGAGGAACTGATCTTTGTTTTGGGGCGAGGCATAATTTGTCGCGATCCTGGCGTGAGGTTCGTGGAGCCAACGAAAAGTCCAAAAGATGCTATTCGAAAAAGAAAAGATCTCGATTATCTGATGAAAGAATGCAACGTTAGCAAATCGAAGGATTTGACATGGCAACTTATCGCCGATTCAACGGAAAGGAGGATCCAGATCATTAGAACACAATGGATTGAACATAGAGGGAGATTGCAACGCGGTAAGTCCACTGACAAGTGCCACTACGATTGTAAAATTCTTAAATCTCTCATCTATTAGAGGGCATTGATCCGGACGGAGTTCCTTGGGCTATACGTTTCCGGGACCCTTCGACATGGACATTCAAGAAAGTCACTTATGTCGAAGCTACCACACGAAGGAAACTTGGACCGAAGAAAAAACTATCAATAAGAATGAGGGAAAAGGGGCGTTGGCTCAAAGACGCTATCAAAGATACGTTGCAATCAGGCTAAAGGGTAACTTCTCCCTTGAAGCTCAACACGTTTGTCGAAATGGTCTACAGCGATGAACAAGGGTAACTGAGGCAGCCTGTTTAGGTCTTATGCTGGTCATTCAGATCTTGGAATTATACTTTAAAGGAGGACTGGGCAAGCTCAAAGCAACTTCAAGAACAGTAGCGTAGCGTCAGAGAGCATTATCAATCGAGCGTCTGATTATTTGGTGATTCCAAGCAAAAGAAGGTTACAAGATTACTTTTACTGATTATGCCGGTCATGGCTGGCTGATTGCAAGCAAAATGAGCGAGAGAAGACTCATCCGAAGAAATTCAGATCCCCGTTTATCAAAAACTCTCAGACGAGTCCACATCACAAAGCAACAACTTCTACACCCTCAAAGAAACATCAGCCAAAGCTCAATCTCTCCCGCTCATCAACTCAATGTCATCTTCGATGGGCCTCGAATATATTCCAGCTTTACTTTTTCCCATGGCAAAATTAGCGTTATGCCAATGACCCCGAAAGGCGAAGTGTGGATGGAAAATGGTCTGGCATGTTGTTGCAACGAGAAGCATTCCTCCTTCCAGTGCCATGAACATAGGCTCGTTATTGGCAAGAGAGCTGTCAAAACCTCCCCAGAGTTCAGCAACTCGAAAGACTGATCTTATATAAATTGCGACAGTGGCAACGCAGAGCCCTATGATCAAACAATGTCAGCATCATTCCAAGTCTGCGATAGGAACAGCGGCTACGAACCTGCTAAGAACGCTTTCCAAAACCTAGTCTGACGTAGGTCGAAGTATCGAGGGTCTCGATCGTTCCACATCATCCTTGATTTGACAGCAAAGTCTGCACAGAGTAGTGCAAAAACAGTCAAACTCAGGACTTGTGCAATGAGGCCTGCAATCATCACATTCACTCCCGTATCTGTATCCTTCTGTGTGTCCGCAATACTTGCCATCGCTCCACCCGCAGACTGCAAAATGAGGCTGACAAGGTCACAGGACATGAATATTGTTGTGTATGATCGAGGCTTGAGCCTGGAGATGTGTTGACCGTACACAACAATGATTCGGCCAAGACAAAGGTATATGGCTGCACTGAGGAAAGCGGGGCCGATGGTCAGACCAACGAGTTGCCTATGTGATTCAAGTTCATTAGTTTATGCTTAGGACAAAATTCTGAGGTGGACTCAGTGTATAGCACTTACAGAACGAAGGGCATTTTTGGGAAGGGATTGTAATGCATCCTGATCCGGTTGGCGTATCCCAAAACTTCAAGCAATAGACCACCCACCATACCCTAGATGATCAGTAACGTAAAATACTCAAAAGAGAATTTCTCACAGTCATATAACCCCAGGTTTTAAAGCGAATACCAATAACAAGATGAAAACCTGCGTATATTCCGAAAATTCCAGCAAGCGCGGCGTTCCCATAGAGCGTCTATAGGTTTCCATGAGATAAAGCCTTGAATCAATAGGGAAGACTTACTGGAACATAGGTGAAGTGGGCCTCGGAGAGAGGACATAAGTCCAGTGTACAGTCATCGGGGTTGATGGCTGTCCCGTTCGGGTATGCACCAGTCCAAGTTCCATTAGGAAAGAAGGTAGGTGACATGGCGTAGAGTCAGAGTCTCAAAGAGAGTCACAATCCGAGTATGTTCAAGTGATCTATTTATCAAAAGCTGAAATGATGGTAAGGTTTGAGCGATTATTCGTTGATATTCGAGGTGCGAAAACCACATTGGAAATGGGTATGAAGAAAAGCAGCAGACGGAATTGCATGACAGAGAGAATTTAGGAGCGGACAGCACCCCATTTAATACATCACCTCGGAAAAATTCTGTCTGTGTCTCAGTAGACTCAGGTCTAGGAGTCGTCTCGTGAAGCTTTCGGTTGTTGGTTTGCTCGTAATCGCCTCGTAAGGCACTGCTGCAGTTGCCCCAGCTCTGCTTATCTTGGCGCTCCCTCTTTAATGACATGATCCTTTGAATTTGCGGCTGTGAATCCCTTAAGCCAATCATTTGATCATCCATACTGTAAGAAATGTAAAGATCTTCTCAAAGAAACAATGCTAGTGTCGTAGGTGGCTGTACCCCTGATCATAAGGAACCGACTTTCACGAGCGCCGATGCCCGACTAATACGCGTGGCCGAGCTGACACTGGGGAACGCAGCGATTTGACTCACCCTGAGTCGCGAATATACACAGAAACACACACTGGCATTTAAACCAGTAATTTGGGGGTGACCAGCTACGAGTAAGTACAGATCAGTTCGGACAACGAATTAAACTTGTTAGGAGATCATTCGAACTCAGGTGCGACTCTCGCTTAAGGAATGGTCTAAGCGACGAACAGCAACAAACAAACAAAATCTTAGCATATGAGCGATGTACAGAATTATATGGAGGATACAGTCATGACGTAGTCATTGAACGAAAGAGAGCTTCAAAGTATCACAAGTCAAATCTAAAATGCCAGCAGCCAGCCCAAGCTCTCCGATGCCGAAGAAACGAATGGCGAAATCTTTATCGTAGTCAATCGATTCGAGCTTTCCTCACGGGATCTGGGAGAGCAACATTAGACATTCAAATTGGCAGGCCCACTTTTGTCACCAACTTTATAGAATCTTGTGATGTCAAGCTATGAGAAACAACTGTGGTAGGAAACAATAAGAGTCCTATCAATAAACATGATTTGAAGATAATGACATGTTCTCGGTAGCCAGCAGACTTATCAATTTTGATGAATCGTGAAGTGTCAAGAGTATAAAGATACAACAAGGGGGAAATTGAATCTACATCAATTCTAATCTAGCTCCTCGGAATTCCCCGTCTCAGATGCAAAGACAACAGGCATGTGAGACGTAATGGAGGTCTTTCGTAGACACTCAACTAATGGTAGAGCCGTCAGCGCCATTCAAATGCTGGAATAGTTCTACTTCTCACATGATCTTCAACACCCTGAAGCTTACAGATTCGATATGAGGCATTGAGAAATTATATTATATCTTGCTACAGAGGATTCAATGAGAGATGCTATTTTTGCAAGCTTCTACCACTCCAATGTCTCCTGGCCTTGCATTGTACTCTTTTGATGTATATTTCTTTCGCATAGATAGCTTCTTCTATCGCAGGAGTGCTTTGTCAATATCGAACGCCTGAAAGAGTCTTGTGCCTCCTGCTCTCAATCTCAGGATGTAATGGGCTCAGGGTAGGTCTTGGTCTCGGTCTCGAAAAATTGTGTCTCATGTGACCGCTGGTCCATTCTGTACTCTACTGACCATGCCAGCCTGACCAAATCGGCTCCCTCATATCTTTTCACCATTCTTTTCTGGAATCTGCTCCACACTATCACTCCGATCCTCCGGCGTATTCACATTCATCATGTGCTCGACATTAATCTTTGGACCCTTGAACCATTTCCTGGCATCGATCGCATACCAGAGCAGCGCTAAAGACATTGTTCCACCATAAATCAAGCAGGTGTAATTCATTGTCAATTTCGTGAGATCATGGCCGCGAACCGAAGGGAAACACAGAACTGGAATGATAAGTGCAACCCAGCAGCAGGCGACGGCACCGATAGGCTTCGAATAACGACCTAAATGCCAAGGACCTGTGCATGAAATTAGCATCTTCAATCATCACATTGAGATCGATGGATTTATTCTCGCTAACCTGGCCGGAACTTGTCTCCCACAACAAAGAGCTTCAAGCCAATGGGAATAATAAATGTAGTGTATTGAGCGATTGCGCCAATGGAGAATACGGCACCAATCGCTACAGGACTTGCAAACATGAGTGTCCCAAGTACGCATCCAATCGCAATAACGAACCAAACAGCATTGACTGGTGTTTTGGTGTGGCTGTTGACCTTCTTGAGCCAGCGAGATCCTGGAAGAGCGCCGTCGCGGGAATATGCGTACACGACTCTTGATGAGGCGACCGTGATACTACATTCTTTCAGCAGGTGATACTAAACTTGAGAGAGAGTCTCACCCTTGTCCAACAAAGAACTGGGCGAAGATGTTCAGAGAGAACATCGCTAAGCCAGCCTTTGGTCCTAGAACCTGTAGACATAGACTTCCCATTGGCTGGCCATATTGTCCAGCAACTACATCCTGTACATCCTTCACCGTGTATGCAATAACGAGAATGATAGCCCAACCAAAGTAGAGGCCCATTTGAGCAGTCATGACAATTGCACGTGGGCTGGCTATGTTCGCGTTCGAGCATTCTTCTGAGAGGTGGAATGGCGCATCATATCCAGACATCGTCCAGATCACAGAAAGGAAGCCCATCAAGAACGCAAATCCAGTCGGCCACTCTGTGCCATTGACAATGCCATCAGACGTCCAGACAATATTATTGGGGTTAGTCTTCGGTCTGTTGATCGAGCCCGCAGGCATCCAAACGATGAAAATGACGAGGACCACGAGGTTGACGATCGTTCCGATTTTGTTGAGCTGGCCAATAAATTTGGTAGAGTTCATTGTAAGAAAACCTTCGAAGACCATGAGCCTACCATGAGCAGATATACGTGGAAGGTTTCCATAATGTAGTTTGGGTTGCCGATTTGGACTGCTGTCAGAATCATCGCTGAGAGCGCGAAATTGACAGAACATGGTCCTGTGCATAGTCCAACGAAGTTGGACCAGCCTGTGATCTGAGTGACTGTTAACAACAACTTCACATGTATGGTGAGAAAGGAGGTAACTAACCCAAGAGAGCAGAGGTCCCCACCCTTCAGGAGCAAGGACAGCACTTGCATAATACAGTCCTCCTGCAGTTGGCATAGAAGAGCAAAGTTCTGCCATAGCCAAGGCGACAAATTGAATCAGAACGGCTGCCACAACCCATCCCCATACTGCGCCTGCTGGACCGCTATAGGCAAGGTTGTATCCCAATGTTGATGCAACCGATGGCAAAAGCCCCAGGATCGAAAAAGACACGGAGAACGAGGACCAAATAGAGAAATCCCGTTTGAATTCCTGCTTATACCCAAGTGCCGTCAAGACCTTTTCATCGCTATCTGCCACATGGTCGAGGACAGCGTGTTCTCCTGTCCTCTGAAAGATAGAGGTAACATGGAGACTACGTTCGTTGACGACACGATCTGTTTGAGAAGGCATTATGAGTTGATAACAAATAGAAACTACCGGCCGAGAAGAAACAGAACTTTGAATACAAGAAGGATTTTATAGATTGTCCAGTGTTAAAGCAATGAGGGTATCACGTCAATTTATGAGATGTACCCCCAACATCCCCCGCTTCTGTAGGACAATACACCACTGCACCTCAACATTGCCAGTGATCTCGCCTTATCTTCCAGGCCACCTGTATCCTAGTCGATACAGCTCGGGCACGCTGGTGCAACTGCGTCGCGAGAAAAGTTATCATTTGATTTGATGGTTGATAACGCCGGCGTGCCTACGCATGCAGGATCCTTGCCAAATGCGGCATGCGGATAACTTAGGGCTTATCATGAGCTTAACCTCGTAAACGAATGCTAGTCAAAAATCTTAAATCGTCATGGAGAAATCCGAAGCTCAGAGGTCGAGCTTGAAATAGATGGGCCATGTCAGCTTCCATAAACAGGTTGAACGGATCCATGATTCCGTCTCGCATAGCATGGAGTTCGAGTCGACTCGTATTGTAGTTCGAACCTACAAAAGCGTTCTCTACTCCATAACTTCTCTAAAAGATATCGAGAGCTTGAGATCTGATATGATTCTGTGGAAGACGGGAAGCCAAATGAATTAGATATGTGGCACGATAGTCTCGCCATTCCATGCTCAACATTACTGATGTGTGCGCATAATTAATACCTCTTCATGAGCATTTCGAGGAGGGCATATAACAGTCTCGGTGTCTTGACTACGTTCGTAACTTCTCAGTATTGGAAAAGGGTCTATGAGTTATCAGGTCTATGTATACCGAAATTAGGAGGCTTTGCAAGACTTTGTTTTGTTCACGGTCCGACAGACAGCCTGTTTTAAGCGATCTTTGAAGAGAGTCTCATTACACATCCTCGCATCTGGGTATCCAATCATCTATATACACAACCAAGAAGTGATCTCCATTTCCACCTTATTCTCGTCATGAATTGGAAGTGTCCCTATCAGTTTACCCCGAGGACCTCTCCGTTCAGTTCACGACTTTTAATTTTACTTGGGCCCTTTTTCATTGGCACCCACTCCCCATCCTTATTCCAAGTACCTGCCTTCGTATAATCCCAACTGCTCGAGCCCTGCATGTACCCAAAACGAAAGTAATCGTTCCTGTCACTGTCTCCAGTTTTCAAACCTGGTCGACCCCAGACAAAGTTCTTGTCGCTTGAGAACCCTTCATCCGTGTAGCCTCTGAAGCGCTCCACGTCGTTCACCAACACGGATATCCCGTCGAAAGGCTCAGGCGGCGCAAGCCAAGAGAACGATATCGTGGATATCGAAACTCCAAGTGTGATGTTAGGTGCTGGAATAACCGGAAGCTTAGAGTTGTGCTGAGCGTCGCCTTGAAGAGCCGCTGGTGTCTGGAGCACAGAGTCGAAACCCCAGCGAGCGATACCATTGATAAAAAGGCCCACAAGAAGGCCCTGATAGAGGAGGGCAGGTCGTGTCTGCATGCTTGTCCCGGGTAGAAGCAATAAGCCAAGAATGTAATGATGAATGCGCAGACTTAGACCTGGCAGGAGTAGTGAGAGCAGTATCGCACCTATGAAAGTTCCATAGAGACCAAGGTAGCGAATGAGACGTCCTTCTCTACGAAAGAAGAATACTTGCTTGATCACTATTAGAACAATTAATGAGACGATAAGAGCGAGGGCCAGTTTCGCGCCGGGCTGTTGATTAAGATCGTGGGCATTAAGACGTTGTATAGGGATCCAATCCAATGTGTAGTTGGAAAGGGCTCCAAACCAGCAGCCTCCAAGCCAAAGAATCGTCTTCTCTATCTGCGCGGTGAGTCCAGAGAGTGCTCTTCGGACACCCATATATTGGTAGATGACAAAGGCACAAAAGGCGGCCGGTAAATATTTCCCAAGCAGATTTGAAATTAGGTCGGTGACTGTGGCATGTCCAGGCGGATCCGATGCTAGACCAACGTGGAAAAATACTCCGGTGAATATGCTGAAGAAGAACAGGCCAGGCGATGTGGTAAATAATGACAGCAAGATAGTAAACGTTAAAGACACAAAAAGTAATGGCCATCGGGGATCTTTAGCTTCGCATGTCGTCCCGGAGTGGAAAGTGAAGGAGGACGGGAACTCTGAATCGAATCCAATGCTTGTAATGCCATGCTTCTTTGAACTCTGATAATCGCGGTGCTTGCCGACCAAAGATACAACCCCACAGCCGCCTTTTGCATTATCAATGATCCCAGCATGGATAGCTGAGCCGCAGATGAAAGAGTCGCTTCGGTATATTGGTGTCGCGTCATCCTTCGAGGGTCCTCCTATGACCATGGGTCGGTAGTTGATCTCCTGAGCACCAACCGCCCGGGGATTCAACACCATCACATTAGCACAGTTTGCAGGACATCTAAATGCAAAGCCGCTTCCGTTGAAAGGTCGGCAGTCATTGCCATTCAATCCGCACCTATTTCCTGGCACCCAGTACGTGTTTCCGCAACCTATATTTCCTGGAGCTCCCCAGCCTTCAATCTCTGTAGCAATGGTACTCTGCTTCATGACAACCGCGAATGTGAGGATCCAGATAAAGTAGAAAGCGATCAGAAGGGCTATTCTATGTCTTCTCTTCGGTACATAGTGGTCTAGCAATCGAATCGGAAATTCTTGTACAATTGGTAATATTGGTTCAATGGTATGTATATGCGGCGGATCCGGTCCTTTGGCCCATTTTGTTATTGACTTGCTCAAACGTCTTACAGGAGTCGGCACCCATTTCAGGTATCGGTATGATGCCTGGTCTTGCAAGAATCGCGGGGTAGGCGGAGAGCTGTCATCGGAGAGATCGTCCATATGCAAGACATTGGTTTGGGTTGACTCGTCAATTGGATCGTCTGGATGCTCATCTGCTACCAGCCTATACCCTCCTCTCTCCTCATCGGAATTGAGGCGCATCGTGGACTTTTAAGACCTGTCTCGAACTGGGTATATCCGAGGATCCCGAGGGAGGAACCTCTACTTGCGCCTCTTCCTCTTTGTGCTGGTACAACGAACGTGACGACACAAATCAGTAGACCTGGTGCGGTATGGCCCAGGTAGCCATCAATGATAATGAGAGTATGGACACAGAATGTTCAAGTGAACGATGTACGATACAGAGGATCCGGGTTTCATCTCAAGGCTGATGCCAAGGCTGTCAGCGGCACCAACGGATCATCGATAAGCCTATCTACAGAGCTAGACTTGATATAGCAAAGCGCCCAGATCCAATCAGTCTTTCCCTCATTCGGATCTCGAACTCTCAAAATTTTGATAAATTTATACACACGTCCTCAGCTGCATGACTTAGCATTCAGAACTGCCCCGGCTTGACGGAATGTTCATGCTATTCGCTTCCATCAGTCTGGAATTTTTGGACTCCCACGATCGCTTCTGAGGGCGCTGGCCTGCAGAACATCCAGCGGCTCCCTCTCTTTCATAGCCAATCTTCTCAAAACCCAAGCACCACGATGGCTTTACTCAATGATAACTCGGAGAAAAGCATCAAGTTCCTCTTCGAGATCGTGAGCGACGTTGATCTTAGCGTGGTTGGCCCGAGACTCGGACGACTCTCCTTACCTCAGAAACGAGATGTTCATACACCTGATTTTTTTGCTGTAGGTTCTAAAGGGGTCGTTCCGCATATCACGTCAGATGTTATCTCTGCCCATACACAATTCAGTGGTGTTCATATGGCATTGGAAGATTGTAAGTCACCACCAAATTGGTCACGTGTGATGGAGGCATCCTAACATTTATCAAGTCATAGAAAAAGCAACAACCGGTAGACCACCTGTAATGAATGCTCCAGGATCTTCTCCGCTCAACGCTTTCACTTGTCTTCCATCGGAACTATTCACTCTCCTTGCACCTCGTCGGACACCTGCAGTGTCGTCTCCAAATGGTAATAGCAATTCTGCAATTTCAACATTCACATCTACTGGATTTCAAGTTGTCTCGAATAAGGCATACATCTCATACATCAATACCCTTCGTCCAGATATTGCAGTTGCTTTTGCTGATGTTCCTCACGGAACTCAGCCAGGCACGAAGAGGATCGCGAAGATGGGTGACCGAACTCAGGAGTGGCTCTCTCAGCTTCTCAAGGAGAAGACAGAGGACCAAGCAGTATTTGCACCCATTCTTCCCATTGAGTTTTTGGAACAAGCAGAGTATCTCAACTTTGTAGCAGATGATCTAGCAGATGAGGTTTCCGGATTGGCCTTTTACGATTCCAACGTTCTTCCGGAAATTCCAGCCACCTCCGCTGTGTCTCGACTTCCACGCCTCTCACTTGATGAGCCCACTTCTCCACGTCAGATTATCAGACAAATATCTCTGGGAATGGATATTTTTACAATACCATTCGTCGGCTTCGCAACCGATGCTGGCATTGCGTTGAGTTTTCGATTCCCACGCCCATTGCCAGACGAGACTGCCCCCAACGACGGTAGAATAGTACCTCTTGGAATAGACATGTGGCCTGCTTCGCATGCAACTTCTGTTATCCCGCTTGCAACTTCATGTACTTGCTATACATGCACTAATCATCATCGAGCATTTCTCCAGCATCTACTTTCAGCCAAGGAAATGCTCGGCTGGGTCCTGCTGCAAGTCCACAATCACCACATACTCTCTGAGTTCTTCTCAGCAATTAGGGAGAGCATAGGGAATGGAACATTCGAGGCAGACTGTGATTCATTTGAAAAGTATTATGAGCCCGAGCTCCCGGAAAAAAGTGGACAGGGACCAAGAGTCAGAGGCTACCACTACAAGAGCGAAGGTCCTTTCGAGGCGAAGAAAAACAAGCCTGCATGGGGCAATCTGCGAGTTGATGATGAAGTGATCATCGACCTCATCTCATCCGAGCCGGCCGATGAACTGGAGCAGAAGGGGTTCGCAGAGAGAGTTACCACGTGATACACGGGCTTGATGGACGCTTTGCATCCATTTACCTCTTCTTGGCTGCCTGGAGCATTTCGCGCATAGAGTAGCATAATATTTTATGCGATTGAGATATATCTCGCTTGACGAGAGTAATACTATGCACTGCCACCAGTTTTCAAATGGTATCGCCATTGCTTCTTGTTACTACTGGATTTATGCGGGTGGTTTTGCAAGGAGGTGGATTTATGCGACGGCACACACTGATTTGTCTGTAGGGGGTCTGCTGGAAAGCTCTCTTTATCAACCCTCGATTTCATCCTGTTCATTTCGTTCGTCGCAAGTCCTCGTCTTGCTATCTCATGAGCTTGATTCTTCATTCTCTTGCTGCCAATGTTAGCAAACTCAGGGACTCAGAAGTTGCTTCAGAAATAATAGGGTTCGCCAAGACAAAATCACGGAATTTGACAGTTGCGCAGCATTTGTTTCTTGGTTGAAACAATCAAAGCTTCTTAGTCAAAACCGTCAATGTTTTGACGCAGTAAGAGCACGGACATTATCCCCATGTCGGCGAAACAAATCACAGCCGTGACTGATCAGCTGAAGAACCTATTCTTCTCATTCGTCCCTTCTTCTACAAACAATCAAGGGGGCCTCGGAATTTTGGCATCAGCCTTGCCCGAAAAGAAGCGCCGAGCCATCGCACGGCTCACGACGGCCTCAGAAATGAACCCACTAACTCTTGCCAGTGTTCATAAGTAGTGCGTGTCTCCATGACCTTTTTGTGCTACCCGAATGGTCGGTGAGAAGTGGTGGAGGATTTCATTGGCATTCAAACAGCCTCACGGATGGTCACCAGAACCGGTCCGTACCACAATTAGAATACGCGCCTCATATTCTACCCCTCATCTTCCTTGTGTTTATGAATTCTGCTCCGAACCTCTACTCAATCCCCACACAACATTGATTCCTCATAAAAGTGTTCAAGATGTCTTCCCCCATGATGGTGAAGGAAGAACAACCCTTCCTGAAATATTCAGACGATGCTACGATAGATGATAATGAGTCTGAGTCAAGTCAACGGCATCATCCACAAGGGCGCTACAGTCGACTTCTCTCATGCTGCTTGGTATTCTTCTTCACCTCAGCGCTTTGGGTTGCAGTCATCTATCTCACATCCCCGCCATCGACATCAACAGACACAAGCAATACCTATGGCTCATCTCCGGCCCATCGGCACAATATAACCTCCAATTCTAAACTTATCAAATGCGGTAACTCTACTGCAGAAGCAAAAGCTTTGGGCTGCAGATACGACATCCTACTCAACCATTGGGTACCTTCGCAATGTTGGGATCAAGAGATGATCGAGGAGTATCAAGACGATAACAGCTGGACTGCATTTTATGATGAGGATTTGAGGCTGCCAATCAAAACTATTGACGAAATGGGCGACCGTGACCATTATTGGACTTCAGCGAGGGATCACATCAATCATTGCGCCATGATGTGGAAGAAGCAGTTTTGGGTGATGTTTGAGGATCGTGTGGCTATGGATTCGCTGATTACTGGGCCGGGGCATACGGATCATTGCGCGCAGTATCTGATGGATGCGTCAAGTGGCAATTTCACGCTGTCGACGAGGGTTGAGGTCGGGTTTGCTGGCTGTTGGGTACGAAGCTAGGCCTGCAGTCCTTGGAGATGATTTGGCGTTCAAGGGTGAGACAGATGCCCAGGATTAACGAATTTCTTTGGAAGGAGGCATCACGTGCTTGATAGTGATCGAACGGAAATACAATTAAACGTTGTCTTGATTCTTTCTGGTTTCAATGTCAAGAAGTAGCCTGGTTTAGTGCTGCTCCAAATGTAATTCTATGTTGTGTGTGAAGCCCTCCTTTTGAAGGTACACAGATGCAATTCTGAAATTGGAGATACAGGCACTGGGATACAAATTGTTCAAGCTCGATCCAATACCACATCGTTTCAACCTTCGTACATCATGCATTCGGATTCTTTCAGACAATTCTCATTAAGACACGCCAAGTTATTAAATCCGCCAGTCTTGCACCATTCTCGAGATCACATTTCTAGACTTTATCATGGACTCCCCAGCTTTAGATAATACCACTTCCAATCATCAGGAGCCCGACGCCTACAGCACTCATCAACGCCTTCGTCGTCCCTACATGCTTCTGTGATGCCCCATTTCGAAGCCCTTCTTTCAATTTCTTGTAGTCAATGTATTCGCACCTCCCCCAATACTGGCCCGGGCTGCTTGTATCGTTGAGCTTTCCTGCCTTGGATGCCGCTTCGACTGCCACCTTCGCTGTCTCATTGATGCACTTGCTGAAGTTGCCTGCTATCGTCAGGTCGGAGGTGTAGCAATGGTGCGTTAAGCAATCTCTCTGCATGATCCACTGGTTTGTTGCCATTATCTCGCGGGCAACAATGGTCAAACGACATGAAGTCAGTACCTGCGTCAACGATGTATGGTTTCCAGGTACTGTTGCCGACCGGTTCGCTCAGAGTGCGACAGAATATTGAGATACTGTAGTCCGCAGCTGGACGACCGCATGCAGTTGGTGAAAGCTGCCAGAATCTTCGAATCTGACTTGGTTAGAGGATTTCGTTGACAAGCACACTAGAAGAAGAATTACCTCACGGCGTAAAGTGAAGTTTGGCGTGAAGACGTCTGAGCCCAAACTGAAGTCGACTGACATCTCGAGTCTGCAAGAATGTGGTGGACAGTATTTTCCCAAGTATTTTTGTTCGTTTTGAATGTTTCTGAGAGCAAGTTTCGGAAGGCGGAGAAGACTTCTTTGATTTGGAAACCAAATACTATCATATATGCTTGTCTCCGCACAAGCCGTCTTCTGTATTCTTTCTTGTCGTTGGCACGGAGAGCGTAAATTTCAAGTCCTTGCAGCCTGATGTCGCCTTTAATTTGCATTTTGTTGGTTTTCAACACCCGCTTTTGACGAGAGATTTGTTGCATTCTTCGTAAGTCTTCAAGCAGAGCTTCGGCCCTTCGTCTAGATTTTCAATGGCCTTGTCGTGAATTCGATGACATGGGATGCGTTTTAGAAAATGGCGCATCACCATTAGGCTCAATGCCTTTCCAGCTGCGCAACGCAGAACTATTGCATTTACTGCAATCGCCAACGCGGTTGATACTGCAATGATGGCTCGTTCCGTCGAAAGATTTCCTGTTTGCTATGAGAACTTCTGAAAATGGTCAAGAGTGCAGCTCATCTGAAAGCGTTGTACTCGGCTGGCTTCTGACTTGATTCGCGACATCCACGATTCCACGGTGCTCAAGGTGAGCCTGAACTCAGCCTCTCGGTCAAATACCCACAAGTACCGCCGCGGAAGGGGGCCGACCGCTCTCGCCGCTGTGCGTAAACGACACGGCCAGTCGATATACATTCGGATAATCTGCTCCGGCGAAGAACGTGTGGTCGCTTAGCTATCAATAGGCGCTGCGAATCAATACAGTTGTTGACAGGGAAGTTGAGGTTGTGCCTGAAACATGGACTTGGCGGCTCCTGTTTGTTTACTTTGGTGTTGTGATCTCTCTCATTCTAGCTTGGGATCAGTCCTTCCATTTGACATATTCAAATTGTGGATCCGATGAATTCCATCCATGCAATTTTAATTTTTTTTTTGGATATCTAGAGATGGAGATGATCGGCTTTCCACACCAGAATGGAAACCATGACATGAGTCTTTACCTCTCCAAAACCCAATACTCTCGAAGTTCCAATTCAGTAAGGGGTGTACGTGCAGGTCATGTATTGAAATACTGCGGAAAAGTCATGCCTAAAGTTCGGAATTGAATTGTTGGTTCTATTTATGTTTCATTAAGTATCGCGAGTTTGTTCAGATCAAAGTTGACATGTTCTGAACTGTTCTGGCTTTGTACTTCTTCCTTCATGCAACAATTGATTCTCCAACACTGTTAATTGATTTTACAAAAGATAGCAGTACTGCCAATCGTTGGTGACTTGTGTATTGGGTGCATGGAAGAGTCTTCTGACTCTTTTCAACTTAGGCAACGAAACTTTCACTTGGCAGCTAGTTCTAGATCACAAGCTTCAACCCATTTATATTGTCTTCTAATGATGTGCATACATACCCAGTTACTGACCTAGTCTTTCCCGGCAGGACCTCTCATGGAATTTCATTTTTTTCTGCTGCAGAATCAATGCAGACTTCTCTGGGTGGGTTGGAGTGAGGACACCATTTCTACGAACCTTCTTACGTTTGGCTGATAAGGAAAAAGTGGTATCCACGGAACTATAGAGACCAACATTTCATAAATGCAGTGCTTTCAAATACTTGCACAAACAAAGTTCTCGGCAGTTCCTGCCATGTTCTTTTTCGTGGACCCATCTCGCGAGAAACAAATGAAAGGCCAAGGAGCCATATATAAACTCTCTGCTCCCACTTTGGCATGTACTGCTACATTTCTACATCAACAACTGCACTCTCTTTTCTATTGAGTGCATCACCCTAAACTCTTCGGCATCACAAGTATCGATCCTCAAGCTTTGTCGTTCAGTTTCGCAAAGATGAAGTCACTCTTCCTTCTCATGTCGACAATAGGAGCCGCATCCGCCACTTTCTTCAGCGAGCCTACTAAAGATCGGTAATCTGCTTGCTATCCAGATCGGGGGTAAGTGGAACACAATCACCCTGATTAATCCCTGGGACACATGTGGGAGCTCCGCTAATGTGTTGAGCTGTTAGTTATACTGAGAAAGATGGGCTAGCCGCAGCTGAAGTCTTGTGGAAGAACGCCACCTTTGACAACGGACTGAATATGACTACGAACGATTGTGTCTACAAGCATGTGAACACCACAATTGTCAGCCTCTGCAACGGAGGCCACCGGAACAGAACGGTCTACAAGGATGAGGTCAAGCGTGGCATTGAGCAGTTGATGAAAGATTGTGGTGGAGGCGGTTCTTTCAACGGCGTCCATATTGTCAACAATCTCACTTTTGCCGCTTTCGGAATCTTCGCAGGTAAAAATCTGGCAATCGACAAGGGAATGGAAACACTGATCCATGCCGCTTCCAGTCCTTTAATGGAGTGCCGAAAACCAATTGTGAGTGGAAGAACAAGCTAAATCCTGATGGTTCATGTGGAACAGTTACAACAGACAACGACTGTCAAGTGTTCTGCGAACAGAGCAGGACAGGGTTTTTAGGAATCGAGCAGCCTGCGGACGGAGAGTGGGGTGACGGCCAGCCACCTGGCCTCGCGAATGATCTCAACACCGCCAACGAGGCCTCAGTCAGCAATGGGATATCTGTGGGGGTAGAGGGTATTCTCAAAGAAGTTTTTGGCGCAGGAGTGTCGTATCAGTGTGAGTCGCTGAGTCCTTAAAAAGGCATAAACTGATTTGATCTAGGGTCTACTACTATCACGAAGGTCAAGGGTCTCCAACGTACAGCAGAAGCATCTCAGGTATTCTACGGCCGGTGGGTCGTATTCCCGAAGTTCATCCAAAGTTGTGGAAAGGTCACCAAAAGAACATATGTCCGGGACCCTGTGGTGCCTTGCGGTCCGGGGTGTATCCCAGTTACCAAATAACCAAGCTGTACAGGCCCGGCCGTTACCGTTGATGCCTGCTCCATGGTACCCTGGATCCTTGATGGCAATGCTCAGGCTATGTGGACTTATCGGAAGTCTGTTCTAATCTTTCCTGACACGTCCCAATCTCCATTTTTCAAGGCTCGACTCTGAGTTCATACATGCAGGTTGGGAAACAGCAGATGGGGTACCAGTCCCAATCGATCAACAAAGCGCTTCATACAAAGGGGTTTGTACGACCGTCGCAGGACCTTCCTCCGACCCTGACGGGGACAAAGAGAATGAGTGCTACACACAGATAAACAATAAGCGGATGCTATGATTTTGAAAAGGCAAAATCGGAGAGTAGCTGTCGTTCATTACGTCTTTTTGGGAATGATGATGTGGGATCTTTGGGTTTCTGACTTCGAGTGCATTTCAAATAACAGCAACAATTATGCTTTAAGACAAAGAATGCAAGGACTGAATGAAGGAGAAATTCGAGCCTTGACGCTAACCAGCTTAACCGCTTCTTCTGTCATGACCCTGCATCTCTATCATCTCTATCTCTATTTCTATCTCTGTTGAGTTGGTGGGTGAGAAAGAGTCCTACGGAGATTTCGTCTGTATCTATCGGCTATTCACAATGCCATTCTAATTCTACTTGGGAATACATGGCTGTTTTACAACCTACTGTGAGTAATGAAGATGAGTATAATTGATAGGATAGTTGTTTTTATGCTTTCTGGGTAATAATGGAATGTCACCAATCAACAATGAAACCTAAATTTAGCGAGTCACTTAAGCGAGGCGCCCCCCATTTCAAGGATTCGGTTCTCAGAGCGCTTGGCTGATGTCTGTGAGGCCCATACATGTTAATTTCAGGCTCATTATTTCGCTCTGTCACACTGCGAATGATCTTGGGGTACCGTAATGCTATCGATGATAATAAAAAGGCACCCTTCCTTGCAGCGGGAATTCGTAATGCTGGGTCGAGAAGTCCTCTGAGGGAACGAGGTGCGAGCCTGCAACCACCCGCTCGGGACCAATGGGTTGCATTGAGAAGCGAGTTCGGCTGGAGCTTGTCTCTTCCCATGCAGGAACTATCATGGTTCATACGATGCAGCATCTAGAACCGTATCCTTCCACACCGGAATCATATCTAAGCTTGGTGCACTTGGTATGATCCAGCCGCTCCACCAACGATTTTTTAGCAGCACTCTTCATCATAGCACCAAAGTTCCGGAAGAAAGCATGACAGTCACTCTGAATAGCATGGATAAGCGTGTAAGATGGTACTTTGTGGCGGCATATTCATTACGGCACCGCCTGAGTTGTATGAATGTCGGAGCTGCCTACTTCCCGCGACACTTCCGCAATTGGGAATTGCTGAGTTTAAAAGTTCACTCGCACCTTCTTTTCTCTCCTAGCCACCATGAAATAATCCAAATTAACAATTGGAACGTTATGATTCATACGGGACACTCAAGAATGATCAATAGTGCTTTATCCTCAGCATCGTCCAGCAACTAAGCTTCTGGATATTCTCAAAAATCTTTGTTCAAAGCAGTCAATGCTTCATCACTCATGGCGCAGATCTACTGTAGTCTGAGGTGGCAAATTCCAAAAGTTGGCATTGAAAACGTGAGACGAATGCACTTGACAGAGCCATGGTAGGAACTCCTCGCCATCGCAATGACTCTCCATCCATATGAATGGCACACATTTGATTGGAGACATTCTCTTATGAACATTCAGATCCTGTCATTTTTAATTTGGAACATACCAAAGAGCTCACGATATTGAACTTATCTGCCGCGAAAATCAAGAACATGAGCGAATGATTATAACACATGGTAGAAAGGTTTGACTGCTTATGGATTTTGAAAATACTTGTCCAAAAAGCTGAAGTTATCGAACTTGCGAAAGATGCAGGAGATTTGGACTGTTTTGCTCAGCATTTTGGGCAATCCCTTACTTGTAGTAAGCCTTACTTACAGTAAGGCTCTTTGCCCGTTCCATTGCATAGCATAGAATTAGCAACAGTGTTTGGTCCGCTGAGAGTAGCCGCACAAACACCCTAGATTATGATGCCTCCAGTGCCGTCTTACTTCAGCAGTCGCTTGCCCTGGACCTTAACCCCAAATCGCTCCACCCCGCTATGCTGCTGCTGTTGCCACAGTCCCAACTGTCCAACCAGACCTCCATCAGCCTCCATCATATGCCTCCGGAAAGCCTCTCGTAGATGATCTGGAAGTAAAGGACCTCTCCTCTTCTCCTTTTCCGGCGGCACATCATCCTCCGCCGGCGGGCTAGGGAGATCGATCTGTCTGTCTCCAGTGGCCTCGATCCATTGAGTCTGAACTTTTCTCGCGCCCTCGATAAGATTACCAGCGAATATTTTGGTCGCCGATTTGACTGCTAGAATGACACCAGGTGGTACGGATTGAGAAAGTGTTTGGTTGACGATCTATACCAGTCAGTAACTCTCGTCTCGACGAATGTATGCCGAGATAACTTACTCTCCTAACCACGGCATCTGGAAGCTTACTACTTCTCCAAGCTTCATACCTCGCGAATTGCTCTGGCGTGAATGACTGTGTCAGAATATGTCTCCTCTTATCCTCTTTCGCCTTGTCTTCATGCGATGCCGCAGCCATATCCATCGTGATATTATCACCGCCATCGTCGTCATCTTCTTCCTCCGCAGTCTGATCCCTACTTGCGCGGCGCTTGCTTCTTCCCCCGTTCGACACCACCGACTTTGCGCGTGTGCCCGCCACCGAAGAGTTGTCCGCATCTTTGCCCTTCGATTTGCGAGGCTTCTTCTTCTTTGCGCCGGAGCCAGAGACGAGTGACATGGTATCCATGCTGGGTGAGCGCGAGAAGGTAGGTGTGCGGCCGTTGTTCTCGGGTGGGAAGGAGGTTTGACGAAGGGGATGTGCTGAGGAAGTTGCGGATGTGGTAGAGAGCATGGAAGCTTTGCGGCGTTTTATGGCAGGCGCGGCGGATGGCATGTCCGATTGTCTGCGCTTTAAAGGAGCTGGGAGTTGCGCGTTGGGAGGGTATGGAGGTGAAATAGCGGAGGGGTAGCTGTGGTTGTATGGTGGTGAAGCCATGTTACAGGTGAATCAGACAACAGGCAGCCGACAAGATCTAATTGTACGTCGAGTATCCAATACGGAATACAGTCGTACTGGCAGTATAATAGTCTGGATCCCAAAGCTTCTGGCTCTCTTGACAAGGAAGGCGATGTTGAGTTTGCTGGAGTTGATTTTTGGACGTTGTTTCAACGAGGCGAGGCTGAAGTCGCGAATGCAGGGATTACTGTACCAGTACTGTATTTAGCGTTGAGTTACTGCACTGGAACCTTAATGCCCCATACTTCACTACAAGTCCTCGACTCGCGACAACAACGTCACACTCAAAGACTACTGTAATAGCAATCTCATTGTCATAAGATATGAAGTAGAATTTAAGCCATCTGCCATTTCACAACTGCTCTACTGCTTTTAATAACCACATATTTTGCTCATGTTTTGTGCAGCCTCTGAACGTTGAACCTCAACTTGAAGCAAGACTTTCTGCTCATTCTGCATGTGCCAGACATGTCAAGCTCCCTTTCCGACTTATCTTCCATTTCGGCCTATCTACAAAAGCTCTTCCTAGTCGTGTTGTTTGGAGGTGTCCCAGATGGCAACTGTCTGTTGAGTGCCGATTTTAGAGCATTCATATAAATCTTTCAGGAAACTGTCAGCCAATTTGGGATCCTTCGAAGGCTCAGATAACGATACTGTTCTGCTGAATTGACTTGTGGGACGATAGTCGAGCCATAAATAAGTATTCTGATAATGCATGGCTTCTCCAAGGCGGGTTTCGAAGTAGTGTCGTACCAAGAGTATGCTAGTTCTGGGTATTGTCCATTGATTGATAACCTACCAAACAATTTGCGGATCACAAACAAAGAATAGGTACAGCCGGCACAGTCACGGTCATGAATAAATATCAAATGACAACAAATCGGGCCACGAGCCGAAGTCTCCGTGTCCCTAGCGTATCCATACGCCGCGGATAGCCTGACAAAACCTAAAGTCCGGGGAAAGAAACATTTTCTGAAGCAAATCGAAAAAGCGCCGACTCACACCCCACTTCTCCCCCGCCGAAATGGTACAATTCGCGAATCCGCCCTCGAAAAGTAACGATTCGGATTCAGAAAATGCAGTAAAGATGACGGGCTTGAATTCCTCCGATCAAGAGATTCCCAATGGATCAACACTGAGGAGCGGCAGTGGTGCGGAAGAGGGGAGTAGTAAAAAGAGGATGAGGAAGCACAAATCAGAAAAAAGTGCGAAGATCAATGGATCGCATTCGAAAAGGAGACATAGTGTTAGCAAGCCTGCAAGGGATCCTCGCGATGAGGCCAGTCCTGCGAGGACGCAGAAGGAGACTGCTGGGACGAGATCACCAAGTCCGGTAATTGATTTCGATGGCTTGAGTAGACCCAGTATGTATCTACCGTCTCCGCCTCTCTTCGGCCTGCGACTTTTTATTGACATTTGCCAGGTGTGGGAACCAGAGAGAGGAAGGAAGAAACTCCTGAGCAAGCCGAAGCCAGACTCCAAAAGTTGGCTGGCGCCGTCCGTACAATCCTCGAATGCGTTGGCGAAGATCCCGACCGTGAGGGATTATTGGGTACACCGGAGCGATATGCTAAAGCCATGTTGTTTTTCACAAAAGGATATCAGGAGAATGTGAAGGATGTCGTGAATGATGCGATTTTTCACGAAGGGCACAATGAGTTGGTTATCGTAAAGGATATTGAGGTATTCAGTCTCTGCGAACATCATATGGTACCCTTCACCGGGAAGGTATGTTTAGAGATGGAAGATGTGTGATATAGGATGCTAACTTCATGTAGATGCATATTGGATATATTCCCGATAGAGATGTTATTGGAATCTCGAAGTTACCGCGCATAGCAGACATGTTCTCCCGCCGCCTTCAAATCCAAGAACGACTCACTAAAGATGTGGCACATGCAGTCATGGAAGTGTTGAAACCACAAGGCGTTGCAGTAGTGATGGAATCAAGCCATTTGTGTATGGTGATGCGCGGTGTGGAAAAGACATCCGCAACGACCATCACGAGTTGTGTGTTGGGATGCATAGAAAAGAGGGAGAAGACCAGAAATGAGTTTTTCAGTCTGGTGGGTCTCAATAGACGATGATCTATATTTGATGGTTACTTTCTTGCATTTCAAGGCGTTGGATATATAAGGTTGAGCGATCAAGGTCTTCAACACCAGCTCTGGTTCGGCGTTTTATCTGGTCTTAACGCCACACAATCATAGCAATCCCATTGGGTATATTCTCTTTCCCCACAGCCTTTTCAAACTCGTTCGTCAATCATAAGTACAATTCAAAATCAATCAAGGTTGACTCGGCCAAGCTCTGACCTTCCCAACATCTTTCTCAAATCCCCCCTCACTGACTGACTTCACCACTTTCTCCACCTCGCCCCAAACTCTCTCTCCAACAACATCCACCGTCACTCCCGCATCCACAACCCTCATCTCCCTCTCATCTCCATCAGCATCCAACAGACTCTTGAACAATTCTCTAACCCTCAACTGCATTTCCCTCTTCTCATACTTCTCCTCTCCGTACCCACCCCTCTTCTCCGCCTCTTCAGTCTCCAGATCTAGAAACACAACTAAATCGGGCTTGGGAAGTCCTACATCGCATGTCTGGGCCCATGAGAGAGAGAGAGAAGGATTGTTCTTGGCGGCGCTGTAGACCATGCCTGAGTAGTAGTACCGGTCACATATTATGGTGTAGCCTGAGAGCAGGGTGGATTCGATCCATTTTCTGAGGGGTTTAGTATGGTAAGTGAGAGTATGAGGAGGAACTCACGCTTTCTCCCAGCGATTTGCTGAGAATAGAAGGTGGATTGCGTGGTCGTCCATTTCGATGGAGCTTTGTAAATAGCCGTCTATCATTCTGCCAATTGGAGATGTTCGGTCTGGAGCAGCTCAGTTTAAAATTCCGCAATTGAGAAGAGAAAATGTGAGGGGCAATGAAAGAACTATGAAGGAGAAAAGTATGTGACATACCTGGAAATCTAATAGTCTTAACATTGTGACCTTCGGCATAAAGCTTGTCACATAACCGCTTCACTTGTGTCGTCTTGCCAGCTCGATCCAACCCCTCAATCAGGATGAAAGCTCCTCTGGTCACAGGCTTTGCCACTTCTTGCCATGGGTAAGGATCTTCGGAGTTTGTGACCATCTTGAAATAATAGGTATACACGTTACTCCGTGCAAAATATTTAGTACCGAATATTTAGTGAAGTAAGTCACGGATGATCTAAACTGGGGAAGCATATCGTGGCGAGGGGGACGCGTTCGCGCTAAAGTGGCCAGGGCTTTCAGCCTTGTGAACTTTATTCGGACCTGTATCTTCAAGCACGGCGACGAATTGGCTTCCAAATCAACAACGACATTGAGGAGATAATCGCCAGCCCAGCAAAGGATTGTGAGGGTGAATAAAACGCCGAGGAACGCGAGCTTTAGAGAAAGGAGCTTTGCGACAGCTGCGCAGTTGAATGCGACCGAATTCACTTGCCTCGAACCCGACCCTCAAAGGACGCCCCTCGATGATTTGAGCTTCGGAAATTATCATCTTAGCAAAGAGGATCTTTCAATCCAGACAACGAGGTAGTCTTGATATCTATTTTCGACCCATACACTTGACTTCACCACACGCGGAAAATGACCGAACAAAAGCTTGTCTGGAATCCAGACAACGTCCGCGACGTCGCAGAATCGGTCGGCATATCATCACTTAACGAAGATGCCGTCCGAACTCTCTCACAAGAAGTCGAATACAGAGTCGGGCAGGTCATCGTGGAGGCTATGCGATTTATGCATGCGGGGAAGAGGACGGTCCTAGGTACACAAGATATCTCGCAGGCGCTGAAAGTGCTGGACGTGGAGCCGCTTTACGGTTACGAATCTACAAGACCGCTGAGGTTTGGAGAGGCTTCCCTTGGACCTGGACAACCGCTTTTCTATATCGAGGATGAGGAGGTAGACTTTGAGAAGTTGATCAATGCGCCGTTGCCAAAAGTCCCAAGGGATGTCTCTTTTACTGGTATGTTCATTCACGCTGGGAAAAGACAATAATTGACGAGATCCAGCACATTGGTTAGCAGTCGAAGGTGTTCAACCTTCAATACCACAGAATCCTACGACAGCAGAAGCTCGAGCCAATGAGTTGGTACCGAAAGGACCTGGCGCGAACCCCGCGCTGGGAGCCGTGGCTGGGAACGATAATTCCGCTTTCAAGCCTGCGGTCAAGCACGTTGTTTCAAGAGAATTGATCCTCTTCTTCGACAAGATCAAGACGGCACTTCTCGACGATAGTCCCGAGCAAGAAGTTGTCATATTACGGAAATCTGCATTAGAAAGCGTTCGATCAGATCCTGGCTTGCATCAACTCGTACCATACTTCGTACAATTTGTCGCCGAGAAGGTCACCCACTCGACAGGCAATCTCTTCGTTCTCCAACAGATGATGGAACTTACCCAAGCCATGATCGAGAACAAATCACTGTTCGTCGACCCATACGTCGCAGCCCTAGTCCCCCCAATCATCACCTGCATCATCGGTCGCAACCTTGGCGGCGATGGCCCTGTCACTCTGAAAGAACAGTACCAACTGCGCGATCTAGCTGTGTCACTCATTGGACACATCAGCGGCAAGTTCTCCAATTCGAGCGCAGAGCTTCAAGCACGTCTTGCCCGAACCTTCCTCAAGAACTTCCTTGATCCTTCACGGACATTGGATATGCATTACGGAGCTATCAACGGCATCACCACGATCGGTGGCCCAACCGCCATCTCAGCACTAGTGCTCCCTAACCTCAAAGCCTACGAATACGTCCTGGTCAAAGCACAGAATGAATTTGGTGCTACAGATGACAGGGTCATCATGTTGATCGCTGCTATCATGAAAGGCGTATTGAGTCTGGTTGATAACACGGCATCGCCAACACCGGCTACGAATGGCACCAATGGTAATGCGGCGGAGGACCAGCTGATTGAGGATTATTTGGGCACGATTATTGGGAGCAGAGTTGTATCGATTGGAAATCACAAATTGAACGAGGCTATTCTGAAGTCTAGGGAGTTGGCATAGTATGCAGGGGAACTGGAAAAGAAATGGTGCATTTATGGCGCTGGGGCGTTTCAAGAGAGATTTGGGTTGCCCCTGGGGCTGGATCAACGCATCTTGAGGGAAGCGAAAATGTGGTAATATTAGTATGTATGAAATGAAAAGAGGTTTCTCACAGCCGGAGCGTCGACAAATCGGGATAAAGCGCGACTTGGTTGATTGCTCAATGTTTTAATAAGTAATGGAAATACACGAGGTCATGGACTACTGCTGGCACACTTCCTCCCATGGATGGGTATTAGTCTTGACTACATTCCGCACCAAGTAGTCATCGAGAGCTTTGTTCACCGCAACCGGATCTAGACCTTGCACAACCGTGTAGTTGCTCGGGCGAATCTTCCCACCTTTAAGCCAGGCAGGGAGCTCCTTCCAGAATCCAATCGTCACTTCCGGATGTCCTGGTGAGACTCCCAGCACGAGTCTACGCTCGTACCCTGCCGTCTTTATGCCAATACGATCAGGTCCGAAGTCACCTTCAGGTCGACGAAGGGTGATAAGTGTCCCTCTTTTCGAATTTGAGAGTGCAGCAATTCCGAAGTGTTGATTATGACCAGTATTCACTGTGTCAACTGCGTATACTAAGTCATCCCCTACGATGGCGCGGACCTGTTCCAAAGCATTGGTGGCATGTCGGTCTATCACGTGTGTTGCTCCTCGAGCTTCAAGCTGGTCCTTATTTTGACTCCCTGCAACTGCAATAATTCGTCCAAATCCTGCCAATTTTGCAATTTCAATTGTGGCCTTCCCAGTGTTGGAGCCACCACCAATGACTAGAATCGTAGCGGATGGGAAGTCGAAAGAACTTGCGTCTGGGGAGAATGGCGGAGGAAGATTGAGACCGGACTTGGAAAAAAGAGCAATGAATCCAGCCAATACGATGACTGGTATCGTTGATGCTTCATCATCCGTCAAACCGGTATCTGAAACTTTGGCAACAAATCGCGCGTCCGCAAGAGCGTATTGCTGAAGAGCACCAAAGTCACTGGCATCACCTTCATTGACGAATGTATGTCCGAAGACATGATCGCCCACGATGAATCTAGTTGAATGCTCTCCTTCACCAATTGCAATAACTTCCCCAACTAGGTCACTGGCGAGTACATATGGATAAGTTGTAACAAAAAGACCTGCGTCGCGAGTTCTCTGATCGTGGGGGTTTACTAATTGAGAAAACCTGTTAATCATGTAATTCCATTTGAATAGTCGTAAACTTACGTCCAGCTACTAGAACTTTGACCAATAATTGATTTGGGCCTGGTCGAGGGATCAGACGATCACCTAGAATTAAAGGTGCGCCCAACTCGCGAACAATTAGAGCTTTTTGCGACATCGTAGTGTGTGGATGTAAGAGGAAACAAGAGCTAATGATGATTGCTGCAATGAGATAGAGGTTCATAGGCTTAAGGACAAGTCTAAGATTTAGAGCATGGAGGCTTCGTATTTAAGTAAGTCTACATGTCCTACATTTTGGGGAGTATGAATACATAATAGCAGTTGCACTGGAAGCGAAGTTCTGGTCTCATGGAGTGGACTACGCGAAGAGATTATTAATCACTTACCAATCCACTGAACTACATCAGATCAGTAATCCGTTAGGCTCAGATCTTTTATTGCATCTGTCTGTCGATATTTGCTCGTTAATGATCAGAAATCATTTTGTTTTGTTTCGAATTCGTACGATATATCCATTCTTCCAGTAGTTCATGTGCCCAAGACACCACAGGCCTCAGACTGTGAGTAGTATTGACTTGGCATGTCAGTTTGAGAGCCTGAGAATCTGCTCTTGATTGATGAATGACTTGAAGATCTGATTCTTCTGAATATAAGAATGCTCCCCATACCATGTACCGCATGATCAAGGGTCATTATTTCAAGGCACCTTTTGAGACTCTCAGATGCTTGGCAATTTCTTCATATCAGACTGGAGCACTCATCGCCAAGCAACATCTTCGTACAACAAAATCACCTAAAGGCTTTCTTTGATACCTACTGTGGTTTCAATTATTATTTGTCCTGCTATCCCAACTACCTTTTGGGGCCATGTGATATTCGGCGGTTATAAGGTTATCCGGGATTTATGTTACCACTTCACCGACCTGGGCCAAAGCGTCCTGTAACCTGACTTGCTGAATCAATTTATCATTTTTGTACCAGGTCTGTCCAGTTGATGCCGCCCAAAAACCGAGATCTTACCAGGTAAGCTACCGCTCAACACAATCTGAATTATTGAGTGCAAGCCCAATGCATGACTAGGACTTCCTGTGGAAGCAGAAAGGTGGGTGTCCCAGGCTCGCTAATTTAGTGATCTTCGGAGTAAACATCGCTAAAAGACTTAACCAAGACCAGTCGAAGGATGGCACTGCCAACTGCAAGGACTTTCCAGGCCGAATCTCTCACCCAGGGTCGGTATGATGGAATGAGGTCTCGCACTGGCTATAGCATATTCTGCTATTGCGAGAAGAATTAATCCAATCCGTCTCTACTCATGATATAAGTTCAACTCAAATTTTGAGTGATTGGACGCAACAGAAAGTACCGAAATACTCAGAACTCGCTTACTGTCGTTTTCGGCATCCACAATCAACGAAATATTTGCAGACAATCATGATCGTGAAATTCCGGTGTTGAGTTAATACGCTACAGAAAATGGTGTTAGCGGGAATGAGTACAGGAGTGCTAGTTCGAAGGCTTAGAGAACGCGTTAGCGTGACAGCGGACTCTGTGAATAATATCACGACAAGCTAGTAAAATCTTTCGTGTGTGTCTGAAGATTCTAGCAGATCATTAATAGACAGATACGTTTGCTAACAATCAGAGCTTGTTTGGTATAACTAAGTAATTCCACACGTTACATGGATAGTACACTGCACTCTCATGAATGTTGTTGAAGAGGGTCTCGCCTTTTCAATGCAATGTACCATTAGCAAGGTCGGGTCGGACGACGATCACATGTCTGGTAACGAGCGCTTGCTCCAACGCTCATTTTACAATCTGCTGGTGTCTGCGATGATTTCCTTGCAATTACTTAATAGAACTTCTAAAGCCCTCGGACCGTTCCTAATCATCATCATCGAACAACACTTCGCCCAAGCGGACCCTGACTTGTTCGTCGTCCCAATCAACCAAGATCCGATTTTTAGACTCTTCCATCTTTCTCTCCACGAAGAACTCCATTGCACTTCTTTCCCTCTTACTCAATAGGTGAACTCTCGTCTTCCAAAGGCCCTGCTTCGGGATATCTCCTTCTCTTTCACCGAAGAATCTATTATCTAGGTACCTCCAGTAAATAGTATCGAAAGCCCAGCTCTTCCTCGCAGCATAATTGAGCCAAAATCGACCTGTCTCCCAATTCTCCCGCATATATCTAGATATCTTAAACTCTTGCGTCTCTGTCTTGATGCTCTCTTCGGCTTTCTCCATTGCTCGCAGCCAAGTTTTCAGACGGATGTCGTAGATGTGAGTCCAATCATCAATGTTGCTGTGCCACATCTCAGGCACATTTAGTAGCAGCCACCAGGGTGGGTCCAAAGAGAATTGAGTGGGAGCAATATATGCAAATTCCCAATCGATAACGGCAACTATATCATTGGCCTCGTTTAAGAGAATGTTACTTGCTCGGAGATCATCACACCAAATCCTAAAGGAATTTGACCCGCTAGGAGCTGGGGAAAGCGCCAAGGCTTGGCTCTTAGATTGGGCAGACCAATCGTCCTCCTCGAACCCGAAAGTCGATAGCCGACCCTGTTTGGCCAGTTTAAGAAAGAGCTGGCGTGCCACGAATTTGTTCCGACAGTCGTCGGCCGTTGTAACAAGATCGTTATGTTGAAAAACAAGTTGTGCTATGTGCATCTCTGCCAATGCAACATACCATTCATCAGCGGTCCTGTACGTTCTGTCCTTGGAAGGAAGGGTGGCCCGTGGAATATTCGCAAGCTGGAGCATGCTGTTCATGTTCTGAGTTATCGGCCGTCCCCTTACTGAGAACTCATTCTCACTAATTTGGGCCAGAGAGCCGATGCGGGGGAAACTGGGTTTGAATAGCTGTAATAGGTGGACCGCCACTTTGTTGTAAAAGTCCTCAAGCACATTCTCAGATATGTCGGGATTCAGCATGTGAGCCTCGCTGGGGTCCTGCTCGTTAGGCATCGCCAGCGCATGCGACATAGACCCGCAATTTTCAATATGTTGGATAATAATGAAAGGCCCAACTTCAGAATCTGCTGTGGACACTCCGTGGAAGAGAACTCGAGGAACTGGGACCTGAGTATTCTGTGTAACGAAGGTCGCTATTGCTGCCTCCCCGAGTGTCTTTTCACACGGGAATTGGGCTAGGGTAGGCTGAGGCAGTCGAATAATAACATCGTCTTGAATTCCCTCGATTCGTATCCTGTACAGATTGTTGTATCCCCCGATCCTCATTGGGCTGGCTTACCCAGGTTGCGGGTTGTCCGAAAATCCGCGTCACGAAGGATTCTAGCTTGTGAAGTGTAGAGACGCGCCGAAAGAATTTCTGCGACTCTTCCCAGGCCTCATCGCTCTTGTCCCAGGCAACATTGTCGAAACCTGCCCGATCTTCGTCCATACTCGCTCGCTATGTGATTCGTCAAGCTGTGTCGAGGGCGATATTAGAGCCAAGATGGGGGGCAGAAACGAGTGAGGACTAGAGGCGCTGCAGGACCTCAGCCTGCGAGACTTGGCATCACTGACTGGAACGTATGCGAAAATCCACGGGAGAGTACTTTCGCGTGGACTCTACCAAGCGAAACCGAAGAATCTAAAGTAGACAATTTCATATAAATAATTCGTTCTTGAAATTTCAGGATGTTATGCATATCGTCAAATCCACCACGTGCGCTTCCCTTGCCCTTGAATATACAGACAGAATGCAGTCATTATCTACATGAAAACCACTGTAGGGCACTCGCTTAAGTCCGTGGCTGGCTCAGAACTCGCTTATTCTTATTTCCATATCAACAACGATTCAATTGACGATATTCTTAGAGAATGTCCAGGGCATGAAATTCTAGCACCGAATGAATACTCTGCAGGAAATTATAGTGGTGGGATAGAATATACGGAGGATGAGTACGACTTTAACAGCCTAGAGAGCGAAGGGAATTTAGGAATGTGTGAAGAATGTCACGAGGCAGTTGGGCTCGAGTGTGCGCTTGGAAATGTGGAGAATAAACGATAGACATGTCTGCGTTCATTCAGCTTCAATGTGACTTAGCGTCTATAGACTGCATTGTTTTACATGGCGGGCACACTGCACTCTCCTACTTGTTCCCAATTCCATGATGTGTTCAAAATGTTTTGAGTGATTTCTCCCCGCATCATACCCCTCCATTTCGGATGAGTTCTGCAAGCCTAGAAAACCTAAGCAAGAGTGAACACAAATTACCTAATGATCAAATACAGTTTCCGTAGATCCGGAAATGGAATGATGTTAAAGTTGAGAAACAAAATAGAGTTCATTGTGGAGACAGCTCTAACACGGCAGTTGAATCTTGAGTGCATTGGTCGAAATTGGTTGTGTGGGCTACATGTTGAACATCAGACGAACTCGTCTAAATATTTCTCGACTAAAGATTCAGATATAACATATGTAATTATCAGAACAGGTGTCGCTTCATGCGTCGCAGAGAAGTGCTCAAGTGGTGAGTTGGTAGTACGGGAGGAAACAGACACCAAGCCACTGCCAAGGAATCCCGACAAACCTAAAATCAACACCTTTCATCTAAATTCCTCTTATCTTGAAATTTCAGGATGTTATGCGCTCCACTTACATACCACATTCACTTCTATTGCCATTGTTAGCCATAACTTCATAAGTTATACTTCTGGAAACAAGTTTTACACATCTAAGATGCTTCTGCCAAGCTGGGTAAATTCACCCATGGTGTATTTCACAAACTTTACCTACAGTATCCCTTCAATTGTGGAGGTTGACTGTGAAGTGCATAAAATTAGAAACATGGTATTTAACAATCGCAGGTTTCTGCTTGCTTTTCCCTTTCCTTTCGGAGCACTCGCTCATTTCAATCGTTCTTCAACACCTCCCAGGACACTCCTTCACCATGGCTCGCTTAACAACCATCCTCCTCTCGTGCCTCCTATTCCTGGGAACATTAATCCACGCCCAAGAAACTTCTACCTCTCCCCCACCCCCAAGCAACACCCCCACCCCCCTCGTAACCTGCCTCAACTCTGTCTCAATCCCCTACAGCATCTCCTCCAACGCCACCTGGGCAAGCGACATCTCCCCGTGGCAACTCCGCATCACACCCACCCCATCAGCCGTCATCCGTCCCACCAGCTACTCCCAGATCGCAGCAGCCCTCTCCTGCGCATCGGTGACTTCAACAAAAGTAGCTTGCCGCAACGGTGGCCACAGCTACGGCTCCTACGGCGTTGGGGGCAACGATGGAGCGCTGGTCATGTACATGGATGCTTTCCAGAACATGACATTCGACGCATCGACTGGGCTGTTGACGTATGGAGGCGGAAGTATAGTTGGTGATGTCGCGACATGGGCGTGGGAGACGTATGGCGTGCATTTCCCGCACGTGAGAGCGAATCGAGTTGGGCTGGCGGGATCGTCAATTGGCGGTGGTTTTGGGCCTACGTCACGGTTCCTAGGGACGCCGATGGATAATCTGGAGAGTGTGGAATACATGCTCGTTAACGGGACGATCGTGACTGCTTCGCGCACGAAGAATCCTGATTTGTTTTGGGTGGTTCAGGGTGCGGGGTCGTCGTATGGTGTTTTGCTTTCGTTGACGACTAGGACATGGAAGCCGGTCTATGATCAAGTGACGAATTTCACTGTCAGTGTTGGGAACGTCGATATCGATACTGGCGTCAAGGCTCTGCTCGCGATTCAAGAGTATGCTCTCGGTGGTGGATGTCCGGACGAGTTGTCTCTCCGGTGGCAGTTAACTGCACCTCCATATTCTGGCTCAGGGTTCTTCTACGGCGATCCTGCGACTTTCCAAGCAGCCATTGCACCATTGATGGCAAAGCTCCCCACAGGAACTACTCTGACAACTGCAGTGGCTGATTTCTGGGCTATGGAGAACATCGCTACGCCATCCATATCCTCCAAAATCGATACGTTCCCCCCACGGAACTTCTATCTTCAAGCACTCGTTTTGAGGACTGATCAACCTTTCACATATGAAAGTGCATTTGCCCTGTACAACTCCACAACAATAGCATTCAACCGCACTGACATGACAAAATTTGGGTTCATCGACCTCTGGGGTGGAGTTTCTCGCAACATTAAAGACAGCGACACATCGATGGCGCACGCGAATTCTCTCTTCTTGATCCGGTGGGAAGGTCGCTTAGCTCCTGGACTGACAACCTTCCCTAGTGACGGGATTCCGTATCTGAAAGGGCAGATGAGAGTCTTTGAGGATCAGTTGACGAAGGAGGGTGTTCCACTGAGAGGATTCGTGAATTATCGTGACACGGAGCTGACGGAAGCGGAGTGGAGTAAGAGGTTGTATGGGGGAAATTGGGACAGGATGTTGGACATCAAGAGGAATTATGATCCCGAGGGGATATTTACTGCTAATCCGCAGAGTATCCCGGTTTGGAAGCCGGGGAAATGGAGAGAGCTTGAGGGGTGAGAAGGGGAGTGGGCTTAGAAATACCTTTCGAGAGGAAGATAAAACTGATGCTCATTTTTTGTTTTCTGCAAAGAAAGTCACATTAGTCTCGATTTGTGACTTTACATTCGATGCCAGCCTGCATCTTCTGAAGACCGAAAGAACACTCTTCCAAGAAGTTAGTGACACTTGCCGCGCGATCGATGTACCATGGCAAAACAATGTTCTCCACGCTAAACATAGGGTCAGGAAGGAGCCCAGCATGTGACAACTGGTTGCTGGGTACGCTTTCCAAAACTGGCAATTCTTCTCCGGGAAGTTTGTTGTCCGACTCCAATTTGGAGCGGATCATTCTTTCGGTCTCGCTATTTCAGTGCATAGCCATGTACTAGACCTATGCCTCTATGACATGCGAGAGATTTTCAAATTCTGAAAGCTGAACTCACTTCAAGAAAATCCAAGAAGCTTGGAAGATGGCACTTGCCAACGGATATTCATAGCACCATATCTCAATAGTAAAATGTGCTTGCAGTACCTGTAATGAAAGTCTTCTTCAATGATGTGTACAGTCGCGATAATCGCATTCCGCTCCTCCTGAACCAAGCAAGCATCAGCAAGTCTTGTATCGCAGCCCATCCCAATGCTCCCACTATCCTTACCCAGTTCGTTGATCCCAACTGACAGCATCGCCATCCACACCATCACGCCCACACTTTGTTATTTCTCCTCCCATATAACAACAACCCACCTAATATGCCAAAGCCAGGTACAGAGTGCTAACAGCCGTTAACCCCACAACCGTCCACCCCGTCTTAATAACCGTCTGGTTGCTAAAAGTCTTCCCTGTGTCCCATGCCAAATGCCTCAACCCATTCCAGCTATGAAATGTAAATGGCAGCGCCGCCACGAACTTGATGCCAAACTTCGCCGCAACAGGCAGCGCACCGAAAGCTGCGGCCAGACTTGCAGAGTCCAGATGCATGCCTGTGAGAGGGGAGGCGAGGTATGCGAGGCCGAACAGATAGAAGGGGACGGCGACAGTGAGGCCAGTAACACGGTTGAGAGAGGAGAGAATCCAGGTTATTTGCGGGCGGTAGATTCCGAGGTTGGGAGAGGTTGGACGCTTTTTGCGCTGTTCAACGAGGATGTTGTAGCTGTCGGCGGGGGTCATCTTTTGGGTTGCGACGGGGCTGTGAGGGAGTGGTTAGCGGGTGCAATCACATTATATAATCATGCGGAGAAATTCGATATTTTAAACTGGACGGCATTGAAAAGATGATGCTGGAGCCGATATGAAGGAGACAAAGACATACCGAGTCTGCATTGAAGTTCCAATTGCCAAAGGTGCAGCAACCTTCTTGAAGACCAGCTGCGAGGCCATGCCAGGTCTCATAACGACTGATGACCATCAATTAGCATCTGCAGAACCAGCATAATAATTCCTCCCATCCCAGTCCATCCATAATTAATATCCAGCAGCCCAGAGCTCCGGAGGTTGAAGGAGGGGGATACTCACGCCTGCGCATCGCCTGTTGTGTAGCTCTCTGTGCCAACATCTTGCCGTCTGGTCTGTCGTCGTGATCTTCGTACAGCTGCTATGAGAAGTAGACCGACAATTGCTGGCTAGTATAGTCGTGGTGTTGTTGAATTGTCCTGGCAGTCAATCAAAGCAAGCATGAAGCTCAATTGTCGTGTCGTCGTTCCCGGCTCTTTCCACCCATCCAGTCCCTCGGCAACCACCAGCCAATCATTTCTTCCAGATTCCCAAGCTCGCTCGATTTCATGATTACCTCAGCACTGACTAATCACCAAGACCATTCTCAAATAAATTTTCGTGCTTCCCGAAATGCTTTTAAAAGGTAAGAGCATCCAAACCACCACGGCGCCAGAAAATCATGTGGCGACGTCGGTGATATGGCTGGACGGCAGCGTTATGCTGTTGTCTCTTTGCCATGCATAGCCGGTGTTCGGAGAGGGAAGGATCTGTCGTTAATCTCGACCTCGAGGATGCCATCTCGAGGTCGTTTCATTTTATGATCTATATTACTTTGCCTGATTGCTTAATTACCTGGATAAGGGACTGGAATGAAGTTTTGAAATTGAACACGAGAACCTATGGAATTGGGCACGGGAAGGGTTGGGGACAAATGGCACCAATGACGCTGCGATCGTTCCTGGGTGCAACCTTTCGAATGAGTGCGAACAGATGGCCCATGCCCAGTGCTTATCGTCCCCCTTGACCCCTAGTTCTCATGAGGCTTCCAATGCTCACTATTTATTGCTGCAGCCCAACAATGGACAGAATGTACTGAGCTGAGGATGTCGACAGCAAATCTCGAAGCAAATTTCAGATTGTGGTCACGTGGAAGCCAGTCATTTTGAATGTCAGAACTCAGATTTGGCAATTAAATTTTCGTTTATTCATATCTATAATCATTTACCTATGCTCCACTCTATCTGAATAAATTTCGTTCTGAATCGTCCTCGTAAAATCAGAGGTATCTTTCGATGTTACCCTTCAAACATACATTTTCTGTCCCGTAACCTCGACCTCTGCAACACTCATTCTCTTCTCCAGCCCTCCACTCTGCAATCCTGCCCTCAGTGCCTCCTCCTCATCCTTCAACTCACCCCAAACAATGCGGTGCGCCTCCGTAGCTCTCAACTTTCTATCGAAGAGTCTATCAATGCCCTCAAGAGGAATGTTCTTCGTCTCGGGTAGCAAGAAGTACACGAAAACGGCGGAACAGATCATCAATGCCCCAAAGAAGAAATAAACACCGTAGCCCATCGAATCGAACATTTGCGGAGTGAATCTTGCAACTAGGAAATTCCAAAACCAGTTATTGCTCGCAGCGAACGCCTGGGCAAGAGTGCGCACGTTTTGATCAAACATCTCAGAGTTGTAGACCCATGGAGTGGGGTTCCATGTGGGAGAGTAGAAGGCCTATGGTTTTGTTAGTTGGTTGATGGTTGTGGATGTGGGAGGCTCGGCGAGGAAGCGGGTACTTACTGTCCAGAGATAGAAGAAGAATATTGCCGAGATACCAGATGGAGGGAGAGATGTGTGGGGGTGTTCTTGAGGCTTCGCAATGGCGATGTAAGCCCCGACATACCACAAGCAGACACTGCCACCGACCGCACCGATCATCAAGAGACGTCTTCGGCCATATTGATCGATAAGGAAGACAAGGTAGATGAGGGTGAAAACAGTCTTGACAACACCAAAGAGACCAGTAGTGAATAGTGATGTATTGGTTCCTGTGATACCGATAGACTTGAAAATGGTTGGTGAGTAGTAGTTGATAGCGTTGATACCAGAGGTGTTTTGCCAGAAGAAGAGCGAGCCTCCGAGGAAGAAACGCCATTGGATCTTGCGGCTTGAGGCGAGGAGCTTGAAGGGTTGCCAGAATCCGAGACCACCTGCTGCCATTTGCCCCTCGATGTTTTGATCAATGGCGTAGATTTCTTCTTGGATGTAAATGTCGTCTTCCGAAAGGGATCTGATCCAGCAGAGGTTCTTGATTGCTTGCTCTCGCTTGCCCTTGGTCATGAGCCATCTTGGAGATTCGCGGAGCCAGAAAGCGCCAATGAGGAGAAGCCCAGATGGGATAAGTTGGACGGCAAACGGGATGATCCATGAGGTGGTGGAGTGGGGGATAGTTTTGTTGATTCCGTACTGCTTACTGTCAGATTTCGCTCTACGGAAGATTTCGAAGGAGACTTACGTTAATCCAGAAACCGACTAGGCCTCCAATCTGCCATCCAAGTTCGAACATGCAGACAAGTCTTCCTCTAATAGCGGGTGGCGAGATTTCCGAGATGTAAATAGGACTGAGATTCGAAACTCCACCAACCCCAATACCAGCGAGGACACGTCCGCCATAGATTAAACCAAGACCACGGTCACCGTTGGCTCCCAACATCATACCAGCACCGACAGAGAAAATAGCGGCGAACAGAGCAAGTCCAGATGCCCGACCCAAGAAGTAAGCCACGATGTATGCACCCAGAGCACCGAAGAAAGCGCCTGCTTGGTAGCATGACACGATGTTGGCGCTCAGCAAGCTGACTGCTGATTTCGAGAGTTTCTCGAATCCGAATTCGTCCTTAAATGAAGGAAGGGCAATGGTTGTACCGATGAAAGCGCTGTCATCTGAGCAGCTGGATCAGCAAAGTCAATCTTTAAATACTTTGTGGATAGCTACTCACATCCAATCATGACAGCAGCAGATCCAGCAACTGCTGCAACTGCGTAAACTCTCCAGTTGTAGACTGAAGCCGGCGTAGGCCGATCCTCGACTTTGGTGAAAAGACCCATTGTGTTCTCGATCAGGTTCAAGCTCAACAATAGACAGAAGAAGTTGAGAAGTAGTAGTCAATGTGAGTCCTGACTGCTAATGAGCTGTCGATCAGAAACGAATTCCAACCCAGGATATTCTCCAGATCTTATGCAAAATCCGGGGTCTGGGGCAAGATAATGATTCTTCCGGTCTGGCCGTTCGATAAATTCAGAAGAGCTCTATAGCTCTGGCAGCTAAAAGTAGCTCTTTTGCCTCGCCCGCCGAGCATTTTCTTCCCCATCCCGCCCTTCCCCCACTGCAATGCAGGTGATGGCAAAGTTTTCATCCGCTCCACTCTTGAAGCTTCTGGTCTCCACTCCCTTCGTGCCCTCCGTGGACGGAAATTGCTCCATCGGTCTTCGACGGTCGAGATCTGGGGTCGGGTAGTCTAGTGAAGAGTGGTGAGACTTGAAGCTCGACACCAATGCAGGTTAGTTGAGGCCAGACCCCGCGATCAGCTAGACCTGCGATGATCTTGATTGGACGTACTGATCCAGCCCAGGTGCTTGAGTCTTTAACCGTCGCGCGGAATGCTTTCTTGAAGGCATCGACATTGGGTAGCTCGAGTAGTCGGCTGGGGCGGGTCAACATCGATTGGACTCGACTCAGCGCCAGGAGGATGGCTTGCAGCCTTCGAGCTTGGTTGGTGTCTAATATATGGAAGCTTTGCCGAGGACGGGACACGGGGGGGAAGATGGGATAGCCGCGTCTCTTGATTGGTCTCTCTGGCTGACTAATGGAGGATCTCCACAGAGGATCTGCCTCGATGTAACATTTGTTGCATGTCGCAGAAAGCTTCCCTCACGGTCGGAGAAGGCAAATGTCCCAGGAACGAGGAGACGAGTCGAGCTTCGTCCGGCGACGAGGGTTGATGGGCATGGCTCGAGGCACTCCAAATCCCTTGCCCACCTGCGTGCTTCGTAAATTTATATACCCTACCTTGGCAAAGCTTGATGACTTTCGTCCCCTGATCAATACTTATTAGTGAGTCTAATGGCAACGGGAGGAGTAATGGATTAGCTTTGGAATATGTGTGGAAGCAGGTTGGTGATCAACATCTGGGGATGGCGGGGGAGGGCTAGATTTATTCAAGTCCGAGATCTGCTGAAGGCTGGAAGACTCAAGTGAGGGCAGATCATGGCTATTCGGGTTCGAGCCTCAACATGTAAGTCATCAGATCAGAGCTCCATGAATCGTCCAGGGACCCGTAACGACCCAGCGTCCAAGCTCGATGATATGAAGGTCTAGGTACCTACTGGGCAGAACCTAAGGCGACGTAAGTCACATGACTATACTTCTTGACAGTCTCTGTTGCACATCGCAAAGCTGCAGCTTGAAGCAAGGCAGATTTTGCGGCTCTGTGAAGCTTTCTTCCGGATCAAAGATCAAGAAGTTGTGTCGTACGATGCGTCTCTGGAAGCCAATGGCAGCCCGATGCCACCTTCACCCAATTCTCGCTTACTGTGTTGTTGGTTTGTTTTGTTGAGTCAGGGTCAATATTTACCCGCCATCCTCACTCTTGACTTCCAATCTCGGTATACATGCTTTGAAGAAGCAAAGCAGCAAGTCTACACTTCGTCTGTACTCTATCGTAACAGTCCATGATTTGGGGTAGCAATCATCAATTCTTCGGCTCTCCTAAGCACAACAAAGGATCCCTACATCTCCTCAGTAAGCAATGACAAACTCGCTGACAATGTCTGTATCCCATTACGCAACGATACACAACGATACAAGGCAGGTGGCTAGCCTTTCAATACACCTGCTAGACCCTGCTTTCGGTCTCACATCTATCTCTCTCCCGGCCGAACTGCCAGTTTTGCTGCTATTGCTATCTGGATCCAAGGGTAAGGCATAGATTGCTCTTGCAATTCACCAGGCTCAAGAAGTCCACTCGAATACCCATTGAAATCTTTCTTATGTTGAGTTTTGAATGTTGGATATTGGAAGAATCATGACTGGCTCGTTCCCATACGATAAGCTGTCCACCAAGAAGTCCTGGAAAATGGCCCTGGCGGAAAAACCCAGTCCACAAAACTTGAGATTAGTCGAGTTCGAGTATAAGAACTTGCCCGAATGAGTTTATTCCTGAATAACATTGATACCATTATATAGGTAAATGGAGATCCAAAGTTCGCATCCCAAGACATCTCAAATCCGCAGGCTCAAAAGGACGCCAGCGTAGATGCTTGAATCAGGTTTCACCATTAGTAGTCCATGTGATGGATGGCACGTAAGAACAATTTCTGGGCTCTTTCTTGGGACTCAATATGTTCGGTAACATTGCGAATTTCTTGAACACTGACTTGTTTTCTACAAATTGTTTATCGCTAGTGGAGAGAATCTAGGTCTGAAGATCCCGGATCAAAGTCTGGTTTGTTTGAGGGCGGTAGAATTGTTTTCTGTTTTCATCTAGGCTCCTATGACGAGAGTTATGGAAGAAAAATTCTCGAGTTATGGGGGGCTGGGGGCAGGCGTGCGGAATTTCAGTGACCTTTATTAGTCTCATGTTTGCCACTTTGACAAGCTGCGACTGTAGCAATAGAAAAGGGCTCTGGTACGCCTACAAAAAAATGTATTCTGGAAGTCTTCAATACAAGAATGTCATTGGATATGTACTGTAACGTAATTTCGGTTTGTCCGCCTCGCACGTGCCCGACCCTTAGGATACCTCGCAGTCAATTGCAAGCTTGATGACCAACGACCACGCGCTTTGGAAATATAAATTATAGGAAGTATTGGAAGCCCTGACTTCATCAGGAGTGAAAAATTTGATGGATTCTAACTCGCAATACCCGGTCATTCTCCTGGATGACAACAAAGACACCATCCATTTCAGCACGGGAATCAAATGGGCTCACTCCGATGGACGCTACAAAAATTTCTCATAGCTTACCTAAGTTTCAGATCCGTTGCTATTTCAACAAGGGCTCTCTCTCAGCTTAGAACGACCTTTGAGCAAGCATAGGCCATTACCGAGAAGGGGGGAAAATCCACTCCAGGCCATCGTAGTTTGCGCCGAGCTCCAAAACAATGCTTCCGTCAGCGTCGTAATTGATGATATCCTGGGCATAAGAACTCCTGGAAAGCGTTCTGCTGCATTCTGATCTGCATTCTAGTTCTATTCGCTTAAGGTTACGCTACAACAGGGGGGGAAAGGGGGGGGTTGCTTAATCTGTCACATCAGGTAGCCGCTTTTCTGGTACATTGACTGATCTCCATGAGAAGACATTCAGAGGCAAGGTTTTGTATTCTTCATCTATTCCCTCTAGGGATTGATGTGGAACAAATGGTGCTTGTCTGGTTCTGATTTTTCATTGGTCGAGTAATTCATGCATTTGTTCTTTGAGAAAAATACTTGCTAGTAAGCTTTCCGAAATCCTGACGATATTCATGACTAGAGAATCAAAATTCCTATTTCGCACCCAAACTTTGACGTGTAAGTAGGCAGTAAAAGAATGAATCGAAATAAGAACAGTAAAGAGAAGCAGCTGAACAACTACATGACATTGCAATAGGACGGCAGAATGCTTGTAACAGCACTGGTTACGGCATGTACAGTCCCCAATCCCACTTCATTAGCCTCTGCAGCTTTGTGCTCATTGGCCGTCGTAAGACTGAAGATAAGATGGTTCATCTGAGTCTGGGTGAGTGGTTTCTCGAGTGGCCTCCAGCCCTCCTTGAAAGGAAGCCGTTCCTCTTCTAATTTACCGTGTCAGACATATCCTTGTTTGCTGATTCAAGTGTGGGTGACGCTTCGTACCAAACAAGACTTTCAAGTATTCCAATGGAATCTTCCCATCCTTCGGATCTCCCAGTATACCCAGGAACAGTGCAGACTCTCCATAGCCTTTGTAACAGAAGTGTCAATAAATCATGTTTTTCAATTGCCATCAAGTCACTCACTCAGAATAAACTCCTTTATCCCATACTGGAAGTCTTTTCCCGCCTCCTCATGGGATTTCTTCGCCGCCATGACCCTTTCATACCTCGCCTTACTCACACTTGCAAAATCTGTCTCAGTCTTCTCCCCATAACTATTCATAACCCCCTCCCAGACACTCTTGTCAAATGAATGGTTGTCGCCAAACGCGACGTCATTTCTTGAAAGCGAGACATCATGCTCGATGACACCATGTTTTCTGAGATGGTCCAAATCAAAAGAGTGAGCACTGTGGTCGGGATTCGTGGTGAGTGCCCCAGTTGCAAAGATGTTTGCTATTTTGGAGTCAAGGTTGATGGATTTGGTGAGGACGGACACAATTTGTCCTTTAGTGATGTTTCTGCCGTTATGCGGGAGTATATGGTGGTTTGAGAGTGCGTTGATCATTGGACAGGGTGAGCGGACTGGTTCAGATGTCAATATTATACCACACGAGACTTTGACAACCAGCATATCTGGTGAGAAAGGACTCGTACCATCTCCTTCTCCAGCAGGCTCCCATCTGCTCCAGTCAGTGGGTGGATGACTCTCTGGGGTTTCGGTCGCCATTTCAAATGTGTTGTGATGCAATGGCGAAGTGCCGTCCGACCGGTGCAAGTATAGTATTGAGACAGTAGATTGTTCGCAGAAGGGTACTTTTATGGAGGGTAAAAATAAAACGGCGCGACTTGACGTTTTTATAAGTTCCTGTGCCTAAGCAAGGCTGGAGAAGCATTGCAACATTGCCAACATCCCCATAAGCATCCCGCCCTTTCCCCACGGACTACTCGCTGTCTCGGGTCGCACTCGTCTTCTAAGTCGTACCACAACCTTGAATCTGCATATTTAACCCGGCAAATAAGACACAGTTAAAATCATCATGGCAAAGCTGAGCAGGCGCGAATGCATGCATGTAGTTTTCAGCTGGCGATGTAGCACCAATCAGGATGGGAGCTTTTGTCAGACGGTTGAAGAGATGCATTATCAATGCAGATATTCCATACACCATAGCTGCATGACATTTCTTCACAGTTGGCCATCTTGATAAATAAAACGCGACTTTCAAATTCTCGTCAGGGGATTGATTTGTTTATTTTACTCGCTAAAAAGAACTGATGAGATCTTCGAACAAGGATCTAACCTTAACTTACCTACCTACCTTCATAGGGAGGTGCGAAAACGTGACCCGCAAGGCAAAGCCTCCACCAGCGGCAAGAAGGTGCGGCTGAACTTCCGAGACAACTACTTCTTTTGGCATCAGAATCAAAATCTCCGGCCGAAACGCACGTCCATATCATATCATTGATTATCGCAGGGTGGTGGTGCCATCGCAAACACATGGCCAACAGGCAGCTCAGCTCACCAACTTCACCAGCTCCGAACTTGTACCAGCCTCGCTTCAGTACCAACAATGGCACCTAGGGAGCGAACCTGCTGTGAACAAATAATATTCTTACTCTTCGATGTGATCGTCATTGTCGTCCTCTATCCCGTAGTGCTCCTTTTCCGTCTTCTCCAACGCATCTTCGTCCATGGCAACCCTCCCACGACAACCACCACGACCGAGCTCTCAGAAACCAAAATAGCACCCATATCTATCGCGACAAATGTGATATTCTCTGACGGTTACACACCGTATGAAGAAGCTACGCCCTGTTTCCGATGCCAGGCCATCAATCTCGCTGATTTAACTTCTTAATCTGGGTTCGCTCATTGTAAGACATACGATGAATTGCATTTGGCTGCAAAAGGGGGGTGTAAAATGTGCACGTTGTTGATGCTGGCTATTGAGAGGAGTGATAAGAAGAGGAGTGCAACGTATTGGCAAGCATTCCGCGCTACGCATGTGTCGACTTATGAGGTGCGACCTACTTTGACCTTGGTTGCGAGAGAAAAAGCGAGAGAGACGGGGTTGAGGTCTGATTTGGTGGAGCTTCGATTAGAGAGGTCAGATGGATGGCTGGAAGGTCCCAGGTGGGAGAAAAGAAGTGAGCTGTTGGCTGTGGTGGGTTTGTATGCTGATGCAGGTATGTTGACTTTCCTGTCTGCTATTCGTTTAAGAAAGGACAAGAACAACGTGATTGATCCTTGTCAGATTCGGCTGCCCAAGTATTCATATCCGGACGACGAATCCTATGTGAATCCTCAGCTGTAGATGCCATCTCCATGCGCGAGCGCTGGATCAAGGAGATTCTCCATTCAGACGACATCTCACAACGTGATCTCCAACCTACAGTCCAAGAACTACCCAAGCGAGTCCTCGACATATCGTCACAGACAGATGATGAAGAAGACACAATCAAACTTATCGAGAACACTGGGTCATCACCAATGCAAGACCGCTACATCGCACTCAGTCACTGCTGGGGCCGCCTAGGTCACGTCCGTCTCACCGAATCGACACTCGAGCAGATGAAGAGCGGGCTTCCAACGTCTAGTCTAGCAAAGAACTTCCGCGATGCAATCACCATCACCCGACTCCTAGGTCTGCGGTACCTCTGGATTGATGCACTATGCATCTTGCAAGATTCACAGGTGGACTGGGAATTGGAGTCTGCGAAAATGGGCCAGTACTATCAGAAAGCGTGGCTTACGATTGCAGCGGGTATGTCTGATGGTGGAAAAGCGGGGTTACTGGCGAAGAGGAGTCCTCATGGTTTGGCTCACATTAGATTGAAAACGAGGCCCAAAGCGGCGAGAGATTCCAGCACACGGCAATCATTCACAGTATATTTCGCATTGGATCCAATAAAACCGTCGACACAATGCCCAATTCGGACAAGGGGATGGACATTCCAGGAAGAGCTGCTGTCGAGACGATATCTCAGTTTCGAGACAACTCAGACATATTTGAGATGTGGAACCATCGTGCATCATGAGTGTGGAAGGCAAGACGATCTGATGAGAGATGAATCGCCGTTCATGGAAGGCGAGCAGCTTTTGCAGAGGAAAGATTGGTTGGAAATTGTAAGCAGATATAGCAGTCGAAACTTGACAAAGGAGTCAGATAAGTTGCCTGCTTTGTCTGGGCTCGCTCATGAGTATTGTGTTAGATGGGGAGGCGAGTATCTGGCGGGGCTTTGGAGACAGGATCTATGGAGGAATTTGCTGTGGAGGAGAAACGAGACTTATACATTACCTGAGCCGCGACGGCCCAGTGAATATCGAGCACCGAGCTGGTCGTGGGCCAGTCTAGATGGGAGGATCGAGTTCGTGGGACCAGCCAGTATTCATGATGAGGTGAAGATCCTGATCGAGAGTGTGAATATGGAACTGTCCGGTAGAGATCCAATGGGTCAGGTATCTGGCGGGACAATGAAAGTGAGAGGTGTGGTAGTGAAGATGGATGCGTATGGTAATATTCCGAAGCGCCTTGGGATCAAGCTGAGGACGTGCTACGATGTACCTGGTGAGGTCCGGCCCGAAATTCCAGCGAGGGATCAGTATTTGCTGTGGATTTGTAAGACGGCGGGATTGATCCTCAGACGTACGATAGTGCACACTAACACGGGGGATTTTGTGCAGCAGGCTTTGCCGAGATTGGAGTTCGAGCGTGTAGGGTATTTCTCGACAAATCTAGGCTCTGAACTGGACAGCTTCTGGTCGAATGTCAAATTGAACGGCCTGTATGAACAGAGGCGATTTATATACCCAGAGGTGATACACCTTGTTTAGGATATCCTGAGTAACATAAATAAACTTGAAGACGAGTATAACTCGAGCAACTACATCAGGAGCCAGTTCCAGTTATGGGTATATGCTGTGTCTATTTTGAATAAATGTACAGTAACCATGTAGGTTCATCATATGTATTTGTAAGGATTCATAATTCCATTCTAGCTTCCGTATTAGTTCATGCTGTCACAGACGAGAGCTGGCAGACTTACCGGATCGTACAGCTCCTTGATCTGTTTCATGAGCTTGATCATCGTCTCGCTTCGACTGTATCCAATGTAATTCTTCTTCGCAAGTCCCAATCCATGTTCGGCGCTGATACTGCCGTTTCGCTTGGCAATCCACTCATACACGAAAGGCTCTAAAACCTTCTCAACTCGCTTATCGTACCTTCGCACTGCTACATTAAGATGCAGATTAGAGTCACCCATGTGGCCATATCCTACAACGTCAACAACAGGGTGGTCGTCAGTGTCTCCCATAAGACCTGACTCCTTGATCTTTGCTTTGGTCTCTTCGACTAGAGCATATAGCTCATTGATGGGTATCGACAGGTCATACTTGTAGACACCACCCCAATGGCCCAAGCACTCGGGAACACCTTCTCTCCAGCCCCAGAGAGCTCTGACTTGAGTCTCATCTTGCGCAACTACACCATCATTGACAATTTCGTTCTCCATAACATGCTCGAGGAACTTCTCAAGCTTCTCGTTGTCGTGCTCGGAGTTTGATCCACTAGTCTCGATCAGACAATAGAATGGGTGCTCTCCTTCCAAAGGTCGTTTGTTCTTCGTAACTTTGTGAACAAGATTTTGTGACTGGCTGTCCATGAGTTCGAATGCGGACAGAATCTCTGAGAGTTGTCCCTTGGCCTCTTTAAAAGCTTCCTGGACTTTTTCGTACGACTCAAGACCGAAGAAAGCAACATTAATGGCTTTGGAACGCTGAGGGCATATCACAGAAACACCTGTGATGATTCCGATCGTACCCTCGCCTCCAATAAATAGTTGCTTCAGATCGTATCCAGTGTTGTTCTTCCGTAACTTGGAAAGATCATCTACAATTGTTCCATCGGGAAGGACTGCCTCAATCCCTAGGACACTACCATGGAGACTACCATACCGTAATAATCTCAGGCCTCCAGCGTTTGTTGCAACATTGCCTCCGATATGACAAGATCCCTTTGCCCCTAGATCCAATGGGAAGATGTACCCCTTCTCCGCGAGAAAGTTGTCAGTAACTTCCAGAATGCATCCAGCGTCCAAGACCAAAGCTCCGGAAACGTCATCAAAGGACCGTATTTGGTTCATTCGGCTCATGTTGATCACGATTTCATCAAAAACCGGTACCGATCCTCCAACGAGTCCAGAATTGCCACCCTGTGGTACCACGGCCAGCATATTGTCATTGCAGTATTTCAGCACTTTGCTTACTTCCTCCGTCGATCCAGGTTTTAGCACTAGCTTCGTGTGTCCCCTGTATTTTCGCATCCAGTCTCCATTGAAAGGTTCAATATCTTCCGTGGCATCTTTCGTAACGCCATCAATAATAGCTGATTCTTTCCCTAACAAGTCCTTGAAAAACTTGACATGTTCCGGAGTAAGCTCCGCAAATTTCGAGTCGCGTTTGATTTCGGGATAGGTTTCGGATGTGAATTTGATTGTTTTGGAGGACCCTGTTGTTCCCTTTGCTATGCCTTCGGTCTCTTCCGTTGTTGCCGTGCTTTGCAATCGAATCTGGGGTAGAGCTCTCAACTGTCGAGTGCATGGCGAAGAGGCGATTCGAGCTCTGCGAAGAGCAAGTGTGACTCTGGAGCGGCTTGCCATCTTTGAATAAAGCTAATTGACCTCCGAAACTGGTCTCTTGCCCTTGCAACCAAATATCAGACGTTCGACGTTGATTGAAGCTTGCTAGTACGGAATAGTGGGGAGATCAACTTGACCTTAACATTGATATGTCGGCTCATCATCGGACCTCAGCCTTGCCATTCTACCCTAAACCCTTTTAGGGTCAACAGAGCTCGCGCGTCTTGGTGCAGCCTACTCATACCAAACGACCACCATTACGAACATCCAACTCATCCAATTTCTCAACGCCTGCTTCCTACTGCACGATACTTACGAAGCTGCACCTTTGATACCCCCTCTCAATCAAGCATAAATCATGGCGTCAGGATACGATAGAGCTCTCTCAGGTAAGCTCAAGCTCGCAACTGTCTGTTGACTGAAGCTAACAATATTATAGTCTTCAGGTTTGTTGTGCACAACGCGCGAGCTCTAGATATTTTTTAACGATCCAAATAGTCCCGATGGGCATGTCTTCCAAGTCGAATACGCGCTCGAGGCCGTAAAGAGAGGTATGGTGGAGAATGGAGCGATATGCCAGGTCCGAGAGCTAAAAGAACTGCAGGAACATGTGCCGTAGGGGTGAAGGGAGCAGATATCGTGGTATTGGGATGCGAGAAGCGATCAGCCATGAAACTCCAAGATACCCGCATCACACCTTCAAAGATCGGTCTCGTCGATACCCATGTCTGCCTCGCCTTCGCAGGACTCAACGCCGATGCCCGCATCTTAGTCGACAAAGCCAGATTAGAAGCCCAATCCCATCGTCTTACTGTCGAGGATCCGGTTACGATAGAGTACATCACGAAGTATGTTGCGGGCGTACAGCAGAGATACACACAGAGCGGTGGTGTCAGGCCATTTGGAATCAGTACATTGATTGTTGGCTTCGATCCCAACGACAAGACCCCCAGACTGTACCAGACAGAGCCATCAGGAATCTACTCTGCATGGTATGCCAGATGCCAAAGTCGTTTGATAATGTCTAACAAGTCTACAGGAAAGCAAATGCAATTGGCAGATCCAGCAAGACCGTCCGCGAGTTCTTAGAGCGAAACCACAAGGATGATATGGATCGGGAGGCTACAATCAAGTTGACTATCAAGTCGTTATTGGAGGTTGTGCAAACAGGCGCCAAGAACATCGAGATTGCTATCATGGCACCTGGAAAGCTTCTCGAAATGTTGCCAGTAGAGGACATTGAGGCGTATGTTAAAAACATCGAACAGGAGAAGGTTGAGGAGGCGGCCAAGAAGAAGAACACACGAACACCAGGTTCTGGTAATGCTGCGATCTTGACGAGACCTGCTGAGGGAAGCAGTTAGATGAGCTTGTGCTGAGCTTGCACTATCTCATAGAGCCATTGTACAATAGAAAATGAACGATGAAGGCTACTACTAGACTTGCATTCATCCGAATTTCCATCGTTCCGGGTATCTTGCTCCCAATCGTTGTAAAGACGTTGCAGAGCTGCTTCGGACCAAGTCCAGTCATTCCTCCAGCCCCCATAAATCATAAACACCATCCCAATCCCATGCCGCTAAATCAAACCCCAAAAACCCATACCTTTGTCGACGAACCCTCTAGCCCAATTTGTTCGGGGCCTCCTTTACGTCGAAAATAGTCCTCAGCTCCTCTCCCCGAATGCGCTCATCCTTCAGCATCCTGTTATCCACTCTCGCATCCTCACCCTCAACCTTCAACACTGGTTTTGGCGTAAGAGCTTCCAGGACAAAGTGGTTATCGCAGTGAGGGCAGTACTCGTCGCTCTCTTCGAATTCCTGGGCATCCTTGCGGAAGGCTTTCTTGCATTTCTTGCAGGCGAAGGTCTGGGTGTCGTTAGTTGGAGTGGTGCTATGAGGGATAAAAGGGATTTGATCACCATTTCGGTTTGTTGGAGGAGAGGATGGCTTTGGGTTTCTGCGTGGCACTCTGCGCAGTCAAACCATTTTCGACCTGGCACAGTTAGCATATACGTATATCCCAGAGGGCGAAGGGAACGGACAACAAGGAGATCTGATAGAGACCTGGGCGTTGAGAATATGTTTGCTGCAAAGATTAGAACTATCCTTAATATGAGCAGCAATAAACATACCACATGATTTAAGATTCGATCTTCGAAAACACTTTTTATAGATTCTCAATACACCTCGACTTTGAGTTCAGGTATTATCTGCAGCCTGCCGTGAAAATGTTCACGCGTATCGATCAAATCAATCAACGCGGCTTAGACCGCACTAGCGCGGAATGACTCTTCCTGTCAGCCTTGCATGTATATCAACTTCGCCTTCATCCTGACTCCTCGAGTCCTGTGCTCATCCTTTCTACACATCACGGCATCATCTGCGGGCAGAATATTAAGATGCCTCCAAAGAGAAAAGCTACATCCAGTATGAGCTTTCGATTGCTATGATTCTAACTGTGCTCACTAACATCTTCCTCAGGTGTAACAGGCAGCAAGAAGACTGGCAAAGACTCGGTCTCATCGACGCCTGGCCCCGCCACTCCGCGCAGTATTGGGAGTAGCGATGAGTACGAATCGTCAGAGACCGAAGAGGAAACAGAGACGGTAAAGAATGCGAAGTCGAATCTTTCGGTCGCGAAGTACCAGAAGAGACGGGCATCTGGAGTCAACGGTCGAGACTCTGCTAGTCACCACTTCGATGGAGGAAATACGGATTTCTCATACCTTTCACTGAAGCCGGATCATGACAACCGACCACTATGGATCGATCCCCTCAAAGGCCGCATCATTGTAGAGAGCTTCTCTCCGTTGGCTAGCCAAGCCCAGGACTTCCTGACAACTGTGGCGGAGCCTCAATCTCGGCCTCAATACCTCCACGAGTATATCCTCACGCCACATAGTCTTTACGCTGCTGTGTCGGTTGGATTGGACCCAAAGGATATTATAAATGTCCTGAATCGACTTTCGAAAGTGCCTATTCCACAGAGTATCCGGGACTTTATTAATGGCTGCACACATAGTTACGGAAAGGTCAAGCTGGTTCTGAAGAACACGAAGCATTACGTGGAAAGTTCAGATCCAGAAATGCTTCAGCGATTGTTGAAGGACGAGGTCATTGGATCTCTCCGAGTTCACGGAACGGAGGATATCACGACAACTTCCGCTCCCAAAATGGGTGCTCTTGTCATACCTGGAACCAAGAATGCTGCTGGTGTCAACCAAACCACGGACCAAACCAGGAAAGCTCAGGACGGAGATAATGCCAACCAGGAGGATATTTTTGCTACGCTGAACGAAGACGACGATGATGAAGAGGTGGACGCCGTTCATTCCTTCGAAATCGCTGATAATAGTGTGGAAACCATTCAGAAGCGCTGCTTGGAACTTGGTCTACCAGTTCTTGAAGAATATGATTTCCGTGCTGACGATGCGAATGCAAATCTCGATATCGACCTTAGACCAGCTGCCCAAATTCGAGACTACCAAGAAAAGAGCTTGAGTAAGATGTTTGGTAACGGCAGAGCTAAGAGTGGCCTGATTGTTTTACCTTGTGGTGCTGGTAAGACTTTGGTTGGTATTACTGCTGCCTGCACGATCAAGAAGGGTGTCATTGTTTTGTGCACTAGTTCTATGTCCGTGGTTCAGTGGAGACAAGAATTCCTGAAATGGTCCAACATCAATCCAAATGATGTTGCTGTCTTCACATCAGACAACAAGGATAAATTCTCCGGCAACACAGGTATCATCGTCACAACATACAACATGGTGGCGCAGAAGGGCAAGCGCTCATACGATTCTCAGAAGATGATGGACTTCTTAACTGGCAGAGAATGGGGCCTGATGATCCTGGACGAAGTGCACGTTGCTCCAGCACATATGTTCAGACGCGTGACGTCCATCATCAAGGTTCATTCGAAGCTAGGACTGACTGCCACACTTCTTCGTGAGGATGACAAGATCAGTGATCTAAATTTCTTGATTGGCCCTAAGCTCTATGAAGCGAATTGGATGGAGTTGGCTGAGCAAGGTCACATTGCGAGAGTGCAATGTGCCGAGGTTTGGTGTCCAATGACTACCGAGTTCTACTCGGAATATCTCAAGCAGTCAAGCAAGAACAAGTCTCTACTCTGGATTATGAATCCTCGGAAGTTCCAGGCCTGTCAATTCCTGATCGACTACCATGAGAAGCGTGGAGATAAAATCATTGTCTTCTCAGACAATGTTTATGCCTTGAAGATGTACGCTCAGAAGCTGAATAAGGTCTTCATTTACGGAGAAACCGGCAATGCCGAACGACTTCGCATTCTTGAAAACTTCCAACACAACGAGAATATCAACACCCTCTTCCTCTCCAAGATCGGCGATACCTCCCTCGATCTCCCCGAAGCCACTTGCCTTATCCAGATCTCTTCGCATTTTGGATCTCGTCGTCAAGAGGCCCAACGTCTTGGACGTATTCTTCGAGCCAAGCGTAGGAATGATGAAGGGTTCAATGCCTTCTTCTACTCTCTCGTGTCCAAAGACACCCTCGAGATGGTCTACTCCTCCAAACGCCAAGCCTTCCTCGTAGATCAAGGTTATGCTTTCAAAGTCATTACTCATCTCCAAGGCATCGAATCCCTTCCCGATCTTGCTTTCACCACTGCACTCGAACGTCGCGAACTCCTCCAAAACGTCATGATCCACAACGAGACCGACACCGGCGCAGATTACGAAGACGGTGACGATCTCTTTCATCTCGTAGATCGTGAAGCTCCAAGTAAGAAGGGCAAGAAGAAGGCTGGTGCTAGGAGAACAGCTGGCACGCTCAGCGAGCTTGCTGGTGGTCAGGATATGGCGTACGTGGAGCAGAACAAAATCAAGAACAAGGAGTTGAAGAAGAAGAAAGAGAGTAACCCTTTCTTTAAGAAGTTGCAGCGGGATCAGGCGAAGAGAAAATTGGCTATGGATGATAATTGATTGCTCTAGGAATGGATGGGTGGTTGGCGTTTGGGTCGGTAAATTGCATGAGCGTCTGATCTCCTTGGGCATGGCGTTTGGTTAGTGGGATTATAGACAGCTGAGTGGTACGATATAAGAATAAAATAAAACATTAATGATTTCCACGCATAGGACATTCATCCAATTTACAGTCTATCTCAACGTCTCGCATTTCCGTCCTTGATCAATTCCCCTGCTCATTAGCAATAATCGGCTCCAAGTCGATGTAAGCTGTTCACTAAAATTTCCCAAGAGATGGGCGAGAGAGAGCAGCTTTTAGATGTGAAATGCTGTATGGGACATGGAGATAGGCGAAAGATGGAGATTGTTAACAATAAATATCTACCTTCCAACCAGTTACACTGCCATGGCTCTCCCGGTCTGACGCATGATGACTGGCCATCTGGAAATTCGACCTGCCTGTCATTGGTCTGTCGTGGGTCTAAAACACGATGCGTGTTGATGAGAAAGAACCAAATTTCGTATCTCCGTCCCGCGGGCACCCCGTTGCCATCTTGAGGGGCAAGGTGGACGGACGTCTTTGATATCTTTGTTGATTTGGAGGATATCTTTTGGAGACTCAGTGCGTGAGTTGCGCCAGGCATTATAGTTTGTAGTAAGTGAGGTCTGAACTAGAGTTTCTGAGATTCTAGTGGAGATCTGTAAGTTTGATTTGATATGAGATCAGGAGTGCAAGAACGAGTTGGAGCAAAATCGAAGGTACATGACGTTTACTGAATACTTATTTCTGTAGAACGGATATGACGAACTTTGACTGCTCTTGATGAGGCGGCGCGAGGCGTATATTCTGTTATGTATGATGTCGTGAAGTTGAGCTAGAGGATGAATTTCGGTGTGGAACTTGGATAGTGCTTGCTCGATAGGACTCGGCAACTCTTCTTCCTACTGTTCTCTGCTCGTAGAAGTCAAATCTTGCTTGCTAGACCCATGAACTGAAAGTATCGACCACGATAGCTGATTGGTCTCCTCACAAGTCGTTGTAGACTTGGTGATTCCATACATGTACAGAACTTAGTTGCACACTCACCCGGTTTTATATCATGTCGTTTCTACATCTAGATAGTTACATACATATCCCATATTCTCCATCTAATTTTCCATATGTCTACGAAACTTAGATTTTCGGTGACTCTCCCAAGAACCCACCTACCACAGCCTGCAACAGTTGATTCGCAATCGCGGTCCGTGGAGGAAGTCTCAGTCCCCCTTCCACATAGCCCTCCCCAGCTGGCTCCCCAAGTCCACTGGTACCAACCTTCAACGCCTGTCTAATCTCATCCATCTCAACCCACTTCGCATCTTCCAATTCTGGATCATGCTCCAAATGAATCTTCTCGCCATCTGGTAACGCTTGTCCAATGGCTCCTATCATCAGGTTCGCGGGGTACGGCCACGGCTGTGTGGAATGAATAACGACCCGGCCGAGATATACACCAGCTTCTTCCCATACTTCACGCCGTACGGCTTCTTCGACTGATTCGGCGGGTTCGCAAAAGCCGGCGAGTGTGCTATACCAATGTGGTGGCCATCGCTTCTGGCGACCCAGAAGCACGCGCTTCGCATCATGGCTAACCACAGCCATGATCACAGTGGGATCTGTCCGTGGAAAAGAAAGGTTGGATATTCCTGTTCTAGTTACACAAGCGAGGCGCTCGCGCGGAGTTTCTAGGGTGGTGGTCGCTCCTCCTTGGGCGTTGGGGAGGGATGAATAGTCTGTTGGTGGGCAGACCCGTTTCGTGCCTGCATTGACGGATAATGTTGGCTGGCCACAGCCTCCACAGAAGGGGTTCCTGGCATTCCAGTCCAGGAGAGCTCGTGCTTGGGCGTAGATGGCAGCTAGGGTTCTGTCAGTTGGCTGTATAATCAAATATGCCCAATGCTGCTTACCTTCCGGAGCGTTCAGCGTCATATGCATACGACCCTCAATAAATGTCGATCCAGTCGCCTTCGCAGCCTCAATGACTCCATTGGCTTCCTTCTCTACCGTTCCCCTCGGCGTGACATCCACTGCAAAGAATGGTCTCCCTTTGTATATTCCATGCTCGAAACCGTCCTTCTTCTTCTCATCCAATCCCAAAAACAGCACCAACGGTAATGTTATAGCAGAATTATACTCCTTAATCATGTCTTCCTCTGACTTCTCAAACGGATTCTCCCCGATCAATGGCTTAACATCCTTGTGTGCTACATATGCCAGCTGTGTAGGGTCTTTAGCCAAGGGCGCTAGGTCGTTGAATAGCAGGAAGGATGTGCTGGGGTGGACGAGCGCTTTAGTGATGAACTCGTGGTTTGCTCGTAGGAAGGAGACTCGGTTTAGGGGGCTGCCAGAGAAGTAGTTGGCGACTTCGCGCCCGAATTTCCTGCTCAGCATAGAGTCCACGTCGTGGTGCGCGGGGTCGGGGAGGTTGGGTTGGGGGTAAGAGGGCATTGCGTGGATGATTGTGGAATTGACTGGTGTGTTAGGCTTGAGGATTAGAAGGCCTGCAAGCTATTGGTAGAGAGAAGATACTCAGATTGCCTCCTCTGAACTGGGGAAGAGGGGTGAAGGGAGAAGTTACCATCCATAGCACTGGCTATGTAATGCAATGCAATGGTGGGGTCGATACTCCATCCCGAGTTCGGGGATTTCTCAGCAGCTCCCTTATCCCCGAAGTGAGTTTTGTACCGGGAATAGTAAACAACGGGCTGAGATTTTGCCCAACCTTGCCAATTGGATGTACTGAATCATTTTCAGGACTTTGGTGATCAGTAACCGGTCAAATACACTGTACTCCGACCGAAGTACATAATTCCTCCGAGTATCCCCCCGAGATTGATCCGACGACACGTGACCGACTCTGACCATCCAAGCATAGTGGATCTTGATTCTTGATTCTTTTGATACTCGACCTTCTAGTGTTTGAATGTCACCAGAAAATCTAGGTACGTTGGAAGTCTGTCCTTCATCCTCAATCGGCTTCCATAACTTCGAATTGTTCACTGACATTGACAGTGTCCGGGAAGCTCCACCGACATAACCTGTAACATAGCCACCCGATTCAATCCATCTCTGACACCGTTTACGACGTTCCCGGTTTTCCGCCCCCATAGCGACTTCCTCTGGAGTTTGAGTGCCGATCGTGTGTCGGATCTGTAGCCTGTCAGTGAAGCCCAACGTCGTCAAGAAATACCTTCTTGAAGACGGCACTTGCGGCTTTTACAGCACGAGGAATTAAGTCGCTGATGGGGAATGGAGTTCGATCTATGTTCATGATCGATCGTAGTTTGATAGATCGAAGGCCGTTTTTGTGTGACTACCTCGAACTCTTGGTAAGGTTAGGAAGGCGTAAGCGAGACAGTAAGTAAACAATGCCTGCCTGCCTGATAACTCGAAAGGTTAAAACAGTGCAACCTCCGATCGGTGATCATTTCAGGCTAAATTCTATAGCAAAAAAGTTGTAATTTCTTGCCTAATGGCACTCCCTCATCTCAATGAATCGACACTTCCATTGTGTTACTTCAACTAGTTTTCCAGTGGACAAAAAGTCATATTCCCAGAGTACTCAAAAAGCTTATCAGGCGGTCACTATGAATTTAGTAAACCAACCTCCAAGCTTTTCTACCAATGATTACTTCATTAAGTGGAGAGACATATTCTGTATGCTGCGTGTGAGAGCGGTGACTATCGAGTTCTGCTTGGTGATAGCTTCGGATAGATGCTCGATGAATAACATTTGATCAACAGGTTTGTTCTTCAAGCTGTTGAAATGTTTGAATTCTTAGCCCTTGAACAAGGTAGACTTTTCTTGATAATTGCCTACAAACCTACAAGTTAGACAAGTCATAGTAATTTTACAGGACTTTTGATGCCCCGACCTGACCCATGTCACATTTTGGTACAATCAATTCGCGTTAAAATGCACGAAATATAGTGTGACATGCAATATCATCAACAGGATTCAGGTCCATGATCTGAAACGAATATCAGCTCAATGTTCCAGCTGGTATTGCTAGAATGTTCTGCCGATCAGGAGATTTTGGGAGCTGACGACGGGAAGCTACGCTTTGTATGACCACCAGTCAGTCAGAAGGTAGATCCAATTGGAAGTGCGAACCCCAGTATCACATATCTCGCTTCGTTTCGTGGATTCAATCATCTCATGGAAAATATGCGATTCGGGTCGAAAATTACGTCGTGAGCGTGCTGTTATACTGAATCGAGAGTTTTCCAGGCTCTCCCACACTCTTTATACGGTAAGATTAGCTACCAACGTGTAAATTCAGTTATTCTTAATTCACAAAAAACGATCAATGACGTGCAAGCTTTTAGAACCAGTCTATTTATTCCCAGGTAAGTTTGCCGTTGTGAACGCGAACCTTTCCTTGCGTGGCATGACCGATTCGAACTCTCGTGCAACATCGGCTCAGCCCACCCACTGAGTACTCTGTGGGGAACTATTGTAACACAAAACCCCAAGCCACTTCATTATTGGCAACAAACGCTTGCCGAGCCTGTCATATCCCTCTTGGCAGCAGCTAATTTCCACTCAACCAGACTCCTGGGAGTTCATGCATTGCCGAATCCAAACAGGCTCCCTTCCAACCAACAAATGAGAAAGTGTCAAAGATGTCTCAGTCGGGAGGGATCCCCACTCCCGAAATGGTGACTGTGCCGTGTGCATTGCTCATAGCCTATCGATTTTCCCAATACCAACAAATGCCCCTGCCAATCCTCGCTTAACTTTCTCCTCTTTTTGCCTTGGCTTCGTGGAATGAATCCTGGAGATGTGATGGGGATGTGACGATAAGCGCACTGAATCACATCAGTCGACCGATTGTGCCGAGAACCGATCTTGTGGTCTGGACCACCACGGTCGTTGGTCGTTGTTGCTTTTAAACGACGATATCCATTGAGAGGAGTAGCAGCCAAGCCCCAACTCACCGTTGTTGGACTTCAGTGGCCTGACCGACCGGATTTTGGGAATCAGTAAGGTTACCCCAGCCGGAGACTTACCACTTTCATAAAGTCTGCCCAAGATACTGTTCAGATCGTTGGTTGGTTTTGGCTGGTCGTCCAATGGGCGGAAGCTGGTGAAAACCGAAAAGCAAGCGCAACATACGGCAGACGCGCGTTTCCTTTTGGCAGTCCCTGCTCTCTCCCACGTTTTCAAATATCACTCTTTCCGCTGTCGCCGTTTCATCAGTATTGCTGTTTCACTTTATTCGCCAATTCGTCGAATTTTCTAGGAACCATATCACAATCAACGTCCGTCAGACATGGCATCACCTGCCGACTTGCCCATTCTACTATTGCTCACCCAGGATAGCACTCACATCCACTGAGTTCATCTCAATATAAATTTGCCAGTCCCACGGAGATTATGAGGTGGTATATATTGCTCTGCCGCTTCAGCTCAAGATCGTGGGGGTTATGCAACATCCACTTGCCGACCCTGCAGATAATTGAAATCGATAGGACTCATATTGCCACAAAGCCCTGTTCATATAGGGACCTGAACGCATTGGCTGCACGGATGGTGCCATGTTGGCTGCAGGGGATAATCAACCTTGTCTCCAAGATCTGGAGTCTGCCACACCCACGATTCGGCCACGCTTATACGACGCCTCTCCCCTCATCTCCCGTCGTACGAGACAGAGCGAAAGGAGTAACGTCCTTCAAGACTTGATCTGAGCCATTATTTCCCTTTTGGGCATTTTTTGCGAACCGGGGTGTGCTCCGAACTCGATAGTTGATACCCGACCGTTTGGTTCCGACATGTGTGTTCGGTCAACTTCAAGCATACGGACGGGATGCTTTCGGGTTCGGATGTGGGATGGTCGTGTATGAGTACTAGTGGTGCTCTTCACTTGGGCGATTTGAAACGGGTTGCATCCAGAATCAAACCAGATAAAGCTTGAATCTATCCTCTTTTCCTCGCAAGCCAGTACCGTATTTTGACGGTCCTCCGTTCATTCTTCAAAACAAATATGCTCATCCCCAAAAGAATGCTCTCGTCCATCGACTATTCTCGCGTCCCAGCTGCTGATCCACCTGCAGGTGCTCTCGGGAACTTTGTCGATCCACCAACCATGGCCTGTTCTGTTTTAGAGGTCAGCTTATCGTTGAGTGTTGTCTCGACGGTATTTGTGGTTGCAAGGATATACACCAGAGGGAGAATTGTCAAGTCCTTGCAGTGGGATGATTGTGAGTTTTGAGTATCTATTGAGCGTTTGATACTCCAGCTGACAAATAAACGTAGTGTTCCTCGGGACCGGACTGGTACGTTAGTGCTAAATAGTGTTCAAGTCACACATGATGCCTGTTGCTGATCGGATATCTAGTTACTCTCTTGGGTATTTTGTGCCTTGGGAATCCTCGGTTCGTAGCCTTTCCTTCTCAACTCAGACCAAAACATCTCAATAACAGCCACAAAGAAATCCAATACGGCTACGGCGTCGATATCTGGAATGTATACACTACGAACGCCATCAGTTTCCTCAAACTGGACCTCGCATCCCAAGCCATATACCACTTCGCTCTCCTGTTCACCAAAGTTTCCATTCTACTCACACTCTTACATTCCTGTAACAATCCGATTACATCTTCAGCTTTCCAAATATCTGTTTTCTGTCTCATGGCTTTCGTTACATTATACAGTCTGATCTCAATTTTCATTGCCATCTTCGGTTGCTCACCGATGAACGCAGCGTGGGATATCAGGGTTGATGATGCGAAGTGTGTAAATAAAGCCGCTTATTGGTTGGTGTATGCCGTGTGTAATACTTTGAGCAGTTGCGCAGTTCTGGGGCTGGGATTCTTTGTGAGTTTAAAGAGTGGTTTGTTTGGGAGGAGTGTGGGGATCAAGTTCAGGTGGTGTTTAGGATTTGTGGCTGCCGTTGGATGTTTGTGAGTTTCCGGTCTACCCCTTAATCGAGAAGAGAGCTGATTGAAGTAGTTCATGTGTCGTCAGTATTGTTCGTCTGGCCCTCATGGTTCCGTACATGCACAGCGAAAATTTTACGAGGTTCAAAGTCTACGTCGGTTCGTTCTCCTTTCCTCTCCCCACAATATCAGGAGAGCATCGCTAATGTACGATAGCACGCTGGTGGTTAGTAACCTTTCCCCACACACTCTCCGATGTCGAGTCTTCAAGTCGTCCATGTGATGCCAAATTCACTCAGCTAACATGGCCCAGCGAAATCGAACTCAACAGCGCGATTATCTTCTCCTCCCTCTTTGCTCTTCAACCCTTATTCACAAAACTCCTACCAACACTCTTCCAGCCACCCTCTTTCACACACTGCCGTAGCCGCAAAATGTCCTTGTCGACATCCCAACCATCCATCCCCTTGAGCCGAGTCTCATCGCGGCGAAATGTCTCGTTAGAAGAGAGTGGAAGCGGGTTGACAGGAAATGATGGCATTGATAGTGGCGACGTGAGCAGTTCTGGTGTGGGTGCGATTATAGGCGAGAGGAGAGTCCTTGGAGGTAGTTTTGGGAAGAAGAATGCGGTGATCAAGACAGTGGTTTATGATGTGAAGTATGAGCCATGACTTTTATTGAAGGGCAGCAATTTCGAGGTTTGGGAGTGGAAACTGCAGCAATAAATTCTGGTCTTCAGGCTTGTGGTAGTTGAAGATCAGTATGTATTCGTGGAGGGGTTGTGGCTGATGATGTATGAGCCCCCGAGAAGGAATGTTGCGAGATCAGGAGTTGATTAGTCGATCAGTCGAGACTTCTCTGATATTGAGCATTTTTGGGCTACCCTTTTGATTCCGTTCTCGTGTTGTACTGTCGTTCACCTTTTTTCATTGGCTAGGATAGGTTTTTCCCAAGTCTTTCCACGGATCTGCTGTTGCGTTTCATATACCAAAAGAAGGAACAAGGATCGCAAGATCTGACTTGGTTTGAGATTGATTTTCGGATCAAATTTGCGACGGTTTCAGTGGCTATTTGCAATTTTTGTCAATTTTAGACGGCGATGGAGTTTGGAATTGGGAAAAGAAAGAATTGGATCATAGTTGCTTGCCGCATTCCCTTCTTCATTTATGAATGAAAATATAGCACGGTTGAATGACGCTTAGCCTAGAGACTAAGGAAGCAAGCGGAACCTGTTGGGTACAGTAGCAATTCAGGATGATTTCAAAGACTGCATGACCTTAGAAAGATATTGAAAAGATAATCCTTTGGAATAGCTCTCGACTTTTCACGCTACGTTGTCTCACCAACTCCACTCGCAAATCGCCAGCCCACCCCATACAGCCCCCAAGGTGTCTCAAATCCCTCAAATAAACATCAGCCAAATCAAAGACAACTCCAAGCCGTCCAGCTCCACGCTTTGTCTAGGTATCTCAACATTCTCAACACTTGTGCCCCAATCACCAACCACCTCCCACCCCTGCCTATCCTTCACTTAATAGCCAGAGTTCTCCTCATACTCGCCACGACGACGTCCTCCATACCCACCAGTGCCTTCCTCACGCTGCTGTCCATACTCGCTCTCCTCATTGTCCCCACGACGACCACCACCATATCCCGAACTCTCATTATCATCACGTCTAGAAGATCCATACGTATTCTCACTTCGACCATACGAACTCTCCTCGGTCTCATTGCCACCTCGTCCAGAACGTCCAGATTGTCCATAGGTATTCTCAGACTGGTAGCTGGATTCCTGGTCTCGGCCTGAAGAACCGTATGTGTTTTCTCTGCCGCCGTACGATGACTCTTCGTTGTCGCCTCGTCCTGAACGGCCTGATGAGCCGTAGGTGTTGGTGTTTCCGCTGTCATATGACGTCTCTTCGGTATCACCACGTCCTGAACGGCCGGACGAGCCATAGGTGTCTTCTCTGCGACTGTGTGATGACTCCTCGTTGTCATCTCGACCAGAGCGGCCAGAGGAGCCATATGTGTTCTCGCTTCTGCCGTACGAAGATTCGTCGTTGTCATTTCGGCCAGAGCGGCCAGAGGATCCGTATCTGTTCTCGGTTTGGTAGGAACTAGTCTCCTGCTCTTCTCGACCAGAACGTCCTGATGAGCCGTACGTGTTACCACCGCTTCCATAAGAAGATTCATTATTATCACCACGACCGTATGAGCTTTGCTCGTTGCGACCATAAGAGGATTGCTGCTCGCTCTGGCCATAGCTTGACTGCTCATTACGGCCATACGAAGATTGCTGCTCGCTCTGTCCAGATTGGCCATATGAGCTCTGTTCGTTGCGACCGTAGGACGATTGTTCGGTTTGGTTGTTGTTTCTGCCACTTTGACGTAGAGCATCAGCATCAACGCCAAGCTTTTTGTCCAGACCGGTCTTCTCAAGAACCAAGCCGGAAAGACCACCTGCCAGAGAAGACAGAGCTGAAGCACCATCCTGAGCAGAAGGCACGAAACTATCTTCCTCCTTTCTTTTCTTGGGGGCACCGTGGGAGTGTCCGCCCTCCTCGCTCTCTCCCTCGTGGTTGTTTCCAGCCTTGACACCATCGAAGCTTAAAATCTCCTTGAAGTGCTGCTTATCAGACTCATCCTTATCCTCCCACCACTTCTTGACAGTCTCAAACATAGCCTTCTGACCCTCACGGTTCTCGTCACGGAGAGCGGGGTGGTGGAAGACTTGGAGGATATCATCAATGGTCTGACGAACATCCTTGCCTTCGTCACTCCAGGAGTCAACGATACGGGGCACGACGAACTTGACTGTAGCACAGGCAATTTGTCCAGCGATGGTGTTGAGAACATTGGAGAAGTGATCCTTGGAGAGCATGGAGTGGGTGGGGTCAGTGCTCTTGTCGTTCTCGAAGACTTCGTATTGTCCCTTCTCACTGGTCTTCAAGACACCCTCGGAGGTAGACTTGAGCTCGACTCGGGCTTGAGCAATGATTGGTGTGACATATGGAGCTAGGAGGGAGAAAACGAAGATCTGAAGAGCTCCGGTCATGTTCTCGAGAAGTTCATCAAGGCCAGGGACCTTGGAGATGACTTCCGTAACGCCCTTCATGACTTGGTCGTGGAATTCCAGAATTGGGTACATGTCTTTCAAGGTCTGCTGAGCCTGAGCCTTGGCTTCCTCAATGTTGACACCGCCCAGGGAAGCATTTGGGTCAAGAGGATGTTGCGCAGTCTCCTCCTTCTTAGCAGCAGCAGCTTGCTTGAGCTCATCAGCCTTGCTTGGGTCAGGCTTGTTATCGCTCTCGAGCATATCCCAAGGGACCCTGTCAAGAATGCTCTTCAGGACCGAAGTCTGGTCATTTTGCTCATCGTCTTGGCTGGCCTTGTTGAGCTGGGAATCTAAGCCTTCAATCTCGGATTGTGCAACCTTGTCTCCCATCTCACCGACGACAGAGTGGAGAAAATCGGTCATTCCAAAGGTCCCGGTGACGAGTGGGAAGATCTTCTTGCCCTTGACATCCATCTCGGTGCTCTTTCCGACGTGGGGGAAGGCATCGACGCCGAGCTCGCGGAGAGCAAGTTCGGTGTAATTAGAGTGAGCAGAGAAATCTGACAATTATTAGCTTTGAGTTTGAGCTTTTAAAGATAACTCGTACCTTCCAAACAGTGCAGGCCAGTTCCCAAGAGACGTAGTGCCTCGTATAGATCCTTCTTGTCATTATCGCGGTGGTACTTTCGTCCCAACTCAATACTCTTCTCGAAAAGACTACGAACCAAGCCAGCTGAAGTAGTGCAGCCAGCATTCTCAGAAGCTATGTAAACTTTCAGTCCAGTTTCAGGGTCAATAGCAAGTTCCTGCTGCTCGTTGACCGGTCCACGAAGACGCTGATCATATTGTCTCGCATCTTCGTTATCAGCGTAGTCCTGCAGATCAAATTAGCCCTGCCCTAATGTCTGATCGTCTGTCTCCATGGGTTATCACGTACCTTCGGGTTATCAATATGCTCCTCAGGACGATAGCAGCCAAGTCTCTCAGCGGTAACCTCGAACTCGCCCGTGGCATAGCCAAAAGTCAGGAAAGAGAGACACCAAAGCAATACACGGATAGTCTCAGCAGGAAGCTGTTTCAATCCGCCTACGTCAATAGCTTGAGAGTAATCACGCAGCCAGTTGCCAAAGTAGACGCGCTTCACATCTAGCTTCTCGAACTTCTGATTGCCGCCAGCGACCATGATAAGCTCTAGGAGTGTGTTCTCAATATCGCCATGGCGATAATTGACTGCGTTGATCTGTGTCACTTATTAGCTTGATGATCATGGGATAAGTTATGGACTACCGCCTCGACGGTAGTGGCCCCTGAGGACCAGCGGAGCGTCTTCAACCCCCAGATACTCAATTAAGTGTATCTAAGTGTTTGACGCTCCGCTGGCCCTCCGGGGGCCACTGCCGTGGAGGCGGTCTCTTTGGAACAGAGAATCGATTGATTCTAGGAGTTCTTCTCACCTTTGCAAGATCAACGATATCTCCAGCTCCAAAGGCTGCGGCGGGCGTAGCTATGAAGAGGAGAACCACGCTGAAAGCGAGGAAGATGGAGGTGTTTGCCGACATGATAGGTCACAGCACGATGCTCTCGATCGATCGCTCTTGTGTTGCAGCCACAGCTTTGAAAGTAGATAGTCCAAAGTGAGTTCCAGCTCAGAGTCTAGTCTGAGAAGTGGCAGAGAGGTCTCGAGTTTGAGGAGTGAGGATGAGGATGAGGTATGAAGGTGAAAAGAAGCTGAGGATTTTCTCTTCAGAGCAGGCCGAGCTAATAGAGGGGAAGGAAGGAAGCTGAAGCTTATCGCATGATGGGCCGGTGCGAGGCGAGGCGGGGTTGGTTTCCTGCCCTGGGCGGTGACGCTGGCCGTGCAGCGAATTGCAAGGGTCACGGCAGGCGCTTGCATGCAATTGCGCGCCAAGCTCGACGCTGGTCCTGTCGTTGTGTCGCACCGGCTCGGTGGCAGCAACAGATATCCATCCATAGCTGAAACCAGAAACCGTGCTGCAATGGCTGGACATTCATTGGGTTAGACGTGGCGCCAGAACTGGACACGCAGCAGGAAACTTGGAAAATACCCAGTCGGCATGTGATTCAAAACTATACTGTACTGTAATACTGTACAGTATAGTAGCGTTGCGGGCACAGCATGCATGCATGCAGGCAGTCTGGATGGAGGTGCAGGGAAGGGAAGTGAGAAGTGAAGTGAAGATATATTTGAGTCAGGAAGGATGTTGTCCTTGGCGCCAAGCGGCTGTTTTCACCCTAGTAGCCGAGCCCCTCGAGGTCCCGTCCCCGCCCAGCTTGAAAAGGGGGCGGGGTGAATCCAGTCACGGGATATGCCTCTCCTCCACTTCGTTCGGTTTGTTCCCTTTCCATCCAGGTTCCATTATCTATGCCTCGAAGCTTGAATAACTAGTGATGCTGCTCATCTCCCTCTTCCCACGGCCTCTGCATCTCCTCCCAATACCATCGCACTCAAGCCGGGTACCTCGCCCTAAAAGCATCCATCTCGCTCTGTAACAGCGGCGTAATTGAGCCATGCTTTAATCCTCTTGGGAAGCCTGCAAACCCAGCAGCCACCCAGCTTCCCGCTTGCTCAATGTTGGCTGTCTGAAACGGAACGTACTCTTGATAGTTGTCCAACAACAAATAATACTTCCCCTTCTCCAGGTTATCTTCAAAGGCCGCGGGTCCCTCCGACGGTGACGAACTCGATACATATCCCTCCACCCTCTCCCAATTCCCAAAAAGTCCCCCCGTGGTGAGCTCCTGATATACCTGGTTCACAGTCTCATTCTTGATGAAGCGCGCATAGTGCCCGGGCGTACCGAGGTATTGGAACTCCTGGTCGATGACAGGCGTACCTGGGATTGCGATGTAGTCCTGGGGTGCGGAGAAGGTAGTGAAATCTTCTGTAGTCGCGAAGCGAATTCGATCAAAGGAAGCGGTACCGGTGTGAGAGGTGTCAGAGGAAGAGTAGAGACGAGAGGCCCAGAAGACGAAATACTGTGATGTAGCGGAATCATAAACTACGGAGGGAGCCCATGCCATTCCGGCCTCGGGAGCTTCGACACTATACAAGACGTCAATTTGAAGAGCTTGAGAAGATGGCTGAAGATTCCATGAGGAAACTTACGTGACGAGTGCTGGTTGGGACCAGTCCACCAGATTCGAAGATCTCCATACCACAAGTCCGCGACTTCCGTTTCTGGTCACTGTATCCCAGGAGAAGCCCGAAACTCTGATATCGAGATCTGACAACCCACAATGTCAGCCATATATTCAGAAACCCAGAGGAACTCAGCAATCTTTCTCACCAGTAGCAATGACGAACCACTCCGTGCGATCAGGATTGTGCGTAAGGAAGATATCTCGAACACCCTTGGTTCCAACAGTTGAATTCAGCACTGCTTCACCACCATTGGAAAACTCATATTCGCCCGGATTGTTCCCGACTGACAGGTGGAACTGTACAGCCGGGTTTGCGTCTGAGAACGTCGAGATAAGATACCCAGCATATTCTGAGGCAGCAGCTTCTGCAACAGGAGCTGCTGGAGCAAGGCCTACAAGGGACAAAACGATAGAAGCCAAGAATGAGAAACGCATTGCGAAGGTAGGTGATAAATTCCTCGAAAGCTGGGGAGACAAGAAAGGTCTTGATCTGAAATGTTGATGGCAAACATCGGGCTTTTATACCAATTGTCCTCGGGCTTGGCATGCCCTGAATTCCCAAATAGCGACTTGAGATCTTGGTAATCAACGAGTCTGGGGATCTCCATGATGAAGACAAAGTACACATGGTCTAGGGTCTTGGAAATGCGGGGTGTATCTTCCCCACTATCAGATGAGAGGCCCGCATACGGCGCAATTGAGTCTGCACACAAGACTTGTCAGGCGCACAAATCAGAGGCACCGGATCGTCCCCTAAAGTTTAGCGAACTCGCGAAATTCTAGAGTTGAATTTTGCTCGGGCCTATTGTGGCTCATGTCCATACGAGTACTTCGGAAGCTTGCTTTTTGGCTCAGGCAAGGCAAATTCGTGAGTTCGTTTCAACACACTCCTCCTAGTCGTTGTTTGCTGCCTTAGTTCTTGATTAACTGGCGCCCCCTTCCTCAGTGGCTTTGGAATCGAATATCAACATAGCGTTCCACAAACAGGACAAGCCCTGCCAGAAATGACCCAAACATCCTGCCCACCACTAGAACACATTGCACATCGCTTGCCCGTGAGTTTTGATCCTTTTTTGGTCCTTTCATCAAGTTCTCTGGCAGCGGCTTCAGCAACAGCCATTTCAATCCCGCGTTTGCTCTCCCTTTCATTCTTCTTAAAGATCAAATCCGTTCCTTGATTATCGTCCTTCGATGAGAAATTGGTGGTCTGGCTCGCCGTCGGATCAAACGTTCCTTTTCCTTTCCCTTTACCTTTTACTGTTTCATCTGAATTACTTGAGCGCATCGATAGATTGGACTTCCCATCCTCATTCGCTGAGGTTGAACGATCGAATCTCCTCCTCAGACTTTCGGTTCTTGGAAAGTCATAATTCATGCGATCCTCCGCCCGATCTTCGTTTAGCACAGAGCGGAGTCTGTTAATCACAATCTCTCCTCCATCATTGCAATCAATCTGTGTCCCACCAACCGTGACGCGCGCCCCTCTAGAAATCTTGATAGTGACATCCTCGTCTTGTTCCTTGTCTTTTCGCGTGCGAGTGGAAGCTGACTTGTAATAGCCACTCTCCTCTCTAGACGTCACACTGCTCGCACTGCTAGTGCTTGAACGCCGACTTCTTGTGTTTTGGCTACTTCTTGTACTCTGAGTGTCGGCACTGCTCTTTGTACTTCGAGTGTCTTGACTACCTGGAACTTGATGCACACGGCGTCTTTTCATAGAATCGATTGTGAGCGCCGCCAATGGTGCTCCTGTCATATCTTGCTGGTATGTAGCTGCTTTACGTATCTTCTCATCATAGCTTTCAACATCCGCTGTCATTTGACCACCATGGTAGCTTTGTTGTCTGTGTCTTGTACCGCTTGATGCAGCCGGCTCTATACGTAATCCTGAGGGTCCATCAATGTTATACGAGACTGAACGTCTATTGGCTTGAGGACGTTGTGTATACGAATTGTCATATTGCCCCCATTGTCGACCACTCGGCGGTGGCGGCGGTGGTGGCGGAGCCATGGGTCGACGATCTCCTATTTCGGCTTGACTTCCTGTCCTTCTTAGCGGGGGAGTCGGAATTCCGAAATTCCTGGTTCCAATAGCAGAATTCGCCCGTGGAGGGATATGCATGTTTTGTAAATCGGTGACTTCATTCGCAGAAATATACTCATCATCGATGACATTGTGCAAAGATCTTTGATCCCTTGAGGTTGGCGCTGGTCCAAATCGTGTGCTCAATAATCTTGACTGTGGTGAGAATGGGTCATGGAATTGAGCTCCAGCTGTATGTGTTATCGGGGTCTGCGTCAGTTGTTGGTACTGATCTGGATAATAGCCTGGAGTTTGATATGAATACGAGAAAGGAGCTGGGTAAGTGTGTGGGACTGGAAAAGCTTGCATGGGAGGATACGTGGGTGCTGTCCCAAGTGGAAGTCCTGAGGGATACCCACTAGGCCCTGTACCATAGTAGCTCACTGGGCGACTCGCCACGGTGGGACTGGCTCGAGTACGTAAAGGTATCGATTGGGATATCAGTGGTAGAGTATCTCTGGTCCTAAGGTGACTCGTCTGAATTGACGGTGGCTGAACGTTACCTATTGGGCGTGGTGGCACACTTCCAAAGTTGCTTGGAATATGACGACCGCTTGTGTCAGAACTGTTTACATCAATGGTGGAATACTGTGTCGACGATAATGGCCTCTCGCCCTTCTGAGTCTTTTGCGCTCCTGGCCGCGAAGACTTCCGCTGCTTGACTTTGGTATCTTTCTTGAAATGTTCCTTCCTGTCTCGTTTGACCGATCTTCCAGGTGCTCGAGCTGGAATTAGGCTCACTGTAGGGTTCATTGATTGATCTGCGGATGATTGGGCTCTGGAAGTGGTAAGCTTTCCAGAGGAATACCCGGAGTCGCTGATGATGTCTTCCCGCTTTGATCGCGTCCTCAAGAGGAGATCATTCGGTTTAGAAGCCTCATAATAGGACGCGATTTTCCTCATAGATGAAATCACATTTCCTTCTTCGTCAACATCCTCAACGTATGCGGGTCTGGCTTTCAAAGATCTCCCTCGATTCGGATCCGGCTTCCCCACCACTTCCATAGGTTCAGCGTGCACAGGCTCAGGTATCGAATGGCCTGGTATTGGCAAGGAGGAATTCATTACCTGCTGGGCTTCAGATCCGGCCGTCAGAAGCTTATCAGTATCAATGTGTCCCCAAAGAGCCAGTGCGGCGTTGCGTGCTGCCAGACTTCTTGTGAGCAATTGGACAGACTTCTCGAGAGTTGTCTCCATGTCCTGGAAAATATGCTCGGATTGAACAAGGTAAGCAGATCCAGTGCCAGTATGCCCCGATATAATATGGCCGTAGACAGCTCCAGTCCTAAGATCGCAGACCCAAGACCCGCAATCTCCGTCATCTACAACTATCAGTTACTATGCAATTTGTGGGCTTTCTTGAAACTTACTGAAAGTGCCCATGCTGAGAACCATTGTCGATAATTGTTGAAATCCTCTCTGTCTGGCAGCTCTCTTGTATGCAGTGACTCCTGAAAGCCTTCCTTGCACAACCCCACTAGATCCTGTGCACACCACAACATCAGCATCCAATGATCCGTGTGCAATCGAGTTTGGGTATATCAGATTGTTGCCACATCTCATATTGTTTGCCATATATTCGTCTGGTCGAGGAAACCGAAGAAGTGCTGGGTTCTCCACTTTGACCAGAGCCCAGTCCAACCTCTCGTCAGGGTCTGAGAAAGCGAAGAGCGTTCCGTATCGTTCTGGAATACTTTCTAACACAGGATCTATTCGAAATTAATCGACATACATATTGAAAGGCATTAATGAAGAACCTTTTTGCGTTATCAAGCCTCTTGCTGCTGCTGAAGTTTGTGTTGATCCCGAGCTCAAGCTGGATGTGAGTGACTTCCGTCTACGTCCACCAAAGTCGAAGTCATTTGTGCTGGGAGACTGACTAGATCCAGAAGACATGCTGGCTATGCAAGATTTAGCTTGAAACAGTTATATCCGAGGGAAAAATACCTTGACTGGTCAATTCTACCGACTCGTCTTCGTCCTCGGAGCTTTCGAAAGGATCACCGCCTCCGAAAAATGAGAACTCATCGTCAGACACATCGCTAGAACTACTTGCTTTGTGTTGGGTGAAAGCATGGCCAGCAGTGACCCCGTAGAGGGTCTCGTCGATGCAAATGATGCCTCCGATTGTGGCCTTTCTTGGGGACTTTTTCGGGCCGAATGATACCAAGACGGGTGTGCCGCAAATCCGAAGTGGTCCATTCAGATAGACACCCGCTGGTAAGAACAACAATTCGGCATCTTCTCCCTGGGCAAGAGGTTTGGGGAGCCTAGAGTATTCTGCCATGTAGCCACCTGGATAAGCGGCCAAAATGGACTTTTTCTGCACCAACGCCATTGCCTTCTGTCGGCAGGTTTTACTTTCGCAACTGAAGATGATTGTGGGCACAGTGCTAGTTGGCTTTCGTCCCACCATAAACATTTCAAATGTGAGGTCAGAATCTCCAGCATCCAAGTGCTCGAATTGATCGTCCAGAAGGCTGATAATCGGCTTCGAGACCGCCTTCCAAACCACATGGGCAGGGCTTTTGTCCTTCACCAGCCAGCATTTGTAGCGTCCGAGGATGTCAAGAGATGCACATTGGGAGCCGACAGATAGCTCTGGCTGCCTCCATCTACATTGTGGAATTTGAGGCATGACTGGAATAGTAACCACGCGCTGAGGTGCGACCGACAACACTGTGCTTGCGCGTGATGACAGCATGAAGTTGAACAGTTTGCCCTGGAGGTTGTTAAGGCTATCGACCAGTTCAGTTCAGTTTATGGTGCCCGTCAGAGCCCGTCTCAGCATCATAATGAGGATTGAATGGTGGTGATGCGTAAGAGGAGGCTGTAGCTGGTGAAAGAGGAGAAGGGAATTATCGTCCGCCATGCCATGCAAGAGAGGCTGTTCAATAATCAGAGCCACCACTGCACTTTGTGTGGTCTCTTGGGGCTCTGGTAGGAAGGACCAATCCCAGTATGCGCTCTCTGGGGCTGAGCGTGTCACTGCATGCGCCTGTCCTGGCCTGCATGAGAGGCCTAGCCGAAAACCCACACCGAGTTCAGACCATACAAAGAGTGCGATGCAGTCCTTCGTCTCAAGGCAAGTACTGCAGTACTATACTCCTTGGAATAACATACTTTACCTTGTGCTTTGATAAAATGGACTCGCTTGACTTTCCCCTCTCAACGAAAACAAAAAGACAAGTTCTAGCAGGTATTGGGAATTGCAAAGTCGACTCCGTTACCATTTCTGAGCTTCTTGCCTTCAGCGATAGCTTTTTTTCGTACTATGAAAGGGCTTTGGAGAGCTCTCGGTCTAACAGCCTCGTCTCATCACACCTAGATATTATTGATTTGCTTGCAAAGGCTCAACAAAAAGATGGGGGAAGGAGCTCGGTAGAAGAACATCTCCGACAAAGAATTACCGATAACGAAGCAGACGAAGCAGACGAAATAATAGAAGACACAGTTGATCTAGCACTGCGTCTCGTGCTAATGGTACCTACTGGCGGGTTCTCAATCGCCAATCGATCCGTTACGTTGTCTGGAGGAACGAAGTTGAACTGGAAAGATGGCAGCGTACATGACCTAGTCAAACGAGAATTTCCAGTGCAGAATAGTATGAAAGAACCTGTGAAACTAGAAAGAATATTCAACGCAAGGAATTTAGAGCGTATTGCGGGAGTAGAAGTCAGATGGACAAGTAACCTCGCCGATCACCTGAGGATGAGAGACGACGATAAAGCGGTAGAGATATTCCACTATGCGACATTTCTGAAACTCCAACAAGATCAGTAAGTTGCCAAAAATATAAACATATGAAGTTAAGCTAAACTTGCCGCAGATCAATTCTTCCTTCACCACTAGTGGACGAAACCTTACGAACACTTGCCCTCCTTCTGCCGGAGCACGACAAGGACATCGAAAGATGGTTCTCGTCAGACGAAGCTAAACTCCAAAAGCGTCGCAAACTACCACTCGATCCACTTGCTCGAGAATGTGGGCAGTTGAAAGTCGAGGAGCGACAGATCGACAACTTCCAGTACTGGCATGACCGGCTGGTAATCCTGAAGCAAGTTTTCGATGAAGCAGAACCAAGAAATATTAAGCAGTGGTGGAGAGATAGGAGACGGCGCGTCCAGTGGTATACGTTCTGGGTAGCTGCAATGGTGCTTGCTTTGACGGTGTTTTTTGGGACGGTTCAGTCGGTAGAAGGAGCAATGCAGGTTTGGTTGGCGATGAAGGATTCGAAGTAAGTTTTGCTGGTATTCTGACAGCAAATGAAGAATAGGTTTTACTGTTGAGCTGAAAAGTCAAATCTGGCGATCGAAAACCTTGAAAACGGTTACCGATGTGAGCCTTTGAGAGGATGTCAATAACTTGAGATTAAGTATTAAAGACAATCATAGGAAGTGCAAATCAGTAACTGTTAAGCTTAGCCGTGACAACAAAGAGCTCTGCCTTGTCTTAAAACATCAGTTCCAACACATTATTCTTTCCGGCAATATCAGCCCCTACCCCAAGCCCAAACCCAAACCCAAACCCAAACCCAAACCCAAACCCAAAACCAGTCTCACCTACCATCCAAAAACATCTGCGACCCCCTTGCCCTGTCTCGCCGATGAGCTCCTCCAATAGTATCCATAACTCCCTCGCAATGGCCTCTCTCACATTCATCTACCTACACTCTAGTCCTTCACCACTGTTCATGTCCCTCATTTCAGCTATCTGCGTCAAAACATCACCTACATGTTCTGGCCCTATAGTCAAGAACATCCATCCCGCAGCCTTGTCATCTTGTCTCATTGGCTCGTGCTGACACTCTTTTCATTGTCTTGCTCGTCTTGGTTGGGGAGTCGCTGAAAGAGGTGGTCGTAAGCTGAGGGGATGAAACAGGCGGACGAGACTTGGTTGTTGGAGTCGGCGACGTGGACTACCACGAAACTAGATCAGATGTGTTAGTGGTAAGGTGACGATAGATGAATGGGGTGGATGGTGTCGGAGAGGTCGGGGATGAGGAAGCGAGCTTTGATACTAAAACTTCATGCATGTGTCTCGCGGTTGGGGAAAGTCGCTGAGGTTGATATACATTGTGAAATGTGACGTCGCTGATGGACAAGATGACTGTTCCAAACGTCGACGTTGAGAGCGAGAGCTGGCTATACTTGTAAACACTTTTTTTCTGCTTTGAAAGGCTAGGCATTAGAAAGAGATAAGTTTTTTCGTTGAAAGGGAGATTAGCTCTGAGATTTTGACAGCTTGACCACATTCTGCTTCGCGCCCATAAGCTTCTCGTTGGGATGCAAGACTTCTTGCAACTCTGGTCATGTAAATATGCCTTTAACTTCTCTGTTATGCACTATGTTGTCTCCCTTTCTAGCTGTAGGAGCATTCGTTTTAGTAAGAGGAACCATTAAGAGGTCCAAACATTCATTACAGTAACTCCTGGTTATAGGCATGGTTGTATGGTGCACGGATCCGGCACTGCTCCAATTACCGTTGGAGGGTCGTAGGATGGAATGCAAACTATGTCCCTTTGGAATTTCTGACTGATAATGTTGCGCAAAGGTTGTTGAACGGTTTGTTGCCCATGAATAAAGGAAGAATGCTAAGCGAGTAACATCATTGCTCAATCGTCAGCTCGCTCCAACATTGCGTCAACAATGCTCGTGAATCTTCCAACAATGTGTCCAAATGATGAGAGAACACGATTCATTCCAAACAATACATACCCAGAGTTTCATCCATCCACTGAAAAGCCTAGCCCTCAGACGTCAGTCAGTCAGCCTTGCAGACCAGCCTCGCTAGCGCCTGCAGTATGGGTGACCTCATACTCGCCACCTCACCTCAATTACCAGGCTGAAGGCCAATAGGCCGGGGAAACGGGAGGTAGAACAGTGTTTCGATTGTTGTAAATGGCCAACGCGATGTAGGTCGAGTAATTCATGGTCGCATTCGATCTGTTGCCTCGATTTGTTGTGTGCAGAGGGGGTTGAGTTGATTGTTGATAGACTCGTTTTGTGGGCTACTCTGGGTCCAATGACGCTGGAATGTTGTCACTTTTGCTGATCTATCGTCGATGCAGCTGGAAGTGCTCAGCTCAAAGGGATGATGCAACATCTTCAGCCGCGAAACAGAGTCAAGGCGATGGAAATTGCATCAATCAAGAAAATTATGGTATTCGCTAGGAGCAAACAGACCAGAAATCGCTATATGAACGCAAATAAAAATCGATCTAAAATCTATTGCCATGCACGAAACGTGGAGTAAACAATGTAATTGAGATATAGATCATCTTTACTGGTCCATATTTAAGGGCCCAGACCAAAAAAGGGGCGAGGATTGACGTCCATCCGCGCAAAAGCAGTGCCTTTAGAGACACCGGTTCCACAACGATATCATCGAGGATAAACGTTTCAGCCTGATACAGAAACGGACAGATCATCTCATAAGACGCCAAAGGTAGCCAAGCAGATAACAACTCTTGATTAACAGTCAGAAATGTGGTCGTCTAAGCTTGAAAAGGAAGTCATCCCGATCCGGAGCAAAACATCCTCCCGAGAGACTGAGTGCAATCTCATAGCTTCCCGCTGCCAAATCTGCAGCCTTGACGTCGCCATGACATGGCTTCGACATCAAAATGCCATCAGATAATTGGGGCTGGATATGGAAAACCAATGAACATGGCGGCGAGGGCTTGAAGGATCACTGGAGCCTCATCTCACGAAGCAAGTCGCATTCCATGCTCTATCAATTACTTCCCGCCTCTCTGAGCACAAGAAGCGTTGTTGTAGTTGTTGTCGTTGTCAATGCCACCAATGGTCCGCCTGCCTTCTGTCGTGCAAGCTTTGGTGTTGTTGACTTGGTGAGACTTGGGTGATGCTTCCCTAGGCTCTTTTAGTGGAATTGATGATGAAATTTAGCGGGAAGAGCCCTTGGCATACATCAGTAACGGTCGTCCCCCTTTCTTTGTGTTGCCTCACAGTACTGTACTGTAGTAGTCTCACACGCTGTTTGACCGCATTATTACAGTATTTTCAAGCTCGTTGGCTCTCCTCTTGAGCCGTTGCCTATCCCAGTTCCATATGCTTCAGGCTTGCAGCCGATTTGTGGCTCCTCGGAGCACGATCCTCGGAGCACGAGCAGCTCCTCAAAACCAGGTTCATGGCTCGCCTCAGAGGCAGTCGACCGACAGCAGACTCATGTATCTTACTATAGTGGAGAGAGCCTGCACAGGAATGAGAAGTGCCACTGCGTCAGTTGTATGATATCAGACACGCCTGTAAATGTCTCCGGCCCCAGCATCAGCTGCATCCATTATTGTCGTTTCTGGGGTCGGGAGATAGATAACAAACGCTGGGGATTTGCACACCCCGTCCGAGCGCCGGCAGTGTCGATCACGAATTCTGTGGTCCCTGGAGCTGATATCCCCAGCATGAGGGAATCATAGGGGCTGGCTTGCTGATCTTTGCCTTCTGGTATTTCTCGGTCTCACTGCTATTGTCACGCCCTCAGAGTTTAGGGTCTTTCTTTTGTCTCAAGGATTATCATCCGAAGTTTGGAGAAACGTTATCGTACATGAGCGTGCAGTAGTCCTGCCTCACGTGGGCAAGATTGAGTTTCTCATGAATCATAAACTTGTCGGAGCTAAAAAGTCCCCTATCAGTGTGGGCGTCTAGGAAACGGCAAAAGACAGCCTCAACATCATGAATCCTTCGGTCTCCCACCAGGAAGTCAAGCTTCCGAATACCTTTAAGCCTCTTCCATATACAGAAGTTGTTTTTAGCGGCGGATAATCTCCATTTATCAAGTATTCTGCTGTTTTGATTTGTTGCACGGGAACAGGGGTCCCGCCACCGAATGACATCGCTTGTGACGCCGCTTCATTGTCATGATCGGCAGGGTCTCCTCCTCATTTGTCTGGTCCCCACCAACGCTGAACTTTGTTGATCCAGGATAAGCTGCTAATTGGGTGATCATGACGACTTGATCAGGGATGTTGGGATCGAGACGCTAGCAATATGGGCATTCCAACGAGCATTGGCGGAAGAGACATGCGGAGGCATGCATGTGCCTTTGGAAAGTAGAGTAGGGGTCCTGATAGTAGTGCTTTAGTTAGGCACACTTGCTTCTTAGCTTGTTGTCAAGCAGGACTGTTTGCTTTCATATATATGTCCTGAGGACCTCTCCCATACCCTTCAATCAATACATCGGCAAACACATATCTTCACGCATATTCATCTGGGTCTGAACTATCTCATCTGTCCCATCAACAATAAACAGATACACAAAACTCATATCAACACTCGTAGCAACTCATCGCATCTATATCTACACCAACATACCTCACTTCACAATGTCATCCCAATACACCCAACCACAATCACACTTCTCATCATCTCCCGTCCAAGAATACATTATGGAGCCATCCTTCACGCTCTCAGCGTACACTCGCGAGATGCATCAACACACCAAGAAGCAGATGGAGGCCGCCTCGCGATCAGCACGGAGGAGAAGCGGCAATAATGAGGGCACCAATGTACACGGAAGATTAGATCAACCAGGCAGCGTGTCGAGCATGGATAGTAACCAGTCATCATGAGCCTGGATGTGGGATGTGGTGAACACGAACAGACCATATGCGATCCTCGGCGTCGATGGAAAGACCAGGACGACTACTGAGGATGAGGATTAATGACGGTAACGAGGAATGATTGTATATATTGGGATGGGTAACAAGCACTGGCGTTGGGGAATGAGACATTTAGCGCCTGAAGGCGTATCTTGATGAAAGTATAGTGAAGGCAATACTATATTCCTCTGTCGTCGTTGAATCAAATGATGACTTTCAACAACAAATTAACTTTCAAATTCGTTTTTATCCTTCGTTGTGTGACCATGCGACCCACCAAGCATGTAATTATTGATTTCGTCAAATTCCCAATTTTTGATACATGCATTGCGGTTGCCGCATATTATTTTCTGTCAACAGAATGTATGGTACTAGTACTACCTGCTCATGGCAAGCCAAAATACCGTTCCATATCACTATTTCATGGAACGTCGTGCACTTGCTAACATTCATTCGCCTTTCGCTTCTAGTTCTATACCCATCAACACGTGATTACACCAGACATCCACGCCAGCAAACATATGCCAGTTCCACACCTGAATCCGACCAGCCTCTCCACCAAAGTCTAGAACACCAAACCCAGCAATCTCACACGCCTGGACGAGTCTACCCATTTAAATTTCAATACACAAAACCCAACATGAACCAGGATCCAAGGTTTCCTATGGCATGCCCATGCATGATCAAGGTTTTCGGGGATATTGCTCTCGGACGCTGTGAGTAATGACGACGTTCAGCCATGCCATGCCCCGTATTCAAGGTGGGTAACGAACAGAATACGGTCGTGGAGATGATCCTTGAATATTGGGCTGGAATGGATACAGGACAGGATCTCTTTGTGGTCCCCGTACCAAGGGTCTCTGAGTCTTTGAATTTGAAGGTGGGCTTCAGTTGCCTGTTTTAGGCCATTCGTGGGAGTCAACATCAGGTTTACCATACGTTCCTATTACAGGTGGTCATTTGATGCTGGTGATACTACTGGTGATAATCGTGAGCTGGCATGCCATGAAATGGTGGAGGAACAGGGCCGGAGCTTTCATAGCGTCATTTCACATCCGCGAACACAGGCAGTAAAGATTCGGCTCAGGCATGTAATGATTGGTTTTCATCCATCTTGACTGCAAGCCAGAGCGTGGCTGGTGAGAGAATTTTCTGTTTTCTCCAAACGTCGTCATGAGGCGCAAGTTGAGGCTGGTTCTTTATATACTTGGAAGCGGGGTGTCTCAGGTCTGACAGTGCTGCTACCTTGCAGTGCCGCACCCTCGTCAACCTAAAAATACTTCCAGAAACCCGCCTTTTGAGTTGGAAAATAAAATTACTACAAGGAGAAAAATCAGAAGCTCGTCTGGAGCCTGAAGAGGAAGCATCGGGAAATTCCCAGATATACCAAGCGACGGTACAAGTTATGTCGCCTTGGTCTTCTCTGTTCTCCGCAAGCAGTGCCATAATAAAGTCTGCAACCATACAAGATCGCGAAAAAGAAAATGGGATCAGAGCCTCCTCAAACTCAATCGCGTACCGGAGGAGATGTACTTCTGAACTTGCATATTTGTAGCACAAAGCCTCCCAAACAAAACATAACAAAGCATCCCAGGTCGTCAAAGCTGAACGGGGCGTTCGGGACAAGGAAGGCATAGTCTCTCGCCACAGTCACGTGCTCACAGCCGAGTTTTCGCCCTTCTCGGGCCAAGCAGCAGCTGCAGCTCAAATTCTCAGCCATCAAATTTTCTGCCTCACCACCCAGCCATCATCCGGATCGAGAGCCTGGCTGCTGTTTCCTTTGTACCATCTGGAGGATCCTTCCGGTCATTGTCTTGCAGCATCACACTTGGGTCGCTTGGAAGTCTGGTGGTGTTTGTCGCTTTTTCGCCCTGATTCCATTTTTGACATTTTTGCGGGGTCCCCGGCTGAGAGGAAATCCGTCTGACGTGCGGCTGAACAAGGGAGACATATCCCGCTTGCAGAGCATAACACTGCGGCGGCATTGTGTATTTGATATATTCAGGGACCTGTTTATTGTCTGTCAAGCTCAGTCATACACATTCTGCAAATATGTTTCCTCCAACCGAGACACTCAACCTGTCTATTACAGCCATTAGTGGTATCCTTGGGTTAGTGCATTGCCCTCCCCTCGCTTGACACCTAGCTATCAAAGGCTAATAACATCACCAGCTCAATATCAATCGCCTGCTGGATCGTAGTCTTCTCTCCTCAGATTGTCGAGAACTTCAGACGTAGCTCCGCCGATGGCTTGTCTCTTCAGTTCATCATTGTATGGCTCGCTGGAGATGTGTTCAACATCCTTGGCGCAATTCTCCAGGGTGTGCTACCTACCATGTTGATTCTCGCCATTTATTACACGATTGCCGATATCGTGTTGCTGTTGCAATGCTTCTACTACCGCGGCTTCACCTGGAGAGACGAGGTCGTCCCTCCAAAGCAAAGCTCTCTCGGTGAGGCAAATGAGCGAACGGGTCTACTCGCCCCCTCAGATATGTTGGCCAACCAAGAGCGCCGCTCCAGCACCGTATCAGCAAGTCATCTCTCACCAGTCGTCCCACTACTAGATGCTCCCCGCCCCCAAGACCCCCCATTTATCAGTAAACCCACTACACGCCTCCAAGCCACTCTTTTCAACCTCTTTTCCATTCTCATGGTCTGCTCAGCGGGTATTCTAGGCTGGTGGATCAGCAACGGCTCTCAAAGCGGGCAACCGCACCACCGCTCTCCAAAGCATCCCCACCCAGAACCCCTATCCTTCAACCTCTGGGGGCAGATCTTTGGGTACTTCTGCGCTGTTCTCTACCTCGGCTCTCGCGTTCCACAGCTGCTGCTCAACTATAGACGCAAGAGCACCGAAGGCGTCTCCATGCTCTTCTTCCTCTTTGCCTGTATTGGAAACCTTACCTACGTACTCAGCATTTTCGCCTACGAGCCCCACTGCACGGGACGCCGAGGACGCTGTGCGCACGGTGAAGCGGGTGCGATTTATGGGAGGTATATTTTGATCAACGCTTCGTGGTTGGCGGGGAGTTTGGGGACGCTCTTCTTGGATATGGGCATCTTTGCGCAATTCTTTATTTATAGAGATGTGGGTGTGACGGGGGAAGTTGCAGTCGAGAATGGACACGCAAGGACCGAGTCGAGAGATTCAAGGCCGTTGTTGGAGAGGGACGATTAGGCGGTTGGTCATTTGCATCGTATTTCAGTTTGACAGCAGAAGATTTTGACTCTAGTGAAGAGGTGTACAGTACGGCACCAGTGCATTTCCAGGGCATGGATAGGACAAGCCGAGCGCACTCTCTGTTCTTCTTCTTTTTCTTCTTACCTGGTTTTAATAAACAACTTCGCTTTATTTTGTAGCATTTACTGCGGGCAGGAGTTTCTGGGGTTATCTCAAAAAGCAAAACGGAAGGAGAATATCATCCGCATGGCGTGGTCCACACATCACAGCTCAAAATTCGAGGATTTGGAAAGAGGTTTACAAGTATTGTCTGATTTTCCAGCCTTGATAGGTTTTGTAAATACTATACGTTGTGTAATATGTACGTTTATATAATTGGCTTTGGCATAGTCCCGCCACATACATATTGTTATTCTTTCCCTTTGCGCTAAAGGCATGTCTCTTGCACCAATGTTGACTGCAGAGGCTCGCTAATTTGGAGCTCAAATGCACTGGTCATGATCTGACCAAGTAGAAAATTACAATTTATCCCTTGATTCTGTCTACAGTTTGTGGTCTCCATACTCTAACTCCATCGACTCAGAAACCCCTACTTTAAATGGGCTTCACAACGCATCGTCCTCAGTAGCAGCCTCCTCATATCCACCCTCATCTTGACTTATATATGGCGGCCTGTCAATCATCAGCACGCACTCTACATCACAAGCCAACAATCAAGCTAACCAACCAGACACGCAAGCAACAACCTACCTCGCCAAATTCCTAGCTGCCACAATCCCCGCCGTGCCCACAGCATACATCCCCAAAAGGTTACTCCAACCCGTCTCCCCAATCCCTCTCTGTCCTACCGCCAGAGCAACAAGATCATACGCCAGACAGCCTCCAAAAATCCAATCACTCGCACCCGCCAACGCCGCAAATCCCACACCAGTAATCACCTTGACCGCCAAGTTTGGACCCTGATGATCGAAATACGCAACGGAGCCGTTATGGAGCATGTCCAGAACGCCGATTCCCGCGAAGGTTTTAGACACGATGTGTGTTAGGACGGACGAGGTGGAGCGTGTGTTCATGGGTGGGAGACGGGTGAAGATGTAGGTCAGTTGGGTGATGGAGTTGATTAGAACGAAGACGTTGGCTGTTTTTAGGGCCGAGGAGTTCCAGAATATCATCCAGGCTGGAGGAAGGCATTAGCCCGATGTACTCTTTAAAATATATGTGTACCTCCCATTCCTCATGTGTCTCACATGACCATATTGTTATGTGCAGCAAACACAAGCGGACTATATAACAGCAGCGAAGGTGTCAATAACTCACAAGCGATACACAAATTCCCGACCACATAATACGGCACGAAACTCGTCATGATCTCGACCTCCTTCTTCTCCTTGGCACTCTTACTCCCATCTAGCTTCCATAGCCTATACAACCAAGCCAGCTGGAACAACTGCTGCGGAAAGAAGAATGCGGCTATGAAATATGGCTGGGGTGACCAGAAACTGAGGTTCGCGTCATGGATGTCTTTCATGTTGGGTGTAGAGAGCATGCCGTATTGTTGGGCGGCGAAGTCGATTAAGAAGGAGACGGGTGCGACGATGCGCGCAGTGGAATGGGTGATGCCCATGTTGAAAGACTTTGGTGGGCTTACTGGGTGATTTAGTTGTGTTGTGGATATGATTCCGATTCAGTTGATTTTTGGGAATGGTCAAAACTGATATACTGCACTTCGCAGGCGAGGCTGACATACATTCACTTTCCAAACAAGTCATGATGTCAAGACTTCGTGGGGCTGGACTTCTCCTCGCACCGACTTCCGAGTCCCAACCTTTGCGTCCTATCATGCTCATAATGTATTCTACCTGTCAACAAGACGACCCGATCACTTCAAAATGACTCTATACTATTAATCTAGAAACCTCGGTACCAATTTACCTTGGTTTCCCCAAACGTCACGTGCTCTCTCCTGTGAAGCGAGTTCCAAGTCAACAGATATGGGTTAAGAAAGTGGGTAAGGAAGAGCCAACATGGGCTTCAGTCATTATTCTAGGAATTTCCAAAACAGAATAACAACGTGATGGCTATACTTTCAAATCACTGAAGCTCAAGCCTGACATTGCCTTCAATTACCTTCAGCTCTGCCGTCTACAACTTCAAAATAAAATGATACTCTCTTTAACGATACTTGGCTCCTAGGGTAGCTTCTTCTGTGGCATCACATAAAGTCGCAACCTTGAACGTTATCCGCGGGAGCAACCACACCTGACTTTCTTATCTACCTAGGTAATGCTTAGAGAGAAACCCATTTCAGCCAAAATAAGAGTCAATAAGATATCTCAGGATTCCTTTCCCCCCTCTGCGTCAGACGAGGTTCAAGTTCTGCTTGCAAGGATGGCGTGGTCATGTCGGACGGAAGATGGATTGAAAGAAAATGTGGTGAGCCGGGGTAGGGTGAAAGCCGCGATTTGAATGTTTGGGCTTCACCGCATAAGCTAAATTGAAAGTTGAAATGAAAGACCTCATCGAATATTTGCCTATTGAGAGTAATCAGTATTATATTAGAGCAGTTTTGTGTGGTAGAAACTCGATTCCTCAAAGACAGTTGAGTCAACAAACTCCTCGCTTATTTATTACTTGGTACTTGCTCATGCATTGAACGATCTTCCTTGACTCGTACACTTTGAATAGTAATAGCGATGCTGCACGTGAGATGACGAGCGTCTATTTCCAGTTCAATATGATAAGAAAAAATTGTGCGCATAAATAGCATGCTGGTTTGTTTGAAAGCGTGATGTGTTCCACGACAGGATGAAGTGGAAACAAGTAAGGCATGGCATCTGTGAGGAAGCGAGAGTCTCCACTATTGTATACAAACTACCTAATAGTCACGCAGAGACTCCAGAAATATGAATGCAGTGCACCAAGATTCTCTTAATAGTTTCTTTGTGAGAACTATTTTCTGGCGGCTGTGGTTGTTGCTCCAGGGCCCCTTGGTCAAAAAACCGCCCATTGTTCCTATCTTGACAGCACTCCAATCAACAACTGCAAGCGGAATAACCACTGCCCGCCCTTCAAATAACTCAAGAACTAGACATCTAAACATAGAACTCTGCATTCTAAAGACTCATATCTCTCACAAACCAACAGTATAAAAACCCCTTGCTAGCCCTTTCTCCTTCCCCTTCAATCTCTCATCCTCCAGCACGTTCAACTCTCAGCCTCAACAGGTAAAAGATAGAATCGCGCCTAAACATCTTCTCTCAACCCACCTAGCCTAAAGAATCTCGAAAGCCACAAATTGTCTAACCCCTACGACACAGAAACAACCCTTGTGAATTCCGAATGGGACACTAATTCCCCTTCTTCTTCAGAGCCAGAATCAGAAGACGGCTATTCAAGTGAGGAAGACAGCCCAGCCGAAGACGAGCTTTCCGATGATGGGCGTGAGGAGTCCGAAGATGAGCGGAGCGAGAGTGATGAGAGTGAAGACGATTCTAGGAGCGTGTCGAGCGATGAGAGTAGACCATATGAGTATTCCAGGGTGATATATTCGTATACATTTGGTCAGGGGAGGGATGACGAGAGTGATGGAGAGAGGAGTGAGAGTGAAAATGCACGCAGTGAAAGTGAGAGTGAGAGTGAGAGGGGGGACAACTCGGATTGAGGTTGAGTACGAGTCCTACGAGTGGCGGGGAGGGGATGTTGTAAAATAGATGCAAAAATGTTACCTCGCTACAGGCATGTGATTGATAAAAAACTTGTATCTGATTCAAATGGCTTGTAAATCTATAAATGCAATTGCAAGGTATCTCTTATGCTGTGCTATGTATGCCGTGACCAATGTACTCCACAAACCCGAACAGAAATTAGCCAAAATAAAATATTATCTATCTCATCGTCAAACATTCAAACACCACTTATGCTATTCATTAATTCGGTCATCCAACAGAATTTTATCATGGGTATATGTAGGCAACAGCAAAAACAGGAAAACGTAGCCAACAAGTTCAGGGGATGGCATTCAACTCCTCCCTTTGCCTCAGGTACTTCTTCGCCAACTCGTCTCCTCCAACGGCCGACAACTCCATCCAATGATATGCTACGCACATGGTGGCTGGATCACTCCTCTCCCTATCTCTTTCCTCCTTCCCAGCGCTGCCCCCGCCATGCATCTCCATCACCTGTGCCTTGAAGGTCTCCCTGGGCTTGCTCAAAGGAGCGGTTACTCTGTCGACTAGCTCTGGGTGGGTGAGGTAAAAGATAGCCAGCTCACGCTCAGCAACCGGGTCGCCTTCTTTGGCGGTTATGGTCCACATCTTGGCAGCTTCTTGCATGCTGTATTTCATGAGCTCGCCGCTGGCTGTAGTGTGAGTAGACGAATTGGTAGCAGGCGTGAAAGCAGTCTTTCGTGTCTGTGTGTAGTGTACCACGACCTCGTCTGCAATTTCGATCATGGTTCGGACAACATCTTGCTTTAATCCTAAAGCAGCAAGTCCTGCGTCCCAGAAAGCTTTACCACGTTCTGTCTTGTCGAGAACGGATGCTGGCACAAACGATGCAATGAACTGAAGATCTCGGAAAAGTGTCTTGGGTCGAATCTCTGCGTCACGAAACAGGTCTTGTAGAACGTCAACGATCATATCGGTACTCGCTGGGTTTGTGACTGTTAGAGATCTATCATTCGCGCGATTGGTAGGTAAAACATTGTCAGCTTGTTCAAGAGTATGTGATCGTCGTTCCCTACAGTTCCCAATGGCTTCCTCTAGGTTCTTTGCTTGTGGTGTAGTGGTAGCAATGTCTGTGTGGCCAAAAGCATTTATATGTTGAACTTCTGGCGACTGAGGAGCTGCAGTTAATGATTCTTGTCGAAGACGTGGTCGACGAGGAGTTGCAGGGGTAAGATACGCGATGATGAGGTGTTCCAGCTCAAACAAGGCGTTCAGTTTCGAATAAGGATTCGGATGCACTGAGAACATACGTAGGAGGCGCATGAAAGCCTTCCGATATGGAAAATCCGGGGAGTCGAGGTCCTTGGAAACAATTTTTCGCACCCCAATTCCAATTTGCTCGCTGGTAGAGCTCTCTGTCGTTGAATGAACATCAGGCGTTCCATGTTCTGTTGATCTTGAACCAACAGAAGAAGGCCCTCTTTCCATCCTCGGACTAAGATTGTCGGGAACTTCCAAGGGTATTTCAATTTTCTGAGCACCGCGCAAGTCTCTGAAGCTTTTCTTCTTTTCCAACGTTCTCTTCTTGCTTTTGCGTCGTATCTTCCGCTCAGTGCGTTCCTTGCGCTCGATACAATCCTCTCCCAGGGACCCAGAGAACCAAGAATCCGTTTCACTTCCTCTCGCAAATACCAGAGTGCCCAGATCGCTGATCAACAAACTGGTAAGGGTCTGCTTGAGGTCTGTGAGAAACCTCTGCTTGGTCAAGCTAGCGCGTTCTTCTTTCATCGTGACTGTTTCATTCATCGACGAAGATGAAGTTCCCGGACGGTGACTACCAATGCTCGTGGTCGGCGACTGTGCTCGTGTTTGGAACGGTGACCAGAAAGTTGTCGAGGAGTCGATAGTCAAGACTGGACTGGCCATCCCAAAGTAATCTTGAGAGTCCATCAAATCTCCCGTGTTAGTCATCCTTGGCATGCTGTACCTACCAGAATCAAAGCTCTGTTGAGAATTATTTCTAGCTGACATTGAGCGAAGATCGCGAATGCCGGGACTTGGTCGATTAAAGTCCGTGCTGCGAAGACCTCGCCGAGCAATTTCGGTATCGTTGTGATCATCCCCAGATAAATTCAGTGATCCGAGACCACCGACGAAGAAATCGCTTTTCTGTCTGCCACAATCTAAAAGGCGTTTATCTCGTTGATAGAGCTCGCTAGACCACAAAACAGGGCCTTCCATAAGATTATCGCCGACAAGTTTGTTGATACAAGTCTCAAGCTCCAAACAAAACCGATGAATTCTTTCCTCGCCTTTGCAAAAGTTTTCGATACCAAATTGAGAGAGCCACCGCATGGTCTTTTCTGATTGTTCATCAGATAACTTGTTGGGGCCGCCTTGTTCGTCGCTGGCAGCCATCATATCCATCACTTGGACCTCAGTCTTCAGAAGAAAGTTGTTGGTCGATGACTTGGAAGTGTTTCGAGGCCTAAGTCCAGCTGGCGGGAGATAAGTGGCCTTTTTCGGAGATGCCATGCATTTTAATGCCATGGCAATATTTCGAGCTCCTTCGTAAGCTGCCGAGTTTTTCACATCTGTAACATACCACATCTTGTCACGAATCGCCTTCAGCCGCTTCATCATAGTTTCAATCGTGACATCGTGTCGCTCTTGAGACTGTTTCAGCCATACAAGCCATGCATCGTATTCTTCGATAGCGCTCGTAGATCGTCGAATAGAGTCTCTTGGACCCCGAGAGAAGATGCTGAGAAGAGATGCAAAGCCATCACGTTTCAGAGATGGTGATGAGAGATGATGCAGTTGACTCAATGTCTTCCACCACAAATGAGCATTGACAAAATCCGACTGTGCTTGGCATTGCGCCTCAGCTGCTTCGAGCATTGCGATGAGAACTGATGGCGCTTCTCTGTCAGGCTGCCTCTCGCTATCAGAATCATGACGCTGCTTGGAAGACTGCTTCGAGTCTTGAACGGACGCGTTATCTTGGACACGATATGGGTTTTTCGACTGTGACTGGGGCTGCGACGATGATCCGGGCCTGCTACGGTACTTCTTTCTTGGGCTCTCCAAAGTAGAAGTTCGGTTGCTGAATGTTTCTGACTCGGATTTGGGACGGAGAGAATGAGGAATCTCATAGTCTTCAACTAGCTTCAAGACAGAATTCCGAAGCTGGTGATAGTCTTTATCCAGGTCTGGCCGAGAACTGGGAATCTCATCATCACTGTCACTACTTGTAGTGAACTCCTCCTCGTGGTCGTCGTCGTCTGGATCATGGGGTAGTTGATGAGACAAAGTTTGGCCATCTGGGGACATGAACAGAACAGTCCAATTTTCTGCACAAGGGTGACAGCGGCCATCCACGCCTTCAGCACCGAGTGTTTGGGTCATCTCATAGAGGGCAACCCGAAGCTCAAATCCGTCATCCTCGTAATTGCTCTGTCGCGACTTGGTGTTCTCTTCGAGTAATGGCTCGTGAGATGTAGTAAAATCACTAATGACAGAAGATCCACTGTTGCTAATGACAGAAACATTGTCGAATGCATTGCGCGGTGTCGTACTTGGACTCGACTGAAGAATGGTAGACATCCCAGAGACCGAAGAAGCAGAAGAGCGTATACTACCGAATGGGATATCCTTTGCCAAGGAACTGGAAGCTGGCCGTTTCTCTGGGAAGAGGGCATTGATCATGGTCAGAAGATCTGACGGACCCAAGACTAGGTACGGATGAACCTCCACGGTCTCTCTCAAGGAAGTTATGGACCTAGCTGGAAGCAGCTTCGCCTTGGATCTTGAGGGTCTGCCTGACCGGAATCGAGCCATGATGTTCTCAATATGAGACTTGACAGCAAGTGGCGTTGATGGTGTGTCTCTCCTAAAACAGAGATGTCAGTCCCACATTTAAGAACGAAGTCAAGAGGCTCACCAGAGCATGTCCGCCACCAATTTATGTGCTCTCATTACAACTTCTTTCAGTATTTTCTGTCTCCCATATTCAGTGATGTGGTATTCAGCCATCATCCCAAAGTACTACACAATTAGCTCTATGCTAACATAGATGGGTTAGATCCATACCTCGGGATGAATAATGACACTAGAAAGGAAGACAGAGAAGAACCATCTGGAGACAAAAAACTTCCTGGTAGAGAAGTGTAACTTTGGGTCCAGTTTCCTTAAAATGGCATTTCCAAGTTCGACGAGTCCTTCCGGAATCCCGCCTGCTCCAGGGTCATCAACAAGTTGAAAGAGACCGAGGACTGCTGCATCATAGAATTCCTCTGCAGCAATGGTATCTTTGGTATTCCGTGGCTCAACATGGATACGAGTACCTGCTTGATCCTCAGCCTTTTCTAGGAGGAAAGCTCCATCCTCGAGTATTTTCATTAGATACCATTCCATATTAGGCTTTCCGGACCAATCACGCATGGCAGTCCATACGTTTAACACGCAAATGATAAATGTTTCGGTACCAGTCTTCCCCATGGTAATCAACCTGGCGCATGTGGTGGCCCACACATCTGTCCGCCGAAGGTCTTCCCCAGAGTCAGGGCCGGCTGAGTTTGCAAAGCAAGTATGGATCAGAGCAGATAAGGGATCATGACGCTGGAAAGAAAGCAAACGCTCAACTGGAGAGGGTATATGCGCGGAAGTGCGATGATTGTTGGAAATATGGCCTTTTGAACGGGCATTGTGATACGGCAAAACAGTATTGATGCTCTCCATTCCTTGATGGAATACTATTAAGGCAGACAATTCTGCAGGTGAAAGGCTACAAATCCGGCTGGCCAAATAATCCGGATTTGTCCTGATCTGGGTCAAAAATTTCAATAAGCTATCGCGAGAACGCTGGGGTATCTCATGCATGAAGGTAGAAGATGACAAGGCTCCAGACTCTCCTGTTCCTGTGGAATTCGTACGATAAGTATCCAGGTCTGGTTCCAAAAGCGCATACCGACGTGTTGCATCGCATGAGTTTCGGACATCATGAATGGCATTGTAAAGACTCGCAAAATTCTTCTTCTCATCGGCCCTAAAGTTGTCAACCAAGGTTCTATGCGCCAACTCTCCGCATCGTGCCAGACGAGCGGATAGAGCTGTTGAAACTAGAGACCTCTGCAACCGAATGCGAGAGTGGGCTCTCTTCCTCTCCTGGTATGTGGAAAGCCGGACCAAATGCGCGAGCTCTTCCAAGGTTGTGGTAGCAACGGCAGCAGTCACAGAGCTAAAGTGCGGATTCAGATATTGAGAGATATCCTGGAGTAAGGGTAATTGTGGTGGTTTGGTCGGAGTGGCTGGTCCGTCTGGTACGCTTGACTTGGCTGTCACAGTCGACGGGGCATCTTTCCTACGTGGTGCGGGGGAAGGAGAGGCGCGTCTTGTAGCACTCCGAGTTCTTTCTCGGTCTGCGGGCTCTTTATATGAAGTCGGAGGTCTTTGAGGGCTGCGAGATTGGTATCGATGAAGCCTGGGAGGGACAACAGTGTTTTCGGGAGGGGAAGGAGTTGGACTTCGCGACGAGACCTGTGTAATAGTAGGGGAAACAGCTGCAGATGCTGTTTGTCAGTAAACGATTCCAAGTGTTGTACATTCGCCGACGAGACTAAACTAAAGAAAGCCGCAAGGTCTGTACAGCAGACAACTTACGAGGAGAGGCGTGCGCGGGCCCAGGCAGGGAGAGGGATCTCTGCATTTGTATCATGACTCCATCTGGGAGGGAGGGACTGGTTGCGACCTCGAGCTTTCCAGCGTCGAGATGCCAGTCAAACAAACAGGAAGTGCGGAGAAGGGCGAGGCGGAGGGGGAGGGGGAGGGGGAGGCGGAGGCGGAGGACGAAAGCTGTTTCTCGAGGACGAAATTGCTATTGTCGTCCAAGAGTGTTTATAGTTGCAGTTGTGGGTGTGGGTGTGGGGTGCTGTCACTGGTGGTGGGAGCTCTCGAAGCTGAGATGAGGTGGGAGGACCTTGAGCAAGGTTACGAAGTTACTTCGTTACCTTAACTTCGTAAGCTGCTAGGGCAGGCTCAGGCCGGGGCGATAAGAAAAGACGGGACGGCTCGGTTGCGGGACGAAACATCAAACAAAAACGTCAGTCAACACGGCAGCATAACGTCGTCGACTGTCCTCATTCTCAGATCTCGGTTTCTTTTCTTGTGGTTTTGGGGCAGAGCTGGAATTGGGAATGGGAATGGGAATGGGAATGGGACGACGACGGGACAGAAATAATAATATTTGTCCAGCGCGAAGAATAAATATATATATATATATATATATAATGGCCTCTGGCGCTGACCACCTGCCACCTCGACCACCCTCACCTCCGCCTCTCTGGTCGTGGATCCGTCTGGCTCCATCCCATAACTTATCCCTCATCCCTCATCCCTCCCTCACTCCCCTCCCTCGCATGGACTGGACTGGACTGGACTGGACTGTAGCGTGGATTTGCTGGCAACAGCACCAGCACCAGTACCAGCGCTGGCATGCATCGCATCCTGGCACTCCAGCCATGCGTGTTCCAATCACAGCGCTGCAGCCAGCTCAGTCCCAAGCCTGGTGGACTACTGGCCGCAGGGATGGCAGGGCAGCTGTCACAAACACGCCCGCCCCCCTCCCCTCCAGAAAGAGTCAAGACTTAAGACTCTTTTATTACTATTCCCTGGCCCTATCCTCGTCCCCGTCGTCCTCAATCTCAGGTGCAGCAGCGCTGCAGCAAGTGTGTGAAGGACGACTGGCTAGAGAAGACTCGCACATGGCTCCATTCAGCCTCCTACTGTACAGATCCAGCGCTGCAAATGTCATGCAGCTACTCGTAGCTTTGGGGGCATACAAGCTTCTCGGGTGTGCACGTTGTTGGCTGGCTACGCCGGAAAGTCTCCCCCCTGGGCCAAATCTCACTTCGTCATGGCTTAACTACTACTCTCCCCCCCCCCCCCCCCCCCCCCGGCTTGAATGTTAAATGTGTAGAAAACTGGACCTCGTGTGGGTAGCTACTAGGGGTGTCTATCTAATAATTCAGTAGAGATTCGGCCTTAAGCAGGGCTTAAGTATCTCTTAAACCTTCTAAAGGCACCCTTATTATTATAATAGACTTAATTCTAGCTCGTACTTCTAGCTCTATCTAGGGCCTCTGATTACTTAGCACTTGATAGTTAGGCCTCTGACCTGTCAAAGTTTATATTTAATATTCAAGCCGGGGGAGGGAGAGTACTATCCCCCCCCCTGAATAATATTAAAATACGGGCTCGAACCCTCTAGAATCATTAGCTTACTGCTCTTGTTTCTAGCTTACTACTTCTAAATATAAGATAATATAAATATTATTAATTTCTTAGTATTTTATAAAGCTATCTTATATATTAATTATAACTTAATATTTCTTTTACTAAGAATTATAAAGCCTTCTTATAAAATCCTTTAGAATAGCTTCCTACGCTTTTTATATAATTTAATAAAGCTCTTAGAGAGGTATTCTTACTATATTATAATATGTTATATAATAATAACGTTAGATCTAATTCTTTATCTAATTTTATATATACTTAATTAGATTAAAGTCTAGAAAGTAGTATAAAAAGAGAATATATTATATATTATATCTTTTAAAGTTTATATATATAGCTTTCAATTATGTAATAGCACGGTTTAGCGTTAGCTAGCACGTGAGCGAAATAACCACGGATCAGGTGATAACCTCTCTATTAGCGTGAATATTAAGCTGAGGAGCTCTCGATTCCGTGGAGGGCGCTCGAGCCTATATAGACAAATTCCCCGGGCTATTCCCGATTAGGACTAATTATATTTAACGTAAAACTTGATATAAACTCCTATAATAGCGTAGAGCTATTTCCCTTTACGTATAACTAAGTAGGTAACTATTAGTAAACCCCTTCAGAGTTAACTAAGCTCTACTAAGTCTTACTGAGCTTTACTAAGCTCTAGACTCTTCCTAATCAGGTATAGTAAAGAAGTAGTTACTACTACCTTTATATCACCCCCCCCTTTGAAAAAATCGAGTTATAAGCTTAAAAGCGTAATAAAACGATTAAAAAAAATAAAGTAGAAGTGATTATTAGACATTAGAAATAAAAACAAGCAAAACACGTATAAAATCAAACTAATAAGCAAATAAAACAAAGTACTTTTACAACGCTAGCAGTCTTACAACTGCAAATAGTGCATATTCACTAGATATTCCTGAACCGCTTGTTCCTTATTAGGACTAGCCTTTCGCTAAGCCTTCTCTATCTGTATTATAATATAGGCGATTTCAATAAGTTTTCAGTTCTAGGCTCGTATATAGGTTATAATACGCTCCCTATTAGGCTTTAAGCCTTATAGCTTATAATTCAACTTATAAGCGTCTAGTATTAAGAGCTTTTCGTTAAATACCTAATAAAAGGGGTTCGCTACGCTATCTGGCTTAGCGAAGAATCAAGCTATAGGCTTAGCGAGATGAAGCAAATACGCTGGTAATAAAGAAGCTAATTCGCTAGCTTCTAAAGCTTATTACGGCGTAAGCTCTAGAGCAGGGAATCTAGGCTCTAGTTCATCGATATTAGTCGACTCGGAATCGTCGACTGGGGTTATAGCTGTAATAGGCTATTCTAGCTAATCCTTAGCTTCTGATTCGCTTATAAGATAGTTACTTGTAAAAGTAAAATCATCGTTTTATAATAGAGCGTTAAAGGCGAGTTTTAATTAGCTAAGAGGTCTCCCGCTGTTGATTTTATAATAGTCGTATATAGCTTTAGCTGAATTACTAAAGCTGTTCGTGTCGTACTACGTGTTATTAAGGGGGTAGTCTTTCTACTCTACTTAATATTATATCATATCGTTATAATAACGATAAGCTAGTATACGAATTAGGTCGTATTCGTCTTTATCGTATTCTATGTCATCTATAGCGTTAGTAATATTTAATTCGTCGTTAGCTCGCTTATACGCTTTTCGTAATCAAGAGGGGTTAATAATAGGGTAAATTTTTATCGAAAGAGGTAATTCTAACTTATAAGCGTAGCCTACTTGTTGTATAACCTTATAAGGACCTCGCTTAATAAAGTCTAGCTTCTTTAAGGGCTGTATTAACTTGAGGTTTTTCGTATATAACTACATGTGATCTCTTATAGTAAAATCGATATCTTATCTCGAATAATTTATATACTCTCTTTAAGAGGCCTGCGCTTTACCTATATATACTTTCGCACGCTTTATTATATCATATATATACTATAAGGTATTTATTACGTTACTTCTTTAAGTGTATTTGTATTACGTAACTGTGTTATTATCTTTAGTATACTGCGTATTAGTATCGAATAATAGTAGAGCTAAGCGAGGTTCGTTATTAGATCCGGATCCTAGAATTAACACGGGAATTACCGTGTTTTAGTATGGAATTAATATCTAGGTAGAATCCGGTAACCTAATATCGCTCCTGTTATATAGCGTAAAGCTATATTCCCTTATACTTCAGTTACCCTTTTATATAGTAAAGCTACCCTTTAGCTCCTGCACCGGCGTATAACTAGTCCTACTTAGCGTAGAATCTAGTCTAGATACTTGTTTACCTTAATATTCCTTACTTAAGTATTAAGTAGTCAACTTTAACACTTAACGATTATTTAAGCTAGTATTATTACTAGCGTCTGAATTTAAGGACTTTAATAGAGTCTTAGATCTAGTTATAGTAGCTATATCGTTTTTTCTAATATTATTAGTAGCTTCGCTAGATAATTACTCCTAATTAAAAGATATCTTAAGCTTATAGCTATTAAGTACTTCAAAAGGACTTAGCTACCCTAAGCTAGCGTGCGGTAATATTAACTACATGTAGTCTAATAAGAGTAGTATTTCAGACTAGTTATCTTAATAGTGATTTAAGAACGCTCGTAGTCGCTATTTTAAGTAGCGATTATAGTTCTCTGTTTAACTATTAGTTTATAGGTAATACGCTATAGAAAGCTTTAATTTAGTTCCTAATAAGCGATATAGCTCTTACTAATATTTAGAAACGAATTAAGAGCCTCTATCGCTTATAATCGTATCCGGGGCGCTATAGTATCGATAGACGTATTTTATAAATAACGCAGCTATTTACTTAGTATTTATTCGTCTATTATAAGTAATAGAAATCGATTGCTTTATAAAACAGTCTATAACTACTATTACGTAGTCGTATCTGTGTCGATCCTTTGATAGCTCCGTAAAATCCATACTAATATCGCGCTAAGACTTCTTAGGAATCAGTAAAGGTTGTAATAACCCCAGTATTTTATCCGTCGATTTTTTAGTCCTTTGATAATTGTAGCACCTATTAACGTAGTTAGCGATATTAATTAGTATATTAGACTAATAATATCGAGCCTTTATAAGCTAATAAGTCTTATCTCTACCGGGGTAAGCTATAGAGATCTAATTATAAGCCTCCTTAATTAGCTGATATCGTAAATCAGTGACGTCAGGGACTAATAGTCTTCCTTTATATAATAATAGCTCGTTTTTAAGCGAGAAGTTACTATTAGGCTTTTCTTTTGCTTTTATCCTTAGAGGCTTATAGGACTTTTCTTATCTATTAGCTCTTAAAAGCCTATCAACAAAGTAGGAGTCGTTTATAATAGTGCTTATAGAAGCTAGCTATAAATCCTCTTTTATAGCCTCTTCCACTTAATCGGGTTATAATAACAATTTCAGATAATACTTTACTTTTATAGCGTCTTGATTTTTAGTATTACTTTCGTCCTTTATAAGAATATCGGCTTTAGCGTTTTCGGAACTTCTATAATAGCTAATAATAAAGTAATAATCAGCTAGCGCTTCGGCCTAACGCGCTTATCTACTAGTTAAAGCTTTAGTTATTATAAAATACTTTAGTGCCTTATAATTAGTGTAGATCTTTATACGCTAGTAAGTATACTCTAAGTCGGATCTCTAGTTTTTAAGCGATTTTATAATCGCTAATAACTCTTTATTATATATCTTGTAATTATACTTAGTAGGGGCTATAGTCTTAGAGTAGAACGCTATAAAGTAAAATTCACTGTCTAAGTGTTTTTAAGATAATATCCCTGCTATTACGCTATCGCTAGCGTCGGTTTCAATTATAGTCTCTAATTCCGGGTTATAGTGATATAGTATAAGTGCTATAATTAAGCTCTTTTTAAGCTTTTCAAATATATCTTTATAGCTATTATCGAACTTAAACTATACTTCCTTTTTTATAAGATTAATAAGCAGCTTAGCGATTTTACTATAGTCCGTTATAAATCGTCGATAGAAGTTATAAAAGCCTAA